AGTAGACGCGTTATTATAAAAGTAAGAAGAGCTTAAGACCTAAAAGAAGAAGAATTACGCCGCCTATACAAGAGCTTTTCTAAGTAAGAAGTAAATTAGCCTCTTAGCTATTAAGTAATTATTAGATAAGTTATTAGTTCTAGCTACCTAGAGATTAGCTAGCAGCGCTATAGAAATTACTGCTACTAATACGTTTATAGAGGCACTCTCTACTAAGAATCTATATACTATAATTAATTAGGTTATTATAGCTAACTAATTAAACAACTCTCTATAGCTAGCTTAAGAAAAAGCTACTACGTTAGGCTTTACCTAGAAAATAGAAGACAGCTTATTAACCTATTAGAATTAATTAATAGTCTCTACTATTAACTACCTATAAACGTATTTAATACACGCTATATATACTACTTAGGTAACTACCTATTTAGAACGCTAGAAAACTATCTAGTTACTATAAGATTAATATTACTAGCTAGGTATAAGAGAAGACGTTAATATATACGTAGTAGTATATAAGGCTTACTACTAGAGCTATACTCTATAGAATAAGACGCTAGGTCTTCTAAAGCCTCTATCTATCTCTAAGAGGGCTTAGTAGAACGTCTCTATAGATTTTAAGAGCTTCTTCTCTAATAAGAAAGAATTTAACTACGTATACGTTATTATAGATTAGCTAAGTAAGTAGAGCTTCTCTTTTCTCTACTATAAGAAAATTATAGCTTAACGTATAGTAGAGCTATATTACTAATATATCTAGTGTATATATAGTTCTTCTAAGTCTATTATATTAGATTATAGTCTATAGTTTACCTCTACCTTTATAGATAAGCTCTACTAGCTTATAGAAATTAAGTAGAAGCTCTTTACTACGTACTACCTATAAACTAATAGAAATATAGAGATTATTAATTAATATCTTAATTAGCGTCTACGTCTATTTGTTAACTACTACTAGAATAATTAGTTAGACCTTCTACTTTATATAGATTAGATATAAGCTACGTTACTATATAAAACTATAGAACTAATAGCGTATAAAATTAAATTTAGATACTAACTAATATACTACTAGAATTAGAAGAAGCGTATAATAAAAGTCTCTACTCTACGTAAGCGTCTTTTACGCTAAAAAGCTTAGAATTTTGCTAAGAAGTAATATAACGCTGTAGAGAAAGCTACTAAAATTATATAAAGTAATATCGCGAAAGCGTAAGCTAGATAGGCGCTCTAAGTAAATAAAAAGCGCTAAGAACCTAATTTCGCAGTAGGTAACCTTGTCTACGTTAAACCTTATAGCTTTTTAATAGATTAGCCTAGTATAAAGCTAGATTAATAGATGTATAGCTCTTACCTAATTATTACTATAAAGAGTTACTTTTTCTAGCTCTAGCTACCTGCGTATATATGTATGTATAACGTTTTTTACGCTAATTAGTTAAAAAAAGCCTTAGAGCTGTTGCTAGAGTAGGTAGAGCCTAAGTAGCTACCTATTAAAGTTAATAGTAATCTAGAATAGCCTATATATAAAATTCTAGATAGCTGTCTTTATTAAAATTACCTTTAATACCGCGCTATATAAGTTACTTATAATTCTAACTCTACCTAGTATAATACTATAGGCTTTATTAACACTCTCTATAAGGTAAGAGACTTTTACGTAGTATACCTAGATAAGCTAGAGCTACTATTATAATTAGATACTTAGATTAAGACGTATAAAAAAGAGAAGACTCTAGAGAAGATAGTAGAGAATTTAAAACCTATAAGAGTAGAAGATACAAGAGTAACATAAAGGCGCTACTAAGAAGAAAGCTTATAATAAAGCCGCCTTATAGACGTAGAAATAAGCCTCTTTCTCTCTAGAGAGAAGGTAGTAGCTATAAAAGCGCTTCTAGTTTAAAACTAACATAAATATACTTACTATAAGCTAAAAGAAATAGTTAAGAGTATAACGTAGAAGTTTTAGAAGAAGAGAGACCTAGAAGGCGTATTTTAGAGCTTAGAGACAAGCTCTTTCTATAAGAGGGGGTAATATAATAGTCTAGTTTAGAATTTACCTTAGGTTATATAATCTTAGGTTACGTAATTCTATTACGTAACCTAGCCTAGCGCCTTAGCGCTTAGCACCTCTATATATAGAGAGCTCTTAGAGTATTCTTCTACTTCTTATCTTTAGATAGCTAAATTTAACTTAACCTACTCTACTAGTACTCTATTCTTACAGCTTATAGAGATAGTACTACCTATAGCTAACTTACCTAGCTAGGTATTTTAAGATGCTTATAGTAGTAAAGACTATAAACCTAGCTCTTATAAATACTAACTTTATTTATTATCTAGCTACTTTTTAAAATAGCTATAACCTAGTTACGTAGTAGCTAGCTACCTTTATACTATACTAAGAGGTAGTTCTTACTTATAATAATAAGAAATAGTAGAATCTATATATTATCTACTACTCTTACTATTATAATTACTAAAATCTACTTATAATTATCTAGTTAAAAACTCTTTAGTTATAATTATCTCTTAGAGCTAGTAACTACTACCTAAGATAATATTATTTCTATTATAAAGCTAGATTTATTAAAATTATATATATTTTTATTAGTAATACTATACTTTACCTTTATATTACCTACTAGGTTAAACTATATCTAAATAATTATAGAATCTTTTTACTTTACTCTCTAATAGTTATACTTATAATTAAGCCGCGTTTTAAGCTTAGAATAGCGCGTAATAAAGTTATTTAGCTAGTTCTTACCTATAATCTTTTTATCTTACTCTATAAGTAGTATATTAGCTATATCTTAAATAGTAGTAAGCTAAGAGGTAAATTCTTACGTGTCTAGGTTAAGTATATAGTTAACTATTACCTACTTCTTATTCTTTATAAGTTTTACTAAATTAGGTATCTTTTCGCGTTATAGTATTGTTCTAGCGCGTCGCGTTTATAATAACAATAAGAGAATATAGTAGATTACTATAGCGCGTTACTTACTTTAAATTTAGCTAGCCTAGATAGCTTAAATCGTAAGCTATATTCTAGCTTCTTAAGAAGACAACTTAGTATTAGTAGATAGACTTATAGTAGTTAAGATAATTATTAGTAGAGGCTTAGTAAAAGTAACTAGCTCGCTTATATAACTAGCTCGCTTGTAAAGTACGTTATTAGTTAATTTTTCTTATTAAGAAATTATAGGCGGTTTAATAATATAGTACGTTACTAAGAAAGGTTATTTATACTAGGGTACTAAAAACTAAGCTAAGCCTAGTCTGTCTATAGCATAAGAGAGACCCCAGAGTCGTGACTTGCACTGCTGCAGAAAGGATGCAACTGCATCACGGTACGCCTCGTACCCGTCTACATAGGAGACATGTCCGTGGAATCACAACGAAGGAGACGACTCCAGGTCGTGTAGCATCAACACGGCCCTTCAGCTCCGCCATGGTTTGAAGAAGGTTTGCGTCATTCTCCCCGACAACGAACAGCGCTCTCTCAACCACATCGCCAAGCGCAGGCGCCAAAGGCCTCAGGTCAAATGAGGGCGATGTTAATACGTTGACGCATGCCGCAAAGCCGTCGACGCTCGTCGTGCGCATCACGGCTAGCAGCCTCTCCACCTCGGCCGGGTTCTCGTCTCTCCAACTCTTTGCGAACCAGCGTGCCAGCGTCTGCTGAATGATGGAGTCTAGGCTTCCTTCCCGTCTTGCGGTATTTACGCGGGAAGCGAAGACGTCCTCGGTACCAGCATTAATGGGCGAGCAAGAGATCGTGTCGCATGCGATGAGGTTCTGGATGGTCCTAGGGAATTTCGTCGCGAAAACGATGCCGGTCGCCGCTCCCATCGAGACACCGATCCATGCGAACAACTTCGGGATGCCCAGGTAATCGATGAGATGTTTTGCGTCCTCCGCGAGCGAGTCGAATGTTGTGGTATGGAGGTCATGAGGCACAGAGGACGCACCGTGGCCTGGCTGATCGTATCCCAGTATCCTGTATCCTTTCGCGCTGAGAACAGGCACTACTCTTGCCCAGGTCTCGTACGGCGCGCATAGCGAATTGGACAGCATGACGACAGGAGAGTTTGGCGATCCAGAAAGGTGATACGACATTCTCCGGCCATCAGGCAAGTGGATGATGGAAGCCATTGTTTCCATGTGGCATGTGCGACAAGACGGAGCAGCACAAAACCCGATAGGGAGCACTCATAGTTGGACGGTTTAATGCGCAAGTCAATAATATCGTCAGCATACCTTGGAATTATACGGGTCACGTGCCGGAGAAGCAGCTCGACCCGCTAGTTTAGCGCCGTATGCAAGCTTCCCCGCACCCATTCTCATTTCAATCCACCACACATCTCCACACTGGATGCATCTTTCCTGTAAGGCATCCATCTTCGACGTGGTGGTAACTTGTATCCCATGGAGCCTTCTACCAAGCGACGACGTGTTCCTCAGGGACTCAGGAAGCGTTCAGAGCGGAGTTGCGATTACTGTAGGAAGGTACACGATCATGCCTCGCTCCCGTATTCCTAGTGGCAGTCTATTGACATTGCGCCTAGCATCGATGCAAATGCGAACCAATCCCAGACCAGGACACCTGCTCAGCATGTCGCCTGAACGGAACGGCATGTGTCTACGCTACACCCAGGAGAACACGCGTGTCAATCTCCCTGGATGAATTGACGGATCGGTATCGATGTCTGGAGGCCATCGTGAAAGGCGCATTCCCGAATGAGCCAACAGTAACGTCGGAAGAGCTTGTGCGGCTTGGTATGGCCAAAGGGTTCTCCATGCCGGATTTGTCGGATAGATCGGCTGTTCGTCCGGAAGATGTGCTGGTGATGAACCCTCCTACGAGGCGGGAAGATCACTCATCACCGGCTACCGACACGATTCCGACGTTGGAAGCCGATTCTACGGAGGTTCCCGAGTCTCCCTCGCTTGTTCGCGATACTGCAGGGCAGTCGCATCACATTGGCCCTTCAGGCAGCCTCGCGTTCTTCGCTGAACTGAGGGCCCTTCTGTCCTCACGTCAGACAGCAACACCTGGCCTTGGCCTACCCCCGTCCTCTTCCTTTGTGCGAGATGATGCTGCCCAAACCTTGGAAGCAGCTGATCACCTCGATACTGAAGATGGGTATGCCGACGGCGCGGATCTGGCTAGGCCTTCACCCGGTTCAGCCATCAGTCCCTCCTTCAGCAGGGAGGAGGACCAGCGCTGTATATCTGGAGTCACAGAACATATTCCTCCAGCTTCCATCATGATTGGACTCCTACAATCGTTCTTTGAGCTAGTGCATCCGGATTTCCTGCTCTTTCATCGGGCCACTTTCGAAGAAGAGTTTGAAGCATTTGTGCTCGAAACAGCGTCCACCAAACTTGCGCGCGTCGACCTGGGCTGGATTGCGTGTCTTCACATGATGCTTGTATTTGGAAGCCTTAGCGGACCGAATAGCGACGACGCCGAATGCCGCGCATTGAGGAAGAGATCACTCACTGCCGCAAGATCCCTTCTGCCTAGACTGGTCTCGAAGTGCTCGCTTGTGAACATACAGGCCCTTATGCTGATTTCATTCTATCTGCACAACCACAGCGAGCGCAATGCGGCGTGGAACCTCATTGGAACCGCGATTCGCATGGCGCTGGCACTCGGCATGCACAAAAAAGAAGTCGGCCGTTCGTTCCGTCTCATCGAACGCGAAACACGCAAACGCGTCTTCTGCACTCTTTATGGATTCGAGCAGTTCTTGTGTACCAGCCTGGGCAGGCCCAGCGGGTTAGATGCTCCAGACATTGATGTCAGCGCGCCACGGAACGGTTTCTTCGATGGGATTGGAATGGGTAGCTCCTTCACAAAGCTCGAGCTTGACTTACAAGCAATTCTCGCATCGGCCAGAGCACCATGCCAGTCGCCGAAGCACCTTCTTGAGGCTCTCAAGATTTGGGTGGACAGTATTCCATCGCACTTCAACCTCTCGGCTTGTGTATCGATATCCGACCTTTCTACACCTTCTTCGACCCCCAGGACGCTGTCACTTGAACCAGCAATCGCGTCACTCCAACATCATAGCTCCGCATATATCAGATCGGTCCTTCTCTTACATATTCAACACCACTACGTGGCGATCCTAGCCACTCGATCACTTCTCCTACGCTCGGTAGCCAGATGCTATGGAGGCTCTAAAGCATCAGTGGAAGATACAAACGCCGACAGGTCATTCTCTGAGAACAGCCTCAACCCGGTACATGCCTGTGTCTATCACGCATGTCAACTTGCCGCCTTGATTATATTAATGCACTCATTCCACGTATTAAATGGTGTAACTGGTCTGGACGTCTTCTATGGGTACCAAGCGGCGATGGTACTTCTTCTGCAGCTCTTGCACCCCCAGCCAGCTGCTCAAAGTGGTAGCAATTCTCGCCCTTACTTGACCGATATCATTGCGCGACTTCGATCCGCAGTACGCTCCACGCGCAAGTGCGCCACAATGCACCGCTTTGCTTCCGTTATGGAGTCCTTCGCGGAAGCTGTCATGAGCAATCAGTTACGCTCGACAATTGAGGAACACCCCCACGATCAAATCGGAGCGACTTCCTCGCTCCAGGATGGCGCCGTGCAATCTTCACCTCTTCTTTTAGGCTCACAGCCCCCTATTCGGCACGCGGAATACGTCGCACTGGAGGGTCATAGATATACGGCTACGACGCGAACTCCGCCATTTCTAGCATCATTTGATGTGAACGAGTCAGGAACACTCTACGGGCGTTCACCGTTGAGCAATGAACAAATACGACATGCGATGGGGGAGTGCACAACGTTTCTCGGAAACGCTCTACCGGTAGATGCCTTTGATCACTCATCAGCGCTTTCAGACGTCCCATATGTGCCCAACTATAACGACTTGCTTGATTGGGCCAACCTTGAGTCGTTCCTCGCTGGCGCAAACTTCACGTAAAGCAGCGCCATAACGTCTCGCCTTGAGCATCTGTTTTATTCCACGCTTATCACAGCCCTCACATTAAAGAGTGTATCTGAAATCCGGATGTCTCTCTCCCAATTTCGCTTGCTCGTCTTCCGGAAGACGTCGCAGATGGTCCCTCTTCCCTTGTTCTTTGGCTCTGTTCTCCCAAGCACAGAATACCCACATACAGCAAGAGGCTATGATACCTGAGAACGAGAATGCGATACAAGTTCCGATACCTGGATAGTACCTGGGAGCATCCTTCTTTGGAAAGACCAGGGAAGCCACAATGCCGCCAGCTGAGCCAAACCCGGCTCCGAAAGCCGATGTTACACCACGCTTCGTTTCGCCAACTACTTGGTTCATGCTACTCGGCGTATTAGCGCTGTCTGACACGCCCGGTCCCGTGGACTTACCCCCAAGCAAGAACCAGTGGCTGACAAATGTACGTTCCTATGGCGGCGACGTAGATTCCAAAGTATCTCACGCCGCTCTTCGTCACGAGCATAACCAAGAGGTTCCCTACGATGGCAACGGTGAATCCGGATACGCAGAACGGCCCACGGCGGCCCACCTTGTCAGACCATATCCCCACGGAAACGGAAAAGATTCCAGATGCGATCCGGACCGGTGCGCTCAGCAGGTTTGACTTGACATCGCTCCACCCAAACGCCGACAGAATCGTCGGCTGGAAAATGGAGATGGCGTATGCCGCAACAGTCACCGACAGGTACAGCCAACCAGTGCAGAGTACTTTCCAGTCTGAAAGCGCTTTGAGCGCACCTCTAACGCCGATCTTCTCGCCACTGCGGCGCCGGTCATCGGCGGAGAGACGCTTCATGAGCCATTCCTTCTCTTCTGCAGGCAGGAAAGTCGATTGCTCCGGAAACGGAAGTAGAAAGAGGAAGGATACCACAGCCACAAGGCAGGTCATTGCACCCTCGATGAAGAAGATCCACTGCCACCCAGAGTATCCCGCTTTGCCGTCCAGCGAACCAAGGCCGGCGCCGAGGAGTCCAGAAATGGTTCCTGCAATATCGTTTGACACGAAGAGCCATGATACGCGAGTGACGAGTTCGTGCCTCCTATACCACGCGCCGAGCAGATAGATGCATCCTGGCAACATGCCGGCTTCGAAGACTCCGATTAGAATGCGGGCGGCGACCAAGCCAGCATAGCTCTGCGCGAAACCCATGAACGTTATCGTCACTAGAACGTCAGCAGAGCTGTTACAATGTTCTCAGGTCGGCAACCTACATCCCCATCCCATGCATAATCCAGAAATATAATAGCGCGGCTTAAGACGACTGAGTAGCATGTTGGATGGAACCTCGAAGAGGACCAGCGGGATGTAGAATACTGGCCCCGTTTTAGCAACTTTCGCCTCGTTCGGCCTCTACAACCGCGTCACTATCACTCACCCAAGACGGCAATGTTATACTGGTAGCCTTTCATGCCCAGATCTCGCTCCATGTTCCACAATCTAGCGTTTCCGATGTTGACCCTATCAAGGAAGGTCGTGGTATACAGCGCCATCAGAACCGGAAGCAAGCGATAGTCGATCTTGCGGAGCACCTTCTTCGCTTCGACCGGGTCTGTCCGGTCATGGGGGTTCTCTCCCTCATCGACGTTCTCAATCTTCTCGATCGCATGTTTCTCGGCGTCTCCGACTGGAATGCTCATGATGGGCGAAGCGTAATCCAGGATCTTAACAAATTTGGCTCCAATCAAGAGTTTGGAGGTGTTAACAGCGGCACGAGCTTCAGGATATATGCGTTGCGATAGCAAAATGTGGCGTTGATACTGCATACCGGTTTCTAACAAAACCCGCGTACTTTGATCTGCATACGACCCAGTTTGGTAGCGCAATGCGGGGTGAACAGGGAGCGATGCCCCGCAAAACGTCGTAGCGCGCCGCTTGCGTGCTCCCGGATGGGGTTGCAGGCTTCCTGCCGAGGCGGGGGATGCAAGCTTCCGGCGGCATCCAACCTCCACCGGACGCCACTTGCGGACTTGATCGCTAGACTTGTCTGCCAACGATGAGCAACGGATCACTCTCCAGCAAGATACTAAAGAAAGCCTAGGAGTATATTCTCTTTTTGATATAAGAGCTACACCATCACCATCTCGTAATACTCCACCGACTGAATCGAGCTTTTTCCAATCACGTTCACCCGCACGTCTCATCATGCCTCGCGCTGCGGTACCGAGAAACATCATCATCGTTGGTGCGGGCATCGGGGGTCTCGCAGCAGCCCTCGCCCTTCAGACTGACGGGCACAATGTCACGATGCTAGATTCCTGTTTCGAGTTCGCCGAAGTATGAACCCCCCGCTACCTCGTCGACATCAACCCACTAACCCTCGCAGGCCGGCGCAGGCATTCGAGTGCCGCCGAATAGTGCACGCCTTCTCTTGCGGTGGGGCGTCGACATGGCCAAGATGAAGAAGTCCGTCTCCAACGCATATCACTTCGTGCGCTGGGCAGACGGATCCACGATCGTCCGCATCCCGTTCGAGAACATCGTCGAGAACCACGGCGCGCCATATTATCTCATTCATCGAGCGGATCTCCATTCCGGACTGCTGGAGGCTGTCAAGCGGGCGGGTGTAAATATCGTAACCGGCGCGCAGGTGGTGGACTACGACTTTGAGACGCCGAGCGCGAAGACGTCCACCGGACGGGTTTATACCGCTGATCTTATCGTCGCATCTGATGGTAGGCTCCCCGTTTCACATTGAGTCGAAAGTCTGTTGGGCTTATATTTTCGGTCAAGGCATCAAGTCCATCGCCCGTCCACTTCTCACAGGGCAACCCGACGTCCCGCGCGACACAGGAGATGTCGCCTACCGCATTCTCATTCCCGGCGCGGAGCTCCTGAAGGACGCCGATCTCGCGCCGCTCATCACTTCCCCAGCGACGACGTCCTGGTGCGGACCAGACGCGCACCTCGTCGGCTACCCGATCCGCGACGGCGAGCTGTACAACATCGTGGTGTGCGCGACTTCGCGCAACGAGACGACAGACGAAGTGTGGGTAGTCAAAGGCTCGAACGACGAACTCTGCCAACGCTTTGCGTCCTGGGAGCCGCGCGTGCAAAAACTGTGCAAGCTGACGCGGGACTTTATGAAATGGCGACTATGCGACTTACCGGTGCTCACGCGCTGGGTGCATGCGTCGGGTAAGGTATGTCTGCTGGGGGACTCGTGCCATCCAATGCTTCCGTACCTTGCGCAGGGCGCAGCGCAAGCCGTCGAAGACGCCGCAGTGCTCCGCCAGGTCCTCGCGTCTACCCAATCGCTCTCGTCGGCGTTGAAGCAGTATGAGAGCATTCGCATGCCGAGAGCAAGTCTAGTCCAGGCGAAAACGAGGGAGCATCAGTATATTCTGCACATTGACGATGGGGAGGAGCAGAAGGTCCGGGACGTGTTGATGAAGAGGAACGAGGAGCAGAATCCCGTGTTTTGGGGCTGGGACAAGCGCAAGAACTGGCTCTTCAGCCACGATGCAGAGGTCCTTGGGCACGAGGGGGCGAATTGGAGGACGAGCGGTAGGGAGGCCAGACTGTAAATATCTTGCTTAGCCTACTCCCACATAGCGAAGTACATATGTACAGCCTCCCAAGCCCGTCTTTCTACCTCGCCTTTCCCCGAATCAACGACGATGCATTCCCGCTCTTCCATCCCTGGATCTCGTCAAGCGTAAGCACATACTCGCTGCTATACACGCTCTTGAGGAACTCCACACTGTTCCACGTGCCGCCTTGAATGAAGTCCCCGCTCCAGACACAGAAGTACACCCAGTCGGCCTGGTAAGCCTGCAGCTGCGCGGGATCCATAACAGACCCGATTTCCGCCGCGGCGATGATCTTCGTGTCGTTCGTGAGCGCGAGCAGATTATTATACGTGGCGGAGATAGGCTGGCAAGCGCGAGGACATCAAGTTAGCAAATCGGACATTCTCGCTCCCGCACGTGCTGCGGTATGTAGGAAGGTAGGTAGGTAGGTAAGTAGGAATGAGAACTCACCCCATGATCCCCCTGCGCATACGTATCCGCGCTCACAAGATCCACCACATCATCCCCGGGATACCACTCCGGCGCCACGCTATTCCACTCCCAGACCAGATTCCGCAGCCCGTGCACATTCGTCAGGCGCTCGTACAGAACACGCCACAGCTGCTTCGCGGGCTCGGGCCCCCGCGCGCCCCACCAGAACCAGCCGCCCTCGGCCTCGTGCAGCGGCCGCCAGATCACCGGCACGCCCGCGCTCTGCAGCTTCTTCAGCTGCGCGGCGATGGCGTCGATGTCTTGCATCAGCAGCGTGTAGTTCGCGCCCGCGGGGTCGGCGAGCGCGGCCGCGACGTCGAAGTCCGTGGCGTCGGTGTAGAAGCCGCTGTACCAGGGATGTTCGGGCGTGTCGTACAGGCCGGCAGGCGCGCCCCAGTGCCAGCAGAAAGTCACGATGCCGCCTTGCTGCGCGAAGGCAAGCGCGCTGTCGACGTCGGAGGACACGGCGCCGCGCGAGGTGCGCGAGGCGGTGTAGTCCATGAAGTCGACGCCCAGGACAGCGGGGGTCTTGCCGATGTTCTGGGTGACCCAGGCGAGGGAGGCGGGGTCCTGCTGGCCGGCGAGGATGTGCGAGCCGTAGACGCTGGCGAGGTAGGCGAGCAGGGCGCTGGCGTCGCTGTTGGCGTTGGGGGTGACGGGCGTGGGGGTGATGCGGTGCGGGGCGCGGGGCGCGCTGGGCGAGAGCGCGATGGCGTCGATCAGGTACCAGCCCCAGTTGTTTTGGATCTGGATGCTGTTGGAGCCCGCGGCGAGGAGGACTTGGCCTGCGGGGACGGTGGTCCAGGCCGTGGTGGCGGGGAGGGATACTTGGGAGCCGCCGGCGTTGTTGAGGACTATGTAGGTGTATTTGTCGCCATAGGGGCCGTTGTAGATTATGCTGAGGTCGTAGAGCTGGGAGGTGGTGCTGTTTATGGTGAAGGTGATGGAGTCGGTGGATGTGTCGAAGCCTTCTATGTAGCCGGTTCCTGCAGGGGGGTTAGGTTGGGTTGTGGCAGAAGGGGACTGAACGGACCTGAGAAGCCGGCGACCGAGGTTCCAACCGTGACACCAGATAGTGTTGCGGACTCTGCTTGATAGGTAGTTGTTTGCGCGACTCCTGCACTGGCAATAGCCAACACGTAGAGCACTGATTTCCCAACCATTTTGTCCTACGCAGTGGTAGCCCGGTAACGAGCTTCTCCAGATCATCGCTGCAGGATCCGACGCACAATATATACAAGCCAGAATATCCATCGCACGTTTATGGCCTAGGAATATAGCTCCGCCTCCGGAACGCAGAAATGAAAGCCTTCGAAGCCGCGTCTTGGCTGTGTGAAATTCCGGCAATAGAACGAGGGCGAGGCGCGACGGGCCGATTCTGTATAAGGCCGTCGGAACGAGTAACAATCTCGAATAGATTGCAGCACTATAGATTACCTGGGGATGCGACCGAAAACCCGGAAAGCGAGGGAGATTATGAGGCGAACGTATAGACGTACACTCTGTTAGTTAGACACGGATCTCGGAAATATCTCCTCCTTTGCTCCCCTTAGTAAGATGATCATTACTCTCGTATTATCGACGCCAGACGATGCAAGCGTTAGGTTACCATCGAGATATGGCATGATGGAAAATGCGCACCCATGCTCTAGTCTGCGCGCTAAATGGCGTGTCTCACACCGAAGACTCCCCATAGAAAAAGCAGTGAGGTCGTCGCCCAGCTCGCTAAAAGACATAGCCAGATTTTATCTCCCCCCAGGTCTTGAACCGCAGTCTAGGTCTTGTGAATGGCCTTCTGCGACCTACAACTTGGTTCGCATGTCGAATCCAGCTCTTGCAAACCGCGCGCCTGCCATCAGAAGACTGGCAATCAGCAAAGCGGCTCCCGCAACAAACCAAGCACCCTGCCATCTCTCCATGACAGCGTTCATTCCACTTTGAGCGTTCGCAACGAGCTGGTTCCCGCCCGTCCTAGCCGCACCAGCAATCGGGTTTCCGACGAGCGCACCGATAGCCGCGACTGTGTAACCCATTCCCATTCGCGTTCCATACTCGGACTTATCATGGGTGAGACTTGCGATAGTGACGGCGGGCAGCGATACGAGGCCTCCGGTGACGAAGCAGAAAGTGGCGCCGATGACGATGAGCCCAGAGAGTGTGTGTACGAAACGCCAGAGGAAGAGGATGATGGAAGTGGCAAAGCAGCACGGGACGAGAACCGCAATACCGCCGTATCTTGAGGGGTTAGCAACACATTCGACTGTTGATGGGAGTGCAGAGGGGTGCTCACAAGTCGGCGAGGTAGTTGTACGGAAAGCGCCCAAAGAAGGTCGCAGCATTCATGATGCTGACAACATTGAAAGTCATGTTCTCGTCAATACCGAGCTCTAGCGCATAGCTCTGGATGAAAAAGTACGGTACGTAGGTTCCGGCCACCATGAAAGTGTATCCTGATCTTTGTTTAGCAAACTTGCCTGGCTGGTTAAGGGAAGACTTACCGAGAATGAAAAGCGTGTAAGACGAATCGCGAAGCATTTCGAACTTGAACAATGGTCCAGACTGTTTCTTTTGAGTGTGGGGTTTCAGCACCACGAGGCTTGTGCACAGTGCAACAAGCATGATGAGAGCCAGTGAACGCACTGCCCAGCCGAAGCCCACTTTGGCGAATAGCTCACGCATCATGAGCGGGTATACGACACCGGCTTTTATTTGTTAGCGCCTTTCAACAAATTAGAGGGGGATAGAGTGGCTCACCAATACTGCTTCCCGTACTCACAATGCCTGCAGCCAACATCCTTCTCTTCACAAAGTAGTACGGGATGATCGCGGCACTCGTAAACGCCAGCATACCACACCCAATTCCGACGCAGATTCCCTGGGCCAATACCAATTGCCAGTATCGCTCACAGAAACTCGTCATCAGCATCCCAACCACCTCGAAAGTGATTCCAGTAACCACGACAGCGCGCACATGGCCGCTATCGAGGAAGCGGCCAGCGAAGACGCCGATGAAGAGCGTGAGAAAGAGCTGGAGGGAGCCGATCCAGGCGATGGAGGAGTGACTGAGGTCCGGGAACTCGTGGGTGTAGTACGTCTCGAAGATGGCGAAAGAGTTTGTCAGTCCCCTCAGAATGGTCAGTAAACAGCGGGGCGTGCGAAGTGGCAAGTGCGAACGGACCAGGTGTTCATGAAGAGCAGCCAGCAAGCGAAGACCTGAAGCCATGCCACCAAGCCTCCATCTTGTCGAATTTCGGCCTCGATGGGGACGATAGCGATATCTACCGTCGCCAACGATTCTAGGCTCGGATCCTCCGTCTTGGGGGTAAATGATTCCTTCATGTTGTAGTCGTGGTCGGAAGGATGAAGGAAGGCGGGTTGGGGTGCTGCGTGGGCAGTGGATTCTTTAAACGCGAAGGATTGATTTGTGGGAGCTCGCCACTCAAGACAGGGGGAAAAGAGTGAAATGGAAGTGAAGGTGTTGAGAAGTTCCTGCGACTGACTCACCGTGCCCCGCTGGTGAATCGCGCTTTCCGTTTTGCGCGAGCTGTCTCACAAGACGGATGGGGCGTGCGCTGGGTGAGGAAAGAACGCCTCGGCCCTTTCCACTTCGCCTCCGCCGCCGTTACCCGATTCGGAGCTGTCATCCGAAAAACCACTCCTACGCTCATCATGATGGATGGTTCGCCACTCCAGCGACAGTAGCCGAGAGGCAGTGGTGGTGCGGCTAACGCATGTTCGGGGCACGGGCTTACTGTAAGCTTGACAGATCTGGAAGTCTCGCTTGAGAAGTTGGCAGATACGCTAGGGGCTATTACAAGTCCATTTGTCGAAGTATTTCGGCATCGGTAGCTGCTAATGCAGGTCGGATGCCTTAGATACTGTGGGCTATCGATAAGCCGAAGATCGAATGTAAGGCCACCCTCTTCGCCCGCGTAAATCCTCTAGGAAACCGCACGCCCATTGGGCCCTTGAGAACACATTCGCGGCTCAATTCGCCGTCTCCACGTTCTCCAGGTCCAGATCCGGAACAAGGCGGAGGAGCTCCTCCGAACTCACATTACCCCCGGTCAGGACAATGCCCACTCTGACGTGCCTCTTCAACGCCGCCATTTGCCGCTGGAAGTCTGGATTGAAGAGCGCCACCGCCAACGGCACGGCGGCGCTTGGTTCGATGACACAATCCAGGTTCTCGATGCCAGCTCGCAAGGCCTCCTTGATCTGCTGCTCACTGGCGGTGAAGACGCCACCCACGTTGCCGGGGCATTTGATGTGTTCCCAATTCTCCTCTCCCGCCAGGGACCGTAAGCCCTCGGCGATGGTAGGGGCCGGATCCATCTTCGTCGCACGTGCGCCCTTCTCGATTGCTGCAGATAAGCCGGGACCTCCCACTGCCGGCTCCGCTCCGAAGACCGTGACGCCCAGTGACTTGCAGACAGCTATGGCGCCGACTAGTAGTCCGCCCCCGCCGCTTGGGACGATGACCGCATCCAGCCCATGCCCCATGCCAGCCACCTGGTCCAGGAGCTCACGGACGGCCGTGGCTTGGCCCAAGACAATGTCTAGGTGGTCTGCCGGTGGAATCAGGGCCGCTCCGGTTGACTGCTGGACCTTCTTCGCAAGCTTTATCTTGGCGTCGTGGGTTGTTCCGGCGTGTAAGACGGTTGCGCCGTGTCGCTTCGCTGCGTCGACTTTGATGGGAGAGCAGTTTGAGGGAAGCGCGACGTATGTTGGAATGGGAAAGTTCTTCCTCTTGGAAGCTAGCTGGGCGGCATGTGCGACTGCCAGTGCATGGTTTCCTAGAGAAATGTCAGCGCAGAAAGACACATTCAGAAAGAAACAAACCGGTGCTGTATGCGACTACACCCTGCTCGAGCTCGTGATCGTCAAGCTTTGCGAGGAAGTGACTCGCGCCGCGGAACTTGAAAGAGCCGGTCCGTTGGAGGTTTTCGCATTTGAAGAAGAGCTCAATGCCTGCGACAGGGACGACGCGCGACAGATGCGGAGATACTTTGACGGGCGTCTTCCTGATCGCGGAATCGATAAGACGAGCCGCTTTATCGACGTCCCCGAGGGACGGGAGAGGGTAGCAAGACATCTCACACGCGTCTGTATGCGGGGCACCTAGGCAAGGTAGCCGCATAGAGATCGCGGACGTGTTATATGGAGTGCCGGAGTAGTCGGCGAACAATTGTCAGTGTAGGTATCGATAAGCCGCAACTTTCCAGGTGAGCAAGGGTTGTGCTTCTGGGGCGCCGCTTCCGTGGGCTGGATCGCTGTTTCACTCAATTTAGAAAGCGGTCAGATTCATCCCTGCTCACCTTCACTCGGCCGATCCTCGTCTTTCTCCTTCACGCGGGAACTCGAGAAAATGCGGTGTATTACCCCCAATTGGCGCCCTGGGGCGTATGCTGACAAGGCCATTTCGGCGAGGCGATGATACGCGTGTCAGCGCGATCGGCTCTCCGTGAAGGAACAAAGACTAAAGCATTGAACCGAGCAAGATGATTTGCAGGGAAAATCTAAGCCGATATCCCCTCGGGTCGATATGCTCTACCTAGGTATATTTTCTCGGATGACGTTCGTGGCGGAGGAGTTGGAAGGAGTGAGGTATCCTTCGCCGCCTCGACCGATCGCAACACTAACAACCGACGCCCTTCTCCAGCCCTTTGCATGCTTTCAAAACTCGCAAGTACCTAGGTACTCTCCAGGCCTAAAAGATAAAAAAACAATCGATCCAACCTTGGAACGTTGGAGCTCCCGAAGAGGAGGGAGGAATGAAGGACAGCAAGGAGATGGTGGTGCGCTCCTTCACATATTGAAGCCAAAGGCAAGAGCAAGACCCACAACGAGCCAGCCCATGAATGTGGCAGGCGGCCTGGTAGATTGCGCGGCACCTATCCTTCGGGTGAGATTGAGATTCATGCAGCATGTGTATGAGGGCGGGTCTCACCAGTATCCTGCGGCTGTCTAGATTCCGTCGCGGATGCAGTCCCGCTCGCAGACGAGCTCCCCGATGAGCCCGTCTCCGAGATTCCTGATGAAGACGGCGTCCGCGTTCCCGTAATGGCTGTGACATCCGGCGACTGGGGGTTATCGGAGATACAAGCGAAGAAATAGCTTTGGTCATCCGCAGCTGGGACCTTGTCCACGATGCATTCGCGCCAGTCCATTACGTCCCGGTCCGACTCGCAGTACTGCGTGCAATTGTTCCAGACGTGCACTTCGGCATCGTCGTTACAGCAGTCAGAAAGATTTGGTATGCGATCCTCCCAGTTGAACTGGCAGTACGGGTGCGAGACGTTGGCTTGGTTTCCCAACGCAGGCGCAACGCTGGGATTGCAGACACCCGGCAGTGCCGTTGGAATAGTTGCAATGGAGGAGATAGAGAGGTGCATAGACCCCGTTGCAGAGGCTGGGAAGCCCGTTTGGAGCGAAGAGGCGGCAGAAGTCATAGTGATGATGTTCGATGAGGCTTCGGTGATGGTGAGCTCGGATGCCGGTAAATGGTGAAGCCTTCCGAAACCCAAGTCTCTTATATGCAGGTGACTGCAGGCGATGTTGCTGCAAACAAAGGGAGGCGTAGGGATATCGAGATGCAGTGTAGCTGTGTAGCCGACTAACGGAGGACCGCGACTTTCGAAAAGGCAGGCACGGACCGCACGACAAATCGTAAGTGCGATGTTCCATCGTGAGAGGTATGTGTCGGATTTCTGTGGGGAGACAGATCGATGCTCGTTCCTGCAGCGTCAGCCCAGAGCAGTGCCGAGAAGTCCGGGCCGCCAGAGCCGCAGATCTTGGCCCGAAGCAGCCTCCTCTCGGGCCGCGCCCGCAAGTCACCATCCGAGCAGGCGCACCGCCACACAACGGGCTGGCTAAACGCCACGGATACTCGGAACAACCTTGGAACCCAAAAGCAAGCCCACTGCCTCCATGCGGTTTACTCTTTCCAATCTGCATCCCTCTGGAACAGTTGCGTATGCAAGGTGGCTTCCCGCTCCCGTAGCCGATGCTACGTCGCCGGGTACGGAACCCTAATGACCTCAGAAATCTCTTCCCGTGGCATGCATCGTGGGTGGTGTTGCAGGTACAGTCCCTGAACTCCAAGACTCTCCGCCGGCCTCCATCATCGATCTTCAAATTGAACACGGAAGATCTGCATATGCTGATGGTTTGGCGGCGTATTGGCTTTACCTATGCGGCAGGCAGTTAGGGCCAAACTGTCTCCTCCCCTTTCGGTTTTGTAGTTTCCACTCGAACGCAGGGAATTTGACGTCGCTGGAGTGAAGGATTGTGTTCGAATGCTTGGGGACGGATGAACTATTCGTATCCGGCCCAGACACGGGATCCTACGCAGTTGCCTTTCTGCCTCTTGGAGCTTCTCGAAGTGTATTTAAGGCAGAGGTAGAACGGGAAAGACGAAGGTGTTCCATCGGAGCTCACATCCACCATTCAGAGCAGCTCCTATACCACGAGTCTTGTGAATAGGGCCACTTGACCAAAGCATCCCCTCTTTTCTTCACCATGCGCGCCTACCAACTCCTTCCCGTCTCTTTTCTCGCCCTTGCGGCCACCTTTCCTATCGATGTTCACGATAGAGACACGGCAGGCGGCCACATTCTAGCCTGCAAGGAGAACTCCTGCGGTGACTGCCCTGGGTACGGTGTTGCTGGAGACGGCTATCCGCACTGTGTCATCTACCCCACCGACGGCAACCTCGATGGATATCCACGTAACCCAGCCAGATACCGGATGCAAGTACATTGTCCGATCTCCAGCGGGAGTGACCATCTACGAGGGCTGCGGCATTCCAGTCGTGGCCGTCACGGGGCCAGTGTGCCAGAAGGTGACGCTTGAGTCGACCTTCATGCTGCAGTTCTGTGAGGCGGTCGATCACGCTGCTATCACCCGTTCAAAGAAGCGGTCCGAGGAGGCGGTTGAAGAATGAGCAAGAGTGGGCAAGGCTGGACATGGCAGCTTCGGTGCTCCTTTAGGTTCGCCGAGCGTCCTTAGCTGTTTCGCGTTGTGAAGGTTGAGAAGCTGTGGCTGGAACCACCTGAATTGCAATGAGACGTCTCGTAAATAGGATGGAGCGAACCCGTGCATTTGGTTCAAGCTATCAAAAGCATCTCCTAGGTGAGTCGGCGTGAGAAGCGATGACTAGCCAATGCAATGGCGCGGTCGAAAGAGGCTGCAACACCTAATCGAGATGGATTGATGGTCTCGAGTGGACGAGGGATGAGAATGTGGAGAATGGGTTTCTGCAGTGTTGCGAGAGCGCATCAAAACATGCCTAAACCGTTTGTGGTAAGCCTTCCGCCGCCTGGTCTAGGCACCGCTTTTATCCCAGGGTCGCCCTCAACAAGAACTTCGCATATCTTTCAATCGAAGACCTGGGCAACAGGACACACTCTCAGGTGCATTTCACTGGTTGGGTCTCGCAGAAAGGAAGAGGGTAAATACGGCTGGATGTATCCCATTCAGCTACCTTGCATTTACGATGCATTCCGCCACCCAACTCGAGGTGCGTTGATCAACCTACGAACTCCATGTCCAAGCCAGTCAGGAAACCCATTTCCAAATCAACGTCCATAGGACCATAACGCCGGAAAGATTTTGACTATGCGCAAGCGACAGAACCGCAATGCCATCCGTCCGCGCTATAGCGCCCTCATATCTTCCTCTTCTTCGCGGCATGCCCATCGGCGCCGCCCTTCGGCTTGAAGGATTCAGCGTACACCTTGAAGAAGTCCTCCGGCTCCTGTGGATGATTGCCCGTGACGTTGACGAAAGCAGTCGTGGAGATGTAGTTGGTCTTGCCCTCCCTCACCAGGCTGTAGTACTCAAGCAGATACTCCAGCTCGCTGGGATCGCTGTCGCTCTGCGCCTTGAGGACCTTCCTCGCTTCGGCTTCGGAGATGTCTTCGAACTGCATGTCGACGCCAAGGGATTGCGAAGCTGCAGTCGCAAGCTCGCTGCCGGAGCACAGCTTCGGGCCGGTGAGAATCATAAGCTGGCCGCGGTGACGGTCGTCGAAGCCGTTCTTGCCTTGGCCGGTGAGGACATGAGCAGCGAGCTGCGCGACATCGCCGAGCGCGACCGGGGCCATGAGGTGCTCGGTGCCAATCGGGATGGGCAGTATGCCTTCCTTCTGGGCCTGCGGGGCATAGAGAAGCAGGTTCTCGGCGTAGAATCCGGCGCGGATGATGCATGGTGAGTGCCCGGTCGGCGTGCTCTTGTCGCCCTTCTGGGCAAGCGCCATACACTCGAGGTCGATGAACTCGCGGAGACGAGGCTGCTTGTTGCGCTCGGCGACGTCGGCACCGGCAGAGCTGATGAAGAGAACGTTGGGAACACCAGCTTTCTTCGTCGCGGTGATGAGCTCAGCTGCAATGTCGAATTTGTCCTGATGAGCCGGCGGGATGACGCAGATCGTGTCACAGCCGGAGTCCTTGAGCGTCTTGACCATCTCGCGCTCGCGGCCGGGCTTGTGTGGGATGACCTTTGCACCCATCTGACCAAGCTCTTTGGCTCGGGCGGACGTAGGATGAAGCGACAAGACACTCAGGGAGTCGATCTTGTTCTTGAAGTTGTTGTCCGTGAGGATGAGCTCGGCGATGAGGAAGCCGGTGTGGCCATCGGTGGCCGTGATGCAGATGTTGCGGGTCATTGTGCTCGGTCCGATCGTGTCTGTTGTCGTATGGTGCCCAGGCGGTAAGAGAAGGGGAGCAAGGTGGTTTGTTATGAAAGCGACAAGTGCGGTTAACTTTGTCCCTGCATAAGCGGCTCCGTCATTGGGCGATCACCGTGACAGCACGAGTGCGTAATCACGTGCCAGCGCTAGGGTTCGTGATACATGACGTAGTTCTGACCCTTCCAAAAGCAACACAACGCATTTCCTGACAGTTTGAGAGCATGGGTCTCTCCGCGGCGCGCGTATTCCTTTGGAGCATGTTGCGGGGAAGCGTCACATCCGGAACGCGACCCGGTTGATGCGAGTTGTCATGGCCCGTTCTCTTTCCGGATCCTTGCGGTGGACTTCGATCGCAACGGACTCCATACAGCGCTGAGGGGGTGCCTTCGTAATTTTCATACACAAAACGTAGCGTCGTCATAATGACCTCGCAAACTCTCAGAAAGAGGCGGAAAAGGGTGTTGCTCTCTACACAAGACAGGAACGGCAAGAGAGGGTTTGGCGGTAACACAAATCTTCGACTCTGAATGGAAACAAGGCAAGCAAGATGAGAACAGACGTGCGCAAGAGGAAGACAGAGGAGGGGTAGTGGACCAATGACATGGGTGCTAGAACGCCAGCAATGGCGCGGGTCAAGACAACGTTCGCATTCTCGATACGGAGGCGGTTCAGCGCCAACAAACATACCTCTGCTCTTCCGTAGCGATTTCTGGCTCTTTTGCGCAAGCCGCAAATCTCCATATCCCGTGTCTCCATATTCACGTAGGTCCGATACTGTGCACCGAAGGACAGGGCAGATACTCATGGTGGGTCTCTTAGCATTCCCTCTCGAGCGCAGAGACGTGATCACGTTGTTTCGGCCTCTAAGATAACAGATTGCGGGGACCGTGCTGCTTCATGACGGGCATCCACAGGGCTGTAGAGAACGGCGAATCTGTGGGTTATGGGGCCGGGTGGCCTTTCTAGGGGTCGGGAAGGGCCCCACCGAACAGCCGCTAATAAGGCGAAACCTGATGCAAGGTCAGCAGATGGGAGGTTGATGAGGGATGGAGGTGGATATGGTGACGAAGAGCCAGATTGCGATGCTGTGATTCAGCCCTGAACTAGCGAAGCGACTTGGCAAGCCACGCTGCAGCCACAGCTGAAGATAGGGGCAAGCGCCAACGTCACGAAGAGACGGAGAGATAGGCAATTGAACCCTTCGCTGGATTAATGGAAGCCCCGAACCGTCATTCTGCTCGAAAGCTCAGGAGGATTCGGTTATTGAGCTGATATCAGGAGGAACCACCGCCTTGCACGGATCGGCCCAAACCCTGCTGAACGGACGATGCGAACGCAGAAATCCCTGATCGCGATAGCAGCGGCGTGCTGCCTCCTCTTCCTCATCTCCCTCAACGCGCGCTTCGAGAAGGTCACTGCGACAACTCCCTTTCCCTTCTCCTTCACACGACACGAGGAGGCGGAATCGACTGGCGGATATCCGTACGTGAAGCCAACCCCACTGCCTTGGCATCCGCCTATACCCAGCAATAGGACGACATCAAAACCGCCCAATCGAGCCATCATTTTAGCGAAGCTCGAGCACCAAGACACATCCCGGGTTACCAATGGTCTTTCGGAATGGCAGTCCGTTATCCACACGGTTGACAACAGCTTCTCGAGGCTATATGCCGGTGGAGAGAGCACCGACAGGGGACGCATCGCGGACGCGTACCTCAGATACATCATCGACAACTACTACCGCCTTCCGACTACAATGGTCTTCTTGAATCCAGCACGCAACGACTACGCGGCCTCCAATTTCGATATCAGCAAGGCGCTTCAGGACCTGGATATGGAATTCATTCAAACGGCCGGCTTCGCCAGCCTGCGCTGTTCCTCCCAAAGCACCTGCCGCGACGCGATTCTTCCGTTCCGCTCTCCACCAGACGAGTTCCGGGTCCTGGAGGTTGCACTGCCAGCAGCGTGGAAGGATCTCTTCAACAAGACGGACGTTCCGGTGGAGCTTGCTGCTCCATGTTGCTCTGAATTTGCCGTCAGCAGAGACCAGGTGCAGAAGAGAGCAGTTGATGAGTACTTGAGGTACTGGAGCTGGTTGCACAAGACGAAGATGGACGACGACACGGCAGGCTTTGTTTTCGAGTATCTTTGGCATTTGATATTTGGGAGAGATGCGATGTATTGTCCAGAGGTTTCGCAATGTGAGTGCGATCTATACAGGCGGTGTTGAGGATGGCTTCGGCCCCGCCTTCCTCATCCCAACCACGGTCGCACCTTCCTTCTGGACCACATCAAGTGCCACGATTGTCTTTTCAATTTGCCTTCAACCCACTATGCGTCTCTCCTCCCTTACATACTCGAAACCTCAAAAAACCCTTGCGCCTGCGCCCGCATGCCTCAGTCAACCCCCGTCGAGAACTAAGGCGGACTCCAGTACTTTCAATTCTTCATCACAGCACCGATACCATATCCTCCAGACCTTCGATGACCTCTTTCGAGAAACGCAAGCAGTCAACCGTCTCATCGCTCGACCGGCCCAAACACCAGCTGATCATCGTCTTGAACCGATTCCCCATCGAGATCGCAGCGAGGCGCAATAGCTCGATGAGGATCTGCTCGCGTACCTCTCCGTCTGGGCTCAGTAGTTTCGGTCGATATCTCTCCAGCGGCTTCCACAAAGCAATCTCCAGGAACACCATCCCAAGGCTGTGTATATCGTGAACCACACCGTACTTGGGACGGGGCACGACAAACAACCGATCTGGGTGCTGGTAGAGGCTATCTGCATCGGGAATCCCGTTGCCATCGGTGAGAGAATAGTCTTCTTTCACCGCATCGAAGCCCACCAAGAATGCTTTTCCCAGCCCATGCGGAAACTTCTGTTCTACGCTGAGATGTTCGCGCTCGAAGAGGACCACATTATGCGATGCGATACTGTGGTGCGTAAATCCGACGCTGTGAAGAAAGAACACAGCGGTAGCGATGGACAATGCGAGTCGGAATCTGTCGTTGATAGGATGCGCAGCTGGCAGCCTCACACTGCCTTGCATCGCATTTATGAGCGATTTCAGCGTCGGGCAGGATCCATCCACTACGGGGAAAGGAAGTTGGTTGGCGAATCCAAAGTAAGGAGCTAGTGGGTCGCGATCGTCATGGAAAAGATGTTCGCACCGCATCAGGCTCACCGTCGTTCCGTCCAGGCAGCTGAGGGCGCTAGCGAGACGCAAGAGGCCGCCTTTCAGATCTTCCCACTGCTTGGAGTCCTTAGGGAAATGATGGAATCTGCTTTCAACCAGGAATGTCGCTCCGTTACTCTCCATCAACCGAAACCGGCTGTGGTCTCGCGGACCTCTGCTTTCTACTGGAAGATCGACCGTGCTTCTGAATAGCGCCTCGTCGAGAGCATTTCTGGCTCGATGGGTCACCGACTGAAGTTTCTGGATGCTGATGCTCGCCGCAAAGTTGGGAGAGTTGGTGGTAGCCTGCTGCTGGTCGAGCTCGGCCACCGTCTTCAGCTCCCTGGGAAGGCCAACCAACCGCAAATCCAATCGTGTCGTCCATTCGAACAGCTCCTGCTCAAGTAGCTGAATATCCTCTTCGCGATACCACCACAGAGCCTTGTTCAGCTCTTTGCGCAGCCGGCTCTTGCACTGCAATCGTTCTGCGGTGGCGCTGATTTTGGTCGCGAGCTCAAGCAAATACTCGGCACTTTTCTCAAGAAGATCTTCATCGTCCTTTGACAACTGCGACTGCCGCTTTGCCTCTCCGGCTGCGTAGTACTCGAGGAACTGTGAGAGCACGCGGAGATCCCATCTCAGCCTCGTCGCGAGGGATCGCGACCGCTCGGATGCATTTGCATACGAGTCAACGAAGTTATAGATGATGTTTCCCCCTGTAATTATTGTCTGGAAGATGTCCATCGCGGGTCTTGTGCATATGGCAGGAAGAGGAAACCGAGGGCGTAGCGGGGAGACGCCTTTGGTATCAGAGGGTATCAGCCACTCGCTTATGCTAACCATATTGGGACGCAGTCGATAAGTGCCGCAAGCCTAATTTGGCCTGGCCACTGCGGCTGAAAATCTACATGGTGGTCATAAGAAGCTGCTTCGGGCGCCTTGAACGAGATTCCTGAGGCCTAGCGCAACCTGTTCATGGCCGTCGACTTGGTGGGAACAAATTTAAAGAATCAACAAAATCACAGCATCGCTCCCCCTCCCGGATGACAACACGCCTGAAGACACTAGCGCCTCTCCTACGACGGAGCAAATACTGCGTTTGTTGTCGGCACATGGTGCAGCAAGTCTCGATTATCAGCAAAACAGCCACCCGCACATTGTCACCGGGTTCCCGGTGCTTGCCCTTCGGTCGCCATGGAGAAATTGAACTTGGAACACTGGAGCGATCTCTCTTATCAGCTGAGCCAAGAAGTCCATACCAATGTCTTCCCAACGGAGCTTAAGGTATCTTCTACGCATCAGCTCATCCTGTCTACCATGGGCTATGATGTGAAGGTGGTCGATTACGATGACATTCGATACTCCGAGCTTATCGGAGCGGGAGCCAACATGGTCGTCTATAAGGGAACGTACAAGGGGCGAGTGGTAGCTTTGAAGCGGATTCGGCCTACGCTTTCCAATCCCGAAGCAGCGTTGGGGACCGTCAACATGGAGATCAAGATCATGTCCGACGTCTTCCTCCGCGATCACGACAACATCGCTAAGCTCGAGGCCTTCACTTGGTCTCTGAGCGAAGATAGAGAGCTTACGCCGGTTCTCGTGATGGAGTTGGCCTGCCCAAGCTGTCCTACCCTCTCTAAATGCATCGAAACGATCGATATCCGCGACTTCACTACTAAAGCTTACCTTATTTCGGACATCATTTCTGCCCTCACCGCTATACATGCGGAAAACATCATTCACGGAGACCTCAAACCGGAAAACATCCTACTATTTCTGGGCTCTCGAGACGGCATCGCGAATGAAAGGGCACCACTCGTCGCTAAGATCAGTGACTTCGGATTCTGCGACGATAGCGATGAGCGTAAACACCCACTCAACATGCTAGCCAACGATGCGGCGGCAGGCGGGACTGAGTACTGGAACGCGCCGGAGTGTCTTACGGAAGCACCCGAAGACATCAAGCATTACGCCAGGAAGCCCGAGCGGGACATGTACTCTTTCGGGCTGGTTGTCTGGTATATATTGGGAAGCACGCCTCCACTAGGGTCGACCACAGGGAAGGAGTGGGAAGAATCGCGCGACGCCGTCATGAAGGCCAAGCTGAACAGCGACGTCCGGCAACGCTATATGTCCTGGTTCTCGAGCTCTCTCCAGATGGTGAGGCTTGAGGGAAGTGACGCCGCCATTGAAACCTTCGAGGCGGAGTTAGAGGAGGAAGTACCCGAGATCGACTTCGCGAGGATCATGATGATCAACAAAATCAAAAATGACCCTCTTTTCCGTACTCAGGTAATGTTTGATGAGCTATTGTTCAGGGCTGAGGGAAAGGTGAGGAAAATTTACCGAAGTCTAAGCTTTCTACTAACTCTTCCAGGTGTGCTGGGCCATTCGTGATCCTACCAGAGAGGAAATGGTGCCATGCCCGGGCTACCTTCCCGTGATGGTTCCCTTCATTCTAGCTAACACCTTACGTGAGCCGTCGGCAAGGCTTTCGGCTGCGGCGGCTTTCCCAATGTGCAGGTATGAAAGCCTACAGTCAGTCTACCGGCCAGCTGACAGTTCCAGAATTGTGCCTAACCGGAAACCGGCGAAGATCTATGACTGCTGTGACCACTTGAACGTTAGACCAAAGCGCGACGGTTGGCAGCAATGGGCGGTACGTAAATGATGCGTTGGATATGCATAAGAGCGGCCTAACCATCTCTCTTCAGAGCCGATCCACCGATCCCTTTGCGCCAAATCGGAAGCTACAATTGCTCAGTCCCAAAATGCATGAAGAACTCCGCAATGCATTGCACGACGATGCGGACGGTTCGAATCCCTCATTGACCGCAACCCTCATGCTGTGGACCATGTACAAACTGGGCTATGGAGTCCCGGGTGACGCGGTGCAAAGCGACAAGTACATGCGCAATATCCTCCGCCTTACCGAAAATTCGACCATCGCACGCGGCATTCGATCCCAATATATACAGAGCTATTTCAGGTCCAAGAACAACGAGCCTACCACGTTGGATCCTCAAGAGGCGCTCACTTGGGCTATCCAATCCCTGAGCGACGAGATAACCACGGTAGCGTCCGTCAGTCCACCGTGCATATCATCAGAATTGTTCGAACTTCGTATCGCGAAAGCCCTCGCGAATCTTCACGAGAAAGCCAAGCTCAGGTTTCTGCGACTGTGCTCGTCAGCGTACATCTACCACAGTGCTCGAAAACAAGCAAACCGAACGGACCCGCTTCTGCGGCATCCAGAAGCGGAAGACTCTGAGGATCTTCCCGATTTCCGCGGTCCATGGGCAGGCGTCCTACTTAGCGGCGATCCCGATGGCTTTGAACGGCTCGCGGAGACCGGTGCATTGCCACCCGAACTGCGCTTATGGAATAATAGCATGGACTCAATCCTATGGCTCTTGGCTGGTTATAATATAAGAGAGGGCGACGCCGCAAGAGGCTTCACCCAAGGTTTGCAGCAGAGGCAGACGGCAGCGCGAAATCTGATTCGAATATGCGCAGACTACGGCCTGGTCAGGCTGCTCAAACACCTTGCAGACAAGCACCGTGTCGATATCAACCAGAAACTGGACACTGGCTACAACACACTACAGGAAACTCTGGAGCAAGGCCGCATCAACAAGGCTGTTTCACTGCTGGCAGTAGGCGCAGACCTCAACTCGGTCGCACACGAGGACTTTGTTCGTCACGTATGTGGCGACGGTCACTGGGCGGCGATAGATTTCTGGACCCGGCTCAAAAAGATTCAAGAATCCCTGGTCGATTCAGGGTCCAGCAACTTTTTGTTCATACCCCACTACCGAGACATTTTCCGATTGTTCCGCGACGACAATATGGATATGACTGCTCAGCGCTTCGAAAGAGATGTGGAGCCGAAATGTGCGGTAAATACTCTGTACTTCTCCATTGTCGAGAACTGCTGGCATGCATTTCTGGCTCTATTACAATATGGAGTCGACTGCTCCGCGCCATGCATGGGTTCCTTGAATGCTCTTGAAACTTCGATCATCATGAACCGGCCTTTACTTGTCGCCACGTTGGTTGGGCCAGAATACGCCTCTCGCTTAGCGAAGAAAGACAATGGCCATTACTCCCTATTCCATCTCGCAGTTCTAGGGAATAAGCGTTTCAAGGCCGAGAAGCCATGGGTATACGGCGATCCCGAAGACTACAAAAGCGACAGGGAAGCTTCGCTGGCGGACGCGGGAAACCATCAACAGATCATCTTGGAGCTCATATTAGAGAATAAGTCCCCGCCCATAGACGGGCGCGATCGATTCGGCTTAACACCGTTCCTAGTAGCGGTGTTAGAGGACAACATGGTAGCCCTGAAGTGGCTAGAAAGGAACGGAGCAAACGGAAGCGAAGTAGCCCCCGACGGATGCACAGCTTTGCATCTCGCTGTTGCTGCCCAAAATGAGCGGATGGTCGATCACATACTAAGCGGATATCCGGATCTGCTCGAGAAGAAAGACCTCACCGGACAAACGCCCCTGCACTTCGCCGCAAGCCAGTCGTCTCACGATATCGTGCAACGGTTGTGCCAAGCCAACCCGGATTTCCTCGCCGTCGACATGCACGGAAGAACTGCCCTGCACATTAGCTTGGATCTGGGACAACTAAATGCATTTGTGGTCCTCGTCTCCCAAATCTGGGCTCGTTGCGATCGCACTACGCTCCGTGCCCTGCTCAATGCTCACGATACCTTTGGACGATCTTGCTACCACCTCATCGCAAAGCTGGGTCTCGAAGCCGTCCAGCACATCCGGGACAATGTCGCGATCAACGTCTTCCACCTCTACTGGCATCCCGCGCAAACACAACCAAACACCTGGTCCGCGGCGCACTTCGCGGTTGTAGGCTGCCCGGACCTGCTCGCCATATACACCACCAAAGCCAAAGTCAGCGCGCCGGGCTACATGGGCCTTTCCTGCCTGCATCTCGCATATCTCAAAGGCGACCTGGTTACTGTGCAGCTGCTCAATCACTGGGGCGCCGACCGCGAGATGCGGGACGAGCTCGGAAGGAAGCCCAGGGACCTTCTCCCTCCCGATGCGGAGCAATTTCAGGCGAAGAAGTTGAAGCTGCTGAACGCGATGAGCGCGCCGGCGAGGCTGGCTATGGAGGAAGAAATGGAAGCGAGGCTAGGTGTTTCGATTGTGGAGCGGAGAGCGATGGCGAATGCTGGCATGGCGGAAGAGGTGGGACTGCGGGAGTATCTTCCCGAGTTCACACCACCGAGCGTTCTTCCGGGGAGGGCTGGGGATGCCGAGGCGCTGAGTATGGAGGACGTGGAAGGGGTTTTCGGAAAGCGCGATACTGATTCTCCTGGGGCGGGTACAAAGAGGGCTTCGGTTCTCAAGAAGGTCCGAGACGCGCTGAGCTCGCGCTCATAGACGGGGATATTCAGCTGGGCAGCCATTCCTGTATGAATTTTGCTGGAGAACAGGAAATTGTGAAATGCGATGACAGATCGCTCACACCGTTGAGCATAGCGTATATACGTCGAATACAGCAGAAGGACTGTTAGAGCTATTTGTTCGCTGAAGAAAATCAGGAGCAAGAAATCGCTCCCACCTACTAGCACACCAGAACATCACCAAAACCCCCACTATCTCTCTAGAACCCTTCCCACCGTCCCACCCACTCCTAAAATCCTACCTCCGGAAATAATCCTCTCCAATACCCCTCCATCACGTGCCCCTCCCCCGCGCTTCCATTTCAGGCATCCCGCTCTCTGCCTCGCTCCGCCACACTACTAGATACTCTCACCGCCGACTCGTCTCGTCTGTTTCCACCCGCATTCCCGCTGCCTATTACACTCCCATCCCATCCCAATACATCACATTACACCCCAAGCCCATGATCTAACCCCGCCCCGCGCCGCGCCGCCTATCGCGTATCCTGAAACCCGCCATCGACCCCTCTACCTCTCACGGTCACCCAACCAACTTTCCATGCATACCCGCGGAAAAAGAAGCAGAAGCCGCAGAACCTGAAACGAAACGAAACGCATCTGCGCACATGCGCGTGCGCACGCTGCGCACACAATCCACGGGGCTATAATTATCCACGCGAAGGCGAGGGGGGCGTGTTTATCGACTACGTAGACTACGTAGACTGCGTACTGGGAGGCAAGAAAGATTACGCCGGCACGCCGAGGCGGAGCTGCGCGGTGGGCTGGCCAACGTGAACACGTGCGGCGCGGCGCGCTGCGCCGGTCTAGCTGCAACGGGTAGTGCGGTGTGCGGTATATACAGCACTAGTTCCAGACGCAGTGGTAGTGGTTATTTTGTTTTTGACTGTGCCGGAGACCGTTGAAGAGATTCTGTCGATCTCGCTGTCGCTCGCTCCACCGTAACCGACGATCGCCACGCTAGAAGCTTCACAGCACAGCCTCTTCCTTCCACCGCGTGGACCAATAAGAAGAAGAGAAGAAAGAGAAAAGACGATCAAACATTCGGGAATTTTCCAACGTGCCACGAACTCGGTGCCCTCGAGGAGAACGAAGAAGAAGAAGAAGCAGCTTGCGAAGAAAAGGTCCTGGCGTTGCTTCTGCTCACGAACACCCACATTCGCTTCACCCCCGTCGTTCGCTCCAAAATGCCGTCCTGCTGCAGGACCTGCGATCACCGCAACCACGACGTGCACACAAACCCCTCAACGCCTACCCTCCTAGACGTCTGCCTCATAACGCTGTGCTTCAAAACAGCGCTCCTCACATCGTCCCCAAACAGCACAGCCCTGAACGCCGTGCTAAACAACATCACCGACGCCGCGGAATCGACGTCGCACCCTTCAACATTCACCGCATGGTCGCCGTGTCTGTCGAATCCGCAGATCGCAGTGGTGCTGACGACGGCGAGCGAGACGTGCGGGAAGCCGACGTCGGCGGTGTTCGAACCTGTGTTGAAGTATCTGGAGAGCCCGCCGTGCGTGCAGCACGTGTTTCACGAGTACTCTATCCTGTCGCTGGCAGCGTCGAGTCCGGATGAGAAAGTGCCATGCGACATTATCGTCCTGCGGGCGCCGAATCCCGGCGTCGCAGGCGCCATCGGCAAGCGCTTCGGCTGGGACCCTAAGCGCTCGTCGCTCTCCTCACAGCTTGAAGCTGGAGCGTCCGCAGGCTTCTCTCGGCCGGGCGATCTCGTGCGCGACTTCTGGGCGTGGGCAGAACTGCATGCAAATGACCCATCGTCGCCATCCTGTAGTTCCGTTGGCAGTGGGTATGAAAGTGCAGACACAAGACCTGGGCTTATGAGCACCAACTCGTCCGAGAAGAACATGTCGCTGTTCTTTGCGGAGGACGAAGAGCGGCGGAATATGGAAGATGAGACGCTGATCATGCTCTTCCAGTGGAGAAGCCTTGTCGATGCGGAAAGGTTTAAGCATCCGCTGCAGAAGAGCTATGGGCAGAATGAAGAGGAAGTCAGTACCGATCTGTGGGATCGACATGTTGCGCATCCGGTGCGGCAGCTGCAGGGCATAGGTGCGAAGGCAGACATGTATAGGCTGGAGCTGAGGGGCGTTGAGCCTCGGATGCAGACCGCGAAGGCAGCAGCGGGGCGGGAGCGAAGCGGCAGTCGGAGGCTCAGCACCATGGCGACGGGTTTAGGCGAGAAGGTCAGTGGGCTTTGGAGATGATTAGGAAAGAGGTGGAGAGGCCGTCTGCTAGGGGGAGGATGTAATGGATGGTGGGAAAGCAGCTGGAGCCGATTGGGAAGGTACAGATTGGTCGATTACATCGGCGGCAATATCCGAGGAAATTGTATAGCGGTGAGCATAGAGTCGTCCATCTATTTGGGCGAATGGTGTTGGATGATTGGGCATTTAACGACCTCACGAGGGGGCTGGCTCTGATAATCAGGGAGCCAATTCCAAGCGCGCGGTGATCAGCCGCGTCTTGGTAAGGAGTGACCAGCCAAGGGGATTGTAGTATCGGCATTTCCTTGGTCGCCTGGGAATAATGATGCATAGACGCGCGGAGTCGGCGTCGGTGTAGAAGTCGGCGTTTGCCACCCATATCCATAGGTGGAGCAGGCATCCCACTCGTAGATACCTAACGACTAATGACGTCTTCACACATATTCAACGTCCAATCTGTGCAGAACATCTCAAGACCGTATGATGAGTGGGACGTTTGGCCGTGTGAAAACTTTTGTCCGGCGCTATGGAATGTTGCATGCAGCGTACGCGAAGTCCGTAGACTGCGGCAGTGGTCCACTGCCGTTGATCTGGGGAAGCCGAAGCAAAAGCGGATTTCGCCCCATGGCTTGAAGGATGACGAAACGTTACTCTCGTAAGGCCCCGTAAACATTCGATCGTGAGCAGCCAGCTTACTGCGCAATATCCGTCTCTTGTTCTCCTTTTCTTGGGATAAACTGCGAGAGAGGCTCTGCTCAGGTAGCCTCGCTAAATCCGGGCTCAGGGCTTACCGCCCCTGGCTAGGCTTCCCTATCGCAGGGAATGAAGCGAGCCGCTAAGCCCTGCGAGGCTTCATGCGCCAAGCGCTGAAGGATGTTGCCACAGCCTCAGTGTGGCGGCGCAACGTCATTGGCTAAGAAACGCGCGTCGGGCAAGGCGATGCCCAAGCTACCAGCTCGTTCATAGCGGCTGACGTTGTTCATGCGTTAACATTGACTTGGTCCTGATAGTAAGGTCACAGCCAGAGGCTCATGTGGGGGATGTCGCGGCACGGTCCGATTGATGGGCGAGTGTGTCCAAGGTAGCTGTGCGGTGAGGCTCATGCCTGAAGACGTAGCAGGGCGGTCGTAAGTCATGGCATTACGGGGTCGCCAATTGCACCGTTAAGGTGCGGCGTCGTAGCAGCGGCGGATTTGAGAGGTAGTATATAGGAACAAGATACCAGTTTCGCCTTCCACGACACACGTCTGCAAAGTCGTTCGCTTAATTGCAGAATGGCAAGCTCGGAAGCATATACCCACGCACAATTCGGCAACACTTCGCCAAGATCGAGTGCTCGGATACTCCGGCGTGCTTCAACACAGAAGGACCAGAAAGCAGTTGAAGAGGTGGATGTTGTTCAAGGACGTATCTTATGGCTTCCGCCAAAGGAAGAGCTTCCCGACCGTGCTGTACGAAGAGCTCACGGAAAGGGCGCTGTAGAAGAGGGAATATACAACCATCCGATAGTCGTTATTTCCAGGCCGGCGGACGACAGGCATACAGTCCACTTCCATCTTGTAAGCAACGCCGGTCCTTGGCGGGAGAGAAAAGTACTTACGAAGACAGATCACATCGTTCCAAGGCAAGCAGCTAAGCGAGATATACGGCAAGGCCAACGAGTTCCACGCGAGTCGTCGCTCATGGTACCTTCCAATAGCTCCAACGCCGGATCACCCGGATGCCACCTCCAAGAAGTCAAGGAAGAGATTCCCGACTCTGGATCTGGCTGGTGGCGCAACTCTCCGGTGGGACTCTTACGTGAACCTGAGGCACGTCTACCGGGTCGATTGGTCGTACCTGAAGGTGTATTATAACCCAGAGGCACCGCAACTCCAGACGTATCGCTTCGAGCGGGAATCGATGATCCGACTGCTGGCAAAGAGCAAGGTTCTCACCAATTATGAAGCCGGACCTCAGCACCAGAGGCCGACGTCGGTGCGGGTACAGACGCAACATCATGTCCATCGCGAGATCAGGGAAGCGCAATCGCCGAAATCGGACACATCTTCCGTCACTTCAGAATACTCTGTCCTCACTCCAATCCTTCAGTCGGATTTTGGCGTATCCAAGGATGACGGCACGCGAGACATTGAGCCACCGCCTAAAGCTCCACCGGACAAGAAAGAGGCGGGTAGGCGAAGCGTCATTCGGTACATCTTGCATTGCGTCTTATGGGTGCCGCTATTAGTGGTAAAACGGGTTTGGTACTGGTTAGGTTGGTGTCGGAATCCAGGAAGGCGGTGACGGCGGGTTGAGCAGTTCATGATTCAGTTTGATAATGGATTAGGTCCCCGGGGGTATCCCAGCAGGTCTCGCACAGAGATCGGGAACTCCACGCGTATCAATCCACTCTATAGTGTTCAAGACCCGATCACTGAACGCAGATCTCTCCTTACTACTCCGAATCTCTTTCGCAAGCTGGTATAAAATCTGAAGGCTGGCGTTGCGTTGGTCATGCAACGTGCCATCCGAAAGCACCGTCCGAAGGAAGACCCAGAGCGACTCGTTATGTAGGCGAAATTTCCCTGCGAATTCTACAACCCCTTGAACCACAAGCGCCCGGTCGGCGACAGCATCGACGCGAGGAAGGAGGAACGAGAGAAACGACCATCCGGAAATGTCGCTCGGATGCCTGTAACACCAATCTCTCTGGAGCATAGTGCGCGTACGAAGAAAATCTGACCACGAAGTGTTCATATGCTTTTGTATGTCGTCCACTGGGAGGCCCTCGAGCTTTGCGATCAATTTTCGAGCATATTGCCAAGCATAGTAGTTCTTGGGATGTCGCTCTCCGGCTTTGGAGACCGCATCAAACTCATCTTTCAGAAAAGTGGAGAGTTCAGCGTGATCCTCCGACCTGATAGTCAGACGACGGTTGAGCAGCCAAGCTCGGTGACTCCAAAGCGTGGGTGACTTTGATTGACGGTGGAGTGGAGAAGTAAGAATAGAGTTCAGGAAGACGCTCTCTCGCGCTAATGAAGTCTCGTAAGCTTTGCGATCTGTAACCTCAAGCGAGCCTCCTCGATGTACGAGCCTACGTTTCCGAAAGTTCGCGGCTGTGAGATGCTCCGGGTCGAAAAGAAGTATGATCCTCGAGGCCTCGTGGCATGTCTTGGTCGAAGTGAGCAGTGAGCATTTTAGCTGTGCCCTGGAAGGCAGTCAGAACGGAGGTTTACCATTGATGATGGGCCGTCAATTTTGATGTTGGCAAAGAACCGCTGGCGAGCCTCGACAAAGGCTAAAGCGAGAATCTTCTTCGGAACTCCGAGGTTTAGCCCGTCCTGCATCAAGATGCCATCGGGGGGCTGGATGGCGGGTGGAAGAACCTCAATCTCTAGAACTTCGTCCTCACGCTCTTTGAAGTAATTGTTCAGAGCATCATACGCCCTCGTCTGCAAGTCGCTGAGATCGGAAGCGGGTGGAGTAGCCATATTGTTTCCTAAGAAGGAGATAAAAGCGCATAATCAACGTAGTGCGATGTGGTGAGAGGTTGGTAGAGGAACCCAAGTTTGTTAGCGGGAGTTGATGCCTGAGGGGAAAGAGGAACCGACGCACGAGCCACAAACGGCACTAGGCCGATATTCACGGTATGACATAACGCCGTCCTCCACCACACAATGCACTGAAGAGTCCACGACCCGACTCCCAACCGCCCGCGCCGCGATGCCCTCTCTCCTACTCGTCGTCTTCACCCTACAGCTCCTCCTCCACATCATCAACACCGTCGGCGCGAACACGATCAACGAGCTGGTACGTCTCGATCCTCACCCCTCCACAGCCCTCCTCCTCCTCCACTATGCGGTCTCTGCGAATAACCACTGACATTCGTCTAGCTATGGATTATCTACAACAAATTCCCCACGCCGACGTCCTCGGCCGCCCAGAAGACGCAGCACCTGAAGCGCGAAATCATCCGGCTCAAGCGCGAGCTCGGCAACACGTCCGCGCAGGACAACTTCTCGAAATGGGCCAAGCTGGACCGACAGCATAACAAAGCGATGGCCGACTACCAGAAGCTCGGTACGTCAACCCCATCCCAGGGAACCCGCAAGGCTAACCAACCCTCCCCTCACGCAGACTCCTCCCTCCGCACGCACCAAGCGACCTTCAACTCGACGATATCGACGCTCCGCTGGCTCGGCACGCAGGGCCTGCGCCTCATCCTGCAGCTCTGGTTCGCGAAGTCGCCCATGTTCTGGATGCCGGCGGGCTGGGTGCCGTACTACGTGGAGTGGATACTGAGCTTCCCGCGGGCGCCCGTGGGCAGCGTGAGCATCAACGTGTGGGGAATCGCGTGCGCGAGCATGATCGCGCTGGTGGGCGAGGCGCTGACAGCGTCGTACGTGCTCGCCACGAAGCGGCCGGCGCCCACGGCCGCGCAGGCGGAGCCGATGGCGTTCGCGGCGGAGAAGAAACGGCCCTCCAGACCCTCTGCGCGGACGGCGGAGAAGAAGGAGCTGTGAGGGGCTATTCATCACCGGGCGTTGGAGAACACGAGGCATGGATTTTCACATTCACGTAGCGAGGAGATGGTCTGGGATAGATAGAGATATGCATGTCTCCCATCTATTTGACGCAATGCCGTCCTGGCTTTCGCTCGGACACTGCAACACGAGTGGGATGACCTTGGCAGGTCGTGGGGCTTCTTCTAGGCGCGCAAATTGAACTCGTGACCGTGGAGGAGAGCGGATCGCCGAGTCTTCGAAAGGGCCAGTCTACGAATCCTTCTGTCTAGAGAGGGAGATATGGCAGGGGAGTCATTCCAGCTGGCATTGAGCTGTGCAAGGGGAACTCTTCCTGTAGTATAAGCAGTGTTGCGGTTCTGCATCTCAGGTTCGATGTTGGGAGCCTGAAGAAGAGGCTTAGGGTGCGGGCGAAAATTGAAGAGAATCGTTCCGCCAAGATTTTGGCTCCGGGCCGACGTTGTTCCGAACCGCGTGTTGGATGCTTCCGCCCCTGAAGTCCTTCCCCTCAACGTCAGGCGACGTGCTTTTTTTTTAATTTACCCTTCGGAATTGCTTCCAATGCTCTGGTCTAATGCCAGTTCTGTCATTGTGACCCTACCGACCGAACAACGGAATGGTTCATTCAATATTCCCGAGTCTTCAGGTCGCCTCTCGCGGTAAAGCTGTACGAGCTGCTGGCGGGCATTCCAAATGCGTCTGCGGTTTCATATTGCTCAGCATGGCGAAGGCTACGTGCGGGGTGTAGTTTATAAATAGGAAGCACGCGTTTGAAGTCGAGTTTTTTGTTAGAGGAGAGGTTGGTGCAGAGGGGTGGAATCCCTAGAACCAGTTATAGCGGAGGTCGCAGCGCAGGAGGTGCGACCAAGAGGTGGTTAAGACGTAAGAGGCAGCGCGGAGTAGGTGGCGCATGGAGGGGATGTTCCTCGAGACTATTGAGGTCTCGGAGAAGTTAGCCAACACGACAAGCTCCACGGATATCCTGCAATGCGCCCTCATCTGTCTCTTCGGCGTCTGAGGCTTCGATGTCTGGTTCATTGCTTTCGTTTGCGTGCGAGTTGGCTAGCCGCCTCTTCTTCGCCTCTACTCGCTTTCTTCTCTTTGCCAGTGCTTTCTGAGAGATTGGACATGGTTGGGTAAAGTTCCCTAATGGGTCTCCGTAAAGCGTGCAGGAGCAGTTGTAGGTTCCTGTGTCGGTACGAAGATGAATGGATGATGGGTCGATGACTTTGAAGCGGGGGTGCTGAGGGGTTTATCGCTCAGCCGCTAGTGTCGGTGAATGGCGAAACTGGACCGGGCGTCTTCAAAGGCTGTTTTCCACGAAGCATCAAGAAGAGACTTTGATACAAAGTGAGAGCCCGTGGCTGTCTGCCATTTTGCATTGGCATTCTTGATTCGGAACACCAGTAGTGTCGTGAAGTCTGGAAGGTTTGGCGAGCGGCCGTGGCTAGTCTCTCCGGGGACTTAGCGCAGGGCTGAGGCTGGAAACTTCCGAAGCGCAACATCGTCGGAGGCAATCCGCGTTTGCAATTCGAATGATTGGTCTTGGGTATCTTTCCGAGCAGCCAATGACACCAATGCGAGTACTCCCGCCGTTACGCACGACATCGTCGCAGAGCCCGATGAACCTGATCAGCCAGGCGGGGAAACGGACGGCCTACCGCTGGATAGGGAAACTAGCTCGTAGGCGTCCAGATTTCTACACAAAGAGAATGTCTATCGGTTCCTATTTTTGGCTAAGCGCGATACCAGACGGTGGGATGCTGGGTGCTGTGCCGTACAGGCCCTGCGAAGAGGGGGCTGAAGCTGCAGCCATGCTTCCTTTGAGCGTAGCTGGCCTACTGCGTAGGTGTATTCGGGGGCCAAATGGGGTCATGTGGGGCATTCCTGACGGCCAGGGATGGGGTAGGAACGAAGGCGTGTGATGAGTGTACAGCGTATGGGTAGTAGTTCTCGTAAGTCGTGGTGTTGCAGTCAGAGCAAATGTCAGTCGATTCCCGCATGTCTAGCACGGCGGTAAGGGAAGCGAGCTGCGACGCCCTGGTGTGTATTTCCATCAATGACCTGCCGTGTCACCATGCAGCCACCGTCTCTCCGTTGCAGGGTTCGCTTATGTAGAGGAGGAGAGCGATGCTCACACGAGCTTCGCTCCAGCCCAGAGCCACGTGGAAGCAAGGGACGGAAAAAGCCGCGGCAAGTAATCCGGGCACAAGGCGGCGCCCGAGTATCGTGTGGTGTTTCTTTGTGCAACAGGAGAAGAGAGGTTGAAGTAGGGGGAGCCTGGGAGGAGTTTTGGGCGATCTCTCTCGGCTGCGAGCGCGCCTCGACCATCTGATCCTCCCCACCAAACAACAGCCCAGCATAATCACCACTCATCTCGTTTCCGCGACCTTCGCAAAGCTGGCCCCACGCACATTCATGCGCCGCGCTGTTTCCAGCTCGGGCTGCCATGCGAGGCCCGCCACCGTGGCTTGCGCGTTGCGGGCGCCGTCTTAAGGACAGCCGTGCGCCTTAATCCGAGTACCTGGGTCCCTCATCCTGCCATTGCTCGAGCATTGTGACTGTTATTCCATCACAGTCCCCTTCTCCACCCGGCCGCAGCGCACCCGCCGTGTTTCTTTGGGCGCAGAAGCCGCCATGTCCGGCCCACCGACCAGCGACGCCGACAGCGCCATCGAGATTGATCCCCAGGTACGTACGCGACCAACGAGAGTCGGAGACGGCCCGCGCCGCGCCCCCACTCCGCCGGGGGGACGAGGCGTGCTGCTCTCGCTCATCGCCGTCCCTCTGTGGCCACGATGAAGGCTGATGCGTGGCGTAGGTCCTCGACGAGGACGGCTCTTCCTTCGCAGACTTCACCGAGGAGTTGTAGGCACCCGCGCCCCCCGTCCGCTCCCGCGCCGTCCTGACTGGCCTCTAGAGACGACTTCACCACCTCCATCAACTCCAGCATAAGCAGGTACCCCTTCGAGAACGGCCGCCGATACCATGCCTTCAAGCCCGGCGCATACCCGCTGCCCAACGACGACGTCGAGCTCGACCGCCTAAATGTCGTCCACCACATGATCAAGAAGGCGCTGGGCGACAAGCTCGTGCTCGCGCCTTTTGAGAACGTGCACAGGGTGCTGGACGTCGGCACCGGCACAGGCATATGGGCTATGGAGATGGGCGACGCGCACCCTGAGGCCGAGTTCCTGGGGAACGATCTCAGCCCCGTCCAGCCCTCATGGGTCCCGCCAAACGTCCACTTCGAGGTCGACGACATCGAAAGCCGATGGGCATTCGGAGCACCCTTTGACTTTGTCTTCTCCCGGACGTTACCGTGCGCCGTAGGGGACTGGCCGGGGCTGGTCAGTCAGGCGTACCGCAATGTGAAGCCCGGGGGCTGGGTCGAGTTCCAGGACGTGGACATGGTCTTCTACGCCGAGGACGGGAGTTACAGCCCGTCGAGCGACACAGCGCTGTGGGTACACTTATTGGTGGGCGCTGCCAGGACGGCGGGGAAGGAGCCGTGTCCAGGACCGAGGCTGGAGCAATGGGTGAGGGATGCAGGCTTCGCAAACGTTGTCCATCAGAAGTTCAAGCTTCCCCTTGGGCCTTGGCCGCGAGATGCACGACAGGTCGGTGTATACCCTTAGCTGTTCCCTGAATATGCGTGCTAATGGCCCCGCAGAAAGAGATTGGTCTCTTCAATCTCGTACAGGCCATCGATAGTTTGGAGGCATTCTCAATGCGCCTCTTCACCCAGGTACTTCACTGGTCACCAGAAGAGGTACAAGTCCTATGCGCCAAGGTCCGCACCGAGCTTAAGAATAAGTCGTCGCACCGGATGTGGGATTAGTACGTCTCTTCACTCCCTCGCTCTCTGCCTACACTAACATCACGTCAGCCATGTAGTCTATGGTCAAAGGCCCACAGCATAAGCGCGTAATCTTCCTATCTTTTTGCTTTTTGTGGGTCTTCTTCGTACAGCGACGTTACACCCTCTTATACCCAATTTATAATACCAAGTTTGAACGGCTGGCTAGGGTATGCATTGGAATTTGCGCGGTGTAGGGGCGAATTGAACTTCTGGTTTCCTCCTCTCTCTGATTGCTGACTGATGCATGATAGATTGTTTTATGTGACCTAGCATGATCCCCGATTCGCTGCTTAGCCCAGCTGCGTTATGGAATCACGCCTTGCCGACCCCACCTTCAGCCGCAGCATCTCGCAGTCTAGCACAACCCTCAACACCTGTACGCGCCTACACTACTACGAAGAAACGCCATGGTCTTGTCAGACCCACTTCCGAAATACCAGTATCGGGCATTAGCACATCCCAGCCATATTCGGATACTGGTCCTTTTTCCGGCCTCGAACTACGAACTCAGCCTCGAAGCATGGCTAATCCACGTCGACAGAGAAGACATCCTTCGAGGACGAACGGAGCCTTCCTGCTATGAGGCGATTTCATACTGCTGGGGAGACGCGATTTTCTCCCACTCGCTAACCTGCGACGATCGGACAACACTTCCCATTACCCGAAACGTGGATATAATGCTTCGCCATCTGCGGAAACGCCACGAGCCACGGTATCTCTGGGTTGATGCCATCTGCTTGAATCAGGAGGACGCCGCCGAGAAAGACACCCAGGTACGGCTCATGGGTGAGATCTACCAAGAGGCTACGAAGGTCTGCATCTGGCTTGGCGAATCTAAAGAGACCGACGGCGTGCCTCAAGTTCTCAGAGCCTTGAAGACAGTCGCCATTAGAATCCGACATAAAGACCGGAGTGGCATGGCAGCGCAGCAGCGTGAAGAGCTAATCAGCGTCTGCGGAAGTGAATATCGCCCCATGTTCCGAGATTTCTTTTCTCGGCCCTGGTTTGGACGGCGCTGGGTGCTTCAAGAGGCGGTTTTCGGCCGAGACGTCATGGTCCGCTGTGGCCACCACAAGCTAAATTGGTCCTGGCTTGTAGCTGGAGTAGATTGCCTCTATTACCCTGGCAGATCCGAAGAAGGTCCCATATCGGATGACGCGTTCACCTCGGCCGCCAGGACGGTGATGACGATCCATAACGGCACCAAGATGGGCTTGCTGGGTCTCCTGTGGGAGCACAACCGCTCCGAGTGCTTCCTTCCCCAAGACAAAATCTTCGCCCTGTACAACATTGCGAATGACGCCCAGCAAGTGTTGAACGTCGACTACACGCGCCACTGGACTAAAGTATACACCCAAGTTGCCAGAGTCTACATCGAGCGCAGCGGCTGCGTTATTCTCAAGCATCTTCTCTGCTTTGGATCCCTGGCTCAGATCTCGCCCTCTTATCCCTCTTGGGTGCCCAACTGGAGCGCAAGCCGGACCTCCAACCGCCTAGTCGAAGCCTTGGCGTCGCAGTTCGACACAGGAATCTTCGGTACGCCAGCCACAGATAACGCCGAGGAAAAAGCGTTACGAGTCCGTGTCCACCGCGTATGCACAGTGGAGCGCGTGATGCCTTCTCTGAACGAGGCAGTCGCCGCAGCGGCGGTCGGCGTCAACGTTTCTTTCACTCTGGATACCCTGGCCAAGGCGTTGCTTGCAGCCCAAATAAATGACCCAGACGCGCTTTCCCCCCTGGATTCCGCCCTCGGCTTTTCCAGCTCTTGCGAACCCATGGCCCTCTCCTTCCACGATCTCATCGTCCAAACCCTCTTCCAAGCAACAAAAGACGCACTGCACCAAACGGCCCTCGCGAACCACTCCATAGCCGCGCGTCTCATGCTCCGGAGCACCGCCACGCTAAACCGCAATGCCGCCATCGCGAAAGCGCTGCCGCAGGCCCTCGAGCGAGTCTTCCTACACCACAGCGCTTTTACGGCGCACACGCATAATTTGCAGTCGGGCTCGAGACGCCTTCTTGGGATTGGCCCGTTGGCGCTCCGGCCGGGTGATCATATTGTGCATCATGCGGATATGTATCGCACGTGGGATGGCGATCCGGATACGGTTACGGGATTCGTGCTTAGGCGCGCGGCGGGCGCGAGACGGAAAAGGTATACGTTTGTGGGGCTTTGCTTTGTTTCGAGGGCGAGTTTGAGGTATGGCGGGTGTGAGGTGGTGGAGATTGTGTGAGGGCTGCGGCGATCGGATGCACACATCAGGGCTTGGAGGACTATGCCCTAGGGGTCTCGCTGTCAACGAGCGTGTTTCCGACGCATCGTGAATGACGAAGCCCTCTGTGCCGCTAAGGCCACCTCCCGCCAGCCGCGTCCTGCGCTTGTTATGCTTGACATTTTCTCTGGTTGATCTACTTCGGCTGGAGCCATGCCTTGTGTTGCGACTTCGGAACAAACCCGTTATCTACCTTTTCAAAACGCCTGATTTATTCTCGGAGGAGAAGGGGAAGATCGCCGTCGGGGCTTGGGACAAACTAACATTCAATTATTCAGCCAACCGGAGTCGACATCTTCACTATCGAACGTCTTCAAACCTACGGCTTATGCACATTGCCCTCGAAGACGTGTAGACTCTTCTAGAATGCTACGCGAAGGGAAGCCCGAGGACAGTAAGATACGTCAAAATGCATTTTCTTCATGTGACTTTGGACTAACAAGTCGCTAGAGCTATCTCCCGCAGCCATACGTTGCCAGCCAGTTCCGCAATACCGTCTTCCTCCCGCCCTTAGTGCGAGTGCGGCACCTCGTTGTTCTCTCCCATGCGCACGCCCACGGCTGTGCACTCGTCCAGGTCTTCGACCGGCAGGCCGAGAAGATCATTGTCGAGAGCGCGGCGGGACTGATAGTCGCCGTCGCCATTCGGGAAGAACATACGGCTGTAGAGCATCTTGGTGAAAGCGCCGAAGTTGCCCTTCAGCACCTCGGGGTGCGTATCCCTCCAGCGCTGCTCGGCCGACTCGTGCGTAATGGTCCAGTCGGCATCGGTGGTGCCAGTGACGCGCTTGACGCTCTCAAACATATCGAGCTGGCTGAGCCGGAAGCTCGAGATATAAACGGACCCGTTGCGGAACTGCGACAGCGTGGGCGACGCGTCCTTCTCGTCGTCCGGAAGCTCCTTCAGGCTCAGCAGACCGGCGACGGCGCGGCCGCACTGCGGCCAGGTGCTGGTGTTGATGGGCACCCTGCCGTCATCGAACACGACGAAGCTGCGCTTGTTGAAGTCGAAGCCGAAGCGATCTGGCCCGCCGCCCAGGCTGAACTCGTACCAGAAGTTGCAGACTAGCTGCAGGTACGCGCTGACGCCGAGGCTCGCGATCTCGGCCCGGATCGCGTCGCCCATGTGCGCGAGCAGCGAGTCTTCGCACAGCTGCGCGTTCGCCGCGTCGTGCCCAAACCAGTTGGGCAGCACGTACGGCACGCCGGCCGCGGCCGCGCCGCGCACGAGCTTGCTGACGCTGTCGCGCGGAGCAGATACCGACATCGTGATGATCAGAGCCTGCTGGCCTCGGAGAGCCTCGACCAGCGCCGTGTTGTCGTCGCCGCTGTAGTCGACGCGGGCGACTTTGACTCCGTCGGGCAGCTTGCTAGTGCTGTTAGGGCGTGCGATGGCGGTCACGGTGTGCTTGCCCGTCTTCAGCAAGTGCGCCGTCAAGTGCTTTCCCATGTGGCCGCCGGCCTGTTATATGATTAGAGACGGACATGTCGGCTTGGACTCCGGGCTAGACGTACCCCGACAATGGCCACCTTCTCGACACGATTGGTGAAGCCCTGGGGCTGATCTTTGGCATATGGTCCAGTCATGGTTGTCTTCTTGGGCACTCTGCAAGTTGAAAGAGTATGTCTGTGGGCGTAAGCTGGCCCATATGCAGAGTTGACGCTGTTATAGGTGACGCCACACCGGTGACCAAAGAGGCTTTGTTGGCGTTGCACAAGGCTGAGACCTGCTGGTGGACATATCGGCTTCAAGCTTTTGAACCAGCCAGACGGTACCCCGACCCGGACTTACGGTTTTAACTCCATCGGAACGATTGCGAGGTCTAGGTTCCCCGAATCCAGCCCTCGCGTTGCTCGCGTCGAGCTTATCTGCATACATCTGCGCGGGGCGGTTGGGCAAGGCGACCCCGAGTGCATTAAGAGAAGCTTAATTCGCCGCCAATTTTCCGTCTACCTATTCCTAACCTAGATTACATTCTCCCCGTCGCGATGGCTAGCCCTACACTTCTCTCCAGCGTCGCCGTTCTGCTCGTCGCCTACCTCATCAAGAAGCTTGCCTTCACGCAGAAAAAGCTCCCCCTTCCACCAGGCCCCAAAGGCCTCCCGATCCTCGGGAACATACCCGATCTCCCGCCCAAAGGCGAGCCGGAATGGAAGCACTGGCTCAAGCACAAGGACCTCTACGGGCCGATCAGCTCCGTCACAGTCCTCGGCCAGACGATCATCTTGGTCCACGACTTGGACGCCGCGCTGGAGCTGCTCGATAAGAGGGGCGGCAAGTACTCGTCAAGGGGCCGCATGGTGTTTGCGGGTGAAATGTGAGCGCTGGTGGTGTTTGGGCGCACTGGAGATCCCGCTGACGCTGTGAAAAAGGTGCGGGTATAACGAGCGTATGCCGTTCTTTCCCTATAATAAAACGTTTCGCGCTCAGCGCAAACTTGCGGGCGGGCAGCTGGGGACGAGGAGCGCGGTTGCGAGGTTCTATGACGCTATGGATGTGGAGGTACGGCGCTTCCTGCTGCGGACGTTGGAGAAGCCCGAGGATGTGATTAGCCATCTCGAAACGTGAGTGCCCCTGATTTTCACCATCTCAACGACTCTCGCACAGAAATACTGACGAGCGGACAGCGAATCCGGCTCTCTCATGCTGAAAATGCTCTACGGATACACGCCCTCGCCGCACACCCCCGACGCACTAGTCCGCCTGATCAACAAAGTCATGGAAGAATTCAGCGCGGCCGTCGTAGTCGGCGCCTGGATGGTCGACGTGCTCCCCTGGCTGCGCCACCTCCCCGACTGGTTCCCCGGCACGCGCTTCAAGCAGACCGCGCGCCAGTGGCGCAAAGACTCCGACGAGTGCATGAACGTGCCCGTCGCCTTCGTCACGCAGCAGATGGCGCAAAACGCCGCAAAGCCGAGCTACGTCGAGCGTCTGCTCCGCGCCAACCCCGCGGACAAGACGCACATCGAGCAGAGCGCCGCCGCACTGTACGCCGGCGGCGCGGACTCCACCGCCGCGGGGCTGAGCTTCTTCTACCTGGCCATGACGGCCTTCCCCGACGTCCAGCTCAAGGCGCGTGAGGAAATCGACCGCGTCGTCGGCTCCGCGCGGCTCCCCGGCTTCCAGGACCGCGAGAACCTGCCGTACGTCGATGCTGTGGTCAAGGAGACGCTGCGCTGGCACCCGCTCGCGCCCGTGGGCCCGCCGCACATGAGCGACGAGGAAGACGAGTTCCGCGGATTCCGCATCCCCAAGGGCGCCATGGTCCTGCCGTCTATCAAGTGGTTCTCCGCGGACCCGGGCGTGTACCGCGAGCCGGAGGCTTTCCGACCAGAGAGGTTCCTCGGACCGGATCCTGAGCCCAGTCCGAGCCAGTACGTCTTCGGGTTCGGGAGGCGCATTTGCCCTGGCCGGCTGCTGGCGGATGCGAATATGTTCCTCGCAGTTGCGCAGAGTCTGGCTGTGTTTGAGATCGGGAAGGCGGTGGATGCGGAGACGGGGGCGGTGGTGGAGCCGGTGGTCGGGACGACGGCGGGGCTGGTGGCTCATCCGTTGCCGTTTCGGTGTAGGGTTGTGCCGCGGAGTGCGGAGTGTGTGGCGTTGATAAGGGGGATTGAGGTTGAGCATCCTTGGGAGGAGGGGGATGCTAAGATGCTTAGGGGGCTTAGTGGATAGGAGTGAGGGCTTGGATTCTTCATGGTCAGAGACACCAGAGAGCGAGTGGTTTGCGGTACACGTCTGCGGATTGTGGGTTCGTTAACAGCAGTGACTAGGAGAAATTGTTCTTGGAGAAGTCCCCACGCAGTATGACTGTGTCCTCGGCCAGTCCTTCTCATGCGATGTACGGCGCCGAAACTGGCACTTTCACTGCAGGCAGCATCGCTATTCTGGCTCCTCACCGCATCCATCCATTCTCGCTCGAAACTCTCAAGCAGGGAACGGCCCTCTGCCAATCACGGGCATGTCCCTTTTGTCGGGACGTCCCTGGTTACACCACGTTGGACGACTGCCCCGTCTTACTCCCGACCTCCTATCTCGGGCACCGATCGGGAGCAATGTCAAGAAGTAGCCGAAGCCACGTCACGTCGCACAAGGCACCATTGTTCGCATCCGGCGAGACGGGACCAAAGTGGGGTCGTAGACGCGCACTGGGGGTATACTAGAAGCCAGCAGGCAGGCATGGTGTGGGACTCGCCAAGTGGGCGTTCAACATGCATTCCCAGCCGCCGAACGGTAAGCTTGAAGGGGAAACGAGAACGAGCACGGAAACGGAAACAGACACCCCCCTCGAGAAGCTGAGCTGGACGATTACGAAGAATGCCAGCATCGTGAGCCAGCACTTACATGCTCACGCGCTGCCGCAGCCCTCGTTCGACCGCGACGGGCCCAGCATCGTCGTCCCTGCGGACTCGCCCCACAGCGTGCGCAAGGCCCAGCAGCGTCTCATATCCGCGGCGATTGAGATCTTGCAGCTGGCCATTGGGCCGAGCGAGTTCCTGCCCAACCTAGCTACAGGGGTACCTTCCACTTCCCCCTCCCCCAGACGCGAAAAGCATACTCACGACGCAAAGTTCCAATACATCTCCTGCCTCTCCTGGCTCTGCGAATACCGCATCTTCCACCTCGTCCCGCTCGACGCCGCCGCCATCAGCTATGCGGACCTCGCCGCCGCCACCGGCGCCCCAGAGCAGCGCCTCAAGAGCATCCTCCGCATGGCCATGACCAGCGCCCTGTTCCGCGAGCAGCCGTGCGGCACGCGCGTCGCGCACTCCGCCGCCTCGGCGCTGCTGGCCCGCGACTCTGGTGTCTACGCCTACGCCGCGTACATGTGCGCGCGCTCGGCGCCGACCGCGATGCAGATGGCGGCTGCGCATCGCCGCTGGGGCGCCGCCAGTACGCGCCCGAACGAGACGGCGTATAATGCGGCGTTTGGCACGGAGCTGCCGTTCTTCGACCACGTGGCGCGGGACGAGCGCCGCGTGGCCGAGTTTGCGGCGTATATGCGGAATGTGCGGAGTAGCGAGGGCGTGGATCTGAAGCACCTCGTTGCGGGGTTTGCGTGGGAGGATATCCCAGATGGCGGCGTGGTCGTCGACGTGAGTGTCCCCAGTTCCCTCACTTATAGCCGGACAACTCCCCTCTTCCCCGGCTGACTCAGACCCCGTACAGGTCGGCGGCTCGACCGGCACCGCGGCCATCGCCCTCGCCACCGCATTCCCACACCTCACCTTCATCGTGCAAGACCTGCCCGCCAACGCCGCCCTCGGCCGCAAAGCCGCCCAGGACTCACTCCCGCCGGACATCCTCTCCCGCCTCGCCTTCCAGGGCCACGACTTCACTTGCCCGCAGCCCGTGCGCGGCGCCGCCGTCTACCTGCTGCGCATGATCCTGCACGACTGGCCGGACGACGTAGCCGCGCGCATCCTGCGCCACGTCGTCGCGGCCATGGACGCGGAGTCGCGCCTGCTGGTCATGGATACGGTGCTGCCGCGGCCGGGGGCGGGGCTGGTGTCTGAGGAGCGTATTGTGAGGGCGAGGGATCTGACGATGATGCAGGCGTTTAATAGTGGGGAGAGGGAGTTGGAGGGGTGGGTGGAGTTGCTGGGGCGAGTGGATGGGCGGCTGGAGGTTGTGGGGGTGAGGGAGCCGGTGGGGAGTGCGATGGCGGTTTTGGAGGTTAGGGTGCGGACTGGGGAGTTGGGGGAGGGGACGGTGGGTGAGTAGGAAGGTGGGGGGTTGTGGGATGGAGATTTGGCTTATGGTATGGTGGGAATTACCGGTTTAGGGAATTGGCTGGATGTTTCCTCTGGAAAGACCACTTTTTGGGGGCAGTATTTGGGATATTTCCCTACTTTACGGAATGTCTAACCGTGGTGAAGAATTAAACGTTTATTCGATATCTGCGTCTATGATGATAGGCATATTGATATGGCAGATACGGTTTTTTTGTTGCGCACTGCTACTTGGTAACGGCTCAACTCGACCGAGGAGACCTAGAACGCTAACTCACACGAACTAGCTGACTCTAATTCGCCAACCCCTCCAACGACAGAACCTACCAAGCACCTCCCTTACGGCCGAAAAGCAACTCTTATTCGTGGTGATCTCTTTGACCGTGCGGGGCGTTCCGAGCCCTCCGGTTAACTTACTAAGAAGTCGGGGCCACTGAAGGCTACGAAGTCAGGCCCTCGGCCTCTCGGGCACCGACCAGCCTCGCCGCTTGTACAATCGGCCTCGTCTTATCTTGAAGTGCCGTCTGTGTGACGTATATGACTTGCACAACCTAGATGTACGATAACTGGCCTGATGTACGACTGTGTAACCCGCATGTTCGACGCGAAATGGCGAAGTCGCACTTAACGGACTTAAGAAAAAAAAGGCATACTTAGATATAGACTGACGTCGACTCCAAACCAGGCACACGGCATATCCTCGTACTCACTCTGCACAGCATGGCGACTAACACCGCCCACGCGTCTTCGACGCACGTCCAGCTCTCTCCCAGCACCACCCCAGGCTACACGCACGCCGACGGCCTCACTGCCGAAAGCGCAAAGAAAGCCTCAGACTTGCTCACCATCAACCACGCCGCGTACCACACGCGCTGGAAAGGCACATTCCACAGTAAGTCTCCCTGCAAACGCACTTCCCCAATCCCATCCCCTCCCGCTGATCGTGCAATCCAGACCACATCACGCACCACCTCGTGTCCCTCTGGGCGCTCGGCGCGTCGCCAGACGAAATCCAGGACTTGTGGGACTTCAACACGCCGTACCAGACGCCGCTGGAGCGCGATGATGCCGCCACGGCTGCGTCGGGGTATCTGGATCTGAAGGATCCGGCGGTGTTCGACCAGTGCCTTGGGAAGGATGAGTGCTATGCGGATTTCTTGAAGTTCTTTGAGGAGGAAGTTGAGGAGAAGGGTATGCAGGATGTGGTGAGGGAGTATGTGCTCCGGGGCGATGCAAGGGCGGACGATATCTTCTGCAGGATGTACACGGGTGAGTGGTCAACCAACGCAAGCAGAGTATATGTTTCTAAGACGACGCCGCCAGATCTCGTACACCCCATGATCCACCTCGGCTGCGGCCTCGAATTCCACCAGCCCAGCCTCGTCGCCGAAGCCCTCGCCGCCGCCTGCGTCCACGACAACTACCCGGCAACCTTCCTCCTCCCCACGGAAGCCTACGTCCGCGCCAACCCCGGCACCGCAGACGCAAGCCCGCCACTCCTCCAAACACTCCAAGCCCTGCACAACGATCCCGCCATCGCCGGCGCCGTGCAGCCCTCCGATCCCTTCAACAAGATCCCCGACGGGCTGCTCACGCGCATCACCCCCGCGCAGCTCGTCCCCTACCTGAGCCAATTCCGCGTCGCCGCCAGGCCGGCCGATCTCGCGCGCAAGCTGGCCGACATGCTGCACACGGGCGCGTACGTAGCGGGCGCGGCGCAGCGGCCGGGCAAGCGCGAGGCGGTGGACTTCGTGCTGCTGCACTGCGTGACGCTGGGGGTGTTCTACCCGGCGATTCTGGCGCTGGACTGGCTGAGCGACGGCGAGAAGGCGCGCTTGCTCGAGGCGAAGGGAAGAGTCGACGCCGTTATGTACGCGGGGTGTGGGTGTCCGCCGCTGTATGCGGAGCGGGTGAGGGGGTATGTCCCGAGGTTTGCGGGGCAGGGCTGGGAGGAGTTGTTCCGGCGCGCGGTTGTGTATCGCGATGAGGGGCATGTGGCGAAGTTGGTGCGGGCGCTGTTTTGCGCAGAGAGACTGGGGGATACGGCGGAGGGGTTTCCGGTTGAGAGGGGAGAGTTTGTGCGGATTGCGCATATGGCTGTGGATTCGGCCGAGAGGGCGCTGGAGCCGGGTGGGCATACGATGCCGGAGGAGGTTGTGCGTAAGGTGGCGGGCGGCGTGGGCGGGGGCGGCGAGATGGTGACGGATAATATGAAGAGGTGGGTATTTTATGGCGGGGTGGAGGGGGCGTGGAAGTATGTGCCGGATTTGGAGGGGGTGGCGGTTGAGTGAGTGGAGAGTGATGGTTGGGTGGGAGAGTGTTTTGCGAGGGAGTTATGGTTCATTGTCTCCTCTGTCATGAAAAAGGGGTTTCAATGAGAAGTGGCTTGATCTGTCACAATGGCCTCAACTAGGCTGGCTTCTGCCTCTAGCTGTTCTTGATAGTTGTGCTGAATGGCGTTCATGGATAGCTTTGCTCTTCCAGTGTACTCCCGGGACTAAATGCAAAGTGGTCCAAGCCAGTCATTCCTTCAGCTCAAGAGAGAAAACGCCACAGACGAGAATGCTTCTGCTCTTAGACACGCATCACTCATGCATACCAAAAGAAAGCAGCACATCCCAAAAAACCAGCATACCACCAACCCATATAACGGGATTTGTTATACTTTTGTATAACAAGTTAATTATTGCAACCACCCCCCCTCACTTCCGCGTAGCCAACACCAAATACGCCGGCCACAGCACCTGCAACACCCCGCCAGGACACTCCTCCCCAAACACCTCCTCCCACTCCGCATACGCCTCCCTCCTCTCCTCCTCCCCCAGTGCCACCGGCCTCACCGTATCCACAAACCCCGGCAGCCACTCCCGATCGACCTCAAACAGCCACCCCTCAGCCTCCGCATCCCTGCCCGTCTCATAATGCACAATCTCCTCGCTCTCACTTACCCGCGAAATCCCCCGCTCCGCCGGCACGAACTTCTCGAACAGCGCCGCGTACGGTATCCCCCCGTCGGCCGGCGCGTTGATATACACGCGCCGCGCATCGGTGAAGAACTCCGGCGGTACAGGGAGAGAGTCCAGGACGCCGTTCCCCGCGACACGGCGCGCGACGACGCGCGCGAGCCGCGTCTGGCGCAGGTCGTCGCCCGCACACGCTTCCTGCTCGCGCGCAGCCAGCGCGCCCAGCACGAGCGCGTCCCAGACCCGCGCGAACACGTCGTGGAAGCGCTGCGAGCGGCCGGGAAACGTCGGCATCCAGTAGCTGAACACGGCCATCGTGCCGCCGGGACGCAGCATCGTCGCGATTGAGGCGGCTAGCCCATCGGGGTCGATGAAGTGCGCGGCCGTTGCGCAGATTACGAGGTCGGCGGCGCTGGGGCCTGCGTGCAGGTGTGCGTCCTCGCCGCTGGCGGCGGAGTATTCTAGCGTAGGGCTGAGGCCGCGGCTTGATGCCCAGGCGGGGAGGAAGGCGCGCGCTTGGTCGAGGTTTGCGGGGCTGGGGTCGGAGATGTGGACGGTGTTGAAGGCGGGGAGGAAGTTGGTGGCGGCGACGCCGGAGCCGGCGCCGACGTCGACGAGCCGGTCCCATTGCGCGGTCGGGTGTTGGCGGTGGTAGGTGTAGATGAGTTCGGTGAGCGAGGGCGGGTAGGGCGGGCGGCCTTGGCGGTAGTGGGCCCAGTTTGTGGTGGCATATGTGGATTTCGTGGTTGGGTCGAGGGACGCCATGGTGGGTGCGGTGATGGGTAAGGGGGCAAGCCTCCTATCCTTTGGTACGGGGTAGGTGAGGATAGCTTGTGAGTTGGAAGCTCTATATACATGCTGAGTTTCTATTGGCACGGAATTTTCGGGTCCAACGAGGACGGAGCAGCCGGGGGTGGACGCCCGGGGGTCAAACACTGGCCCCGTTTGGATCGGGAGACATGGCCACGGATTTATGTCTTACGCCCCCCGGCGGGACCACTTAGTGCGGAGGATTGCGGGGAGAAACAGTGCGGGGAGATACAGGGGAGGCGTCATAAGCCTTGCAGCTTCGGACGAAGCGAAGCCGTGGCTTCTCTGCCCGTGGTTAGAAGTGATTCCATACTTTCCATTCCCAAGGTGGAGAGTACAAGTACAAGACAGTTACACAACGGACTTAGCGATTCCCAATCGCCGAGCGTAGACTGGAAACCAGATCAATATAGTTCCCAAGCTCGCGTGTGCTTTTGGTAGACACGAAAATGGACGAAGTCTCTGCTCTATACCAGGGCCACCGTGTCGCTACCCTTTCCGCACTCCTCGTTGCTACGACAATTGTAATAGCATGGCTGCGACGTGACCGCAGACTTGATACCATACCCGGCCCCAAGGGCTACCCGCTGCTCGGCGTCGGCTACAAACTCCCACCCAAGGCGCCTGCAGTGTTCCGCAAATGGGCGCAGGAATACGGCGATGTGTTCAAAATCCGCGTAGGATGGTACAACTGGGTGGTCATCAACAGCCCCGAAGCTATCCGCGAGATCCTCGAGAAGCAATCCCTCATCACGTCGTCCAAGGCGCCCTCGCCCATGGGCCACGACATCGTCACGGGCGGGAATCGCATGCCCACGATGCCCTACGGGCCGCGCTGGCGCGCGCTGCGCTCCTTGGTGCGCCAGATGACGACGGTGCCCATGACGGCGACGTTTATTCCGAGCCAGGAGTTCGAAGCGAAGCAGCTGCTCTTCGACTTGGCCACTGACAACGAGAACCAGCGCAACTTCTACCAGCATATGCGCCGCTTTGCTTTCAGCATCATCATGACGAATACCTTCGGCACACGCGTCAAGAACTGGGACCATGCGGACGCGCAGAACGCGGTGAAGACACAGGCGATTCTCAGGCAAACATCGCGGCCCGGCGCCTTCCTTGTCGACGAACTCCCGCCGCTAGCCCGCCTGCCGAAGTGGCTTCAGCCCGGGCGGAAACGCGCCGAAGGAGCGGCGAAGCAGGTCTTGGATATCAAGCTAGATCTTTGGCAAAGACTGGAGGGGCAGGTTCTGTCGGGCAAGGCGCCGCACTGCTATGCACGCGAGATCTACGAGGGCAAGGAGTCGTGGTATGCCCAGGGGCTGACGGAAGAGCACTTGATTTGGTTTTCGACCGGCATCGTCGAGGCGGGCTTCGAGACGACGGCGGCGACGCTGAACACGCTGGTACTGCAACTTGCTGCGAACAGCAGAGTACAGGACGAAGCCCAAAAGGAGCTCATGCGAGCTGTTGGACCGGCCCGCCTTCCAACGTTCGCAGATATGCGCAATCTTCCCTACGTTCGTGCTTGCGTCAAGGAGGCGCTCCGCATGAACCCGATTCTCGCACCGGGCATTCGACACTTCGCCACCGAAGACGTCCGGTACAAAGATCACGTCATCCCCAAGGGAACGGTGCTCCTCGCCAACACGGCCTTCTTGCACTTCGATCCGCAGCGGTTCGAGAACCCGTTTGAGTTCATGCCGGAGCGGTACCTGGGCCATCCCCTGTACAGCTCCGAGTATGCAGCGATGAGCGACCCCTACAAGCGCGACCACTTTACTTTCAGCACGGGAAGGCGGACGTGTCCGGGTGCGCGGCTGGCTGAAAACTCGCTCGATATTGCACTTGCTGGCATGCTGTGGGCGTTTGAGATTCGGCCGCCTTTGGTGCAGGGTGTTGAGGTGGGAATGGACTTGAGCGACAACGCGTACCCGGATGCAGGATTTTCCTTGCCGAAACCTTTTGCGGCAAGGTTCGTTCCGCGGGATGAAGAGAGGCGTCGTGTTTTGGAGGAGCAGTGGGAGGTTGCGACGAATGAAGGGTATGAGCTGAGGGGCATCTCGGTCGACGTTGACGGTATAGTTCAGTACTGAGTTAGGTAAGACGGTACATGCAACAAAGGGCACGGGGGGGCGGCAGCATGTTGCCCATGAAGGCATAGTTCCAAAGGAAGGCTTATAAAATCCTCGCTCGCTTCAAGTGTTCAGCTCCCTCAACCTCGACCTCATCATATTGGCTATCCTCGAGTGCTCTCCCCTCAACCACGAATCGAGATTCTGATACAGACTATCGATGCCGCCGAGGGTAGACTCATCGCTATGCCGCTGGGCGCCGATAGTGTGTGAAGTGAATTGATCGATCAGACGGCCTGCCCTTCGCATCTCCCCCAACAGCAACTGGATCTTCAAAGCGGCCTGGACACGCAAGTCGTCCACGTCAAACGTGCCCACTGCAATCCTGGACGGGGAAACGGAGAGTCCGGGGGATTGCGCCAGTGACGCCGATATAAGCTTTCCAGTAACGGCGGTGCTAAAAGTGCTAGCTGCCGTGCTCGAGCACGTGGAAGGCGGGCCCCCGGATGCGGCACCCGAGATGGGTGACGACTGGGTCGTATACACGTGGGCCGGCGCTGTATCCGGTATGACTGCCGCACCCTGCATGCAGACGGCCGCTTGCTGGTACCAAACCAAGACGCGGGAAATTATCGATGCATACAGCAATGCGAGGTTCGGGAACGAGGCGCAGGAGCAGGTCAGGAGGCGACTGAGCCGCTCGCTGGCCTCCCGGCTGAGGCGTAGCACATGGTCCAACGGCACTCGATTGGCTGTCGATACCGGGCGGTTCTTGGTGAGGTTGAAGAAGGATAAGCTGCCCAGGATCTCGTATGCCTCCCGAGGGCAGTCGTGGTCCGGGATATTCGTAAGCGGCGTCAAGGCGCTGTCGGCAAGCGACGCCTTCTTCGGCTGTGGCTGAAGTGGCGCAGCGGGGGTGGCGGATGTGGCGTGGGGCGAGTAGCCTCCCAAATTGGGCGACTGTGGTGCAGGTGTCGGTGCGAGGTGTAGGTCCGAGGAGAGTAGGCTGTCGTTGAACTGGTCCATGGTCGGCCACTCAGCGAAATCGAGGGCAGCGAAAGCCGATAGAGACGGCGCCGTCTGGTCAAAGGCATCGAGGTTGACGAACAGCTCTGTGGCGGCATCGTCCACGGCGTCCCAGGCTGTGAGCACATCGGCGGCTGTCGAAATGGTGTTGCTGGTGACTGATTGAGTAGTGCTGCTATTGTCCAGCTTGTCCCCGTCCGGGGCCGTGGCTTGGTCGCTGGAGGCCTGGGTCGGAGTCGAGCGAAGCCGCTGGCGCGGCGGCTTTCCCATCTTGCGTGAAAAGCCATAGACACACGGGACGCCGTGAGAGAGGCAGCGGCCACACTCGGGCTGCCCCCGGTCACATCTCAGCTTGGCGGCGCCGCAGCCATCGCAGCTGGTACGCAGTTTCGGGCGTCCGGGTCCCGGTCTTCTAGGCTCTTCGTCGGGCATAGATGCGGCACGTGAAGCCAGTGTGCCTGGTGCATATTGGCAGTAGAACCACCCGCGCGAAATGGCTTATATATGTGCGGCAGACGCTGCGAGACGGTTCTGTACCACACTGCATGCCTCGTCAGTGGTTGAGAGAGAGGGCGTGCCCAGCGTCAGCCCGCAGCGCCCTGTCCCCTTTGATATAAGGCGTGGGCGGCCTCGGTTGGCTTGCCCGGGCCGCACCCGTTCGCCGAACTGCTGCACGTCATCCTGGTAGCCTTAGCCCCGCTAAATCCGCGCGCCTTGCCCAAAGGGGAAAGACCCCAGTTATTGCGTGCTACAACCGCAGTCGCACAATGTACGCGGCGCTCCCTCGCCTGAGACAGATAGGACCGCCCATGCGACCCGTGTACCGGGCGCCACATTCTATCAATCTGCAAGCTACCGTTCTACTCGTATGGCCCGTCCGGCGACTTTCTTTGACCGTTCCTCTGCCAGCCCCTGACCTCTCCGCTCCCCTTCAGCTATCGTACCTCATTACGGGCCGCTGCGCGCCGTTCCTGTATCCCTGCCAGCTAACGTGAGAATACGAACCCGCTAGCCATGGTCAGCGTTCGTCCAACATGCACACCGCCCGTTTCGTGTCGCGCGGCCGATCCAGAGCCTCGAGAACACGGTCAACGTACGCACGTTGCACCCTTTTCGTCGCTTTCGTGTGCCCATCAATATAAGGCTGAACACTGTGGAGGCCATATGACACGGACTCAGTCGATTCAGGCGTCTCGGCCTGAGGCAGAGCCTCGCACAGAGCTTTTTCGCACCGTATAAATTTCCCTCTGGAGTAGCGGATGCGCACGATACGTATGTGGAGTAAGCCACCGTCGATCCTTACTTGAGTGGTGGTCGGGAAGTGACTGGGTGGGTACATCGAGCTTATCAAAGGAGTCGCGTTGCGTGTACCCAACCACTGCACACGTATTCGCTCTCATCGCAAGGAGCGTGCAGACAACTCCTTTTGGCTGTTTCAGCCCTTACCGCTTCCCCTGTGTGAGCGTCTCCATTCTGACCGGTCAAGCCCGAGGAGATGGCCCGACAATCGGACAGACAGGCGAACACTGACTGACAGCTGCCTAGCACGTCAGATTCGAATCCGTGGGATGCGGACTTCAGCTATCAGATAGCGAAACTACCATGCACCAATCGGCTATCAAACGGTGCATCGCTGAAGGACAGCTTACCCCTACCAGAGACACTCCAGAGTGTACTCGGGGAACAAAAGATTAGTTTCACGTGCCGCCAGGAGTCGAGATTAGTCGTTGTCGGCGCTGACGAATTGGACTCGCCATTGTCATGTTGAACCTTTTCGGGGCTATGATTCTTCCGAGCAAAACGAGGTCTGGGGCGGAGTGAAACATTTGCCTCCAGCTGGATTATGAATATCGAGCAGTGAGTTGGCCAAACAAAGGGGACGCCTAAGCCAGCAGTTCATGCAACTCTCTCAAGTTTCCAAATCGACATCAAGAACTCTACCATGGCGGACCATCTGAAGTTGTATCTCTTTGGAGACCAGACGTTCGACATACAGCCTCATCTGAAGGACCTGCTTCGGAACAGAGCCAATCCGGTCCTAGAGGCCTTCCTCGAGAAGGCTTACGATGCAATTCGTAGGGACATCTACCGATTGCCGCACGATGTCAGGGACGAGATTCCTCGATTCACATCCCTAGATGATCTGTTTATGTGGAACAAGAGCGGCAAACGATGCATTCCGCTCGATATGGCCGTCACTTGCATGTATCAGCTCGGAGCGTTTATCAGGTATGCTCCACAACTGTCCCATGATCTACCTTTAACAAAGCTAATTCGCCATGAAGTCAAGCAGACAGCGAGTGTTATGGTGCAGACGGCTCCCGGGTCGTTGGTCTCTGTACAGGAGCCCTTGCCGCTGCTGCTGTCAGCTGCAGCCGGAGCACACTAGAGCTGATTCCTCTGGCTGTCGATGCAGTGATCGTGGCCTTCAGAACGGGCATGGTTGTGGCTGATGCCGTGAAGCGAGTTGCCCCTTCGCTGGGCTCCAACCAGAGCTGGTCGATTATATTTCCGGAATCGGCATCTGCGGACAGTGTACGCAAGTTCTGTGACCAGAGTGTAAGTTTCTCCGCTTTTTCCACCTTCTGAAGGTTGCGCCCGCCTCTAACTGGCTTCAGGGGCTCCCGGTGACGAGCCGGCCTTACATCAGCGCCTACGCACCGAATTGGATCACTGTCAGCGGGCCGCCGACATCGCTTGATCATCTCGTCCACTCAGGGAACTTCAAGACGGGCAGATTCAAGAGCATTCCCGTGTACGGACCATATCACGCACCACATATCCACTCCCGGTTCGACATTGATGATATCGTGGGAGGGCTGTCCTCTGACAGCAGTGCCGTCCCTCAACGCATTGCCTTATTCCCAAGCGCGGCGTCCACGGAGGGAAAGCGCAATTTCGGAGCTCTCTTGGAGGCTGCTGTTGGAGAAATACTGCTACATCCCATCCGATGGAGGAATATTCTTGACGATCTGCAGGCGTGGATCCAGAGTGTGGGCCCAAAGTCATTTGCCGTCATTCCTATCGGGACCACTGCCGACCAACTCATTTATACCGAGCTTAGACAGACACCGTTGCGCACGCGGATCCCCTCCACGCATGCTCATGGGAAGCCGGCTTCGTCTGGAAATACTTCCTACCCGACTCCGAACAAGCCCAAGCTTGCCATCATCGGCATGTCCGGGCGGTTCCCGGGAGCTAAGGACAATAGCGCCTTCTGGGACTTGCTCTACCAAGGTCTGGATGTCCACAAACCTGCTCCAACCCTTCATTGGGATGTCAAAACGCACGTCGACCCCACAGGAGCCCGGAAGAACACCAGTGCAACACCGTTTGGGTGCTGGCTAGACGATCCAGCTGTGTTCGATGCCCGCTTCTTCAACATCTCGCCACGAGAAGCGCCACAGATCGACCCAGCACAGAGACTTGCTCTGATGACGGCATACGAGGCAATCGAACAAGCTGGTATTGTGCCTGATGCTACCCCCTCTACAAGACGTGATCGCGTCGGCGTATTTTACGGCGTCACGAGCAACGATTGGATGGAGACGAACTCTGCCCAGAACATCGATACCTACTTTATCCCGGGTGGGAATCGAGCATTTATTCCTGGCCGCATCAATTACTGCTTTAAATTTAGCGGCCCGAGCTATGCAGTCGATACGGCGTGTTCCTCCAGCCTGGCTGGCATACACTTGGCGTGCAATTCACTATGGCGTGGAGACATCGACACCGCGATCGCGGGTGGGACGAATGTTCTCACAAACCCGGACTTCACGGCTGGTCTTGATCGAGGGCACTTCCTCTCGCGGACTGGCAATTGTAAGACGTTCGATGATGAGGCTGACGGGTATTGCCGTGGTGAAGGTATCGGAACTGTCATCATCAAGCGCCTCGATGATGCTCTCGCAGATAACGACCCTATTCTGGGCATTATTCTCGGCGCATACACAAACCACTCTGCTGAGTCGGAATCAATTACCCGGCCCCATGTCGGAGCACAGCGTGCGATTTTCAGCAAGATTCTGAACCAGGGTGGTGTGGAGCCTTACACTGTCGGTTATGTTGAGATGCACGGAACGTAAGACTCCCTTTTGCCTTCTTGCCGCTATGATCTCTTTATTACCGGATAGCTAACTTGTTGCAGAGGCACTCAAGCTGGCGATGCAGGAGAAATGTCTAGTGTGCTCGACACTTTCGCACCGCCCCTATCCCAAGTCGAACGAGCCAGAACGACTGATGAGGCTCTCTACATCGGGTCAGCAAAATCCAACATCGGCCATGGCGAAGCCGCTTCTGGAGTCTCAAGTCTCATCAAGGTGTTGCTCATGATGCAGAAGAATATGATTGTCCCCCATTGTGGCATCAAGACAAAGATCAATCACCGGTTTCCGACCGATCTGAAGGAACGAAACGTCAAAATTGCGCTGAAACCGACTCCATGGGAGAGAAACTCAGACCCTTCCAATCCCAGGCGAGTCTTTGTGAACAACTTCAGCGCCGCTGGTGGGAATTCGGCTCTCTTGCTCGAAGATGCTCCGCTCAGTCAGGACCCATCCGCTCGGGCCACCGATCCCCGAACTCACCAACTCATATCTGTCTCGGCTAAGAATGGCGTGTCTCTACAGGGAAACCTCAGGTCTATGCTCGGCTTCCTGAAGCAGAACCCAGATGTCTCTCTCACGCAGCTCTCCTACACCACAACAGCACGGCGCATGCACCACCAGCATCGTGTCATGCTTTCTGGCTCTACCGTCCAGGACTTCAGCACCCAGATTGAGTCGGCTCTTCGGGATAACAAAGGAATGACTAGGCCGAAAAGTGCTCCCAAGGTCATTTTCATGTTTACTGGCCAAGGCGCCCTATACCCTGGAATGGGGAAGCAGCTTTTCGAGAACTTCTCTACCTTCCGCAACGAGATGCATCGCTTGGATCGGATCGGACAGAATCTAGGCTTTACATCCATGTTGCCTGTCATCCAATCCGAGGAACAGGACATGAGTGGATTTGCTCCTACAGCTGTTCACCTGGCAAATGTCTGCATGCAGATCGCTCTGAGTAAACTGTGGGCATCCTGGGGAATTACTCCTGTCGCTGTCACTGGCCACAGCCTCGGCGAATATGCCGCACTCAACGCCAGCGGGGTACTCTCGGATGCGGATACCATCTATCTTGTGGGAAAGAGGGCGACTCTGATCGAAGAGAAGTGCACGCGTGACACGCACGCGATGCTTGTTGTCAAAGGGACAGTGGACGACATCGCAAGGATCCTGAAAGACAGCAAGTATGAGATCGCTTGCATCAATTCACCAATCGAGACCGTCTTGGCCGGATCGAACGAACGCGTCTCCAGCTGGAAACGCTCGTTTGCCGATTCGGGAGTGCCCTCTACACTGCTCAAGGTCCCCTACGCATTCCACTCCTCCCAGATGGACCCAATACTGTCGGACCTCAAGTCGGTTGCGAGTGTCGTAACGTTCTCCAAGCCAAGGATTCCCATCCTGTGCCCCCTTGAGGGTAGCGTCGTCGATGACGATGGGAGCTTCGGCCCTAACTACCTCGCACGCCATGCTCGCGAACCTGTCAATATGCTCGAGGCGCTGCTGACGGCACAAAGAGACCACCTCATCACCGACTTGACCCCGATGCTAGAGATTGGCCCGCATCCCGCTGTTTCTAGCATGGTAAAAGCCGTGCTAGGACCGCAGACGACAACCTTGGCCACATTGCAGCGTGGTAGGGGAGTCTGGCAGGTCCTAGGAGCAACATTGGGCTCCCTTTATAGTGCCGGTGCCGACATCCGCTGGGCAGAGTACCACCGCGACTTCAAGGGCTCCCACAAGGTCCTTTCCCTGCCGGCATACAGCTGGGACACCAAGGAATACTGGATTCAGTATGTCAATGACTGGTCGCTGCGCAAGGGAGACCCTCCTTTGATGATGCAAAACGCTCCAAGGCTCGAAAGCACGACTATCCACAGAGTCGTCGAAGAAACGGGCGACTCCAACAAGGCTCATATCATCGTGGAGGCCGACATCGCACGCAAAGATCTGAGCCCGCTCGTACAAGGACACGAGGTAGACGGCATCCCGCTCTGCACCCCGTCGGTCTATGCGGATATCGCTTTGACCCTGGGCACTTATCTTCTCCAGCGTTACCGCCCTGATCAGCAGGAGAAGCTGGTGGACGTATCGGACATGACTATTTCGAAGGCCATGATCCTAAAGGCCGGCGCAACCGAACAGTTCCTCCAAGCACATGCTGAAGTCGATTGGCCGTCCCAGGCAGCCAGCATTAAATTCCTCTCCTTCGACGTAAGTGCCTCCTTGTATCCCATGCAAATGACGGGCTGACTGGATTACAGAATAAGCAGAAATTGCAGGAGCATTCACGCTGCGTCGTGCGCTTCAAGGACGGAAAGCTCCAGCAAGCGCTTCAAGCAGATGCTTCAAACATCAAGCAAAAGATGCAAGTTCTCCGTGCGGGCATCGCCACCGGCACAACCGCCCGCTTCAACCGCCCCATGGCATATCGCGCCATCCGACCTTTGGCACGCTTCCACGACGACTACCGCGCAATAGACGAAATGGTCCTGAACAGCAACACATTCGAGGCCACCAGTCGTCTCAGTTTCGGTGGCGTGAAAAGAGACGGTAACTTCCACACTCATCCAGCGCTCATTGACTCTCTGACTCAATCCTGCGGCTTCACGATGAACTGCAATGACTCCACGGACCTAGATAACGAAGTCTTCATGAACCATGGATGGGGTTCGTTCCAGATGTTTGAGCCCATAGACTTTGAGAAGGTGTATACGACCTATACGCGTATGGAGCAAGCGCCGGATAAGCTGTGGCACGGCGATGTTGTCATCTTCGATGGCGATAGAGTTGTTGCGTTCTTCGGGCAGATTGCGGTGTGTACTCGCGCTTCTTCGCTTTACTAGCATGTGCTGACTTCACCCCAGATTCAAGGCGTACCTCGACGTGTCTTGAAGGTCATCCTGTCCATCGAAAGCGGAAGCAAATCCCAGAAGCCGCAACCCGCGCAGAAGCAACAACATCCTATCGCGGCGCCAGCGCCTCCCACCCATTTCCCTCCTCCAGTCACCGCAGATGCCCACGCATCCAAGCTTGCGAAGGCGCTGTCCATCATCGCGGACGAGAGTGGCCTCGCTATCACGGACCTGACTGATGGCACCGTGTTCTCCGACGTTGGCGTCGACTCTCTTCTGGGTCTGACCATCTCGGCTCGCTTCAAAGAGGAACTTGACGTCGACCTCGACTTCAACGCACTCTTCTACGAGCATCCCACTGTTGGCGACCTCAAGGCCTCCCTAGGTGGTTCTACGGCTAGCACGACCGGCGTGTCTACTCCGCTATTGACCGACACCATGCCGACAGCCACTGCCACGGGCGCCACGACGCCTAACACGGATCGCGACTCCCTTGGGCCCAAGGTGGACTTTCAGCGCGCTCTTCAGATCGTCTCGGAAGAGAGTGGAATTGCAATCGAAGACCTCACCGACGATATGAATTTCGCAGACACGGGCGTGGATTCTCTAATGTCCCTCGTCGTCGTGAGCCGGTTCCGAGATGAGCTCGAGCTGGACATCCAGCACGAGACGCTTTTCCTCGAGTGCCCCACCGTGGCGGACTTGAAAACGGTGCTGGTGGGAGAAAGCCCGCCGGAGAACCAGCCGCTTCCCGTACCAGCCTTCGACAGGTTGCAGCTCACTCCCACGGCGAATGGAACTCCTAAGCGCAGCGAGAGCGAGTCAGCTGCGCTGGCGGCTCGCAAGCACGCCGTCGACGAATATGTTCATAAGTACACGGCTGGATACTCTGCGCCTGTTCCTTCACCGATCTCTGCCGCACCAAACGACAATGAGAAAGTTGTCCTAGTCACAGGTGCATCAGGGAGCCTGGGTGGCCACCTAGTCTACCACTTAGCGCAGCTTCCCGACGTGAAGACCGTGGTCTGCCTCAACCGCGAGAACAAGGCCGAGCCGTACGCGCGCCAGCAAAAAGCCATGAGAAGCAAGGGCATCCGTTTCCCTGAGGCCCTCAAGCCCAAGCTCCTCGTGCTGCAGACCGACAGCGCGAAGCCCATGCTCGGCCTCTCAGCCAGCGAATACGAATCCCTCGTCGGCTCCGTCACGCACCTCATCCACAATGCCTGGCCCATGAGCGCGAAACGCCCCTTGGCCGGCTTCGAGCCCCAGTTCCAGGTCATGCGCAACCTGCTCGACTTTGCTTCCGCGGCCGCTTCCCGCCGCCCCGCCAGCTTCAAGTTCAGCTTCCAAATGGTGTCCTCCATCGGCGTCGTGGGGCACTACAACCTCGACGCCAACGACAACGCCGCTGTGACCAGAGTCCCCGAAGCCCGCGTCGGCATCGACGCCGTGCTTCCCAACGGCTACGGCGCCGCCAAATGGGGCTGCGAGCGCATGCTCGACGCGACGCTGCACGCGCACCCGCAGCGCTTCCGCACCATGGCCGTGCGCCTGGGCCAGATCGCCGGCAGCAAGACCAGCGGCTACTGGAACCCCATGGAGCATTTCGGCTTCCTAGTCAAGTCGAGCCAGACGCTCGGCGCGCTGCCCGACGCCCCGGGCGCCGCGTACTGGACGCCCGTCAACGACGTCGCCGCCGCGCTGAGCGACCTCGTCCTCAGCGACCGAGCGCCGCACCCGATCTACCACGTCGAGAACCCCGTCGGCCAGCCCTGGAGCCAGATCAATGCCGTGCTGTCCGAGGCGCTGGGTATCCGCACGCTGATTCCGTTTGAGGAGTGGGTTGAGCGCGTGCGCGCGGCGCCGCAGCATGATAATCCCGCGGCGACGCTGCTGGAGTTCTTGGATAGCAACTATATTCGCATGAGCTGCGGCGGACTGGTGCTGGATGTGGAGAAGAGTGTGCAGCATTCGGAGAGTTTGGCACGGGTGGGGCCTGTGAGTGAGGAGATCGTGAGGAAGTATGTGCATGTTTGGAGGGAGATTGGGTTTTTGAAGTAGTTTTTGAAGGGAAGGGGAGGGTTGGGTGGGTGGGGGATAGGGACGCTCGTTCGTTGCTTTCTTTCTCCTATATGTATGTGTGTTTTTTGGTGTAATTGGAATGGGAATAGAAATAGACTATTTCTTTACGAAAGCCGGCTGTGGTTAAAAGGAAGTGGGAATTGCGAAGTGATGAACGTTTCTGTTGCTCGCGTGTCTTATCTTGTTTAAAGGTATGTAGGTGGTGAGGAAGGAGGGCAGCGGAACCCCTATGTAGTGAGTAAGTCGTCTAGCTTACTTAGCTGCATAACCCCAGGGAGAAATATACACCAAACCCCTAATTGCGACCCCGCATGCTTTTGCCGTTTCGACACAGCATGCCATGGCGAACTATTTGTGGTCACATGGAGCCAGCTGTTTAAGATGAATTAAATGGGCAGATTCATGCATGCAAGCGGTGCACTTAGTATATGCCAACGGAGGGGAAAGGGGAGGCAGAAGCGACAAATACGGCAGAATCGAAATGATGCCCCGGTGGGAGCAAACACAGTTTTATTGGTACTGTACTGCACTGCACTGTACTCTCCCTCTCTCCTTCCTCCTTCCCTTCCCTTCCGTTCTTACCCTACCCAATAATCCCCGGCAGCAGCGCCTGGGTAAAATTATACAGCACAGACGCGTCGTGCGACATGAACGCCGCCCCCGTCCACCACGTATCGCGCTGTCCTTGAACTGTACAATGGTCAGCCAACCAGTCACTCAGTCATTCTATTCCACAACCAACAAAAAAAGCAGCTTCAGGGTGGGATCACTTACTTGCCTCCAACTCCCCATAAAACCCATCCCCAATCGCCCCAGCGTCAACAACCAGCTTAAACGGCGTATGGCTCCTGAACTCCACAAATTCCAGCGCTGCCGTCGTCGTCGCATTCTGCAGGCGCGCGATCACGCTCGATACATCTTCCTTGACCTCGTCCTCGGTGACGCGCACGGGGCTGCCGTACCAGGCGTAAAAGAGCCCTGGGATGCGCGTCTCGGTAATCTGGTACGCGGCGGGTAGCAGCGGGATGTTGTATGTGGCGGTGGAGGCGTTGGCGTTGGCGAATTGAGCGCCTGCGGGCAGGCCCGTGTTGCGCAGGAGCATGGTGTAGTAGTCTGTGGAGCGCCAGTGGGAGAAGAGGGTTTGTTCGGTGGGGGAGAGGTCGAAGGGTGCCGCTAAGGAGGTGCGGGGTTAGTGGGAGTGCATGGGTAAGGGAGGGGAAGGGAGGGCTTACTGTTGCTTAGGAGGGGTGGGATGCTGATCAGGAGTTTGGAGGCTTTGATGAGTTTTTTGCCTGTGGGCGTTTGGACGATGAGGCGGATTCCGCCACCACTGCTGCTGCTGCTACTGCTATTGGCGGGGCGCTTTGCGGCGACGACCGTGGAGGAGAGGAGAACATCGTCGCCTAGGTAGGCGGATGCTTTCGCGTAGATCTCCGCGTTGTTGGGTGTCGGGACAATCGCATTCCCTGACACAGAGCTCAGGAACGACTCATCGATGAACTTGAACACATGCACCGTCAACTCGTCCAGGATGTTGGACACGCCCTGCGCGGAGAAGTACACGTCGAATGCCTCGTCGCCGAGGTTGTACTTCTGGATGAAGGCGCCGAACGGGAGGAGCAGGTCTTCTGGGATGGGAGAAGGCAGGTCCCAGCTGTAGAGAAGTTGCGGGTACTTTTCCAGCTGCGCGGCGTAGGCGGAGAAGTTGAAGCTGCTGCGCACGCCCTCGACGGGCGCGCCGGTTTGGAAGTCCGCGTAGAACCGCGTTAATGGGGTGGGCTGGTAGAGCCCGGTGGTGAGGTTGAGGAGAGCGAAGTAGTCGCGTGTCACTGAGACTACGGGAAGTCGAGCAAGTCAGTCAGTTCAGTCTTTGACAGCACGGAAGCCTGAGTGCGATCTCTCTCAATCAATCGATCGATTAGACTTACTATTCCAGAACGCTTGCACGCCGTAGTCTATGCTGACACCGGTGGACGGATCGGTGTAGCTGTTGACGTGGCCGCCAAGCAGGCCTTCCTTCTCAACCAGGACCACGGATTTTCCAGCATCTCTTAGCTTCACCGCGCCGTAAGTGCCTGTCGCCCCTCCGCCGATCACCGCTACGTCGCGCGTGATGACATCGCCGCTGGGGTAGTTCTGCGCGTCGAAGTCGTCCCTGACATTCACCGCCAGGACAGGAGACAGACCCGCGTAGAGGGAGAGGAGTAAGATTGGAGCAGTCTTCATGGCGGTTGTGATTGGTGGGATACGTGCATGGATGCGCTGTCCACCTTTAACTTTTCCTCTACGGAACCGTTATATACACGTTCAACGGAAGGAGGCAGTGCAGTTGCAATAGTGGGATGTAGCCTAAGAGAGGCCGCCCATGACGACGCCAGCACGCCTCAGAAGGCACGCCTCAGAAGAGACGCTCAGGTACTCAATTTCCGAGCTGTGCTGAGGGAGACGGACCGTGTCGGACCCCCGAGTACGAAGGAGCGCTCGCAAACGTGGGTAGGGCCGCGCCCACGGTGACACAAGGAATGCCTGGTACGAGGGTGTGGCGTGCAGAATCCCATCCACGTAAGCTGCAGGAGTTCTCCCACTATGCTGGGTCCGAAGATAAACTCGCTTTGCTCCTCTCAGCTGCATGCAGTATAAGCTTCGGCCCCCATTGTGCTCGCGGGATCGGTGATGTTGTCCCTGGATTCTGGCACACGTTCCGAGCGTGGTGTAGCCCGGGGTGTACCCGACTCTTTGGTGGCCCGAATGCTCCCGACTCTTTGGAAGCCCGAATGTGCCCGACTGTTTTAAGCCCCGACTGTGCCAGGTCGATCTCGCGAGAATGTTTCTCTCCATCCCTACCAACGCAAAGACCATTTTGGTTAGTCTCGAGGGGACGTAGTTCGGTCGTATTAATAGTCAGATGATGACGGGGAGGAAATGTGGTGGAACGTCCGCTGCCCTATCGTACTAACACCGGTCAGTGATAGAGTTTGTGTCCTTCGCCAGCCTCCGACCATTTGTCGTTGGGAGTTATAACGGAGTTAAGCCCGGCGTTTACTACAGCCGACCCTTCCCTCTTCGGAGTTAGCGTCGAGTTACACAGGCTCGCAACGAGCACTGTAGTGATTGCCCTCTGCGAACGGTAAACATGAAACTGCTTTCTCCCTTGCACTTCCTCTATGCACGAGAATCGCTCTACGGCCGTCTCCTCGGCCCTCTGTTCAAGCAGCCATGGCAGAATCGACGCAATCCATCACGACGAGCAACTCGGACCGGCACACCATGGATCCCAGATCAGACATCGAGCTGGTGGACAAGGCCGGGCTAGAAGGCGATAATCCGCAGGCAGAAGCGATGCAAGCCAATACGAGTGGCGCTGCAGGCGAAGAAGGTCCTCCCACGGGCGACGTCCTTCAGCCTGCAGCCAAGAGCAGCAGGCTACAGACGGTCGTCTTGATGGGCACTCTATGCGTAGGTTTATCCCTAGTCAGATGATACGAAGCCAAACGCTAACACAGCATACCAGTCAGCCGTCTTCCTCGCCGCCCTGGACATCACCATCGTCTCCACAGCGGTGCCGACAATTTCGGAGCACTTCCGCTCCACATCGGGATACACATGGATCGGCTCATCGTTTCTGCTGGCCGCTGCCGTGGTGGCGCCCAGCTGGGGCAAGTTCAGCGACATCTGGGGCCGCAAGACGATCCTACTTATCGCCGTTGCCGTTTTCTTTCTCGGAAGCGCACTTTGTGGCGCGGCGGTTAGCATGACGATGCTTATCGTCGGTAGGGCTGTGCAAGGTGCGGCTGCTGGCGGCTTGCTGTCGCTTGTGTCTATTGTGGTGGGAGATCTCTTTTCGCCGAGGTAAGTTGAGCTGGGTGTATATCATGTCATGTGATGACCGGACTAACCCTCCTCCTAGGAAACGCGGTAAATACTACGGAATCGTGGGCATGGTATGGGCAGTGGCCTTCACACTAGGTCCGCTGATCGGGGGTGCTTTCACAAAAGGCGTGTCGTGGAGGTGGTGTTTCTACGTCAACCGTGAGTCTACCACAATCCGTATCAAGTGGCATACTAACCCATTCGCTCCACAGTACCAATCTCAGGGGCCGCCTTCATCCTCATCATTTGGCTACTCAAATTACACACGCCAAAGACGCCGCTCCTCGCCGGCCTCAAGGCCATCGACTGGACGGGCAGTCTCGCTCTCGTCGGCGGCACGCTAATGTTCCTCCTGGGGCTCACCTTCGGCGGCACCTTCCACCCCTGGGGCTCCGCCATCGTAGTCTGCCTTATCCTCTTCGGTGTCGTCACCATAGTTCTTTTCTTCGGCGTGGAGCGCTTCTTCGCCCGGTACCCCATCGTCCCAGTGCATCTATACGGCAACACGTCCAACCTCGCCGTCATCGTCGTCAATCTCTTCCACGGCATTACCTTCACGCAGAACACGTACTTCCTGCCGCTATACTGCCAGTCAGTTCTCGACGCGGAGCCGCTTCTCTCAGGCGTGCTGCTGCTGCCCTTCGCGGTGGCCATGTCCATAGCCACAGTGGGCGCGGGCCTCTACGTCAAGAAGACCGGGCGCTACCTGGACTGCATCCGCGGCGGATTCGCCCTCCTCCTCCTCGGCCAGGGCCTCATGTACGACCTGCCCGACGGGAAAACCTGGGCCAAAATCATTCTATACCAGGTCCTCCCGGGGCTCGGCGTCGGCCTCAACTTCCAGCCGCCGCTCATCGCGCTGCAGAACAACGTGCCGGGCCAGGACAACGCGGCGGCAACGGCGTCCTTCGGGCTGGTGCGCAACGTCGCGAGCGCCATGGGCGTCGTGATCGGCTCCGTGGCTTTCTCGAACAAGATGCAGGAGCAGCACGAGCAGCTCGTCGAGGCGTTGGGCACGCAGACGGCGGATTTGTTCTCTGGGAGCAATGCGCAGGCTAATGTGCTGCTCGTCAGGACGCTTCCGGGCCCGCAGAAGGCGGCTGTGCGCCATGCTTTCTGGGCAGCTATGCGTAGTATATGGATTGTTGCGGTGGGGTTTTCGGCCGCTGCGCTGGTGGTATGCGTCCTTATCCGGTACAAGGAGCTGGGGAAGACGCATGTGGAGGTGAAGACTGGGCTGGCTGGAGAGGAGGAGCGGAGGAGGATTGCGGTGGAGCAGAGGGCCAGGAAGCAGGGTGCATCAGGATGAGATATATGTGTGTGGTGCGGTATGCGCTTCTGCGCGAGATTACGTCGGAGAAGGGAGGTTTGCTTGCGGCTAGTCCCAGTCCGATCGAGCAAGTGCGCATCATCCAGATATCCGCAAAAAGCATGCGATAAGCTAAACAAAATCCAACAAAATACAAAAGTCGACCAAAGTTTCAGTCCAGTCATCCCACGTATCCGGACCATTCCACGCGTGGTGCCATTTCGCGATTCGACGTGGTGTGACCTCTCAAGACCACACAATGCACATATATCTCCGACTTCCCTGCGCCACCAACCATCAACTATCAACCACAAAAAGAAAACCACGACAATCATAATCCAAATCGAATCCAACCGTCCTGTTCAAACACCAACTACCCAGAAAACCACTGCGCACCCCAATCTAATCCAACACCCCCGCCGCACAAAACAACACAATGCTCCACTGCCCAACCTGGCTCGTCCCCCCGCCCACTAAATCCCCATCCACACCCCCTCCTCCCACCTCCACCACCTCTCCCTCTCCCCAGCAACCCACCCCATTCCTCCACTGCGCAACCTGGCTCTTCCCTCCCGCCCCGCAGTCCGATCCCTTCACCTCTGCCTCTCCCACCGCCTCGCAAAACGCACCGGATCCTGAAGAAGATGTAGACGTTGAAGTTTCGCCGTCGCCGTCGCCGACGACGAAACCTACTACGCCGGTCTTGCCCGAGGAGAGGAGTACGGAGGGATTGCGCCAGCGGAAGATAGGGAAGGAGAAGGAGAGGAGGGATTCGCTGACGGAGTAGCAGCGGTGGCGTTAGAGTGGAGTGAGAGGCGATGTGGTGCGTGAGATGGTGGGAGGGATAGTGGAGAGAAGCGGAGAGAAGCGACGAGGAACTGAGAATCCTAGCGTATTTCTTGACGAGGTTTGGTCGCGATGCGAGAGCCATAAAGCGACGAATAGGACGAAAGAAAATGAAACGTCGGATGGAGGGAGTAGACAGGGCAGCGAGAGGAGAGGAGAGATGATTTGGAAACGGACCGGGAGAGGGAGAGTAGGGCGTTGGTGAGAAAGGAAAAGGGGGATAGTGGATGAATATAAGTGCATATGCAGGGGCGAATTGGGGTAGCGGTGGAGTGCAGTCTAGTGGAGCGGAATGGAGTGGAATGGCATTAGCTTGTCTGGGTGGCAACTGAATGAATTGAACTGAATTGAGTCGATCGACACAATAGCCTTATTACGGCTCGCGAGTCATGAGTGCCGTGCCGTACATTCGCTAGCTAGCTACCAGAAAGACAGAAAACGTATGGAGAACAGACAGAACAGAACAGAACGGAATGGGGTGGTTAGGTAGCTGCCGGAGACAAGACAATACAAGGCACAACGAAGATAGATGTGGCAGGGCAGCCGTAGAGTAGGATGGAACGGTTTAGGGGAAACGGTCTGGATAAATGGTCTTTTTGATGAATACACTGCCCGCTGCTGCTGGCGCGACGTAAGCTGCAATTTTGGGTGCTTGAACACTCGCTCGACATAACCGTAACTAACGATTCTCACCCGCTGCTTATGTGACAAAAGGGTGAATGTTAACCCCCCCACTCCGAAACGCCATATGCTAGTCAACGAAAGCAATGAAAAGGCAGGTCCGTAACACACACACAGCCAGGCTCCCCACAGCTCCCTTTTCTCCTCTTACTCCTCCTCTTCAACAACATGCCCCCACTCATGCCCCTCCCACCCCTCAACCCCCCACATAATCCCCCTCAACCAACTCTTCAGCACGCGCGTATACTCCCCCATCCTCCCCTCCTTCCCCATCGGCACACCAAACTCCCTGCCGCGAAAATGTATCCGCGCGACCGGCGCCACAAACCACGCGGTGCCCGCGGCAAACGCCTCGATCAAGCGGCCCTCCTCCGCGGCCTCAACGACCTCTTGCATCGTATACGTCCGCTCCACCACCTCGACGCGTTCAAGCCCCGCGTACCCCTCTCCGGCAGCGAGCCGCCCGCGCGCAAGCTCCAGCACAGACCGCCGCGTGACGCCGTCCAGCACGATGCGATCCCCCAGCCCCGCAGTCACGAGCTGCACGACGCCCGCGCGCGAGCGCCACACGACGAAGAAGTTGCTCGCGCCGGCCTCTGTGACCGCGCAGTCCGGCCCGAACAGCCACAGGATCTGGTGGAAGCCGCGGCTGCGCGCCTCGCCCTGTGCGAGCAGCGAGGGCCCGTAGTTAGCGCCGACCTTGGCGTAGCCGAAGCCGCCGGGCCAGGCGCGGCACATGTCGTCGTGGCTGGCGAGGAGGTTCATGCCGGCGGGGAGGTGGTCCATGGGCGGGAAGCAGGTCAGGATGACGAAGAGGAGGGCTTCGTTGGGGCGCTGGACGCCGAGGGCGGGGTCGGAGGCGATCATCGTGGGGCGGATGTAGAGGAAGGCGCCTGGGTTGTCTCGTGGGAGCCACTTCGGGCCGTCGGTGGCGCAGAGTGCGGCGATGAGTTTGAGCAGCTCCGAGGGCGGGAAGGCGGGCAGCGCGATGCGGTTCGTGCTCATGAGCATGCGGTTGCAGTTTAGCTCGGGGCGGAAGAGGCGCAGTTTGCCGTCGTAGCCGCGGTAGAGTTTCATGCCCTCGAAGCACTCAGTTGCGTAGTGCAGACAGGATGCCGTGGGCATGAGGGACAGCGGGCCGTATGGTTGGAGAGACGGATCTTGCCAGCCGGTGGAGGAGGTCCAATGGGCTTGGATCATGTGGTCGGTGCATACTCTCTGAGAGGCCTGTTCTGCGGAACCGGCGGCAGGGACGGGGCGCGGGGAGGTGGTGTAGGTGCATTTGAGGCGGGACGCATCCAGTTCTCTTAGTGGAGTCTCAGTGCCATTCTCGGTCTTTGGTGTGGGTGGGAGGTTTGTGATGTCGTCTGTCAGGGCGGCGGATTTGAGCTGTGACGGTGCGGTTTTCTTGAGGGCGTCTTTGATTCCCGCGGTGGTGAGGTCCGTCGTCGTTTCGTTCTCGGCTGGAGGTGTGATGGCGATTGGAGGCATGATTGCTACTGTGTTCTGGTCAGACAAAGAAAGGATGGAAGGACAAGCCAGATGGAGACAAGCAGGGAAATCGAAAGCGATTTTGAGTCTTTGTACGTACCCACCTTCCTATCACGCGGGAGCTCGGCACAAACTAGTCTCCGTCTAACGTTGCCGCGTCTATCGTGCAGAAGTGGAGATAACAAAGATTTCCCTAGTCTAAAATTCTGCAACGAAATCTGCTCTCCTCAACAGTAGACGATGACTCAACGAGAGAGGTTCAACGAGTCCAGCTTTCCTGCCCGAGGCAAACAGCGCACGCCAGCAATTAATACCCCCAGTAGCATGATCGCAATCAACGCAAGGGCTCCGAGATCGTTATGTCACGGTTCCTGGGCTGCATAGGGCGTGCATACCACGTGCCTGAACTATCCACCTCCCCGCTTATATCCGCGGCCCGGTCTGCATCCGACGAACGACTCATAGCCATTGCTTCCCCAGATCTCGGGGCCGAAAAGCTTTTGTTGTCAAATACGGACCGTTGCATAGGAATACGCGAGACGAAGGATGCGATATCGGAGCTGAGGTGGTAAACAGCAATGAAGGCTGCTCAGGCGTGATCGAGTTATTGGAGCTGCGAAGTGACGAGTCGGATAGCCACGGCTCAACACGAGATCTCAAAAAGCCACTTGACGAATAAAGCTCCGTCAAACGACCCATGTCTATGCCGCAAAAAAAAAACAAGCAGCCGTCATACTTTGCACAGTAGCGCCCACAGGTGCGCAAGATGGTAGAAATTCTACGTACCGCGCTCCGCAGTACGCGGATCCGTAGATTGCCATCCACCTCTATCCGCTATCATACAACCGCGCGGCCCTCGTTCAATCTCACGGTGATGACGAGGGCGCTTCGCTCATTCCACTTGCAGACATTGTCTGCGATGTGCGCAAGCCGTCGATGCCCGAGATGATGCCGTCTGCAACTTCGCCCACTCGTCCTTCCAGCGAGCGGAGGTCCATTTTGCTGACCGCATTGTTGATCTGCTCCATGACTTCTTCCTCTTGCACTGTCTCAGCCATGACTTGTCCTTCTGTGCGCCAGTATTCCTCTCGCACGCCGCGCAGCGCAGGATCGCGGTTGATCGAGTTTGTGAGGAGGCCGAGGGCGCGCAGCTTGTGCATCGTCTCTTCCGCTTGACGCGTGGTCGTCTCTATGCGCTCCGCCATCGAGGGAGGTTTCGCAAGCCAGCGGTTCGTGCTCGTGAGCCAGAGGACCGCTCCCAGTGTGCCGTCTACGGCGGCGAACGACATGTACCGCAGGAAGCGGATGCGCCAGTGCACGAAGTCGATATCTTGAAGCACCTTCGCCCGCTTGTTCATCGTTATATCGTATGTCCCCAAGTACCACGCCTCCACCACTACCATCACCAACCCCGCAATCGTCGCATGTATGTGAAACCGCGACCCTTCCGATCCGACGAGCGAGGACGTAGCGAGGCCGAGCACAACGAGGTGCGCAATGTGCGGCGTCAAAATCTTCGGCAAGCTGTAAAGGAAGAAGTTCCTCTGGTCATCTCCGTCCCCCGTCGTACACCATACACAGTTCAACAGCGTATCCGGCCCATACACAAAGTACAAGAGCCTATTCTGCACCCTGGCAAACTTCGCCTTCAGCGCCTCGTCCTCGCCCGTCAACTCCCTCAGCATCCGCAGCCGCGTAAACAGCACACTCGGCTCCGTCTGCAGCCGGCCCTGCGTCTTCACAAACACATTCTCGGGCGCGAAGTGCGGCAGCGAGAGGACGAGGCAGACGACGGCGCTGACGAACAGCAGATTGAGCGCGCGCTGGACTTTTGGCGGGGTGGGTCGGACGGATACGCTCCGCGAGGTTGCACGCGCCGTGTTGAAGAGGCTCACGATGCGCGGGAGGAGAAAGGGCCCGAAGATAATGAGGAGCGAGTGCACGTTTTTGGGGAGGAAGGTGAGGCGCGGGATTACGACGTAGGAGAAGACGAGCAGGCCGAGGGACTGCCAGTTGAACATGGTGGCGGTGGTGAGGGTGGCATGAGGTCTGCTTGAAGGAGAGGAGTTCGCGAAAGGTGTTCGCAGCGCACAAAGAATGTGGGTGACGTGTGAAAGAGCAGCGCGACGTGCCGCCAGTTGGTCGGGGACCCGCTCCGGGCCGTCGGATCTAGCCTGTTCCAGCCTAGCTCGCTCACGCTTCTCAATATCAACCTTGGAACCTTGGAATCCTGCCCAAGATAAATAAGATGGATTGGATATTTTTATACCTGAACAGCGGTAAGCACCCTCCAGGCTCCCATATTCCATCCGCCCTCTTGCCTATCCTCCCCAGCCACCATCCATCCACCAAGGTTGAGGCGCTAGACCTAGAATAGCTAGCGTTCAAACCTCGCCGCCAGGGCTCTCGTCCCTTCCTTCACCAGCTGCCTCATCAACGCGACAGGACTCGTTTCAATTCGCACCCAATCCGCGATCATTGATTCATCTCTCCGACTAAAATGAAAGTGTCTCGTTGCGGGATTCCGCAGCACATTGTTGAGGGCTCGCAATCCGGCGAGTGGGATTGAAGTCGAGCTATCTCGCCACCGCACAGCTGTAACGCGACCAAGCAATGGCGGCTTTCCTTAGAAAAGACGCCTCTCCGCACCAATGTCCCTCCACTTACGCCAGCCTTTACCTTCGTTGAGCTTGGATTGGCAGCAATATGTTGCCCTTCTGCCTTTTAGACTTGGCGTGGAGGCGCAGCTGGGCATCTGCATTCGCTGCCTGATATGAATAGAGCCTCGCCGCCGGTTAGGCTGATGTTCACGTCTCATCGAGCCTTATCGCTTCCTCCAACTTCTCACCTCCTCGAGACTCAGATTCTCAAGCGAAAATCCGAAGCAAGACCAGTCGTGCCTAAAATGGCGTTGTCATTCACCGCAGGTCACCTGACGCTTGCCGCATGGGGCTTCTCAGCCGGCGACATTGCTGTCCTCGCTGGCGCTGGACGTGCAGTCGGAAACTGGGTTATGAACCATCTCAAAGACCAAGCACTTCTGCAGTTCCTCAAAGTCGACCCAGAAGACCTGATCCCGCGGAAAGGCCTCATTGATCCGGCCGCTCTCCACCAGAGATGGGATGTGCAGCTGACGCTGCTCCAGAATGGTAACAGCAGGGTGATTGGCGGGAAGGGAGGAGCAGTGGTCGAAAGCATGGGCATCTTCAGCTGGTTGATGACCATTGTCGTCAGTGGTTTGGATGCTTCGTTGCAAGTTGGCGACATGAGGAAGGTTATGTCGAGCTTTTTGACAGCGCTGTTTGAGGAGCAAGTTGACGGGCTTGACTATCTGCAGCGAGAGCTACCGCAGCACATTCAGGGTTGGGTATCGGCAGCTGTGGTTCGCAACATAACGCGAAGAGCAAGGCAGGAATGGGCGACGCTTCTCGAGCGGAAGCTTCGATTACCAGGCATGATGCCATCAGAAGAGAAGGACGAGGTGGTGCGCTTTCTCATCTGGCTTGTGGGAGCTCGCAAGCAGAAGGAGAATAGGAGGTTCGAAACAGCATCCAGTGACGTATTCTGCTTGGCGTTCGTCCTCGAAAGCCTCGGACTAGATCTTCTTAGAGGCGTTGCGATCGAGAAAGAGGAGTTAGAGAGTTGTGAAAGCAGCCTTCTAGTGGTGTTCAATCCGGCGGCCCTAGGTGTCGGACACGCCCAGAACAAGCTATTGGCTGCTTCGGGAAATATGCTCTACGCGAAAAGCCGCAATTGCATGCGCATTCCTCTGGATTTCAAGGAAGAATGCGTCTCTCTTTGGCCCGGCACAATATTGGAAAATAACGACCGACGACAGATCTTCAAGGACGGTGACAGGGCCTGCAAAAGTCTTGAGATCTTTCCCGTATTTCCCGGAGATGAGCGTCACGACTTCGGATACGGGTTCGTCGACCCCACATCGGCTAAGGTCGGACGTGTGGATCCCGCCATCTACCGAGTTGCCTCAAGTCTGTTCCCAGTCGTCAACCCGTCACTAGTGAATGCCGTGTCCCACATCATGGCACAATTTCCCGAATGGAAGATCGTAGAGGACCAGAGCATCTTCCAATACCTTCATTCCAATCCTGCTTGCCTGAGCAAGATACAAGTCCTTTTTCTGGGCTACTATTATGCCCTGCTGGACAAAGTCATAGACAACTCGCGGTTAACAACCAGGGAAGGCTACGGTACTTGGCGGTGGTTCGACTTACATATGTTATACGAGCTGCAGGACGTCCTCGCTGATAACGTCCGCGAGATAGCCAAACAAAAAGACAGCCATGGAAACACGATGCGATACATCAAACGGGAGGGAATCATGAAGTTCCTCGCCGTGCTTCTAGCCGGAGCGGAAGAGAACCAGACCAGCGCGATAAACGAAAGCACCATCGGCATTCACGGCAAGATCTCCATTGTCTCGTCCAGTCTCCTAGCTGCCGGGGACACAGTCGATCTGGCCATGAAGTTCTGCCTCCTCGACACTGATTCATCGGCCATTCCCAGCAATGCCAGGGGCCTAGTCCTCAGCGGAGAAGGTACTTTCCTAGTACGCTTCGCTGCACAACCAAGCGACGATAATTTAAAAAACGTCAGCGAGGTAAACCAGCAAGAGCTCGACCAAGACTTCACGTCCCACATCGAGCCCGACTGGGACAACGACGTGCAGGCATGCCAAGTCGTCTTCCGCTACAAAGGCCGCGTCGTCCGACGACTTTCTCCACTGTCGATAGAGCGAGCATTGGTCAGCCCTGCGAAAGTCATTGAAGGAAACCCTAAAGCTGGCACTGTTCTGGATAAAGTATTGGTAGGGAGTGTTGAGGGCTGTTTCTCCACGTTCCCAGCCCGGAACCTCGATAGCCCGGACCACCACCTGCATTCGCCTCCGGTCTTACTCCCATTCAAGGGCCGCATCAAAGCGCGCGCTTGCATGCGGACTGTGTATCATATCAGTCATTTTCGCTGCATAAAACTACTCGAGCTTTGCGCATCTCCTCACTGGGCTGAGATAACGAAAGGTTCAAGCGATCAAGGGGAGATGGTCGTCTTGTACCGCGAAGGAAATAAGCCGCCGGAGGAGGAGGCCTGGGAGACTGCTAGATGGGTAATCATAATGTGAGCGGTCTGTGAACGGGTTTGTGGCTTGGAAAAGGAGGCGCTTTGAAGAAGAGCCGTCATTTCGATCCCGGTATATAGTCGCCTAGAAGGACATGATCCTTAAGCCCACTTCATAGAAAACAGTTAAAACCTTTAAGCGCCTTAAACTAATCTAAAGTTATAGTATCTTCTAGCTTAATTCTTTTCTATAATAAATAACTTTAGAAATAGCTATTTATAGCTAAATTATTATATATATTATAAAGAAAAGAAGCTCTATATTATGAGGTAGAGAGAGGTAGAAGACTCTCTCTCTCTCTCTCTCTCTCTAACATATATATTAACAGAGGGGGAGTATACCCCCTAGATACTTAAAACAGGGGTAGAACAAGGAGCTTTTTCACCGCTGACATAAATTCTACGCTAGCAGCTCTGGGTGCGCGAACTGATTAAGATGCAATTTCTCTAATCCCATTCCACCTTCACTCGACACCGCCGTCTTCCCAACGCCTCTATCCAACCCGAGCCCCAAAAGCCATCCCGGGTCGCAAAACAGCCTCCCCGATTCGCATCTCCCGGCCCGTTCCCTAGCCCTCGTCATCATCTGACATCTCCGCCCCAAACGCCTCAGCAGCCGCGCTCTTCTCCTCCTCGCTGGCGCTCTCATACACAGCACGATCCTGCCCGCGCAACGACCGCCCCATATCGTCCAAGCCTCGGATCTCCCGCAAGGTAGCGTCAACGAGCAAGCTCTGCGCGTCGGGGTGCTGGGCGTGATGTTGGAAGAATCCGCTTCCGTCTCCACTTCGCGAAGCCCCGGGCGCGGAGCCAACTTGCGCGCTGGCGGCGCCGTTTGTAGCGAGCGGTGCTTGTCCCTGGGATGCTTGGGGCGCGAGGCTACGCTTTGAGCCGAATCGCTTTAAGAACTTTTCCGTCCAGCGTCGAGGAGAGCCTGCGGTGTCGAGTTTGGGATTGGGTTTCGTTGGATGCGCGCCTGCACCTGGGCGTTTGAACATGGGGCTCTTGCCTTTCTTCTTCGGGGTAGTGCTGGGGTCGCTTTGCTCCCGGGAACCCTCCACCGTAGCTTCGCCCATCTGCACGTCGTTCGTGCGTGCGCTGCCATCGGCATCGGCGTGCCCTCTGCTCTGGGACGGTCCTGCCCCGGACGCCTGGCCCCCGCCCGAGCTGTTATTCCCAAACCGGCCGCTAACGGTCCAGGAGGACGGCGCCGGTGGGGCACACTGCATGTCTGTCTCGTTGCTTGTAAGACGCGCGTGAACTTCCGCAACTGCGACCATGAAGTCGGGAACTGGAGCATGCAACTCTTCGATCCACATTATGCCCCAATCTTCCCAGTCTTCCGTAACTGAGGAGCGCCATGAGATCTGCACGTGCGGGTTGGTATCAAGGTGCATGCGAGGCGTAATGCCGCATTGGCGGATGGCATTGTTCATTTGGGTGACCAGCCTGTTAAGATGAGAACATGCGGTAGCATAGGCGGGATGGGTGCACAGCTGTCTCCCCGTCGCTCTCCAATTGGCGGTGTCTGCGTCCGCGGTGGTGAGCATGATAGCGTATCTCCTGCTGGAAGCCATGGTTCAGGCGCCTAGACTTAGTAGCGATCTATGAAAGATTGGAATGCGAGCGTAAGAGTCGCATACTTATAGGCCTTGTAGCGGTGCTTGCTTCACTTCATGGAAGATGGTTGAACCCTTCAGACGCTTCGCTCGAAGCAAACAGATCAATACGAGGTCGTAGCGTCTTCCAGCCTAATCCCCTCCTTCCATGAACAAGGCTCCAGAGATGGTCATTTATGGTTGAATCGTCGCGCGAATTCTAAGCTGGTGGGTCCGGGTGCCCAAATTGATCAAGATTCAACTCCTCCCAATCCCAAATCACCTCCATTCCACCCATATCCAGTGCCGCCGAGCTTGATCCTCCAAATGGATTCTGAGCGAGGAACTGGTCCAGGTCGAAAGACAGATCGTCCGTAGTAGGCATAATCGGCACCGGATCCATGGCGGTGGTCGCTACTTTCGTCGAAGGTTCCGCTTGCGGAACGATATACGCTGGTGCTGCTTGTGCTACTGCCGGTGTAGTTGGGTCTGGAGGGGAAATGGAAGTCTCTCGTCTCTGCCTCTTGCGGATCGGCGAGTATCGCGATAGCACGGGCGCCGCTTGGACAAGCTTGAACAGGAAGTGATACGACGAGGCTCCGATTTTCGTGGTAAGGCTGAGCTGATGCAGCATATCGAGCGCGCTCTCGACTGCATCCATAACCCTGTCGCGATGAGGCAGGACGTGCTCGGTGTCGTGGATGATGGCCGAGCAGAGTATGGTCGCAGTATCGAAGATGCAAAAGACGACCATGTGGAACTTGGCGTTGATGGGGAACTCGTGGTCGAACACTAATCGGGCTACCTCCAGCAGCTTTAGCCCCAGCTCGACGCCTGTCTTTCGTAATTCTTCATCGTACGGCGTCTTGGGATTCTTGGGATCGCGCGATAAGTAGGGTTTTAGGAAATCCAGCATGGTCATGTAGATGACAGCGTGCAGCTGGAACCGCTGGAAGACGTAGTACGGATGCTCAATGTCCAGCGAGAGATCGGGGTCGTCCATTTTGAAGACGGGAGGCAGGTCCTCGATGAACGTTTGGCACTCTTCTTGGACAGCGATGACCTGCTCGGCTGAGAGCTGGCTGATGACTTGAATGTCTCCCATCAGTGGCACCACTCTCCGAGCAAGGTGGGCTTGAAGCGCAATGTGCGCGAAGGGTGATAGCAGGTTAGGCTGAGTGGGACACTGATCGAGTCGCAGATTTGGAAAGACGAAGGATAAGTCCTTCTGGTCGATGAGATGTGGACGTCCCAGCCATGCTGACATTTGCCTGTACCAAGTTAGGCCTGCCCTTGATCCAGGGTAACAAGGACATACCAGTCCCAGACGAAAAGCAAAGTCCACAAGCGTCTTCTGATCTCGATCTCGAATTCGGTCAGGCCTTCAGTACCAAGGTCTTTGTCGATTCCTATCAGTGTATTAGCGTACGCCCGGAGGAATCCTCGGGTACTATTACCAAGCTCCTGAGCCTCGCGGATCGTGCAGCCTAGCGCATGCCACGATTCCACAATCCTTGATTCCGACTTCAGCCAGACTCCCTTCAAGAACTGCTCTTGGACTCTTTCGATGCAGGACGTCGAAGGCGAGAACGTCGTACTAAGCTGCTCCGCCGCGTTCGAGAAGCGTTCTGTCAATGCCTGTGAGTTGCAGGCTAGCTCGAACTCCATCATTTTGCGAAGTGGAGAAGTGAGGTACTGCACGGCATAGGCGCAGATTCTGAGCAGGAGACAGGTGAACTCCGGAGAGAGTCGCTTGCCGTTGGCCCGATCCGACCACCATTGCACATAGTGATCTGTAAATGTCGGAGCATATATTGCGTTATACCGGTAGTTGACGACGGTGAGGAAGTGATTCACGATTGCATCTGCATCGGTTAGCTTTTCTGACACTGCAATATCTGTTTTATCGTACCTGTAATAGACCTAGGTGGGATCGCAGGTAAGACCTTGTCGACCTCATTGGATTTGTCCGCGTCTTCAGCTTCTTTTGGACACAGGCTCTTCTTCAAGTCAGTGTGGAAGCGGAATGTCAGGGGATCATAGCGTACCTCTGCACCTGCACAAGTGAGATTGTAATGAACATGCCCAGGCATGTAGCCCCACATTCTCAACCCATCTTCAGGTTCCTCCTCAGCCTGTTGGGTATTCTCCTGGGACGCAGCAGTAGCCTCCGTCGATTCAGGAAGGCTCCTCTTCTGCCCTCGGAGCTCACTGGACTTCTCCCTAGACGTTATTAGCCTTAATTGCACGACTAGGCAGGTCGCGCCGCGTGCATTCCACATACCGAGCAGAATCCGGAGGAGAAGCCTTCTTCTGCCCAAACTGGCACAAATGAGGCACTTTTCTCGCTTGGCAATGATTACACGGCCACTCGCGCGAGCACTAGTCACCTGATCAGACTACGAACGGTCGGGACGTTGCGTCCGAAATTCTTCGGGAATACCTTTTGTTTCCGGCGCTGGCATTCGGTACAAGATGTCGTTGAGCGACTCTCCTTCGCAGCTTGCATTGTCGCCATATTTTTTTGATCTTTCCGATGAATTCAACTGTCAGCGTGTTAGATGCGCGTTGATGAGGTCTGGTTTCGGACGCTTCGGGACAGTTCGCGTTGTTGGGGGTTGGCTGAATTCCCCGCCTCAGCCACGAATGCATTAATAATCATCTTGTTCACGTGACTTCGACAGCCTTGAAGTCCTCAGGAGCTCTTACTATTGTGATCTCCTTCTCGTAATGATTTGAAGACATGCTAATTCAGAGCTAGCAAGATCTTTGCCCGGAAAGATAGAGTGGCTAGGATTTATATGGACCTCTACAGCAACGTGTTTCCGCGAAAAAAGCATTGGCTACACTTTTTCTGACAAACGGGTTTCTGGACCCGCTCGAAAAGAGTGATGCAGGCACAGCGACTGTCTGGTCTAGAGAATTATCCTCAATCTTGACGTTCTATCCTTGAGCAAGCTCAAGGGACACCGACGTCGACACCAGGCACACCTGGCACGCAGGAACAGTGCACCGAGGACAGCCCAAGAGCAAAGGCCGGATTCAAGTCAGTGATGCTGTGCAAGGTTTGCGCCAGGATACGCGAAGTCGGATGTTTGCTTCAGGAACGGCATGCCGATACAAAAGGAGGCATGCGAGGTTATGAATAAGACCTCCGGACAGATTAAGAATCCATTTCTCGTTTGTATTTACTGCGCGCACTAGATGTTCCAGGTAAGGACGAGGGTCATCAGGGGAAGGAAAAAAGTACATCGACAGCAAATGTGCGACGAACAGAGCAGTGTCGCCGGTGTTCGCAGCTATAAAATCTTCGCCCATTCATCGGGGTAGCATGAGATCGACTAGCTCCACGCATACAGCAAACGGACCCCATCCGCAAGACCCCCGGCACTTAGAGCGCATACATTGGACCACATATCCATAGAACCCGATTGTATGTGGCTATCCGTGATGAGCGGCAGATGCGGTTGCTCAGGCGTCAAAGGAGCCGTCACTATGATGTTCGGAACGCCGTGCTGTTCCTAGTCCTTCCTCGGTCGCCCTTCTCGGGTGCGCCTTTCTCGAGCTGCTCGCTCTAAAGAAGTCCCCATTCGGAACAAGTCGCTCCAGACAATGGCCTAGGGTAGTTTCCAAGGCAAAAGCGCCGACGTCGTGCAGGACAGCCCTGCCCCGTGCCAACATGTCGCGCCACCGAAGAGCCAGGCAACCACAGCACAGCCAGACTAAGATCAAATCAAGCCAAGGACCCGGGCCGAAGAGGCTAGGAAACCGTGCTGTAGTCCAAAGAGTCGTCCATATCCAACTCTCCACAGCGCAGACTCCACAGCACCACTAGCGCATCGCACAACGACGTATACTCGGTATGCAACAAGCACAGCATCGGAAGCAGTCCGCACATCGTATACCAGTAGAGTGGAGAAATATGGCCTAGACCGGGTTTCCGGCATCGGAGGTCCTAAGTCGGTAAATATGCGAGATACCGAGATTGCTCGTCCGCGGCATATAAACCCGGACCGGGTTTACATTGCGTCATGTATAAAGGCGGAGCGGGAACATAGCGTGACCGTGGACGCGGCATCGGCGTGGTGGCGAGGGAAGTTGAGGTGGCTTGGTGGTGAGTCGGGGCGATGCTCACCTGATATCGGCCCCGAATCCACCGATGCGCGACTCGCGAAAACCAAAATGAATGTGAATAGGAAACCAAGCGGAGAGTGGGGGAGTCGCGAATAAAATGTGTATGTATTATATGGAAAGTGAGAAGAGGAATTACAATAGTGCTATAGGTGGCGTGAGGCTGAAAATGCTTCCACGGTAGAACGCGGTTCCAACGAAGAGATACCGCGCGAGTGGCCTAAGATGGCGCTAGTAGGGTGTATGCTCTTAACTCTAGCTTGTAGAGAAGCTTAAGAAAGTAGACCAAAAAGAGATGTGCCGTGTATAAAATGCAAATGAGAAGCGGGCATCGCGAGTGCGAAAAAAAGAAAGCCGACATGAAGGAACACAGCAAGTTCAACTCTACAGATGAACAGGGTGTTTTGTCCTGATCGTCTCGCCGTAGTGGTAGAAGAGGTAAGGCACAGGCATAAACGCGAGGCCGATGAAGCCTAGTAGGCTGTTTCCCCATCCCAGGCCTAGGGCGTCGTATAGATGGGGACCTGCTAATGGTAGGAAAGAGCCGAAGAGCGACCGAAGAAGTGTGTTCGCAGCAAGAGCAGAAGCGGCTGCTCTGTCTCCAAAAACATCGATTAGATAGGTCTGGACTGGCATCATGATGAAGAGTTGGCCAATCTGGAAAGGCGACATTAGCAGGTGTATATACATATTAATAGTCTTGATGACTTACTCCTATAAGTCCTGTAGCGAGGATTGGAACGATCCAGTGCACCTTCTCTTCAGCTGACCAGCCGTACCAGAAGAATCCAAATGGGAGTACGGGAGCAAGGCAAGCCATCAGGAAAAGCCTTAGCTCCGGCTTGTATTTCGGAGGCGCGCTGGCGTTCTCCTCTTCAGGCTTGCTCTCCTCATCGCCTTGTGATGGGGTACTTGGTGCTTCCGGGCGTTCATTTTTGGCTGCTTTTGCTTTGAGAATCTTGTCGCTGAACGTAGCAAATACGATAAGGCCCAAAAAGAACCCGACCCCCATACCTAGATATGAGAGGCCGATAACGCCAGCGCCGAAGTCGTATTGCTCACTAAAAACAAGTGGGAAAGTAGTGAAGAGGAGGAAGACGAGGCCGAACGCGAACGCGACATAAAGGCTGAGGAGTAAAACGATTGGTGAGAATAGCAATAACTTCAAGGGCCGTAGGACCGATTGCGCGAGGAGGTGATGGGTCCGCATGCCTGTGTCAAGCTTCGAGCGCAGCGCAGGGTTTTTAGTCTCTTTTTGAAGACGGGTAGTCTTGCGGGCCAGGATTACTGGGGCGTACGTCTCACGCATGAAAACGATGGCGACGACGTTGACAACGCCAGACTGGTGGGATCAGTCCGATGTATCAAGGGATAGGAGGTCGTGACTTACAATGATGAGTAGAACCCAAAACGTCCACCTCCAGCCGATATCCTCTGCAATAAATCCCCCAGCAATAGGCCCAATCACCGGCCCAAGAAGTGGTCCTAGCGCAAAGAGGCCCATCATTTTACCACGCTCTTCTTGTGGAAATAGATCCGCGAGAGTACCTCCTCCGATGGTCAAGGGTGCCGAGCCTGCGCATCCAGATATGAAACGGAAGATAAGAAACTCTGTTATATCTTTGCTCAAAGCACACCCCAGCATGAAAGCGAGGAAAATGAAGTTGGTAGATTGGTAGATGATGAGTCGGCCGTACATTTCGGAGAGAGGCGAGAGAACCAGAGGCCCCAGCGCGAAGCCAAGCACGTAGATGGATACAGTCAGCGTACCAATCGTTTCTGACGTGTTATTTAGGTCTCTCATCAACAGCGGCGCTCCGGGAGCGAACATTGTCGAAGCGAGGTTGCTAGACGCATGAGGTGTTAGCGCTCGGAGTGATGCATGGTTAGAAATGGCCCTTACACATTTAGAGTGATCATGCTTAGGAGAATGGCGTGCAGGTATCTCTTGCTGGCCTTCCAATTACGCGGATTTTCAAGATCGTTTGGCCCGTTCCAATCCACGATGTTGTCGTCAGGGCCGCTGCCCATCGGGGCTTCGGCGGCTTTTTCCGAGACGTCGGAGCCTTCCATTTTGGGTTACGCAGTAGCTCTGTAGAAGGATACGAGTGCAGCTCGCGGTACGGGAGAGAGATTTTGTAGGCTTTCGAAGGATGAGCTCGATAAGAGTGAGTGCTGGTGAGCGCGCCTAGCTACAGGAATCGTCGAGGACATGATGGGCTCCAAAGGAATTTTAAGGAAGCTTTCCGTATGCGATCACGAGAGTCGGCGTCTGCTGTCGTGGAGGAAATCCTCCTACAGGGGCATTGGACGAGTGGCGAGAGCTGAATGCTCCGTCCTCCGGATGGCCGTGACCCGACCCTCCGCCAGCCAACACGATACCGCCGCATGCCGGGAATAGAAAACGGGGAGCAGCACGCGCGTTTGAAATAGGAGAAGAATGGCATAGTGCAGCGAAACACGGTGGCCTGGAGATGGCTTCTGTGCACCGCCGCCCGTCGTGGTTGTGGTTGTGTGAGAAGGGAGGGTCGGCGTTTTGCGTGCCGGTCGCTCTGCCGTTTTGGGACTAGTGCAGCCCGGATGCACAATCGCTCATTCTCCGTCACCGCGCAGGCTCCAGGCAGCATCAAAGGCCACCGACATTATCACGCTTCTTGGTCCTCCCGCTGCGCACCATCCGATGAAAGCGCCCCGATGAGCTCTGATTCCCAGTCACAGCGCTTCATCCCCCCGAGCCGCCGGCGGGACAAGCCGATTCTCTCGTGCACCCTCTGCCGTCGCAGGAAGTGAGCCGAAGCCTCCGCTCCAGTAGTCACGTGCTAATATCCACTAAGGCTGAAATGCGACCGACGGCAACCATGCAAAGCCTGCGTGGATCGCGGATTGTCGCTGTCGTGCACCTACGCCCGGAGTCCCCTTGCGCCAGCAACCGCCGAGGCCAAGGCATCTCACAATGTCCATGACCGGATCAACCAGCTGGAAAGGCTCGTCACTGCTCTTATGGATGCCAAACAAATTGGAAATCCGCACAGCCCGACTCCATTCGCCGCCACCGCTCCATCTTATCGTGCAAACGAGAGCAATGAGACCGCAGGTGCCGATGATGCCGACATACCCGGCACTCCAGCCCGCATGAAAATGGAAAGCGATGAGACCAGCTACACGAGCAGCGGTCACTGGACAAGTATCTTGGATGGCGTGCGTACCCCGTCCCCGACGTCCGTGGCTCTTAAACCACGTCCAAGTCTATCTATGAGCCCGATCTGCAGCGAAACGTGCTAATTCCTAGACAGATCGCGGAACTGAAAGAACATCTAGACGACATCCCCACCAAATCGCAGGCTCAGAACCTTGCCGAAATACCCGGGCCTGATCTTCTCTTCGGTCGCCAGAGACATGCTACGAAGCAAGAGATTCTTGCCAGCCTCCCGCCAAGATCTGAAGCAGATCAGCTTGTCGTCAGATATTATGCATTCATGGACATGGCTCCAAGTAGGTCTTCAAGCGTTGAGCACGTGCTCGTCTAACATTCCCAGTGCTACTCCATAGGCCGACCTTCCTTCGTGAGTATGATCAGTTCTGGGAGAACCCTGCTCAGACCCCCATCATGTGGATTGGGCTCTTGTATGGCGTCTTCTCGATTGCGTGTCGCTTCCAGTCCATCCTAGAGGAGCAAAACTATCCCGTTCCTGACCCCACGGAAATTACTTTTTCCTCCGCGAAGATGGACGTCTACCGCGAGAAGGTCGTCCAATGCCTCATTCTAGCGAACTACGCCAAATGTCCCCCGTACACGATTGAAACGTTCCTGTCATATTTTGTCCTTGAGTATCTCCGCTCCCGAGATACTCAGTTTGGCACATGGATCATCGTTGGCATGCTTGTACGCACAGCATTCCGGATGGGCTATCACCGGGAACCATCGAGATTTCCCAACGTCTCCCCATTCAAAGCCGAGATGAGGCGCAGAATATGGGCTATGATTGTGCAGCTCGACCTTATGTCTTCGGTGCAGATTGGCCTACCAAGAATGATTCAGCCGTCAATGCACGATGTAAAGGAGCCAAGGAACTTGACCGATGACGACCTAGATGAAAAGATGACCGAGCTCCCTCCTTCGAGGCCGGATACAGAGTCAACAGCGATGCTGTATACCGTCATCCGCAATCGGGTCCTGCTGATTTTTGCACGTATCATGGATCTTACAAACGCGACGGAGCAGCCACCGTATCGTGAAGTACTGGAAGTCGACTCTGCTCTACGAAGCTTGTACGATAGCATCCCGATATCTTTGAAGGGCGCGAGGGCAAAAGATATCGATTTGGCGTCTGGTGATGGTGTTCCTAGCACCGATGGGATGCGCAAGCTGTATCTCGGCCTCACCTTCCTTAAAGCACAGCTCATGCTGCATCGGCCGTATCTACTTCTCGGACGGACAGACCCCAGATACGAATACTCCCGATCCGCATGTATCGATGCGGCTCTTGAGATCCTCGAGTTCCAGAGACTGCTCGATGCTGAGTCTCGCCCTGGCGGTAAACTTTGGGCTATCCAGTGGCGGCTGTGGACTGTGAGTTGGCGGCTTTCATCCCTGGTCAATCACGACTTTTTGCTTGCTACTACTGTGCTTACGCTCGATCTCGATCGCGACCTAGCTGCTCCTTTGCCAGTGTCAGAGCCCAGCATTACCAATCGCGTTCGATTCACCACTGGGCAGCCAACGCGCGCAGAGATTGTCGAAGCGTTGACGGGCGCCTACTCTATTTGGATATCGGCAAGCGAGAAGTCACGGGAGGCCGCTAAGGTTGCCGCCGCGGTGAAGCTTGTGCTCGGTAAAGCAAGTGCTCCCGTGGAAACTCCGCAAGGTGAGAAAGCCCCTGGTATATCTCCCTAGAAGCACTATAGTGCGTGTACTAGGACAGTATCTACCTTCTAGCATACCTCTTACATCGACCGGGGCATCGTTCGCTAATGCGCAATCATAGTAACTGCACCAAGCCCTACTCAGCCGGACCCGTTGGCGTATTTCTCGCAACTGCCCGCATCCAACAGAACTGGAGATGTCATAGCTTCGCCGTCCTTTTTTGGCCTGGGAGACGACGCAAACCTAAATACTCCCTTCCCGATGGGCGACATGCCCATGGACTTCGGCGGCTCTTTCAATTGGGTATTCGCATATTCCGTCCTCTAAGGTGCGCAGGCACTGACAACCAGCAGGGTGGCTTAGAGTCCGACTATCAGATGCCAATCTTCGAGCAGAATCTGCAGAGTTCTTATTTTGGATGACTAGGTTTCATGGTTATGCACGATCCTGTGACCACTGTATCAGCTCTCTCTACTTCCTGTATACTAGACATGCCTCTCTAGACGTTAATAGATACCCATTTTACCATGGCTTCCGTGTTCCTGCCCACTAGACATCTTCTTTCTCGTCTGCAGTCGCGGTCACAGCCGTTCCAAGTTCTTTTACGGCAAGCCAGTCCTTCACGGCCAATCTGTCCGTCTCGGTTGTCGTTAATACCACCGCTCACAACCATAGAATCAACTCCGCATGCGCTTTGCAAAGTCTCCTCCAGCTAGATGCGTACGAGGTCGTATCTCTCGCCTTTCGCGCTTTGATTGACCGACATCCAGGACGTCCTAATTGCCCTGAATCGGTCCGCCCATGTGTCCAGCGAACCCCGAAAACGGAAACACGAGCGATTAGTCTGCGTTGTACTGGGTCGAAAGCGAGGTGCTGCGACGCCGCTAGTCGGGATGAGAAGCAGATAGTGTCTCAGCCTACCGCGGGATCCTGGTGAACGTTCGGTCTTGGCGGACAGCGCATCAATGTCTACATTGTGCGATTGGTAGGCGTGCTCTGTCTTCCCCTCAGACTAGTGGAATGTGCGCTCCAGGGACTGCAATCGATATGCGGTGGTCGATCTACTGTAGTCGGACCGCAGCTTCCGGGACCGCGTTCCGAGGCCTACGTTTAACTTGTCGTCCCACTTGTGCTTCTTCGCCCATCCAAAGCCACGAACATCCATGTACCTGCGCAGCCTATAATTCTACCGCAACACCCAGCTCGTTGACGGGACCATACGTCATCCCTATCGCTCCTCTACAAATGCGAGCTCTATTCTCGTATACTCCACGTAGCGAAGGCCCTTCGCTTAACCCGATTCTCCTCGCTCTGCCTTCTCCGCTTACGCATCCTCCTGCTTCAAGGCGTGCCTATGGACCGTCTTCCTTCGCATTACAATGAGAAAATATCTGTGGAGCCCGACTTAGGAGATCAACGACAATCCACTTTCAAAACACTGCCTTCGCCGCCTACGGCACCGAAGAGAGCTATGCACAAGTATCGGGTTTCGGCGATTTGTCCACTTGCGCTGGCTGTGGTGAGCTTCGTATTTAGTATCCTGATTGTGCTGGCAGGAAGGAACCCCGGTTATCTGGAGGAAGAATACATGTTTGCCGTAAGTTCTCTAATATTCTGAATGAGAATCGGGGAAGAAATAACTGGTGTCACAGCTCAATGTATCGCGTGTCGGCCAAGATATCATACGCTTCGAAGCAGCCACCGCGACATCTTCCACTACCCCTTCTGCTACCACCTCTTCCTCTTCGAACCCGCTGGATCCGCTCAACCCCTTTTCAACATCCAGCCCACTCAATCCGAATAACCCGGATAACCCACTCAGCCCGCTCCTGGGGAATCTGACCGACACCGTGGACGACGGTCTTCAGACTGCCGTCAACGACGTCATCGAAGCCATCGTGGACCAGGCCGGCGTGAGAGACTTCTACTATCTATACCTCAACCGGGTGTGCGAAGGCGATATAGCAGAAGGCTCGGGCGGGAACGAGGATGGTATCGCGGTGGATACATGCCCGAGCTACGCAGATGCTTCAAAAAGTACGCGCATTTACCCATCTTGGTACTCTTCCACGCACTGACGCAAGCCCAGACGTTTCTCGCGCTACCATCCCATCTTCCATCGTAATCGGCACCACTAACATCTCCGTCCCCTTGATCGCCGAGCTCTCCCACTCCCTCGACGCCCTCAACTCCAGCCTCGGCAGCTTGCGCCGCACTATCCTCGCCTTCTTGATCATCAGCCTGATTGGCGCCGGCATCTCCTTCCTCCTCACACTTCCCTCAATCTTCTTCCCGCGCTCCCACCTCCTCGTATACGCCAACCTCTTCTTCACCTCGCTCGCCTCTACTTTCGCCCTCCTGGCCGCCCTGCTCCTCACAGCGCTCATCGTGGCGATCGCGCAGATGCTCGGTGGGATCGGTCAAGCGGTGAATCTGTACGTGAAAAAGGGGGAGAGGGTGCTGGCTTTTGCGTGGGTAGCTTGGGTGTGTGTAGCGCTGGAGAGTGCGTATTGGGCTGCGGTGTGGTTTGTCGAGATCAGGAGATGGAGTTTTGTGAGGAGAAGGCGGACGGAGGGTGAGATAGGGAGTTGGAGGGGTGTATGCGGCGAGGTGCGGAGGGATTTGAAGGGGGAGAAGAATATGTAACGGAGGGATTTCATGCAGGACCTTTTGAAGAGTTGCGCAAAAGAGTGTAGTTGTTTTATTCTGATCTATCTAAGGCATCAATCAAGCATTACCGAAGTCCCATCCATTCATCGCCTTCCTTGCTAATCTATCTATGGTATGAAACATTGCCGAAATCTCATTCATCGCTTCCCCTGCCGAAAAGACCCAGCACCGAGCCTACTTCCTCACACGAAAGCATACCTAGCCAAACGAGTGTGAATACCGAAGACCCATCCATCGCTTCCCCTGCCGAAAAGGCCCAGCACTGAGCCTACTTCTTCACATGGAGGCACGTCAGACCAAGCTCTGTTGGCTCGCGACCAGTGACCACTATTCTCTCCTTATACCCGAAAAGCCACTCTTGAACTCGAGTCGACGTTTCATCTCTGCTCTTACTTTCCTCACCCGGAGTGCATATAACGGCTCGTGGGATCTTAAGATAATCCCCCCCAAGAAGGATATCGGCTAGTATCTGTCTGAACGGCTGCAGCGGGTTGAACATGACGATGAGGGTTTCGATCGAGCCGTAAGATTTAGCTGCGTTGAACCTGGGCGTGACGTAGATGGTGCATCCGGTCTCGTCGAAGAACTTGTCTATGCACTTCTCGTCTGTCTTCGTGTAGGTGGGCTCGAAGAAGGTCACTTCTAGCTTCGGCTTCGTGTTCCTGGGCTTCGTTAGCGCATTCGTTCAGTGGAGAACTTGTCCCGGAAACGAGGAGGACATACGATTCTCCTGGACCTTTCACAGCTTCCTGCACTTCGGCGATGATCTCCGCAGCGAGAAAGTGCTGTCGAAAAGCCGTCACCTTGCCTCCCGCGAGAGAGCCTAGTCCAATGAAGCAGATTCTCGTCAATTGAACTCCGAGCTCGGCCGGCGAGAGCCGCTTCCGCAATTCGACGCTGTCGAATGTTACCTTTTCCAGAAAACGGTTGGCCTTGAATATCGTTTGGTATTCCTTCCACTTCTCTTTGACTTTATCAGCAGGCTCAGCATCACGCAGCAGGCTCAATTTGTATTTGTGGTCATAGTGGATGACTGTGTTTTCTCCTTTCTCTTGAAGCTCCCGATACGTAAGAAACTCCAGATACTCGCCAGTCGGAGGTTCCATAGTCGCAACGGCGTCTATGGCATGGTGGTCCCAGACGCTGTACCCGCAATTAACCTTCGCGGAATCGACCACCGGGGGGTCTTTGAGGATCTCTGCAGCGGATGCGTAAAGAGGAGTAGTCATTTCGTGGGATAGGAATCGCGTACGGGGACGGTAAAGTTTTGTTGAAAGTCGTTCTGGTAGAGAATTTGAAAGATATTTCAAGCAGTAGATAGTTGTTGAAGATGGTAGCTCGCTTGTTTGGAATGTCGACTGTGTTGAAGGAAGGAAGTATCCGCTGCTGTGCTGCGCGGCTTTATATATCAATGCCAAGCGTCATCTGAAGTGGGTTGAGGATGAAAGTCATAGGCAAGGTGTGACTCGTCGAATGACTGTGTTGGTCCGTCTACTCACGCACAACCGCCTCCGCGCACAGTCAGGACTGAGCGCAACTACCACTGAGCCAATAAAAGGGCCATGCTCTGATGAGTTTCGCATCTGCGAGTCGTTTGTGCATCGGTGAGTGGTTGCACGCCCCTACGCACTGGCTCATAGACAGACATAGCGGGGACTCGAAAGTTGTTGGTGGGCACGAGGACGCAGTCAACATGGCATCGCTCGCCGTTAGGCTTATATTTGACACATAGGAAACAGGGTACGTACAAGGTAGGATCGAGGTGAGAGACTGTCCAGTTCGCATCTTCTTTATGACGAAGTCGAGCGAATTCACGACTGCGCTGCGCAGACTGTCCAGTTTATCAGCGTCATATACGATACTGCAATAAGGCACAATATCGGGATCCAAGTGGAACACCCTCCAGCGCACTATTCATCGACGTCATATTCAATACTGTGTACAAGGCGTAAGACTAGAATCGAAGTGCTGAACTCCTCGGTGCGAAAATCGTCAGCCTCATGTTTGACGCATCATTACAACGCACAAGACTAGGGTTGGCGTGCAAGGGCCTTCAGTGCGTCATATTCGATACCGCGTCCAGGACACAAAGCAAAGATCAAGGTGCGAGACCCCTCCAGGGCACTAATCCTCAGCTCAAGAAATTCAAAGCTAAAATTACAATTACACGCGACCATATATGCTTCGCCGGCAAGAAAGAAAGCCCCTCTCATACCCCAAAAACATCTGCGAAATACCGCTCCCTAAGAAATCCATCGTTCAATCTCCCAAATATGCCTCTTCCCCAGCGCCCTCTTCGCCCTCTTCGCCTTCGACGAACCACCAAACATATCGCTCTGAAACGGCACCTCATCGGGCTGACACACCGTCCCCTCCGGCGGCAACGACCCATCCTTAATATACTGCCTCATATACTCAAAAACACACTGCGACGGCGAATCCACCGTGCAATGCCCCACCGCGTCCTGCGTAATCAGCCCGGAGCCTCCAAACAGCTTGCTCATCTTCTCCGCCGCGCGGTGCGGCGTGACGGGATCGAGAGTGTTGCTGGCGAACAAAATAGGAGTGCTAGTGTTATCCGCGCTGGGTGGACCCGTAAACAGCTGCGACTCCGGCGGCCGGATATCCAACGAGCGGCAGTTCACCGAGACGCCAGGAGCCCAGCCTTCGCCGAGGTACTGCGACTGCGCGACGAGAAGCGCGACGTGGTCCTCCCAGGCGTCGTAGTCGGAGAGGTTGAAGCGCCCTGCGCCGTCGTTGCAGGCGATGAAGAGCTGGGGCTCGACATCGCCGAGCTCGACGTCGGTGTTGCACCGGTCATTTCGGGTTCCTACACGCGCGGCTTCGGCGACGAGGGATGCGTCGCCTTGCTCCAGCGCCACCAAGGCCTCCGCCATCATGGGGAAGTAGTACAACGGGATATATGGCACGCCGAGCAGCACCTGCTTGAAGTCGGTGTATGTTACGATGACGGGGTAGTCGACGTGCGACGCGTTTGTGACGATCATGGGGTGTGCCTTGATGTTCTCGACGATGGCATCGAAGCGTGCTTCGATGGCTGAGGCGGAGTCCGACCAGAAGGGGCACAGGTCTTTGCCAGCGTCGTAGCAGAAGGTGAAGAAGGAGCGGATGATGGCGTCGGCGTCGGGGAGGTTGGCTTCCCATTTGGCTTGGTAGTAGTCTTCGCCGTCTACGACGCCGTCGAGGATCATGCGGCCTACGCGGTCGGGGAAGAGAGCTGCGAAGGTGGACCCGAGGACTGTGCCGTACGATGCGCCGTAGTACCAGAGCTGGGATTTGCTCGGGTCTTCTCCTTTAGATTTCGCCAGCACTTCCGTGTACCGCAGCATATCCGTCGCCGTCGCCGGCGTGTTCACGTACTTCGCGCTGGAATTCGCGCCAGAGTGGACATGAGTGCACCACTCGCCGAACGCGCCGGCTCTTGCCCACGTCTCCACCATACTCTTTGTATCGTTGGCATCGACTGGCTTTCTGAAGTCAGGGTCGTACAAGGCCGCCGTGTTGTGCTGGCCAGGGAAGCAAGACACGCTGGGGCCAGAGTTGTTGACGGCCCTTGGGTCAAACCCAACGATGTTATTGTCCGTTCCGAACACCTCCTGAAACAAGGGCACGTTCTGACGCAGCAATTGGACGCCGCTTGCACCAGGGCCGCCGGGGTTGATGAGGATGTCCTGGGCGGAGGAACTGTTGGTGGAGTTGGTGGTCCATTTCATGAAAGCGATGCCGGTGGTGCCGGCTGCTTCATTTTCATAGTCGAGTGGGACTTCGAGCATGGCGCAGGTGAAGCCTTCGAAGCAGGGTGTCCATTGGAGGTCCGGGGAGGGTGTAAGCTAAGGTAAGTGTTAGTACGACGTTGCACAGTGGCTGTTGGAGGGAACTTACCAGTGCAAAGTCCCATATCGCGGACTGATTGTCTTGTCTCCTATGCAAGGGAGTTGCGAAGACAGACTGTAGGCATGCTAATGCGGAGAAAGTAGCGATTGTAGGGAACTTCATTGCGACCAACCCTCAGGTGAGAAGGCGAAAAAGAAGAAGACGAAGACGAGGTCGTGAAGGTAATTCCACATAGCAACCACTGCCCATCCTAAATACCCCAAAGCACAACGAGCACCGCGTCAGTCCGCCTGCAAACCCAAGCCGCCGTCCAGCTGGGCGCAATCCCACTGCCACGATGCTGCCTTCTTCTGAATCCATCGTGCCAAACACCGCGCAGGGCGTCCAGTAGCCGAAGCTGCGAGATGTGGCTGGTTCAATTAGAGAGACTGCCAATTGGCTGCGGTTTATATTAAACATGAGACGGTCTGGTAAGGTGCTGCAGATCAGCACGTGGCTGTGTAGTCGGTACAGCCACACCAAGCCTAATCTGACATTACGCTAGCCCGTTCGGGAGCGTAGCTTGCAGGAGCGCGTAGGATTCGGAACAACGGGATAGCCGGTTCGTAGGAACTGCCGTTTGTCATGTGGTCGGGGACGGGGGAACGAATTGGGTAGTAGGAGGAACGAGGATGTCGAGGAAAGCGACGAGAGGCAAGGCTGATCTGTGAGGGTACCTAAGTATCCACAATCCTGAGGCTCCTCACCGGACAGAAATCCTTCAATGGATCCTTCCTCTCTAGCTTCAAATTCCAAGTTAGCGAGGTATCCCACAGAAAGAAACCGATGGATAGTGCCGCGGGACCTGCCATTGCTCGTGCGTCGCTGCACCCCGCACCGTCCTCCCGTGACACAGCATTAAAAGCTGTAGTTAGACATGGCGCGCACTGCCCTGGGTAGCAAACATGCTACGGCTTTGTCTAAATGGCTGTGTGCGACGCATCAGCTGGAGTACAGCTCACGAACTCGACGTTTCTGCTGGGTGGAGGACGAACCGGTGAGCCTCCACAAAGCGCGCAACAATCCCATTCGACACCCTCAGAGACCTAGCTGAAAAGAGCTGAGTTGGAACTGATCCAGCCCAAGGACGGCGATGCAGACTGCGCCCTCGCGAACACGTACTTTTCGTTAAGGGATTCTCGCGTCCATCAAAACTAACGAGGCAGAGAGTCGTGTCGTTCGATACCGGTGAGCGATTTTGCTTTGCGCTGCAGCGCTCCACGGTTGAATTACTTTAAGCAGTCAGCAGTACGAGAAAAATGGACATTGCTGTAGAGGTGGAGAATGGCGTAGGATTTTGCCCACGGGGGTTTAATTGCGCAGGTCGTGCACAGCCACCTCCACCTCCTTTCCATCCAATACCAGCCCTCTAGAAAAACAAACCCACAAAACGCCTCCGAACCCACTTTTTTCCATCCCTGGGTATCATAACAAGAATCATATTCTCCACTTCGGCTTGTTAGGCCGACTATCCACGTTCGTCTCGACGCCCACGCCGGGTACGTTGTCGCCCGCCAGCGGATCAACCTGCGCCAGCACATACTGATCCTTATAATGATCCTCGAATCCTCCAGCAAGCGTTACCTGTCGCGTGAGACTTTCTCTCGAGTTCCCGCTATCGCTTTTCACGCTGGGCTGTCGGCCCAGCCCAGCGTTGTGCTCGAGCTCGTATGCTAGGCCGCGGTCGTCGTCGTCGATCCGGCGGTGTTCGGCCGTGATGTGGACTTCACGCGTGACGAAGATGGCGGTGAGCGATTTCTCGATGACGGGCCAGAAGATGGGCATGGATGCGCATATGATAGCGAGGTCGATCTCGAGACAGGAGAGGATGATGGATACGGGTGGGAACCAGGTGAAGTCGATGTAGGGATGTGTTGCTGCGCGATTCGCAACGATGGTGTAGAGGCGCCATATCGACGTGAAGACAACCCTGAGTTTAGGTTAGTGATGATCGGAGCTAGAAACTCTGCGAGGGCAAGGTCCTACGCAGGATGGCTAGGACGTGAGGTAAAATAGGTTGTGAAAACGTTGAGCACTTACACAGCGCCTATTATAAAGATACCCGACATCGCAACAAGATTCTTCTTCCTTAGGTTCGGCTTGCTGAAGAGCACCGTAGGCGTCAAGAAAACTGCAACATCGAACGCCATGTTCAAGGCGGTATGGCTCTCAAACAGCCCGATAAAGTCGTCCTGATTCGAGAATCCGAAGCCGTAGCACTTGGCATTTGGATTATTCAATCGATCCCAATATGCTTTGACGGGGAAACCTGCAGAGCGGTCAGCGTGAGACGTCGTATCCAGAGGAGTGTACTAACACGGGAACCAAGCCATGAAGCTATATGTAAGTCCCCATAGTCCGATGATGACCAGCAGCGAGAGGCATATCCAACGCATCGTTCCAGCTTTGAATATGCGCAAGTATTGGAAGAGGAGGGACATTTTGATGAGGGCGGTTTGCGTGATATACGTGGCGTTTTCGATGTAAAAAAGCTGTGAGGGTTAGTCGGAGCGCCACCACCGTCGTAGGCGGACAGACATGTATATACATCGTCATCTTTGGGATTTCGAGGTACAGAAAGTGATGCCCCAGTCCATATTCGATAGCTATGATTTCAACGTCAGGCGCTTCTTCTATTGGTCGAGCTGGCTGAGCATGACTTACACACTAGTACGCATATAGTCGCTGCGGTATTGAGGACCTGAACGTCGTATAAGTCGAAGTCTTTATCAGTGTATACACATACCACATACCGATGCGAGCACCACAAATAGATCATCCCAGCCCGGCTCACGGATGACGCCAAATCGCACCCACAGTCGCATTCCCACTGCTACCCAAGAGATGACCTGCGTTCAGTAGTCAGTAAAGTGGATGCAGTGCTATACGATGCCCATACCAAGAAAGGAACCGTAGCACCGTAGATGGTGCCTTTTCGGTTCGAGAGCGGAAGCGGTTCATCTTCAGGCGGAGCATTCAGCAGCATCTGCTTGATCAACTCCGCCGACGCCATATCGCCAGCCAAATAGCTCGCGTTTTGTGACGCTCTTTCTTTTTTTTTTGAGGAATACAGTTGCTCATTGCTCAAGAGCAAACCCCGTCTCTGGGGACGCCCGCTTAAAGACATCTAGGTTATCGTCACCGCTGGAGGACAACCCCGGTCGGCGTGCCGTATTGCAGGGGCAGAAAACAACCGGGCGACAAACTAGCGGTTAGGGACCGCGCCGTCGGGTCGCTGACAGCGGCAATCAGGAAATTTTTTCCAAAGGCCATGGGTTTGGTGCAAGGAACAGCATGGGTTTGGAGTGTCATGAGTCGAAATTCTGGCCTCGTTGGTACGATGAAGCGTTGCCTGCGTTGGAGCCCCTGCGGGGTCAGGAGAAGAGCGGAGAACGCATCTGGAAAGAGATTCCCCTTCCGTTCCGTTCGGTGTATCGCCGCGATGGAGATCAGAAATGGGGGGTAAGCTTATGATGTGTATCCCTCCTTATCTTTTGGTGCGGCTTATCCAAGTCGCCTTCCGCATTCATCTTGTCATCCCCGTCATCCTTGCTGCTGGCGCGTAGTCCCATCTTTGACGGCTAACGTCCATGCCCTCGATGTATGGCTCGAGATTGCCATGCAGTGCCGAAACTCTACTCTAGGCGAGGTCATCGGAGAGTTTGGGGTCCAGGGCTGCTCAGAGATGGTTCGCCAGTTCTGGTTTTTGCGCAACGCACTAACGAGTGGTTTGCATTACTCCGCTTTCCCAGGTTAATCCTGGCTCGCGGTCCATACCGCCATGCCGCAAAAACCGCCCTCCTTCGTGATTCGTGAGAAGTCCCAAAAGTCGAACCTGCCGAGCACCGTCAGAACACGAGTCGCCGTTTAAGCCAGCGAATCATTAGCCCCCTTTTCCAATGCATTTACAACGAGTGGGCTCCATATGGTCTGATATCGGGGACAGAGAGCTGCCAAGCGTCACTTCGTGTGTCGGCAGGATAGTACATTCAGTAAGTGATGGAGCGTGGCAAGAAGAACGTGCCTGTTATCGATAGCATGAGCATCTTCGAGAAAAGCGCTAAATGGCGTTGAATTCGAAGAACCCGAACACGAGCCGCGGATAGCGCCGACGAGGGGCCGAAGCGGTGACTAACAGGGGAAGACCAGGGTGGCCGACGCGCGGAATATCCGCCTCTTGGGAGACTTTCACGTCCTTCCGGGATAGGAGAGACAGGAAATTCAGCAGGGATCACTTTAGGAAGAATTCGCGAGACGTTTACGTTACATCCTCCGTCTTCACCGTGGGTCATGTCTTCTTATTGCCGGCCAATTATGACGCGTGCTGAAAAGACGGACTAGATAAGCGAGCAAAAGGATGACTCTCGTCCAAGTTGATGCGGAGCCGAACATCCCGATCCGATACCATGCTGTTCATGACTTTCCCATGCTTACGGGCGCTCGAAAGCTTGAGCATAGCGCGTCAGCTAAAAGATCGCAGCCAAGTCCCAGGAACATCAGGCTAGATTCGGAAGAAAGCCACGCTCGGGAACACTCGGCAAGGTGCCGATGGGTACTTCCGACTAGAGGCCAGTGTGGAGACCCCTGAGACTGAAGCACCTTTCTATTCGCAAGATGGAGTGCTGAAACGGTACCTCCTGGTCCTCAGGCCGTCCAATGGACTCCAACTCGTGCTGGTATTATTGTAGCTCGGTGTAGAATTTTCTTCGTGCCATGGTTCGCGGTGGGCTACGCCCGAACCGTTCTTTTCTGTTAACTTATGCCCCCTCGCCGTAGTTCTGTAATACCCTATTCTCTTCTCTTAATATATTAGCCTCTTTTTAAGTCCTTTTGTGCGTAGGCGTTGTTAGCATAACCTCTATAGGTTGGTGACTTAAAAGGAGAAAAATAAATAAATCAATTCTCTTCTCTTACCCTCAATATACCCGTCCATTCTCCGCATGTCATCCTAGTTGAAAATGGACGAAGGCAGGCCCTCGTTCGCTTTCAGAACTCGCGTGTACACTCCTTTGATCGAGCCTCCACTCTGTATACTCGGTGAATATGTTCCTCTATTCGGGCTAATTCTGATCGGTCAAAAGTGAGCATAGGAAGGACTTTAGGCTTTCGAGAAGCGCGTCGAACATGACCCCACATTTTGTCTTTTAGATTGAGCAGGTCCATACAATGCATTCAGAAAACGGTCCAAGGCAGTCACCATGCGTATGGTAGCTAACGTGGATTGGTCAAATGCTCGAAGTCTCTTGGTGATTGAATAATTGTGCTAGTAGCTTGTCGTGCATTGATTTCCACTAGGGCCGTAAGGCTGGGAAGGTCCTCATGGCGACGTAAAGTTAAAGACTTCTAAATCAAAGGATGGCGTGAACTTTTGCTCGCGAGTTCGAGCCTGACATCTGACGTTCTCACTGTCTTTGCACGGGCGAGACACGCCAAAGCGGGGCTGCCTCGGCTCCTGCGTACGCAGCCCGAACATCCGACCCTAACATCTCGACTCAGCATGTAGAGGCGCCTAATAAAGAGCACATTGATGCTCAAACCCCTCGATTTATCCTCACCATACCTCTCGCCGTGTACTTGTTCAAATTCAGGCCAAGATGACATCTCCATCTTTCGGCAGCACGCTTCCGTGGGCAGAGCCGAGCTGGTATGCACCACGCATGTGGCATTGCTCCTCGAGACTGACTCAATAATAGGTACACTGGACGCCCTACACCATACTACAAAGAGAGCCATCGAAGGCTTCGTGATGCTGTGAGAAAGTGGTGTGACGAAGTAGGCTTTTCCACCAATCCGGGCTTGACGGCGTCCCTCTATCCTCAATTTAGATCTGGGGCCCTTTTATCCCATCGCATTTTCACCCTTTCAGCTAATCTTACGCCTTTCACTATTCCCATTGCCGCGCCATGCTCCTTCAATTCCACTCTAACCAGCACCAGCACATCGCCCCCCACACCGACTCATGGGTAGAAGCCGGCGCCGTCCCACCCTCCCTCTACCACGCCTGCGCCGCAGCCGGCCTCCTCGTCCCCATCGCCTCAGGCAACTCCATCCCTCCATCCTGGGCGCACTACCCGATCATCGGGGACATCGCGCCCGCAGAATGGGACGGCTTCCACGACCTAGTGCTCTGGGACGAGCTCACGCGCAGCGGCAGCATCGCCTCCCTCTTCATCGGGCTAACCGTCGGCGCGCCGCCGCTGCTCAAGTTCGCGAGCAAATGGCTGCAAGACAAGATTTTTCCGGAGATTCTGAGCGGAGAGAAGCGGATCTGTCTTGCGGTTACGGAGCCCAGTGCGGGGAGCGATGTGCGGAATCTTACGACTACGGCGGAGAAGACGCAGGATGGGAAGCACTACGTCGTTAATGGGGAGAAAAAGTGGATTACGAATGGGATGTTCAGCGACTATTTTATGACGGCTGTAAGGACTGGTGGACCGGGCGCGGAGGGTATCTCTATGCTTCTGATACCGCGCTCGGAGGGTGTCAAAACGCGACCTGTACCTGTGATCGCGGGGCCGCTTGCTGCGACTACCTATCTCACCTTTGAGGATGTCAAGGTACCCGTTGAATATCTTATTGGCAAGGAAGGCCACGGCTTCCGCCAAACGATGGTGAACTTCAACCATGAGCGGCTATGGATTGCCTTCCAGTGCCTTCGGGGGTGCAGGACCGCTATGCACGATGCGTTTCAGTGGGCGCTAAAACGGGAGGCATTTGATAAGAAGCTGATTGAGCAGCCGGTGGTGCGGAATAAGTTCGGTAATATGGGAAGGCAGGTTGAGGCGCTGCAGGCGTGGACAGAGCAGGTAGTTTATGAGCTTGGACAGTTGAGCGATAAAGATGGAGCGAGGCTGTTGGGCGGGACGACGGCTTTGTTGAAGGTCGAGGCGGGGATGGTTTGCAAGTATGTTGCGGAGGAGTGCTTGAAGATCATGGGAGGGTGAGTGTTGCAATACCTGTGTCCGGCAACACTGCGCTAATTCAGGCAGGCTTGGACTCACGAAAACGGGGCAGGGAGCTAGGATTGAGGCGTTCTACCGCAGCGTTCCTAGCTTTGTCGTTCCGGGTAAGTCGCTCTTTTCTTCTTCATATCACGCACGCTAACCTTTGCAGGGGGTTCTGAGGATGTAATGATCGATCTGGGTGTCCGAGAAGCCTTGAAGCTGCACAGACAGGCCGAAAAGGCGAGATCGAAGCTTTGAGTGGAGATAGCCTTGTATCTCTAATGAAATTGTTCCGATTCGTGTACCGCACTATCATCAAGTTTGGAAGGTCACCCAGAACTCTGCACAACGTCGCACCTCTCTCCCCAACAGAAAACCCCTCATCTCCCCACCTCAAGGCTCATCGCACTGACTCCTAATCGTCCTAACTAGAAACATTCTTCCGCAACATGGAAAAACCCCTCCCTTCTTATGCATACTCCCCCATCGATGCGGAAACCGAGATCCGCATTCTCGTATTGCATCCAGCGGCGAATCTTGCCGACCCTCTCCAAGCCCACGTCGTTCATCGAAGGTTGTGGGACCAGACATATACCGATGCCCCTCGTCCAGAATACCGTGCAGTATCCTACTGCTGGGGCGATGCCGATCACTCGCGCGAACTCTTTTGTGAGAGAGCGTCCTGAAAGTCACCTCCAACGTCGAAAGCATGCTGCGCCACCTCCGGAAACGGGCGAAATCTCTCCATCTATGGATAGACGCTATCTGCATCAACCAAGAAGACAACGAGGAAAAGGGGCCGCAGGTTAGCTTGATGGGGAGCATTTATGGGTGCGCCGAGAAAGTCTATGTATGGCTTGGCGATGCGAACGAGGCCGATGAGGTTGAATCTACAATTGCATGGCTTAAGGACTTTGCAACGAGGACAAACATGCTGAACCTCCATCCGCAAGCTTCCGGCTCTGGACGAAAGCAAGAAGAAGACTCTGAGGAGACTATAACGCGCCGAAACCGGGCTCTACAGCTACTGTCCCGCCCCTGGTTCAGGCGGCGATGGGTCGTGCAAGAAGTCGCCCTGGCGAAAGACGTTTCCATGCTATGTGGTCCGCATCGCGTGTCATGGGCGTGGCTCTGCTACTGCAACTCCGCCCTATCAAGCCACTTACCGAATGGCACGCGGCCAAGATTGGCGAGAATCTACCAGATGCGAGCGTCATGACTAGAGTAACAAACCAAGGTCGTGACTTACTCGAACTACTCTGGCTATGCCATCGACTTCAGTGTGGCGATAAACGTGATCGCCTCTTCTCTCTCTACGGGATTGCGCGCCCCGTCAAAATCACTCGACGTTGGGCCATTGGGCCGCGTCTCTGCCCCGTGGATTATTCTAAGAACTGGGTCACCACGTATACCATCGCGGCGGCGAACTGTGCCCGTGAAGGCGGCTTTAGTGACATCCTTCAACATATCTTCTCCTTTGGGTCCCTCTACTGCCAAAATCCTAGCTGGCCCTCATGGGTGCCGAGCTGGAATCAACAAAGGTTCACCAATGCCCGACTTTCTAGACAGCATTATGATATTTGCTCTCCATGCAGCCCCCACGAAGACCCATTAGGGAATCTCACCGGTCTCTGCGTAGAAGGGTATCTACACGAACTACTTACCCCTCCTATCAACCACAACTATTGCTTCCTGCACCGCGTGCACGCACTGTATAGGTTTACCGGTGGGACTCTTTCGATTCTTTCGACCTGGGGCAAGACCGACCTGCAGGACCTCGACGAGGACACGACCAGCGGGAGGCGGATGGCGACGGCGATCTTGAACGCCATCGAAGACAAGAGGCGCCTATATAATCCCCGCGATCGCGATGACGAGTCACTACTGAACCCCACATTTCCCTTACGTGAAGACGAAAAGGAGGCTAAGAAATTTCTCGAAACTCTGAGGGCTGCAGTCATCTGCGAATTGGAAATCTTGAGTGGCCTACCAGAAGCAGGAGAGGACCAAGAGCTTTGCCAACGTTGCTTGGCCCGACTCCATGAAGTCCACGAAGGGGGTGAGGTCATAGGGGACTATGTGGCTAGATGCAACGGCGGCAAGCACCTTCCAAAGCAAGCAAACGTCCGGTGCAAAAAATTCAAGGACCCATACGTCTCTGAATCAATGCTAAAAGGGTTCAGCAAAGACGCAGTTCGCCGCGAGTTGGAGCGTGTTTTAGGCCTCAATGCACTACTCTACTTTCACCATCCAGACAGCAGCGCTACGAAGGGTATACTTCCATGCATTGCTCCACCAGGCGCGGAGGCTGGTGACTACATCTTTCGTCCATGCAGTTGGGGAATCCGTCCACCCGCCCACCTCCTGCTCCGCCCAGCCCAGAACAAAGTTTCGGAGATGCCAGCTTTCCGCATTATAAGCATGTGCTTCCCTGCGAGTTATGACTACCAGGAGGAAAGCTGCAACACTTTGAACGTCACTGAGATTATGATAGTATAGTTCTCCCTTATTCGGTGCCTAGGCAAGTGCGCACACACTACCAGAGTAGATATATTAGGCGTATAGTATATCATTAGGTTAGCTGTCGGTGGACATGGCACCACGAAACACTCCAAGCTCACCCTCCCTTTCCTAACTCCTCCCAGTCCTCGCTCGACCACGTGCTCCCATCGTCTACAGTTCCATGCACTTCATACCGAATAAGCCCTTCCTCCATATCTCGCGCCACCAATTGAACAGTCCCATCCCCACCATCGACAGCAACCGTAGGCATGAACTCCGTTGCGTACCCTTCAAGAACGTCTCGCTCAGTACACCACAAATACTTCCAACTGCCCCATCCCGTACCATTGAACGCATTGTAGTGAATACAATCATCAGTCCCTCGCGAAATAATGTGCGCGAACGGCCGGCCATCCACGCCATCCCCACGGACCAGACTCTGCGTGTCGGGGAACTCGCCGCCCTCGTGGCTAGCCCAGAAAATAGTCCAGTCACTCCAGGCGCCATTGCTGAACAGTCTGTGAAAAGTACTGCCGCAATTGACAACAACATCGATGACGCCGTCGCCCTGTGCCGTACGCCACGACACAGCCAGCGGCGACGACGTGTCTTCGCCTCTGCAATATCCGCCTAAGAACACCTCACTGAGGTTCTCCCACTCGTCGGCCCAGCCTGAGTCAGCTGACCAGGACTTGTGTAAGATAGTGTTCGAACTGGTGCCGAAGACATCGATCCTGTCCTCTCCCCACGACGCTGCCGACAGATCGCCGTTGGAAAGGAAACCAGTGCCGAGTTGTGTCCACTCGCTCCATGAAGAACCGTCATACGACACCGTCCATACATTTCCCTCCGAATCCACATTGAAGACATCAATCTTGCCTGCTGCTCTGGAGACCACGGCCGGGCGGGTCCAGAACTGAGTGCAGCATTCCATCTCGAGCTCGTGCCAGTTGTCGTAATCCCAGTGGCCGTCGTTGAAGTACATGAAGACAACACGGCCGCTGACCGCGTCGACGGAGAAAGCTGTTTGCGTGCTTTCACTCGTGGCAATGGCTACAGGCGCAACCAGGAACTGACGGCCGACGTACTCCTGCCAGTCACCTGCGTACTCTCTTCTCCAAAGCTTGCCCTCTGCGCGAAGATCCCAGACGAGCAACGAGAAGGGAGATCCGGCGGTTGCACCAAGGTCTCGAGGGACTCTTGTTCCTTGGGGCTCAAGGGTAGGTAATTGCGATGACGGAGCTGACGGAGATGCTGAAGCCGACGGCGAAGGGGTGGGAGTAGGACCCAAGGTTGAGGTTCCGATTGAGGTCCCAACACTCTCAGATTCTCTATGCGCTCTTTTAGTTCATCATGCCTACGTTCCATGAATCATGCACTGACCTGGACCGCGACTTCTTCACACCAAAAACGGCGCCAAAGATGATTGCGAAGAGGACTAACCCCACTACCGCCAATAACAGAATCCAGCACAGCTTCCTCCGCCACCATACCCGTGACTCTCTGCTCTGAGCCGACTCTTCGGGCGCATGCCTGGGGTCTTTCTCCGCATTTTCAACGTACGGCGGGGGCGGGCTCGTCTCCACATCGTCGTTGCCGTTTTCTCGCATTATCGTATAGGTACCTGTGAAGATAACGTTTATATCGGGCTTGGGATGCTTCTTGAGTACTACGAGTCGCCAAGGATTCCAAGCCTCCCAAGGCTCCTGTAGGATTCTGATAATGAATACGAGAAATGTACCACCAATCAACAACTAGTCTGATGCCGGAATCCCGATAGTCTAGTGGGATGACCTTTTGGATCGGCGGCGTATGCCTAGGAATCATTACTACATGCATGAAGGCGTGTTCTGTGGAGAATGAAACGCGATTGCCGAGCGTTGAGTAACTGACCTTTTGCAAAGGCTCGGTAGCTGGAGATTTGTAGTTCGGAATAAGCGGGACATACGCCAATGAGCCATACTGATTCGGGGAACGAAACGCCTTCGAAAGAACTTTAAAAGCAGATGTAGAAAACATGGCAAAAGAAGATAGACACTGATTACGTCATCGCGCCTTGCGGAGGGCGATGCGCCATCGTCGCTACTGTCTAGGAAGACATTCTTCCTCTCTTGTAGACCTCTAAATATTGCCACCAATGTTTCCAAGAACGGAGGTATCTATGCTAACACTGGCACATTTGGGTTTTCGGGAAATGTTATATCCGTTATCCGTGCAACGCTATATGGGCATTGCTGACTAAGCAGACTAAACTTCCCATGCCGTTTTTATTCCTCCCGCCGTCGCTCGTTTTCCCTCTGGTCTAGCTTCAGCTCACCGGTCCCCTGTGCACCTAACGCGGGTCTATGTAAATGCCGCACGAACGTTATTTTACACTACACATATTGTAGTAAGTCTGTCCTGACTATCCTCATTTATTCTACTACTAATTTCTCATGCTTACTAAGTTCTACTTTTCCCGAAAGCTTCGAACAAGGCATCAAATCCACCGTCACCTGTATAATCTCATGAAGACCTCGGGATTGACCCTGGCCATCGTCACGCTGAGCGATGTCTTAGATACCACGCTCGACGCCCCTCCCTCCGACCGATTCAGTCGCACGGCGGCGCTGAACGCAGCCGCTGAGGTACCCACAACCAATCCACTCTAACTATGGGTGGTGAATTGCCTCGTCAAATTAGCGATCGACGATAAGCCTAGACTTCTAAGAGCTAGGGTTGAGCCTAGCAGCGCTACTGCCTCCACCGCAAGCGCATTACAACCATTCGGTGGTGTGTGCATATACCGCGCCAGAGTAAGATGTCTCCGTTAACTTCCCATCACCAATAAATGTCTTCGCTTAGCTTGTCACGAACCCCTCCAACCTAGTCTAGGAATCAAAGTCCGGAAAACCTTAAAGTCTCCGCTTTCATACGCCCTAAAGCTGTACCCTGTAACTACAACCTCCCGCTAATCCGAACCTTAGGTCCTTTGTAGGAGGTGGTGCAATATATTAGGCTGGGCTTGGTCTCGTTGAAATCCGTAAGCTGTTCTAGCTCTGCCTGTTCAAGCGTCGCCGTTGATCTGCTCAGAATCATAGCATCCCGCCATTCAAAGAGAAGCTGTTTCCACAGCTATGCGGCCGGGCCTGGCAACAGCCACTGCATCCGCTTCCTGAGGTCGCAATCTCATCGGTCCTCGAAGGCACTGCTACGTCTTGTTCTAGTGCGAATCGGCGTAGTCGCGGAGACCGCGGATAATAAGGCGCGGAAAGCTGTCCATCAGGCCCGCTGCCTCTATCTCAGAGCAGAGGTTTGCTGCCGAGTTCATTGCTCACCTCTTCCCGCGTGCGTACGCGCGTGCTTAATACCTGATTTCCCGACGCGATCGTCCCGTAGTGCACCACTACCTCTTCTTCGCTATCACGCTGCTACCGAGCCTCTTGTCTATCTGTGCCACAAATCTACATGGCTATGCTTTTTGGGACGGTAGTTTACCACGTCTTTTATAATCAAGAAATGTCACGAGATTAGGTGAGCTACACAGTGTCTTATTTTCTTAGCGTAATTTATCGTCCCTGGCTTTAGGCCTTGCAGAATAAAGCTCAAGCGAAGCCCGTGCTAATCACCCAGCTCACGTCGTCGTTGAACGAGGCGGCAGCGTCGAACGTGTGAACGCCGCCGTTGCTCGCGGCGTAGGCCACGTTGTTGTAGTGGCGGAAATAGCGGGTAGGATAGCTCCAGGATCGAATCGCGTTGCCCTGGCCGTTGAGGCCGGCTTGCGGGCAGAACGTGGCGTCTTCGTGGAACTGCTTCGTGCCGTCGTTGGCGTTGAGCTGGAGCTCGAAGTTGTAATGCCGGATGTAGCTGCCGGCGGTGTCCCGGGACTCGAACGAGAAGCAGGCGCTGTTGCCAAGGCCGGCGCGAACCGTCCAGCTGGCCTGTTGCTTGAGGGCGGTGCTGCTGGACGACGAGACGACCTGGGTGTTCATGGTGGCGCCGGTGTGTGCAAGGTAGCGGGTCGTGTAGCCGGCTGTGGTGGCACGGAGCGAGATCGATGAACCGACGCTGAGGGCCGGGCCGCTGGTCAACGATATGGTGGCATATCCTGCGGCTACGATGTTGGCCTGCACCGAGTTCTCGGTGGCGTCGGACGGGTAGCCGGAGGTCATCACGCCCTCGTAGAAGGTGCCCTGGGCGCCGACGCTGTTGTCGCCGCCGATGCCGAGAATGATCGCGCCCTCTTTACTCATCGGGTTATACCCAGACGGGCTTGGGCGCGCGCCATTATAGTACGTCGACAGCGAGCCGGATGCAGCGTTGGCGCCGCGGATCGCCCACTGATTCGGCCCCCCCTTGACGACCGCAGTGACGAACCGGGAGGAGATGGACGGGTCGCCAGCGTTGTTGCCAGCGCTGATGCCGGAGAACAGGCCGTTCTCGAGATCGGCCATGATCCAAGGGCCGCTGCCGGAGCCAGTGCCCCAGACGGTGTTGTCGCCAAAGTAGATGGCCTCCATGTGGCCGTTGCCCGTATCCAGGCTACTGGTCTCGGCGTTGCCGTAGTCGAAGCAGCAGCCACCGTTGTAGTGGGTCCCGTCGAGGATCGCGTACATGCCCTCCGCCGCGTCGCCTGTAGCTGTTCCACTGGCGGCGTTGTTGCGGTAGCCCGTGCCGGGCGAGACGAAGACGCCATACGCCTTCTGACCGTTCAGCGTGACCGGTGCGCCAATCGCACTGGCCAGGTTGTCGTAGCCGTTGGATTCCGGGCCCCTGAAGCCGCCGGGCGGAGCCTGGGTGAGGTGATTACCGCGGCCGGACTGGTCGTAAATGATGGTGATGAGGCAGGTCGTGCTGGCGCAGAAGGAGTCCTGTGCGGCGGCATTGGCAACACCGCCGGCGGACAGCGGCGTGATGGTGGTTGTGGTATTGTCGGAGCCGCGTCTCACCTGGTAGAGTGAGCCGCTATAGGCGCTGTACAGGGCGCGAGTGGTGCTGTGCGCGGCAACGCAGGGCGTGCCGCCGGAGGAGTATAAGTCACATGGCCCAGCGGCAACAATGGACCCCGTGGCAACAAGGCCTAGAGCAAGTACGCTTGCTCGTAAGGACATGTCTAATTCCTTTCAGTAGAGGGACGGTAATACGGGCACCCCCTGTGAGCGTTTCGAATTCATCGCTGAGAAGCTCGCACGTCGTAGACTTATAAGCCGCGTAGTGTCTGGCCTGTTTTGTTATCATCTTTATCCAATCCGTCCAGATGTCCGTTTTCCAGATTAAGAGTGGGACGCGTTGCTGGAAAAACGGAGAATTTCCTCCAACAGTTATGGACAATGTATAGTTGCAAATGCTACCTACTATTATAGGGAAAGGCGACGCGAATGCGGATACCTACTGTTATGCGGGGTACAGACTACCTCGTACCAGTCCCATGACATGTTCCACCAGTTATATCAACCTTGATCACTTTGCTCGTGAGCAGAGGGTGCATTACCGAGGCCATCACGCAAGCTCCCTGCAGCTCAGCCACAGGTGGCTCGAATTGCCCCGCCGCACGCAGAAGCATTGCCGCTCAAGCAACGCACGAACGCCGCATGTGAACATAGTAATTATCCCCATAGCATTATTCGGCTCTTCGATTGGCCCCGTCATCGGTCCCTTCGCTACTGGACAGTACCACATGACGACCCAGAAACCTTACCAGTACCAGCAGCTCGATGCAGAGAAGGAGATACGTATCCTTCTTTTGGACCCAGCACCGCACTTCGCCGACCCTCTCGTGGGGCGCCTACTGAGATGCTCGATCCGGCAAACGGATGACGCGCTCCCTCTATCGTTTGAGGCGGTTTCCTACTGCTGGGGGTCGTTGGGTTGCTCCCTTCTGCTGGAGTGCGACGGCCACGACCTCCCGATAACGAAAAATGTCGACTCACTACTCCGCCACTTGCGCAAGGCCTTCAAATCTCGGCATCTATGGATCGACGCCCTCTGCATCAATCAAGGGGATGTGAAAGAGAAGGAGAAGCAGGTTCGCAACATGGGCATCATTTTCAGCCTTGCCGACAAGGTGCATGTCTGGTTGGGTGATGCGAAGGAAGAAGACCATATCCCCATGGTATTTTCCATTCTCAAAGAAATGGTGCTCGCGGCGAGAGACGCCGATGCCCTGGACACTACGCTGTTAGAAGGACTCAGCACTGCTCCTCTAGACTCGACGGAGGAGAACGGCATCTTGTACAACAAAACGACCCTTTTTGCGTCCTTCCTAGCACGCCCTTGGTTCCGCCGGCGATGGGTGATCCAGGAGGTAGCGCTGAGCCACGTCGTCACGATCCATTGCGGGCGCCATAAACTATCCTGGAACTGGGTGCGAGAAAGCGTGGACGTACTGCACGCGTTTTTCTCCAAGAGGAACGACATTCTTCCCCTGGAAGCCGTTCATGCCCTCGAGAACGCTGTTAGCTTACGGCCCGGAACGCAAAGTGTTCTGGACTTGCTCTTCCAGTGCCATTCCAGCCAATGCGTGGACAATCGTGATCGGCTCTTCTCGTTGTACAGCATCGTCTCCCGAGATTCCCGAGCCCTCTTAGATCCCTTTCTATGTTGCCCCGTGGATTATTCGAATGACTGGACCTGGACATATACGGTGTTTGCCGCCGCTGTCGTCGAAGTCGGATCGATTTATGACCTTCTCGCTCACGCCATTGCCTTCGGCAATCTCGGCCAGCAAGATCCCGCTTGGCCTTCATGGGTCCCGGCCTGGAACAAGGAAAGGCTCGCTCGGAATCGATTCTCTGCCACTTCGCTCCAAGACCGGCAGAAGTACGCTCCATGCGTTGTATCTGTGGGAAGTCGTATTGGCCTCCGGATGAAGGGCCTACTTCGTAAAATCGAATTCCCGGAAGTGCTAAATCAATATCCCACGTCTGCTAGTCAAGCGCAAGACACTTCTATTACATCCCAGCTCACCGTGATGCTCGCACCAATCTGTGGAGGCCCGCAACCCGTCATTACAGAACTTCCCCCAGCCTCCTATACGTGGCCGGGACTCCTCTCTAACATGTTGCTGGTGGCGATACACGACACTCTACTCTTTTACCGCTGCACGAGGATTGATTTCGATCGTATCTTTGGAAATACTCGTGCAGTAATGACCATTGCGGATGAGAAGAGCCCGTTTGAACTGCTCCGACTCGCTCTTCTGTACGACCTCGGGTACCACACCACGACCACGTCAAATCTTGCTTACACGAGAGCCGACCTCCACCACGAGGTAAACAAGGTTCTAGATGGGTATCAAATGTTCTGTATCAAGGTCGGCGACGCGGTGATCCCGGGCATTGCTCCGCCCGAATTTGAGCCTGGTGACGTTGTCTTCCGGCCGCGAGGGATGAGTAGCACACCGCATGGCTTTGGGTTCATGCTCAGACCGTTCTTAGAATCTGCACTGGGCGATGGCCGTTCCACTAACTTGTTTCGTCTTGTGGGAGCGTGCTTCCTGGGCAACGATTGGATGATTCCCCTGCAACAGGAATATCCTGAGGCTCCCGACTCGATGTGGGACGAGATATTTCTGGTTTGAGTTCTTGCCCTGGACCATCCCGTGTATGCTGGGGCTCGAGCACATATAGCTCCTCCGAGCATGGAGCGCCAAAATTAGATATCACGTTCTCAATTGCTGGTTAGGGAAACCTCTGAAATTCATCGACTGGATATCTATGCAGCCATCCCGGCAGGCGCCTTAACAGAGCTAAAATTGCTGTCTACTTCTGTAGCTATCATCGTTTGGTCAAAGATAACGTCGCCCCGTGGACCTCGCATGAGATATGAAATAGATACGCCTCCAAACTCTCTTAGTCCCTATTACACACTTGGCCTACTTTTGAAAGATCTGGATGGCTGCTCGAGGGCTCGGCAGGCGGCAGGCGAAGACAGCGCACTTCATGCTCCTCAAGAGCCATGTTCAGGTAGTACTGTAAAAATGAATTACTACTTCGTGCCGATGGAAGATGTACGACTCACATCTTACAATAAACCTATCGTCACATCTCCCTTGACTCGCGCGTAGATCTCGACCTAAAAAAAGCCCGCTACATCAGCCCAATAGTCACATCACCCTTCACTCGAGCGTAAATCTCTACCTCAACTTCCAGGTCCAACTCGATCTTGATCTTCAGGCTGCTGTCCTTCTCGCCGACTTTCGCTGGTCGGTCCGAGATGCGAGACTGGTGCACCGGCACCATTCGGCGGCCTCCGCTCCTCCTTGCAGGCGGCAGGGGAGCAGGTTCGGACATGGCGCCCTCGTCATCCTCGTCGTCTTGGTAGAACTCTGGTGGAGGGGCTTTTTGAAGTTGGCCCTGGCCCAGCTTCTTTGGCTTCTTGCGCCCAACCATTGAGTTGGGGGAGCTTTCGGATGTTGTTGCCTCGACTGGGTAGTCGGTAGTGGCGCTGAGGAAAGAGTGTCAGCCCAAATACACGCAATAAGCTAGATCTAGGACGCGTGGGGTGCTACTTACTTTTGAGACATGAATATGGCCGATTCTGTCTGCTATATGCTTCGTAGGGTGGTCGGTTGGATGAGATAGTCGATTGACTGATGGAAGATGAAGGAATATGGGATGAGCTTGAGCCAATGCAGACCCTTATTTTATAGTTCGTCTAAGAGCTGGAGACCAAGCCGAGAATGACGGAACCCTATGGTTACTTGGTTACTTGGATAGCTCATGCTTAACCCCACACGAGATCAAGGAATCTGGTATAGATCTGGCTTATTTTGCAAGTAGTCGTCGATCCCCGCAAACTAAGAGCCCGACTTGCGTCCAGAAACAGGATAAAGCTCAAGCGATGATGGTGGGCGCTTTGGCAGCACAGCTGAAAATGACGGGGTCGGCCCAGGCCGCCGGCCCTATGAACACCAGTTCCGTATAGCGACATGTTTCAGAATCAAAGGCGCTCCAAAGTCTGACTGTTCTCGGTAGACGGAACTTGTTTGGTCGTAATAGTTGACGTCATTGCGTGGCCAGCTGATGGGCTGAATTTCTTAAGAATTCGTATGCCCCCGCAGTTCTGCTTTTTCCAAGGACTCAACAGGTTCTCCCTCACAAACCATCCAACCATCCTCGCTGAAATCGAGCACCGAGCGAGGTGCTACTGCATTCCGGTACAAGCGCTTCTCTTCATCCGCCAGATATTATGGTATTAGGCATTCTCACTGCGATTGCTGCCTGTCCCGCAATTATAGGGACCACCGAAGCAGTCCGTCAGGGCCAAAAACAGAGCGCCAAGGAAAAGCATAGGGGCTTGAAAACGAAACTCGTCGTGAACTGTTCGACTGCGTCGAGGGCCGGAAGAGAGGTGGATGGGTGTGAAGTAGTACTAAGTGATAACAAGGTGCGGCATTCCTCCAAACTCTCAGCGAGCGGTCCACCCATTCGGAAGCGTGATGGGCGATAATGTCTTCGTAGTTGTATCTCGCAATGTCGTCGGTCGAATATCCAGACGGTCGCCCCGAGGACCACCCTTTCGCGGGTTATTTCCTCCCATATCCAGATCAAAACTGGGGTCGGAAGGGAGAAGGCTTTGTCTCTACGATCTCAGACGAGCCCCCACAATTGAACTGGATATACGTCGATCGAGATACTCACGAGGTCAAATACGGGGATCGCGCGGAATCAGAGCCTCATATCATAGGCCCTTGGGATGTTACCAAGATGGACAAGAGGGTCACTTTGGAGGGCTGGGAAGGGTTCATGGCAGTCAGATATGGTCCTAGGGAATGGGCGCTCTATTTTGATAGGGATGACGATGGATTGAAAGGCATAATTGACCCGGAGATGTGGACTATGGAGATTGAGTTGGTGAGGAGAGAGAGGAAACAGGAGAAGCCCGATCCCGATGATGAATAACTTGGCAGATCGACAAGACGTCGGAAATCGATTGGCTGAAAAGAAACGCTAAGCCTCTTATGGCTAGTCATCATCGTGTTAGCTGCGGGGTCAGGAACGCCCAAACTCAGACAGCCGTATCCAGCAGCTTCTGCAGCACGGCTAATGAGGGGCTTTTACCTGTGATGCGGCAGAGTTGCTCTGCGACAGCTGTACAGGTTATGTGAGTTGCGACCTAGGTAGCTCGCGCGCGGGAGGAGTTAGTAACTCCGATAACTCCGGGCTGCTCCAGGGCTGCTCTGAGGCTCGAGGGCTTGTTTGGAAGACAATCCTCCCATGCGATATAGCAAGCGAAAAGAAAATGGAGAACTCTACAGTGTATCTTTCTTCCACGGAACCTGCCCTCAACCACGAAATGACCTCGTGGGAGCGTGCTTGATTGGTAATAAACGGCTTGTCCCAGCCATGGCGACTCGCTGGAGGTCCCGACTCTAGTTGGGATGAGATTATTCTGGTATGAGTGGTGTATAGTCAGTGAGAATGATCGCGTCAGATGGCTCTCGTATGCGGGGGTTGAGGAATCATGGCAGTAAAGGGCATGAGATTGAGAAGGACTCAAACTGCCGATTAGGGCAACATCTGAAATCCATCGATTGCCGATGCAAGTGCGAGGGCGCCATCCCGGCAAGCGGCTTGGCAGTCTACCTGCCGCCGCATCTTGATGGCGGTGGTACGACTCGGCCATCAAACGGATCTCACGCCATTCTCATCTCACGACGCACCACAACACCACCACCTTTGCCCGATTGCTTGTGCGGAGCGCGCCGACCATGGAAGCTCAACCGCGAGGGAGCGCTACCTTCATAAATGGCTCCCAGCCGGCAATGGCGTCGTAACTCTTCCGCCCTGAACGTTCTCCTCTATTTGCCTGGCCGACTGAAGCTGCACTCTCGGATCCTCGCATTTACGAATATCCAATTTTCCACCCATCAACTTGTTTAGACTAGAATCTGCACAATGGCTCCATTCGACCGACGACCGATGCAGCACATTGACCGGAGGGACCTCTACACCAACCTCGAGAGCCGGATCCAGTACCTCCACTCCTTCCTTGACTTCAGCTCACGTATGACGCTTCCCTTGCGCCCAGACTGGATATAGCCCGCTAACACTGCGTAGGCGATATCGAAGCCCTCATCTCCGGAGCGAAGTACATTCGAGCGCTGATCCCCGCCATCGTCAACATCGTATACAAGAAGCTGTTGCAATATGACATCACGGCGCGCGCATTCGAGACGCGGTCGACGTCGTACGAGGGACCAGTAGACCCGAACCTGACCGAGAACTCGCCCCAGATTCTTCACCGGAAGATGTTCCTTCGAGGTTGGTTATCGTGCTCTGGCTCTCGATCCCTACGCTGACGGTGAATCAAGGCTATCTTACGAAGCTCTGTAGCGACCCGAGCAAGATGGAATTCTGGGAGTACCTAGACAAAGTCGGCATGATGCATGTTGGCCAGGGCCGTGCTCACCCTCTGCACGTCGAATATGTGCACATCGGAGTCACCCTCTCCTTCATCCAAGACGTCCTCACCGAAGCCATCCTGTCACACCCGCGCCTGAAAATGGAGCGCAAGATCGGCCTCGTCAAGGCTTTATCAAAGGTCATCTGGATCCAGAACGACCTCTTCGCGAAGTGGTACGTGCGAGACGGCGACGAATTCGCCGAAGAGCGTCTGGTGCCGGAAATCGAGCCAGAGGGCTACCTGCACGGGAAGAAGATCTTGCACGACGGCAGCGAGAGCGAGAGTGAGATCGAAGACTCGCCCGTTGGCACCTGCCCGTTCAAAAACCTGGCGATGGGTCCGAGTACGCGGATGAACATCAACGCCCCGCCGAGCAAGGGCATGAAGAAGATGACTCTGGCAGAGTCGCCACTGAAGAAAGATGTATCCGACGAAAACGTTCACAGGGAGCCTAGCCCGCTACTCACACCGGCATCGCCAAGCTCGACGTCGTTTACTAGCGGCATACCGCGTCCTGGAGGCAGCAGCCCGTAGACGCGGCCAATGAAACGTTGCGGGCCTATCGGAAGGGCGCGCAACCATGGGAAGACACATTTCCTGTTCTGACTATGAGAGTGTAATCACACGCGATCTGTGCATACTATTGTGGCATCTGGGAGGAGTTTAACGGTTTCGCGCGGGCTCGACAGGCTTTGGATACGGTAGGCCGCAGGGTGCAGGCTGCTTCATGGGACTAGATATCATCTCTTTGCTTCACTTCTCTTCTCTTCTCTTCTCTTCCCCGGGCTGTCATCAAGTCGGCTATAATAGACATGAATCACTACTACGTCATTCACCGTTCTGGAATCTACTGGCGCAGTCTACAGCATTCGACGCACTTCTCGTCACGTGACTGTATACAAACGAGCCATCATGGTGTTGAGCTTCGTGATGTTTCAGGCGGCGCAAGTGGCTTGCGTGGTCAACTGCAGCCGAGCGCCGAGCCAGAAACTGGTGGAACATAGGCCGCTTGGCCCCGGCCCCGGCAGCCCTCCACAACAGCGAGTGCGTGGGCGGGTCTGCACGCTGATACGTCGCCCTGGGGGTGTTTGGTATGCAGTTTCGAAGGGGGTGTCTTCCCCAAAACCACTCCAGGCGTAACATGACAGTCGTGAGACGGGTTTGGCTTGTCGTCGAGAGGGTTTGCGGGCGTTGCGGCGCCGCGGCGAGGCGACGGCCAGGGGGTCGAGGATGCGCCGCCAACGTTAACGCGAGGGACAAAGGCGGGCGGGCGGGACATTTCGGTTGCACAGCGCAGTCATAAAGAGCGCATCGCGATGTTGGCGCTGCTGTGGCTCGGTGCGAAGGTGCGAAGGCGCCAAGGGCTGCATTCCGCTGCCTTTCGAGAATTCCTAATTGCATGACATAACGGGGTGCTGCACGCCTCCAGACACCCCGGCCGCCGCTGCCCCATGCGCTGAGATTCGAGGCTAATTCGGGCTAGGGCGCTGTGCCGCCGCGCCGGGTCGCAGCTCTCAGGAAGGTGCGCTGCCCCCGACCCTCATCCTCATCGCCCGCCGCCCGTCCTCATCACAACATCATCCGCCCATCACCCACCGCCCACTTTCTCTCCACCACTACGCCTCGCAACGGCTGTTTCTTGCGCTGCACGCCTGCTGCACGCCCGTCTCTCCTGTATTCACGATTTCACGCCCTGTATTTTGCGCTGCTGCCTCCGTTTCTCCCTTATCTCGTCCTGCTCGGCCCATCGTTGCGACACCTTGCAGCGCCTAATTCCCAACCACGTCACCCGCTCTGCCCTTTCTCTTCTTCCACTCCTTCGCGCACTCGTTATACCCCTATCTGTTGTAATATTCTGCTCTTTTCGCGCCCTTAATCGCCGTTGCGCGCGCTGCTGAGCCCATAACTCCGCTGCGACGTCATTCCGCCGCGTATTCCTCCGTTACTCGATGCGCCCGACCTTTGCCACGACAGATGACCGCTGTTCGTGCTAGGCTTCCACTTCCACTTTCACCACCATGCAGTCCATGTTCCGCCTCCCTTGGAGTACGGAGTCGCCCGGCGACAAAATCATGGAAAAGGCGGCGCTGCACAAGTCAAGACCGCTGCCCGTCGTCGAGATCCCCTCTTTCATGAATAGGATCAAGCGCAAGAGGACCGACAGCCCCGAGCCGGCGTCGCCGCAGCCTGCGCATGTAGTGAAAAAGTGGAAGGACGCGCACGGGGAAGTGAAGCCAGCAGTGATCGCAAACGGGAGCGCCGACCGCATGAACGTTGTGGACGGGGTAGTCACTGAGCCCTTGGACTCCGCGGAATCTCGAGGAAGTGCGCCGAAACCTGCGCCTGCCGAAGTTCTGGAGTCGCGTCCGAAGGCGCAGCCCTCGAGAAGAGAAGGCGCGAGCAAGAGCAAGGCATCAAAGTCGCAGAAACCAGTTGCCAAATCCGAGGCTTCTGCCGACGCAACTACATCTGCCATGGGGACGGGATTGAGCGCACTTCAGCAAGCCATCGAGGCCCAGATCAACTACGAAATTCTGCTCAAGCACAACGAACTGCGCCTGATCGAGCAAGAGCTGGCAAAGTGTCAAGTTTCGCTGGAGCAGCTGAGGCGTTGCTCGCTGATTCCCTTTCCCGGCACCGGCGGTCTCTCTCAAAATGTTAGCGGTGGCGTGGGAGCTGCTCTGCAACCGCCCTCCGGCTACACGGCACCACAGTACGCCGCGCCGTGGGGAGTCACAGACGGTCCGTACACTCGCCACTACGCCAAGTGGTTGATCTCGGATCCGAAGTTCGACTCCATGTCGGAACGGGCGCTTGCGCAGCAGGCTCAAGGCTACTTTGGTATTGGTGAAGGCCGGACGACGCGTGGCAGTTTTGCTGAGTTCGGCTCAACAGGCAAAGCGCGCACGTCTCGAACTTCGACTGGAACGTTGAAGCTCCAGGCTCTGGGTGAAAACCCAGCACCAGCACCGAAGATTGATCCCTTGCTACACAAGCGGTCTACGGACGGACAGTGGGTAAGGCTCTACTGCGCGCCGTGCGGTCACAGCAATTTCTCCAATACGCAAGGATTCCTCAACCACTGTCGTATCAAGCACGGCCACGTCTACAAGAGCCACGACCAGGCAGCCATCGCTTGCGGCGTTCCTGTGGATGTCAACGAGGTTGGAAACCCGGTCACGGCAACCGAACCGACAGCCACGCCCGCAACGACTCCAGCGGTCACGTTCCCGGCACCTACCACTCCAGGATTCATCCACCCGCTTGTTCGTGCGAATCCTCCGGAGTTGGCCAAGGACGTGCATCGCGATTTCAGCAAGCCACGTGACGAGGCCAAACCAAAGGCGCAAGCGGCAAAAGCGCATTTCTCGGGATCGAAATTAACTCCACACCTGAATGCTCTACTTCAGAAGCGCGGTTTTGAGGGAGACCTGAAGGGACTAGTCGACACCGCGCGAACAAAGGTTGATCTTGATGCCATGGAGACTTCGGATGACGATGTCGCGGACACTAGCGCCGTCCAGACACCGGTTGCAGCCAAGCCATCGCAGCTAGTGCGTCTTCCCGCAAGCGCGCCAAATGCTGCACCTGCAAGCAAAGCTCCGTCAGCACGGCCAGGCAGCCAGAAGGGTCACTCTGGTGGTCACGCGCGCCTCCCGCTCTCGTTTCCAGACGGTTCGCTTCGCCGAGGCGGTCATCACATGCCAGACTCTCCGGTAGACCTCAGCCCGAACACAGTTGAGTCTAACCCTGGCTTAGTGAGCGATCATGACGACGATGACGACGAGGACGGATACGACGCGCGCAGCCAGCCGGACATTATCATGAACGATGATGTTGTCGTCGAGGATGCCAGCGATATCGAGGGTGTCGCGGAGCGCACGGGATCGCGGAAGGGCCTGGACAGCTGCTGCTTCCGGAAGGGAGAGGGGAGTCGCAAGCATTAGATGGCGAGCAAGTTGAGTCGGGCTCTCTGTCCTTTCTGAAAAGATTGTGTTTTTGCTTTCCTGTTTCCTTCTCTCTCTCTTCTACCCATCTCTGTGCAATAGAATTATCCGCCTCTTTTCTTTCTTTTCCTCTCACACACCTCGGCGGACGGCACTTGCTTTTCGGGGGGTATACATGGTGCCAGCAATGGATTGGGCGGTCTGCTGGCTGGGACTGCGCAGGTTTTCTACCTATGCGAGTCCTTTTCTCTCTCCTGTCTCATCACCATATCGAAATGTGTCTGGAATCTCTTCTCTCGTGTGCGCCTGAACGGGTGTTCTCTAGGCGCTGGGTACGTCTGTGTATTATTGTGTGTATGGCTTGGATATGCGGGGGTAGACGGATACGCGGAAGAGCGTAGAGAACGCTTTGTAGGGAGGGATCAAAAACGCAGGCGGAGTGCCTGCTTTGTATATATTTTTAATGCTAGCGATGGATTGAATTCTTGGATATCATGGAACTTGAGCTGGTACTGGCGTGATGGTGCCCGTGATGTGTGAGGTGCTTTTTGGGTTGAGGTTCCTTGAGGGTGAAAGGAATCATCACGCTCACATGCTCCTTGAGTGACGGGGGATAGGATTTGCGATTCATTCGATATCACAGCTGCTTGCCAGCCCGCCCAGATCCCCGACGCCCGGACTCCTCAACGCATTGCATGCTTCCTTAACACCATGCTTGAATAAACCCGAACCCGACCATGCCCGATGCCTTCTCATCCGCAACCAATCATCCCCATTCCCACGCACTCCACTCCACACACCATTAGATCAGAGCTCCTAGCCCATAAACTCAACAACCTACTCCATACATTAGCCCAATCCATTCCCCTTCCCCTTCCCTCCCAGCCCAACATTACAATTCAGACGTGTTACGTACCGCCATAACCACGCACGCCAGGCTCACATACGGACTCAGCCGCTCGCCCACCCGCGCGCTCTTCCAGAACGGCGCCATGTAGTAGCTGTCCTTGTTGCGGTCCATGATCCCCGGGAACACGTAGTGCGCGTATGTCGACGTGCAGATCGTGAGCAGGATTACGAGGAGCAGGGATTGGAAGTTGAAGAGTGCGGTCTGCGGGGGGTGGGTTAGTGTGTGGGGAGCTTGGGGACGGGGAGAGGGGCTTGCCATTTTGTTAGGGTTGGGTTGGGTGGACTGCGGTCGGAGGGTGGAGGGGTTGTATAGTAGGAGAGTGAGTAGGTGAAAGCGGAGGAGAGCAGAGGTAGAGAGGTATAAGGTGAAAGCGACGCTGTGGACAGTTGGAGGTGTCGGGATGTGGAAAATCATTCACGCCGGAAAGTGTCCGTGCGCGGCTGGTGATCGTCATCGTGAGCTTCTCGCTCTTACCTTTGCACATAAGGTTTACCTCGAACTCGACCTCGAACACCAACCGCAACTCGACTCGCTCGCCTCCATCGCAACTTGCTACCGCAAGCTCGCCCCGCTAGCAAGCTAGGCGCGACAAAGGAGAGTCGACCCTGCCACACCACGCCTCGCGTCTCCGCGGCGCTCATACCGAAGCCCGCACCGCATCCCCAAACCCCCCAACTCTCCCACCCACAATGACCGAACCCCGCATGCGCCTCCGCACCAAAGGCGCGCAATTCCCCGCCTCAGACCTAACCGCCTTCCTCGTCGCCTACGGCGACTGCATCCCGCCGCTGCCCGAGACGATCCGCACGCTGGACGAGATAATCACGGACTACATCATCGAAACGTGCCACGAAGCCGCGGCGGTCGCGCACCACGCGCGGCGCCAGAAGATAAAGCTCGACGACTTTAAGTTCATGCTGCGCCGGGATACGGCGAAGCTGGGGCGCGTGAGCGAGATGCTGGAGACGGATAAGGAGCTCAAGCGGAAGCGGAAGGCATTTGATACGGATGAGGGGGCGGTGGTGAGGGGCGAGGGGGAGGGTGGTGGGGGCGCTGAGGAGGGAGGGAAGGGTAAGGGTGGGGAGGAGGAGAAGAGGGAGGGGGAAGAGAAGGCGAGGAAGAAGGCGAGTAAGAGGAGGAAGGGGGAGAGGGACGATGCGAGTACGGTGCGGAGTGGATGAGAGTCTGGCTCGGTGCGAACGCATGCGCGCTTTTTTACGGCGAATGCGGCCTCTCACGACAGCCTCCGAACGCCTTCGAGCATATGCGCATGGATGCGCACTTCGAACCTTCCACGGCTCGGCTTTGGCATCTGTTATGGCGACCCCTATACCAGGAGAGAGACACCCCTCCAATTGCGGTGCCCATCTCAGAGCGGGCCAAGGCCTTGCGATCTTGCGGAGTTTGTGCAACAAAGGGTAGCCGCACTTCGCTTGCATTTCCAGGCGTTGAGGATTCACAAAGTATATTATGGCGTTTGCAGACTGGCATGGTAGCATGCCTAATATAATATACCCCCAGTCACATATCCAAGAAAGGTCCTTTGCGGCTTTTGAATTCATTGAGCTCTAAGAGTGCTCTATAGCTTTACGCAGTGCATTGCAAGCCTGCGGTATTCATACAATCATTCCGCGCATCTCGTTTGGCGATATTGACCGGGTCCTCGGGCGTGTGTCATCGCCCCTCCCACTATTCCTGCTGGGTTTCCCCGCTCATCGGCCGCCACTCGTCAGCCCAAGACTCCGACCGACACCTTCTCCTTTTCCCGGGCCCAGTTTATAGTTATAATGCAGAATCGAGACTCCACACGCAAAACCGCTCGCCAGCTGTTAAGTATGTTCTCATGCTTCCTGTTGTCTCTGCTGCCTGCCTCTGCCACCACCCCCTCGTCCTCCTCGTCCTCCTTGTTGCCTGTCGCCGTCGCGTTGGCCGCCTTCGCCTGTGAGCGCGTCGCCGGTGCCGAGGGTGAGTGCTGCGGTTGCGAGACGGTTGGAGAGGTCGATCTGCGTGCGGATGGTGTTGGCGAGGTAGGAGACTACGAGGACGTCTTGAATGTGGTTGTTGCTGGTGAAGTTAGCCTCGGAGTGCAAAGTGAAGGAATTCGGACGTACAAGTCGCGCTCAATGTCTGAAGGGTCAACCTTCGGCGCCAGACTCAGAGCGTTCATCAGGAACTGGCCTAGTGCAGATGACGGCTCTGCCTCCTCGTCCAGGACATTGTTAACGTAGTTTGAGACGCGCTCGAGCATATCCAACACGTGCTCAACGGCGCGCTCCAGCGCTTCCAGGTCCGTGATGATGGGTTGAGACCTGTCCTCCCGGTCCTTGGCCGAAGAAATAAGTTCCAGCCCTGACTTTTCTGCCTCGCCATACTTGAGCTCATGCGGCACCGGAATAAACAGGCACGAATCCGCTGCTCGCTCCGCCGTAACACCAATCGGCGCCGAAATATATGTCCGCGACTCGATCTCCTGGCCCGGCACTGTCGACACCGTCAGATGTACCGCTGGATGCGGCCAGGTTCCGTCGCCCTGCTGGCCGTAGAAGTTCTGAATAAGCGCAGAGAAAGTGTTGAGCTCGCTGCTCGTCGCGTACCAGCCTACGAGCACTTCTCTAGGGTTCGCGCGCAGGTGCAGGGCAAGCATCTGCTTCTGATAGTCCATGTCGACTTCGACTTGTTCGGCGGTCTCGGTGTGCGGGACGGCATAGCAGTTGCGGATCTCGACTTCGGTGCCGTCTTCGCTGCGGGTGCCCAGGAGGGTGCCGATGACGCGGTCTTGGTCGGAGGGGCGGCGGAGCGCATGATCGAGGATCGAGAATATGGCCTGTGAATATCAAATTAGGCCTCGGTATCCCAGATAGAATACTGAATGCTTTGCGCACCTGTGGCTGTATGACTACGCTGACTGGGGCGGTGGAAGGTTGGGCGCCGATGGGAGCAGGGCCGAGCGGGCGCGCCAGGTGGAGGAAGGTGTCTTTGTCGGCCATAGTGAGGCTGCCTTCCGAACAGGCTTTGTCTTCTTGCAGAACGGACGTGTTGGTGTTGAGGGCGGAATGTGCTGCGGGGCAGTTTTCGATATTGTCCGCAAAATCTTGGCGCGTGCGGATCTAGCGAAAATTTAGGCGCTCGGGCCACTCCGAGATATCTTTTCTGGCGGCGAGGAGACTTGACCACTGACGATAATTGGCACAATATGGCGCCGTTTCGAGGACGTGGAGCTTTTCGCGGAAGAGCAAGAGGAAGGGGTGGAGCGAGAGGTGCAAGAGGAGGAAGAGGCGGAAGAGGCGGAAGAAAAAACGGATTCCTTTCTGCGCGAGTGGAAGAGCGAGTTGCGGATGGGTAAGAATAGACCGATGTGTGAGCGATGGTGATACTGAATGCGTACAGTGAAGATATATCCAATGCTCCTGAGCCGGAACAAGAATCTGAGGTCAGCGACGGATCCTCAGAAGAAAACGAAGAAGACGAAGACGCGCAGCCGATCTCGAAAGCGTACCACATACTACTACAGTCGTTCGCGTCGCGCCAGAAACCGAACGCAGCCAAGGACGAACCACGGAGGAAGCGACGGAAGCTCCACCACGGCCCGGTGCCCCAGCCCGAAGACGATATAGAGGTAGATGCAGAGATAGAATCCGAGACGAATGAAGAAGAGGACTCTGAACCAGCCGATGACCGGGAGCAGGACGGGCCTGGCTCGGCAGTAGACACTATGGAGAGTGCTGAGGAAGACAATGGAGAGGTCCAAGGCCCCTTTGAGGCTCATTTCGAGAACCCGGATGAGAACGAGTTAGCGATACGGATAAGAGGCATAACAGAGAATCAATGGACGAATAAGAAGTTGGATGCTCCGAGTGGTAGCAGATGTATGTTCCAATACCTAAGCGCGGGAGAGAAGGCACCGAACAGACGGAAGATGAAGAGCACGAGGGATATCAGACTGAAGCCACGACTCGTCGAGAACGCCCGGCAGGTGCTTGGGCAGTTCAACGACGTCGAGCAAACCATTGCTCCTTCCATCTTCGACTATCAGGACCTTCTGTTCGGCGCAAGGACAGTTCAGAACGCAGACCGCCTCCGACACATGTTCTGTCTCCATGCGCTGAACCACATACTGAAGACCCGCGATCGGGTGCTGAAGAACAACGCCAAGCTGGCAGCATCTGGCAATGACGACGCCGAATACCGCGACCAGGGCTTCACGCGGCCCAAAGTCCTCTTCCTCCTCGAGACGAAGGAAGCCTGTGTGCGCGCCATCGATTCCATCACAAAGCTCCACGACTTCGAGCAGCAGGAGAACAAGAAGCGCTTCTTGGACAGCTTCTCCTTGCCAGAAGGCAAGTTTTCGGAGGACAAGCCGGACGACTTCCGCGAGCTGTTCGAAGGCAACGACGAGAACGAGTTTCGGATAGGCGTCAAGCTGATGCGGAGGACCCTAAAATTATACTCCACCTTCTACAATTCGGACATTATATTTGCATCTGCTCTGGGTCTTCGGCGCGCTATCGAAGGCGGAGACACGAAGAAGAAAGATTATGATTTTCTCTCGTCGATCGAGCTGGTAGTCATGGAGCAAGCCGATGCAACGCTGATGCAGAACTGGGAACACGCAGAGTACGTTTTCGAGCACCTCAATCTGCAACCAAAAGATGCCCATGGCTGCGATTTCTCACGAGTGCGATCATGGTATCTTGACGGGCATGCGCCTTATGTGCGGCAGACAATCGTCCTCTCCGCATACCTCACTCCAAAGATCAATACCCTTTACAGCAAGCACATGCGCAATGTCGCCGGGCGTCTAAAGTATACTCCAGACTACAGCTCCGGCATCATCGAATCTCTCCCGTACAGCATCAAGCAGACATTCTCCCGCTTTGCCTCTCCCTCCCATCTGACCGACCCAGATGCCCGCTTCAAGTACTTCAACACTACCATCCTCCCGCAGATCAGCCGGCTGCCCAAACCGCTAGAGGGTGGTATTGGCGTCCTAGTCTTCATTCCCTCATATCTCGACTTCGTGCGCATACGAAACTCGCTAGTAGAGTCCGACTTCTCCTACGCTTCCATCTCAGAATACACGGATCTCACAGATGTCCGCAAAGCACGATCGCATTTCATGAGCGGTCGGCATGCGCTGCTTCTGTATACGGGGCGTGCGCATCACTTTCATCGGTATAATATCCGAGGCGTGAAGAGGGTGGTCTTCTACGGCGTACCTGAGAATCCGAGATTTTACGATGAGGTCGTGGGATTCATTGGAAAGACGCTGGAGAGAGGCGAGATTAGTAGGGCTGAAGCGAATGTTAGGGTGGCGTTTTCGAAATGGGAGAGGATGGAGCTGGAGAGAATTGTGGGGAGCAAGAGAGTTGGGAAGATGATTGGCGATAGGGGCGATGTGTTTGATTTCGTATAAAGAATAGGAGTCCCTTACACGCTCACCATATGAATGAGCAGCTTAATACCCCTCCCACGCCCAAATACCTGGTGCGATCTCGACCCTTCTTGTGCGGGGCCCATTCGGATCCTTATTCATCTGGATAGCGATACAATCGCAAGGCCCAACCTTCGAGCAAGTGTGCGCCAAATCCTCCATTACATCCGCAAACACTTCGGTCTCCTCATTTCTGCGGAGGGCCATGACTGCATCTACGTTTTCCTCGAGGAACTTATATCTATCAGACAGGGAGTTAAACTCGCCACACAACTGCGACGTCTCGGCATCTCGTTCCCTAGCTTTCCCGCCTCTGTCGATGAAGCCCTGCACCTTCTTTCTAAGCGCTGGAAGTTCCTCCTTCAACTGATCGTACACTTTGACGCTGACTTCCTTGACCTCCCGCACGGGCATCCCGTTCTGCACCACGCTTTCCGGATCCTCGTTATGAGCATCTAGCTTCCAGCATTGCATCAACCAATTCCACGCCTCGAGCTTGTCGATCCGCGCGGAGAGAATGGCGAGCGTGTCGCTGTCTAGCTTCATCGCTTTCAGGGCGTCGGTCATGGGCCGCCGGATCTTGTCGAGCTGCGCGTTGGCGGCTCGAGTGGCGATGTAGTTGACCAGGCCGCCTGTCATGTCGATGCCGGCTGATGCGGATAAAGCACCGCTAATGGCGGTTTCGGCGACGGGGCATGCGGTTGGCAGGAGTCCTACGTTTGCTTTGTTGGAGAGGATGATTTCGGCGCGGGATGTGGGAGAACGCCGCTCATGGGAGTTGTTGGACGGCATTGTGGGTAAAGGATTCGATTCGATGGATGTTTGGATCTGGTTAGGGGAAGCAACTGTTCTCTTGGACAATTCGGTACGGAGAGAGGTCGTAAGTCGTCAGGCGTTGATAAGGCTGAACTATTATGCATTGATGCCTAGAGTTGCATGTGTCGCTGGCTTATAGGTCAGCCTTGTGGTGGCGTGCAGCGGAAGGCAGCCACAGCGGAACGCTAACAGCTTCACTGGTTTGCCTGATTTGGTCCTCGAAACGTCGAATTGGAGAAGGATGAAGTCGAACGAACATCGCGGTGCCTGACAATGACGAGGAGTTGATGACGTAATATTCAACGGTATTCCCTCTGCTTCATTTACTCGCTGTGAGTCTTATAAACTGTAGTTAGGTACTCCACCATAAAGGCATTTGATGAACACCAAAAGCGATGTTATTCTAGGAGTATCCCAAATCCCTATTTACAAACTCTCCCAAAATGAGAAATCTGGAAAGCAAAGCGCCTCGAGGAGCGTTCCCAAACCGTTCCTAATGATCAAGAAAAGACTTCACACCACCAAGAAATCCCACCAACTCGTTCCTTTTCACTGCCTGTCGTTTAAGTGGGAATCCCGCTTGGAACAGCCGTCCCAGAGGGCATCGCACCAGTCGGCATAGTTCCATTTCCAGATCCCGCACCATCTGTGCCGCCACTCCCACCGGACTCCGCAACGCTGCCCGCAGAAGTCCACACAAAGCTGTAGTTCGGATCGTACGTCGCACTCTTGTTCACACCGATCGTAATCCATCCGAAAAGCCCATCCTGGAGGTCGCTGCCCAAGTACACGTATTCGAAAACAGGATCCGAATTGGAGTCCTCGGTTTCGGCCGAGAAGACGTGGTCCTCAGAGTTAGTGGTGAGACTGATGTTGTTCTGGTTGTACGGGTACGTGGCTTCGACGGTCTCGATGAGGTCCTGGTCCCAGAACAGCTGGCCGACATGCGCGACGGTGCCGCCGGTGAGCGTGTTGTTCGGGAGCACAGTGGCGTTCAAGTGCGCGATCATGTGGTGGTGCGTCGTGCGGCCGGAGTAGTGGCCCGGGAAAACGGATTCGAAGCGCACAACGCCGTCTGCATCGCTCTTCTGGATTCCGCGAAGGAACGTGGCGTTGTAGTTGGATAGGTCGTCGCTGTTGCCGTTGCCGCTGGCGACGAGCCCGGAGTACACGCCCGTGGAGTTGCAGTTCCACACGTCCCAGTAGAGCTCGGGAATCGGCTCGCAGGTCTCAACGTCTAGGAACTGGCCTTCGATGATGATGGGTACGCCGGGCTGGTCTTCACGGACGTTGTCACGAATGAGCTCTCCTTTGATCCAGTATGGCCCCGTCTCACCTTCCGGGTTCAGGATGCAGGTCTTGTTGCTGGCGAAGATGACGTTCTCGGGAGTATTGGGCGTGTAATTCTCGGTGGAAAGATGCGAAGTGTTAAGAACAGTTTCGGCGTCACGAACCTCGAGGCCCCGCGCCTTGCGATGCTTGGAGACGAGTTCGGCGCGGCGGGCGGCTGCGCGTTCCATGATGCCGCCGCGGGCTTGGAGCTTCTCTGCGCAGGCGGCGAGGCCACGGCGCGCATGGTCTTTGAACATGCGCTTCTCGAACTCGGCGGCGTGATTGTGCTTGTGGACTTCGCCGGGGTGGGCGAGGGCAACGGAGGCTAGACTGGCGATGGCGACTTTGGAGAGGAGATGCATCTTGAACAAGAGGTGAAGACGGAGTGTCAAATAGAGTCAAAGAACGAAAGACTGTTTGCCGAATGAAGGTAAGATAGAAGCCGATGCTAAGAACAGGCTGCTGATGAAACGAAACAGATCTCGTATGCCCCATTCTTATACTCATCGCTCGATCGTAATTCCCCATCGTCTACGCCTTCGCCATACGCGTATGTAGCCCTGCACACGTACGCTCATCGCTCCTTGTCATTTTCTTCCTAGTCTACACAAAGGCTGAGTACCCGGTAACAGCGCAAGCCAGATACGAATCCACTTCCCCACATATGGCGAAAGCATCGCCCCGCAGCAGAGGCCTTATTCTCGGAGAAAATCTTGTTCCAAACGCGCCGCCAACCAGGTTCCGCAGATTACAGGATGTGTTCACTGGGTGTCTGTGCACGCGCGGAAAAGCCCGTCAGGGGGCCGCGTAATCGGGCATCACGTGATGCACTGTCCGGCCCAAACTTCCATGTTCGTCGAATTCCGCGCCTTCGGCGTTATTTACACGGCCGGAGGACTCTTATTTGGGGTATGGTGCCAGTGGCTAGGACCCGTATACACGTTTCTACGTGGCAGTGATATCTGCTCAACGGTGCTGGGGCCAATGACTGCGGAGTTATTCACGACGTCTGCAAGCCAAGGCGGGAGAAAAGCTTGCGCTAGCTTGGTGGTCCCTCGATGATGCTTGACGGGCCTTTGTGAAGCCACTGAGGTAATGGGTATTGCGAATGGCGCGTACGTGGCTCGCGGCGATGAGGGCGGGTAGTCGGAGCTGGGGATCGGAGAAGTGAGTGATTCTCCTGGTACGTAACGTACCTTGCTTTCGCAGCGCTCAATGTGCTGTGCCATCATATTTTCTAAGAGCAGTCAGTGTTAGGGCTGTTAGCAGGCTGTTCCTAATGGCAGGATTGCACGAAGAGTTTTGAGATTGATGGAAAGTATTGGATGAACGGATGTATGACGTGACTTATTTATTTGGTGATATGGAAAACATTTCTGCATCAGGGGCATGTGAGTACTGGACTGAGTGTAGGCAAAGAGCGAGCTTCGTGATCGGGCACGAGGGACAAAAGACCTATTCGTCATCATCGTCATCCTCTTCATCTAGGTACCCGGCAGCGACCGACAGCGGACCAAGTAGTCCAGCTTCACTCACGTTTTGCGCATTCTCGAAAGCGTCGAAATCGAACAGCGCGTTCAAGTCTTGGTCTTGGAGTGGCTCTGCTTCGAACTGTGCCTCCACTTGCTGCAAGAAGTCCTGGGACTCCATATCCATCTGGGCAGGGACTTGCTCCGGTGCAGCTGGCTTATTCGCACCTGCCACTACGCCCAGTATCGCGGCGAGATCCACTTCGACACCGTGCGTGGCGAGATGAGCCCTCATGCGCACTTCACTCTCTGCGAACAGCGCACTACCAGACTGGCCGGAATCGCGCAGGTGTGTTAGTTCGTCCCTCAGCGCGAAACACTGCTCACATTGCCCAGCTAGTGAAGCTTCGGAGGGCGAACGCTCAGCACGTATGTCCCAGCCTTCTAGAACTAGTGAGGGCTCGCGCTCAACCACCGGCTCCTCTGCAACTTCGAAGTCGCCGACATCCAGGTCTGCGGCGGGCTCTTCTACAGCAGCCTCAGCCTGCTCCTCGCAGCTTTCCTCGTTAGCGCCCTTGCCACTATCGACGTCAGACGCGCTCCGCTCTGATTCAGGGTCAAAGCCAGATTCGAGTTCTGAGTCGTAAACCAAGGCCCCACTGCTGGCCGCGACACAATCTCGGATTGCTTCGTCAATAGCGGCGTCGAAGTTGGCGTCTTCAGGGCCGTTATAGTCATCTGGCGCGCTGTACTTACGAGTAGTGGAGCGCATGGTGGAAGAGTGTCGGGAATGTTACTAGCGACGTAGTTCTTGAGTATGGTGGGGATATACATGGTGGATGCCGGGGTATATACTCGTGAGCCGGAAAGAGATAGACGGACATCGTGGACGGAAATCGCGACGAGGATTTACACAATGGAAATTGTGAGTTCTCGTGGCATATAATGGCGATAGAGTGGTGCATGGAGATGTAGTATGTAAGATTTATCTCTGACATTGTGTAGTACCAATGAAGCAAATGCAGGTGTCTTGGGAAGTCGCGCCTACAGACAATGCAAGTTAAAAGAGATTGCTCAACAGGAGATAAAGGGAACTTCATTCTAAGGCGGAGAGGATGATTGATATTGTGTGAACGAAGGGATTTTACTTGCGCCGGGACCAGCAGACAAAAACATGCTAGCCTCTCAAATAATGATAACTTCGGTTACACCCTACTCGGGATATTCACGGTCGTGGTTCGCTGGGTAACAAAGATCCACAATTCGAAAGATGGGGATGTCTGCTTTTATCGTGGGATCTCGGACAGAACGCAATAGTAGATGGAAGAAGGGCCTCTCGCGATATTCGTCGTCGTTTTCGCGTACATCAAACATGCAGTCCCCTGGCTCTGCTGCGGGAGGGGTAACACATGGCATTGCTGACTGGTGCTGAAATGAGCACAGCTTGTAGTTTTTCAGCTTGTGTATTTCAAAGCTGATTTTCTTCCTAGTCGGACTGTCTGATGGAGAAGCATTCCTCTCGTGCTCGCTTCGTCGGGTGATCGGGCTTGAGCGTCGGCATTCCTTTGGGTCGAGTGTAGTGTTGACCTGCGAGACAACGACTTCCTCCCCCGGCTCCTGAAATTCATAGGGTGCGGGTGGCTTTCGTGTCACCTCGGAAATTGTCTCCGCCACACCCAACTGTTCTGAGTCACAAACGTCTGTCTCTCTTAATCGCTTGACCTCCTCGCAAAGTCGGATATCTCCCTTAAGGCCTTCCTCATCTTGACATTGAGTGAACAGCGTACGCAAGACTGCATTCTTCAAGCGGCTCTGCAGCCTGTTCATATCTTCCTCCGCTCGAAAATCTCCGCAGAACAAATCGTGCATATCTTCCGACATTTCCTTCACTTTTCTGTGAATGGATGACCCACCACAAGGTCCATCGTCCTCCAATCCCAAATTGCTCCGATCCAGCTTCGCGGATTCGTGGTAGCGTTCTTTATCAAGGATGGCCTGAGTGAGGCACAGACACATCTGGGCTGTTCTCATCAGCTTTGCTGTTTCATCGAAGCATTCATTGGAGGGCGATCCAGCCAGAGATAAGATGAATTCGGCGCTTTGGTGCTCCAAACAGCAATTTGTGGTACCGGTAAACTTGTTCAATTCATAAAGGAATCCCGGCAGCCGAATACCACCGTGTCCATTAACTACAGTAGGCATAGCACTAACAGGAAGATAGTGTCTAGGCCTGTCCTCGGAAATCCCACCACGTTCTGCGAATCTTTTCCGGTTCCATCTAGGCACCCACGATGGCCATGACGGGTTCTGTTGATGAAGAGAACCAAAAGACAGCACGTGCTGAAGAACCGCGATCACATATCCGTGGAGAATAAACTGCTGCGCCGTATTAATGTATGTGTCAGCCCAGTATTCCGAATAATCCACCGGCTGGATCTGGATACCACGGCGAGCGCCTCGGAGCGTTTTTGGCTGGAGCGACTCAAGCGGCTTGCATATTCCGTACATGGAAAAAAACCGGTCGCGGTTGTCTCTACACTCGCTCGTGTCGAATTTGTAGAGCAAGTCCACGATATTATACTCCTTTCGTCTGGCATTCACCGCAGTGGCCGACCATGGAGCCCCACGGTATACGTGTGGTCCGAGGATCGATATGCCTTGAGTAAGCCAGCTCCAAGACGTCTTGTAAGGTCCGCATCGAACGGTGGCGTCTTTCGCAAGCGCCACCTCTTGCAAGACCCATCGTCTATGGAACCATGGTCGGGCGAGTAGTCGGACGACCAGGCGTCTCTGTTTCTCCATCTTCAAGATGACTCCCTTTCTCAATCGATCACCCTCTTTGGTTTTCTGGATAAACCGTTCTTTCGCGACACACTCTTTGAGCCATTCGAAAATCGTCGGTATCTCGTCCTCTTCCGTCGCTTCTCCAAGCCAAACCTGGACCTTGTCCGCCCGCCCGAATATCCCTCCCATCCGAGCAACCTGGCGAGCCTTCTCCGCATCATCTCTTTGATTGATGCAGAGTGCGTCAATCCACAAATATCTCTCCTTGTTCTTCTGAAGATGCCGTAGCACGCTCTCCACGTTCGGGGTAATCTTGAGAATGCGTCCATCGCAGATCAAATCCTCGGTGTAGCTCGGCACGCCCCATGTATAGGACACAGCGTGGTATGGAGGGTCGGGGGATTCTAACTCTATGACGTCGTCTCTTAGTCTGCGATGTATCATTCGCGCTCGAAGCGGGTCGCTGAAGTTCAGTGCTGGCTCTAGGATGAGAATTCGCAAGCCGTCATCGTTGGGTAACGGAGTGTAGTCGTATGGGAGAAGAGGGGAAGTCATGTTTGCGAAAGCTTGTAGAGGAGCAAAGGGGTGGAGGAGCGAAGGGGTAGATGAACTATCTAGGAGCGGAAATGAGGGGTTTTGTACCAGCGACAGGCGTGCAACGTGCTGCAGGTGCCCGAGTCACCTTCCAAGAAGGGCCGAAGTATGGCGATCTTCAAACATCAGGCCTGCCTCATACTGCCTCGACACGCTGCTCACCCTTTTCGCTCAACTGTGGGCCATGCTCGACAGCCTTGATGGCATCCGCTTCAAGTGCCATACTCAGACCAATCTCCCTCCTCGCTTCCGCCAGCATAAGCGCATCCTCAGCGCCGGTACGACTTTTGAAAACCCGGTCCATCTCCTCTAACGTAGCGCCCTTCGTCTCCGGGAGCTGGAAGTGCACCCAAACAATGCCGCCAGCAAGGAAGACGGCAAAGAAAATGTACGTGCCCCAAGCCCAGGCAGAGAGCATAGGCGGAACAAAGAAAGCGACGGCGAAGTTGTTGACCTGGGAGAGTCAGTTTTGGCATACGAGCCCCTACAGTGATGAACTTACCCAGTTGCTAGATGCACCAATTGAAGCACCCTTAGACCGAATAGACAACGGAAAGATCTCTGACACCAACGTCCAAGAAACCGGTCCCCAAGTCGCACCAAAAGCACCCACATAGAGCCAAATGAAAGCTACGACAATCCAGCCTTCGGCAGCGTGCGACCCCCAATCATGCCGAAACTTCGCGACCATGATGCCCGCGATGACCATCGAGATGAACATGACGATGGAGCCCACGTGCAGCATAGGTTTGCGCCCGACCTTGTCGATAATGGCCATCGCTGGGAGCGTGCTGACGAAGAACACAACACCAGTGACGCCAGTAGCGAGCAGTGCTTGCGTGCCACCCGTCAACCCCAGCGACAAGAAGACGTTCGACGCATAGTAAATAATCGCGTCGATACCAGACCACTGCTGGAAGAACATTACCAGCCAAGCAGTCGACACTCTCTTGAAGTTATCCCAGGTCCTCACGATCTGGTAGTACTGCGCAAACTCTCGTACCCACACACTGCCTGCCTCTTTCGCAGCCAGGTTGGGGAAATGCTTCTCGAAGTTGCGCTGTTCGAATAGGGCTTCAGCTTTGATCTCCTTATACTCGATTTGTACGAGCTCGTGGTTGGCGGGTAGCTTGCGGAGGTAGGAGAGCGTCTTGAGTGCTTCTTCGTCGCGGCCCTTCTTCACGAGCCATCGTGGCGAGAACGGAAGCCACCAAATGCCGATGGCGAGGATGGCGGCTGGGATGCCCTGGATAATGGAGGGAAGTTGCCATGCGAGATTCGATTGGCCTTGGCCGATGCCGCCGATGTAGTTCCTACAGCTTGTTAGCACGTCACGACTCGACGGGGCCGATGCGGTGTGGCTAGCAGTGAGCACTTACGATCCATAGCCGATCCAGAACGAAAGCATAATGCCCAAAATCGTAGCAAACTGATAGAATGAAACAAGCAAGCCTCTCAGCTCCGGTGCCGAAAGCTCAGCATTATATAGCGGACCAACACCCGAGAACGTGCCAACACCGACACCCGTGAAGAACCGTCCGGCGTAGAGCAACTGGGGTTTATGATAACTCGCACCGCAGTACAAGTACGAACCAAGAACCACCCAGCAGCATGCACTAAACATGGTATACTTGCGGGAGAAAATTTCTCCAATGACGCCGGCAGAGAGCGAGCCTAAGATACCGCCGAGTTGGAGGACTGAAGTGAGCCAGCCGGTGGCGGAGGACGAGCTGACCACGGAGGGAAAGTTGTCAACGAATCGATGCATGACTAGGGATTGACCGAGGACGCCTTGCTGGTAGCCATACTCGAAGCCTCCGAAACTATGTAGAAATCAGTGTCGATCCACGAAGATGGAAAAGTGGTAACTTACGATGCGAAGAATGCAATGAAAAGAAGCTTGGGGTTGTGAAATAGGTTTCGCCATCGGTTCTTGTATGCTAGTTCCGTGCGCACAAGCGCAGAGGTGACAGACGCGCTACGCGTGGTAGCATCCATGACGAGATGTTTTCCACACAACCCCAGTAGTTGAATTACTCTCAGGAGTTCCTGCACGTCACATGGAATATGAGGACGGAAAGCAAAAGAAACCATGGACCAGCGTGCTGGGCCGTCTTATAGAAGCTCGCATGAAGCCGAGCAAAATTTGGCACCATTGTGTCCGTGCATTTGAACCAACCTAGAAAGAAAGAGCTTCGGGGTACTGAAGCTCCACAGGAATGCTGATTCGCCGCGTCCCATGAAAATTGTTTTGCGGGGCTCCACATATAACCCCAAGTTCCTACCCGCTTTCCAACGAAAACCGGGCATCGTGTGAACATCTGGTGGGAAGTGGTCTGCTGGTGGAAAATTCGCGTCAGTGTGCGGGGACGGCAGAAGAGATCCTTGCACTGGTGCCTACCGTTGCCGGAACTAGGTTGGGACACATGTAGATCGTCCGGGATCACATGGGAGTGGCTATAATTTCCTTCTCGGGAATATACATCGGCGAAGACCGACTCCACCTCAACATTCCTCAAACTAGGCGTTAAGATGAAAAGAGTATATAGAAAGAGACTGTATATGCTACCAAGCTTACCTATTAATAGTAAGGTAGTATAGTGCAGTGGGTAGGTGCGGTAATAATAGTGTAAATAAAGACAAACCTTCGCCGACTGACCATTGTGAGACAATGAGCACGTGGCTGATACACACCACGGGGACTGCAGGTACACAGACATGCATAGCATGTACCCTGTGCTTGATGGGGCTCACAGAACGAAGAACGTGCATCGTAGGGCTGACGCTTCTCGCCGCACGACTTTTTCCTTTCTATGCGTATCCGGAGATCGGAGCCCAAAGTCCGATAGGATGTAAATATATCCGAAGATATGGTTCCCTCCTACTGTACTGTATCCCGCAAACCGTGGGGGGACTGTGATTGGAGTCCCCACTGATGCTGTAGTGCTTACAATTACCCCATTCGGGAGCACCGGGAATAAGACCGAGTACCCAGGCGACTGGTAAAAACGATAGCCATTTGAAGGTGTATTAAATAAACCTTCGAACTCTGAAGACCATGTAGGAAACCTGAAATCCGTTTTAGGATTAAGCTAGGTTTCAGACTGAGAATCAATGCGATCTATCAACGTGCGTCCACGGTGGACAGCCAATCACAGGATTAGCTTGACCAAAAATAAATTCCGTTCCCAGAATGTGTGTCCATAACAAAATATAGCAAGATCAATAAAAATCATACAGTACGGATGGTTACGAGCATTGCACTAGAGCCTCCAGAATGGTGTTGTTTGAGGGTCACGTGATATCTCGTTTCATCGATTACAACAAGGTCTTTCCCCCAAATAAATGGGCATATGGGTGTTGATATGCTTTTGCCAAACAGTGTTAAGATTTTCTGCCTACGCCATGCTTTATTGCACCTTGAATGTCGGTGACGAAATGGTGACGTTCCCGAGCCATCACAAGCACGTCAACTTCAAGTGCGATATATCCATTCTGCAGGTACAACTGGACTTCAGCAAACCCCCAAGAACTCTCTCCTTCCAAGCTCCACAGAAGACCTCAAATTGATACCCAAAACGCCACGTAATTCACAATGAACTCCAATATGCTTCGAACAGTACCACGCTCATCGGCGCCATTCCTGAGTCGCTCCTTCCAACAGCGAAGTCAAGGTATGCTCAGCCTGCTCTCCCCGCGCCTAGCCACACGATCATTAGCTAACCACTGTTTCCCAGTTCTCTCCCCAGTCCTCTCCCGCACCTACGCCGGCGAAACCACACGAGACTCGCCGAACACCTCCAACGTCGCAAACCCGCAAGCAAGCAATGCAGAAGACCAGGAGGTTAACAAGAGCCGTGGAAAGGAGAGAGGAGAAACAGAAACAGGGGGCTCAACACAGAGCCCGGTTAGTAACCCTGCCGAGTCGGGGATTGGAGGGCAGGAGGAGCAGACACAGAGCCAGGCGGAGATGAAGCGGGATCCGAGCGAGCCGGATAGCAAGAAGAGGGAAGAGGTGCTGAAGCACGGACAGGGTAAGAAGTTGGATCCTGCGGATGAGTAAAGGTTCTTTAGCTACGGAGGTGAGCACGACGCTAGGAATGCCAGTGAGCAGGCATCTGGCTACTATGCTGGTGGGTTAATGAGCAATGGGGTAAGAAGAATCCTGCATTACGCAACTCCATTTATCTATACTTGAAAACTAGGTGGATAAGTCCTACTCCGTTCCACTGAATCAAATCGAGACTCATCGACAGCTCCGATCCCGTTTCGGCGTTCATGTACCCCCATTTGGATAATGGAGCCATTTCCCCCCGCCAATCCGCGTCATTTAGGCGACTACAGTAGTACAGCCTGTCAAAGGTAAGCCACCCTACTGATCTCCACTACAGCATCTTTATCTGTTATTCGCGCTAGAGGTGGAAATCGGCAGGCAATAGAGCAGTTCGGCCACTGCTTCGCCTCCGGTTGGATCAACTCTGGCTTCAAAGGTACTGCGCGATAGGCATCCTGGTCGGCCTCGTGCGTCAGGACTCGCGTATAATGTGGTATGTCCGGCTATATCAAAAGTTTCTGCGCGTTAGAGAAGACTCACGAGCCTCTTGGACGAAAACGGGGTCAGCTCATGGAAGACCTGATCCATGCCTGTGCTCTGATGAACAGCGCCCCGGGGCTCCCAATCGTATGCTCCGTGCTCACTTCCTTCCTAACCACGTTCACAACCAAACCCGTATGTGGAAATGTATCAAGCCCTGATCGTTCAAACAGTACACCTCATCTCATTGCCCAGGCCAAACCTCTTTCCAGGGGTAGATGGGTTTCCCTCTGCAGCACCAACGACCGACGCAGGGTCTCCCACGATATTCTCCTCCTCGTTTGAGTTTTTGGAAGACTCCAGGCTCCACCTGATCTTTTCCGAAGCCAGACGAAAGCAAGGCGCCATGACCGGCAGACATCCGGCTAGTATACCGAGAGCAGGCTCAGGCCCGTTGACCAGGATGATACGACCCGCTTGGTAGGTTTTATCGCTGCTCTCCGTGGTGGCGAAGAAATAGACGCGTGTCGCGGTAAGGCCGACAATACTAATTGTGTATTTGAGTCAGTCCTGGTCCATCATAGGATTATTTTCTCCCAGGATGACTTACAGGAATCCAAAGCCGAACAACAGCGTCAGCCGCACCTTCTTGCAGAAATCCACATGCAGTCTCCAGAATATCGGCATCGGCAACAAGACGTTCGCCAGATCCAAACACATCCCCGACACACTGCTGTATACCGCCAACGACGCAAAATTTATTGTGCAAGGCTCATGTATCGCCTTAGGTTTGCCGAACCGATGTCTCACGCAGGGAATTTGGTGTAAGGCGAGGGTTATGATTCCATAGCAGACGGTGAGAGCTTGCAAGACTCTGCAGGCGATGCGCATACGGTAATGCGGGAACAGCGTCGTGTAGTACTGCGTGATGGAGAGGTTGCAGAAGACCATAGAAAGGATGCCGAAGCCGTTCAGCACGAAGCGGTTCTTTGTAGCAAATACATCAGCGCCGCTAGAGGAGGAGGGAGAGAAGCAACGCTCACACCCGGATGGTTTTCTGATGCAATCCGTTCGTTGGCGGATATGTTCCAGTCATGCTTGCCGTACTGTTGCCGGAACACGCCATATATGGCGGAGATGAGGAAGAGTAGAGTAATGAGCTGTAGTGGTCAGCAGGAGTCAAGGCCTTCGACGCTGTTTCGTACGTATGCGACTACCATGAGCCAGTCGTCTGCGTGCCATGGCCTCCGCGTCAGACGACGTCCCCAATACCTGCACAAGATCGCCTTCGTCGCAATGACAATTGAGAGGGTGCAAACGACGATGATCGACGCCTGTAAGTCGCGCAGCATCGTAAAGAGCGGCGCGCGTTGGTGGTCAGAAAGACGGTTGCAGAAGCGAGCGGACCGTAAAAGCTTGACCCAGGCGCGAAGAAAATCGAAGAGTCTTCATTGCCCGGGTGAATAAAGGCCGTTTTTGGGGACGCGCCCAGGTCTTAGTGAAGACGAAATAGTCTCGCCGGTGGGCAATAGTTGGTGAAGGTGAGCGCCGAGGCACTTCCGCAAAGTCCGATATCCAGACGACAGTGAATGTCATCCTGTGTACGTGCCCTGCATATCCGAGAAGCAGGATGGTATCTTATCAATCGCCAATGACTGGGTTTCAGACGCAGGGGCGGAAGATATTTCGTGTAACTGTTGGTGTTGGTGGCGTGCCGCAACCAGCTTGCTCGGCTCGGTCCCGCAATTGGCCAATTTGTTAGTCTAATGAGGGTATCTTCTGCTCGAAGGCTTCTCGTCATGGATTAGTCCAGCGCATGCGGGATGCGAAATCACACATTCACTGTGAAAGATGAAACTGGCATGGTACGCGACGAAAGGGTTGGTGAAGGTGAGTCGAACAAGTCACACGTACCAACCGATTGTAAAATGAAACCTCCTTTTCCCCAAACCTGAGCTCTACTGATACGGACCCGCCTTGCTCCTATCCGGCTTCCCGTCCTTCATCCTCGACCTCTGATAATTCTGCGCCTTCTCATCAAACTTTAGTCCCCCATTCGTCGCCATCTCCATAACTATCTTATCCGTGGGCTGCGGGAAATACTCCAGCTCGATCTTATCCCCATCTTTCGACTTCACGCGACAGACTAGAACAGTGTCGTCTTTCTTTGAGAACTCGTTCATGGCGGTGAAGTAGTCTCTGTGTACGGCAGAGTCTGCGGGCGCTTGCTGCAGCCATTTCGCGCAGTCTTCGAGCGATTTGCCGACCCAGGGAGAAGTGAAGGTGTCTGAGATGGGAGGCTCGGTACCCGTGGGGAGTTCGTTGTCGTTGCGCGCCTTGGGGATGTCGTCGTAGGAGTCGGTCGCGAGCCAGAGCTGCCACCCGCCTCTGTAGTTGCCTTCCCAGGCACGTCTCAAGCCGTTATTGATGTTCTGCATGGATTAGCCTTGTGCATCAGAAGCAAGGAAGAGCTAGCATACATCGACATCAATGTCTTTAGCTGTTACGAAGAGCGCGAAAGGTGCTTGAAGAGACATGCTTGGTGGTGGAGCAATCGTTGCGGATGTCAGCCGAGAAGAGCGCGCACTCACTTATACACTGTCTGTGCAACGCGATCGCAGGTTTCTTTCAATGAATTGATGCTATTGATAGACATGGGATTTTGGTCGTTTCACCAAACGCGATCCTGGAGGCTGTGCACGATAGAATTACGCCCATGACGTCATTTGGCCCCAGCAATATCAGCAGGACTCCACACCCTCAACCGCGCCCCGGGTTCCTGCAGGATCAACCTCAACTCAAATACACCAAAGCCATCCACAGGCCACAAGGCTGAAACAATCTCGGGGCGAAGCGGCATCCCGATCGATCGACACGATGATACGCAGCTACCGTTCGGGAGGCGGCTGACCTTCTCTCACCCCATCCAGCCTCCCTCTCCAGCCAGAGAACTCCTGAGTATTTCTATCCCACGGAATCGGTCAACACCACCAACAGAGTGACTTCACTGCGCAGCGAAAGATGGTATTCTAGCTATGTATCCTTACCTATGTAGTTCATGCCAGTGCCCCAGGAGTACAAGCGCCCATCTCACGCAAGACCTCTCTTATTACGTACAACCTCAAATTGCGGCCCCAGCCGTGATCTTCCGGCACGGAAAAACCGATTTGACTAGGTATTGGTCGTACACTATCCTTAGGCCGCCAACCGTCCGTTCATGTAGTCAGCAGTTCCCGTAGGCTCCGATTCCCATGCATTCGAGCTTACACTGCACGGCCATTGGCTAGGTTGTAGCACGGGGCTTGCTCCTTTCAATATCCCGAAATAAGCATGTGTAGAGCCTTCGTTTCCTTCTGTTTCAGCCAACTACACTGCCCTCTCTGAGATCTCGATCTAGGGTACTACAGTATGATTAGGAGCTGGAGGAGCATCGAACGTATAAATATGAGCCGGAGAGCTTCGGGGTGAGAGTATCCAGCCACTAGCCGTCTCTTTCTTCAGCAGCCAGCTGCTCATCTCCATTACATCTCCATTACTGTCATTCGTTCAGGCACTCTCACGTCCTCGTCAAGATGGACTTCACCAAAGTGAGGAACTTGGTTGCGTCCGCCTTTATTCTGCAGGCTTCGCTGGGTTTAGCGGCAGATGATAGCATGGGAAACTACTACGCGCCCGGCCGAGCAGAGCGTATGTTCCACAAGCGTGCTCCAACCGACTTCGGAACCTTCCAGGTCGACTGCCAGGGCTCTGAAAGTGCATGCAACAACGCCTGCTACTACATACGATGCGAAGTGCGCCCTCCAATATCCCAATCAAAGAACCTTCCAAGCAGCTAACAATACCTCCAGGCGGTCAACGACCCGGACGCGAACAGAATCACGTACATCGGTCCCAACGGCAACAACGGCGAAGACGACCGCAACCGCATAGAATCCGGCTGCAACTTCAACAACCCCTTCAGCGGCAGCGTGTGTACCAACTTCCCCTTCAGCCAGAAATTCAGCAACCCGACCGCCACCGACTGGCAATGCGACGAATGGCCGCCCGCCCTCTCCCAACAGCCCGACTTCGCCAGCAAGCCGAACAAAAACAGCTTACGCTGCATGCCCGGGGGCGAAAACGGCTCCCTGGGCGCCAAACTGCGCAACTTCGTCTACAACCAGGGCGGGCCCTACCCGGGCCGGCCCGCGGGCGTCATGAACAGAGACGACTTCTTCCGCGTGGACTTTCTGACCAACATCGGCAGCGCGGACCAAGCGAAGGTGAAGTTCTGCCTCGGCCAGGGCACGTCCAACTGCGGAAGCGACGGCATGCAGTTCGGACTCACCGACAAGCCCGTCGGCGGCGGCAAAGTCGACAGCCCGTACAACCGCCTGGGCAACGACAACAAGTACGCGCTGCAGAACACCGTGTACGCCAACCTCTTCCAGTGCGGCGTCTCCTTCACGCGCACCTCGGATACCGACATCTCGTCCGTTGTCCTCGACGACTGGGCCAACAACGACGTCCAGACTACAACTTCCTGCTCGCTACCCAACGATGGCGACACGTGCCTGCTGCTGGGCCTGCCGAACGATCTGCAGATCCGGCGCACGGGCGCGCTGGGGACGAAGCTCGAGTTCGAGTATGCGCCCGGCCAGGCGAATGCGAATGTTAATAATTTCGCGTGGGACTCCGAGACGAGTGGGAATGGGAGGGGGCCGTGGACGGATCCGGAGAGCGATCCGAATCGGCAGCCGTTGAGGTATTGTAAGGTTGTGGCGGGGAGTGTGCAGGGGACTGAGGATACGATTTGTTGGTTTCCGTGCTATCAGAATGCAGATGGGCAGTGATGTGCTTTGTGGGCATTTCGGGGTTGTTGTTGACTTCTTATTCATTTGGGATTCTTCCTGGCCGGATTATCGGGAGGTTGTACAAATCTATGGTCCTTTCTATACTTCTGCGTTCTAGGTGGTGTTCAATGCATGGGAGTGAGGTTCGCGGCAGCAGGTCTGAAAGAAATAGCGAATTCATACGGCTAGCTCAGCAGTCACGCCTGGCCATCTCCCTTAGCTCCTTTCGCCCTCGCCTTCCCCTCCTCCTTCAACTTCTCATCATCTTCCCTCTTCAACTCAACCTGTGGCATCGTATACCACGCCGCCACGAACGCAAACGCAGCCAATGCTGCACCAATGATAAAAACAATCCGGAAGCCGTTCTTGTACGCTTCTTCCAGCACGTCGCGGATACCCTCGAAGCGAGACTCGCCAACACGGTCGCGAAAGGTCTCGGGCGAGTTAAGCAGGAGCTGGATCTCTGATAGCGAGAGACCGGAGGGGAGCAGAGCCGTGCGGACTGCGTTGTTACTGGGAAGGGTTAGTGGAACTAGGGGAGGATTGAAGAGGGGCTGGAAACGTACATCACGGTCCCGGAGATTGCTAGGCCTAGCGTGCCGCCGAGATTGCGGATGAAGCTTGATGAACTCAATATAAAATATTCTGGAGCGGGCTCAAGCTTGGATACTCACTTGCGGACGGAAGTCACGACAGCCATGTTCTTCCGTTCAACGCCGGCTTGGACTGCTATCAAAGACCTGCTTGGGTGATTAGTGTACGCTTTCTTGAGCCTGTCCGAGAATATGACGGAGACGTACGGTTGCAGGGTCTGGCCGACTCCGAAACCAGTCAGAAGTGCGTAGCCGATCTGCTTTCCCAACCCTGAGCTACTATCGAGCGTGGAAAAGAGACCGAGGCCAACAGCCCAGGCGATCCAACCTGCGAGAATGCTTTCCTGTCGGAACATGTCAGCAGATGTTTTCTGTGTTCCTCTACGTAACGTGTACTTACTCGGTATCTTCCCGTCCAGTGAACGACTAAGCCTGAGAGCGTGCTCGTAAGAGCTGTACCAAGGCGTTAGCGAACCACTCCTCAACACGCGAACATTCTTACTTTGCATCAAGGTGATCGGCAGCAGTAAAGACCCAGCCTTGACCGCAGAATACCCGTAAATGAGCTGGTAGAACGACGGAATATAGTAAACCTGGACGAGGAAATTCCAACCGTTGATGAACATGGTGAGCATTGCACCGTTGACAAGCCGTATCTTGAAGATGTGCACTGGGCTGCTGTAAGCCTCCTGGAGGAGAAGATGGGGGTTTCTGAGAGCTTTATGCTTACTGGGTACCAAAGGGATCGACGTTCCTTTCCACTGCCAAACGACGAATCCGAGCGAAACGAAGACTCCTACGACCAACGAGGCGATCACATGAGCAGAGCCCCAGGGATACTGGCCCCCTGCCCATGTTAAAGAGAGCTATTTTCGTTAGCAAGAACTCGATCATTAAATATCGTCTACTTACCACGAGGAGGGTAGAACCGCCCAACGCGAGGAAGACGCCGAAGAAATCAATAGCCGCAATTTTTCTACCCCCATTCAGCTGAGCTCAAGTGACTGAAATAGTTGCACTTACTTTCTCCAGTCTCCATAAACCTTTCTCAACGGCATGAAAAAGCAGACGCAGCCAGTAGTCAAAGCCGTGACGAACAAATTCAGGCGAAAAATCCACCGCCTGGCCATGCGTGAGCGTTTCGATACTGGAGTCATGCGTTAATCTTGCTTACCATCCGTCCTTCGTCTGAGAAGCTAAAGCGCCGCCAATAACTGGACCAATTCCATTCGCGAGCGCCACGACCGATCCCTGATACAGAATCAGCAATCCATCGAGTATACGTAGAATCCACTCAATCCCTTCAGGTAATCGCCGGACTCACCAAAATACCCTGATACTTCCCTCTCTCCCTCAATGGGACGATATCACTAACAATCATCTGCGCCACCGTCATCAACCCACCGCCTCCCACGCCCATGAAAGCACGGAAGATAATCAACTGCATAGCGCTTTGCGCCAGAGAAGCTGCGAGCGAGCCGAAGAAGAAGATACCGATTCCAATTAGTAGGATGAGTTTGCGGGACCAGATGTCAGAGAGGCGGCCGTAGAGGAGCTGGAAAGATGTTGAAGTCCTGTGTGTCGCATGAGTTAGTTGGTTTGGCCTGGAAAGCCAGGGTTGGTGCCATACAAGAAGTATGCGCCTGCTATCCATGCGCTCTCGGAGCTGGCCCCCAGATCGCGACTGACGATGGTCAAGCTGGCGGCGAGCGTAGTCTGGTCCATCAGTGCGAGCAGGTCGACGCTCGCACATGCGAGGAATATCTCAACTCTTCCATCGGTGATATGCTATGAATGAGTCCTATGCTGCGGCTACTTACGGTGATGATAGTCTTGACCGGGACATAGTTCGTCTGCTCATTGAAGTCCGGGGCTACATTCTTCTCCTGCGACGGCGTGTTCTCGCCAGAGGACGATACTGCAGGCGTGCCCTTTCCTTCCTCAACTTTCCCCGTATCATCCATCCTGAAGTAAAAGCTAGAAAGCCAGAAAGCGCAAGATGCCCGGGACCTGTCGACTGTAGGAGAGGTGCCGAATGCAGTGTCGAGAAGAACCTGCATACTACGGCCGACATCGCCGCCTCGGAGCATTTACAAGCCCACTACGCAGCGATCTACACCCCACAGCGCCTTAATCTGTGCGCTACCAGGCTACAGCGATGCACAGAGTGATCGCGCAGTCGTCCGCAGAAACGCCCGCAAACTAGCTCACTTCTCAGCCAATCAGCGACCACGCCTACCCTGATACCATCTCTTCCTTCCTTTTCAAGCACACGGCAGTAATATGAAAAGTAAATGATCTAAATGATCGACAAGGTACGATGAAGCGTTTAGGTGGGGAATTCGAAGGATTGAGTGCTAAGGGTTCGGTCTGTTGCCGTCCGTTACGTACGCTGAAGAGTGCCGAGAGCTTCCAAGAGAGTTGGGCGACTGAAATTGTGAAGAATTTGAATGCCACGTCGTCAGCGGCAGGGTACGAAGCGTTTCATGTGTGATGTTGAGGTTAATTGGACAGCAGGGTGCTTACTGTTATGGGGAAAGACGTCCGTGTTTAGCGGTTTTCACGTGACCGCTCTCCGTCGACCCGCCTGTACCTCGGAGCACAGGCGTAAATTAGGGTACTCACTTGCTTCCAGCCACCTGGGCTGTTGGAGATCCCTGTGGGCCATCCGCGGCATGTCCCGATCTTCTCCAAGAGAACGTGTAAAGGGACGGGAATGTCACTCCATGGCACACGTCGCACCGCCGATCCTCATCGTCCTGCAACCATCAAGGTGTGTGGAAAACAGGGTAGCCCGGCGTACAGTAGGGTGAGAGTGAAACAGTGTTGACATGTCTCGTCGAGTGTGCGCGAGGACTTGCTGAAGGGTCCCTGGGCATACGAAATGCCGGGTTCACGCAACTCGGCAACAGCGGTACCAGGGTGCCACTTACGAGCGCAAAATGGCTCTGGAATGAAGATCAGGGTCCGCGCCTCGTGTCCGCTCATTGTTAAAGAGCGTGCTGCTGTCCGTCCGACGCACCGGCTCCGCATCTAATCAGATCCGCTGTTACTCACTGAACATTGGTCTTCAACATGGCATCGAACAATCCACTCAATGTGTACTCTGGTCCTGACGCGCTCAAGAAGTTCTTCGACCCCGATTGCCAGCCGCCGATTCCTCTAGTTGAGATCCCCGCTTCTCTGAATCCGTACCATGGGGACGGTGTCCGGATCTACGCGAAGATGATGTCGATGCATCCTGCGAACAATGTGAAGATCCTTCCAGGTATGTGGGACGCCTAAAGTGTCTCTCACTGGGCACCATAGACGCTAATGTACGGCACAGCAATGAACATGCTTGCATCTGGCGTCCAACCGGAGAAGACCAAGACAGTGGTAGAGTACAGTTCCGGCTCTACGGTAATCTCATTAGCTATGGCGTCTCGGATCTACCACGGTATCCAGGATGTTCGAGCTTTCTTGAGCAACAAGACGACGGCGTCCAAGTTGCGGTTGATGCAGTTCTTCGGTCTAGACATGTGAGTATCCCTATATGCCTTCCGACGCACATATGCTGAGCGGCAAAGAACATTGTTCGGAGGCCCTTCGCAACCCGAACCGCTGGACGAAAGAGGTGGTATCCAGCAAGCGCGGAGTCTAGCACAGCAGGATGAGCAATATTTGAATGCGAATCAGTACGAGAACAACGGGGTGAGTTCCTTCATACTTGCGATGGTCATCAGCAGACTAACTCTCCAAGAACTGGCAAGCGCACATGCGATGGACGGGCCCCCAGATCCTCAAGCAGCTACCGGATATCAACGTAGTCTGCGCCGGGCTGGGTACATCGGGAACAATGACTGGTATTGGGACGTACTTCAAGACGGCTAAGCCCTCAGTGGTTAGGATAGGGTACGCCAACCTTTCTTGAGAACCGGTGCGCTACTAACTTCCAAGTAGAGTCTGCACAGCTGCGGGAGATAGAGTACCGGGGCCCAGATCCTACGCTCTTCTCCGACCAGTCGAATTCCCCTGGCGGGATGCTGTCGATACCATCGAGGAAGTAGGCTCTATTGATTCCTTCTCGTTGTCGTTACAGTTATGCCGCGAAGGCCTGGTCTGTGGCCCTTCGTCAGGCTTCAATTTGAAAGGTAATTGCAGGTACCACAAGGAACACCTAGTACTAATGCTCCTAGGACTTCTCAATTACTTGGAAAAGCAAAAGGCGGCCGGAACACTATCCGACATAAGCGGTCCTGATGGATTGATCAAATGCGCTTTCGTGTGTTGCGACCTGCCCTACCAGTATATTGACGAGTATTTCGGAAAGCTCGGCGAAGCCGCTTTCCATCCCATACATAACCAGGTAGGTGACGAAACCAGTATTATGCGTGTAACTGACCATTTCGAAGAACTTGACGACCGTGGATTTGTATCGCTACGACGAAGCATGGGAGCTCGACCCAGCCAGAGCCGCATCGGAGTTCTTCGACGGGATGACTCCGAAGCAAGGAACTGTTCTTCTCGATCTGCGAAAACCGGAAGACTTTGCATCCGACCATGTTCCGCATTCATACAATCTCCCTTTGCCGAGTCTGAGCGCAACCACTTCGAGCCCATTCTTCGAGCCTGCGGTCTTGGAGAGTCAGTGGAAGGAGCTGGAAGATATGTTCGCAAAAGAGAAAGTCGACTCGTATGGGCTCGTTGGCAAGAACGTATGCGTCACCTGCTATGATGGGGACACCGCACGCGTTGCTACTAGTGTTTTGCGGGCAAAGGGAATAACAGCCAGCAGCGTCGAAGGGGGTTTCGCTGGACTGGCTTCGCAGCTTGTGCACAGACAACATGCTGAGCGGGACGGCTTTGTCAGCGATGTTTGGCCTGAGGTTATGCAGGGTGAGCTCTGGAAGTCGAAGATGGATGCGTGGTCGCCGAGGGTTGATACGACTGAAGGGATGCCGGTGATTGCGGTGCGACCCTAGAGGCGATATTCTTCTTTCTGGCAGGTGAGCGTCAAGGGCTGCAATTGGTCGAAGGGGATCCAGCTGGCGTACAAGGTACTATAGTGATTAGCTGATAGTTTATAGACGATGCAACATGAGCTACCTTCGGTGGTTTACCCTGGGGTGAGTCCGAATCGGTGGGTGGCTGGAGGAATAATCGGAGTCGTCAGCCTCCTCTTCTATGTCGAGTGTCTTGATGGGCTGTAGTGGAGTTCGTTCGTATCTTCCGGGGTTACTTACGTCGCTGTTTCTGGGGCGTGTCCGGAAGCGGTGACGAAGTGAAAGCGCAAGTGTAAGTGATAGCGCCAAGACAAATTTCTTTTCAAGGGCAATCCCGCCCTAACATCTAAACACCACACGCTCCGCCGAACATTCGATCAGATATGGACCCCAGACTGAGGCTACCGTGGCGTGGTCGGAGTCGGATCGATACGGAAATACCGGCGAGCGCTTACGGCTCCTTTACGAAGCGGGCAAAGAAGGCTTTTTCCAGCGACACCGAGGAGCTCTGGCGCCGTTTCCACAACAGCGCGCCCGAAAAGTGATGAAAGGGCCTGCAAATAGAAGGGCATAGAGTACTAACACCAAATGACAGTTCAATCCGGAGTTCGTCATACAAACCGACCGACGGCAGCCTCGGCCTGCTGGAGATGGTACCTGTAGAAATCCGCCAATCGATATTTCAGTTCGCGCTTGAGATCGAGCGTCCGGTACACTTGCGGAAGTGCTGCGGTGCTCTGGTCCCACGACGTTTCATTTGCTGGTTTCACCGACGGCCTCCAGCGGTCCGCACATCGCGATTCGCCCTCCTTGCCACGTCGCGACGAGTGAGAGAAGAAGCGTCGTGGCTCCTATATAACAAAGTCGTGCTGCATTTGGATGCTCGCCAAGTGGTTAGCTACCACGACGGGACGCCTGCAGGACGGGCAGCGTTCGAGGACATGTGGATGTCTGTCGCCAGCTATCGTTTTGTAGAGCTCACCGTGCCAGCGGAATTCATTCGACAGGGCAAACCAGAGGATTGCACCTTTGCCTTAAGCACAGCAGCCCGTCAGCTCATTGACCACTGGGAGATACAGCCTCTGCAGCCTTCTGGAAATCCGCCACACCTCGTAACAGTCCGCTTTGGGGCAATGTTCAAGGAGGGCTTTCCATCCACCCACCCCGAGCGAGTCCTCAAACACGTGCGCGCCGCAGCGTGGAGCAACCTGGAAACCATGATCAAGCGGATTGCCGCAAAGGACAAGAGCGGAAAGTGGACGTTCACCGCCATGTCAGAAATTAAGTCGAAGAAGACGGGAGGTCGGTACATATTGGCGAAGCTGGAGGAGTGCGCCAGGGCAAATGGAATTCAGTTCAAATGCCTGTCGACTGAAGAAGCTCGTGCAACTGAGGCCATTGATTCAATGGGAGTTTTTGGTGGCAAGCATACGCGATTTGGGGACTGAGGCGCGCCGGTTCAGGGGAGCGGGACCACGTATTTCAGGGGGATTTTGACAGACAGCTGCTTCCAGAAACAGAAGCACGGTCGTATTTCTCCCAAGGTTCGTCGCTTGAGATGATGAGGGATGTGGATGAGGATTAGGTACGACAGTTTTGCGAGGCAGGGAGAATAAAGCTAGGCGAACCCTCGGAATTATTTCGGACACTGGTTGGATCCAATCACAGTCTACAATGCGAAGAGAATCTGCGAGGGATATTCTAGGATCCAAAGCTGTATAATTCAGCATCCAGCTCACACCAGACACTGGTTTTCATTGAATAAGAGAGTTGGGCATGCTGACGAGACTGAGATCACGTGGAGCATGCCGCTCTCTAGGGCTGTCCATATGGGGTTAGTCGCTGACATAAACAGCGACCGATCTCCAACGCGTCCACCGCGTCGATTTCACATCTCCTCTTACACCAACTCTAGGTGCAATCACTCGCGCTGAAGCACAGCAGTCAGACCTACCAGTCAAACTTTGATGGCTTTGGATGATCGATCGCTCACGGGCTCCTATAAGACCGTCCAACCCGTGCTCTCCGCAACCTTACACCCCCAATGCATGAATGGGACGTCAACGGGATGCGTTAGGAGCATCTAAACTGCTATTACTAGCCGGATAGTTATCACAGATATTAAAAGATGACCAAAGATAACAGTGAAATAAACTCCAAATCCCCGTCCATTGCCATGCATCCCATCCAAGAGCGATCGCTAGTGGACGGGCTTCCCGCAAAGCACCACTTTCCCTGCGCGTCACGCTGTTAGTGGTCCCGATAACAGATGATGAGCCTGTCCCACGTCATCGCTTGCGCATCTCGACTACTCCGCCGTTGTCTCAAAAGATACCCCTGTTTTCAGGCAGGCTGCTTCCAGGGCACGGAGCCACCGTGCGCCAATCTTGTCGTTCTTGCCGCTTGCTCCAACCGCAACGAACTTCCATATCGAGGCGCCGCGATGTTGGCCCACAACCGAGACCATTCGCTCAAGACTGCGACCAGCCTCAATAGCCATCATTGCCCAGTCCGGGTCGAGCAGCAGACCGTTATTGAGGGCCCATACTTCCCGAAAATCCGAGCCCGTGGTGTGGAAGTTGAAGGGAATACCTTGAGTGAAGAACGTGCCGAGGTTGACGCTGACGGTGTGTGGCACGACCGATGTCGGTTTCAGCGACTGAAGCTCCCATGCCTTAAGCAGCAGCGATGCGGCCTCGCTCAAGCGCGCGATATATACGGCGGGGTCACGGAGCTTAAGAGTCGCCGCCGGAATCTCGATGGTGACGTTTCGGAAACGCGCGGCCGTCATCCACATACACATCGCCTTCCCGCCATTGGGGATGCCTGGAAGTCGATGAAGCGTCTTCTGTCGATACCCGGTCATGTATGGAGCGATTGAGTTGTTCGCCTTGAGCAACAGCTTTCCCAGATTGAAGAGAACCCATGATGCCTCGTCTTTCACTTCCCGCGATACCAAGAAGAGGTTGAACCTTCCGGAATACGTGGTGAGGGTTCCTACATAAAGGCCGTTGCCCCTTCCGATCTTTTTACAAGTATTTCCATGCTTCTTGCAAGCATCGCGCTCTCGCTTTGTTGCAGTCGGCCCACAGCACTCCTTCGCACTGACCGGATCGCTGATTTCGAGGGCATATGCGTATATTTTCTGCCTGATCTCCTTCGGTAGAGTCTGCAAATAACCGCTACCACCGCACGGGCTAGCGACGTAGGGTGCAGGCTGCAGCTCGATGCGGAAGACTTCGTCCGGAGAACCACGCACGTCTTGCGGGAACATGTTCTTCTTCGGGGTCCTCTGCTTCTTTGGAGACCTTCCTGAATTAGTACCCGGCGTTCGATGTGAATTTCTCATAAGACTGACCTATTCACAGGGGAGGCAGGTCGTTTTGGACTTGCTGACATAAAGCGCCCACCCGGTCCTCTCAATTTGGGACTGCACACTTTCGCCGGCGGTGTAACAGGTAGTGCTGAAAGCAATGCAGAAGAAAGCTCAAGCGGCGGTGACGGCGTTCTCGAGAGTGCAGTGAGCTCCGAGATGTCTGAAAGAGTCGGAGAAGTAGCGCGGATGCCAGCCTCAGGGTTCCCAAGGCTTGTGAGCTCGGGTGGCGGTGACGGCGTCCTCGAGAGCACGGTGAGCTCTGAAACGTCCGAAAGCGCTGGAGGTGCAGCACGAATGCCAACCTCGGGGATACGAAGGCTTGTATGGATCCCCATCTTGCGGAGTGCGAGCGATAGATCAAGCAACGACAATGCTTTATCGAGCTGATCGATCGTGGAGATGAGTTGGCGATCAGGATCGTGAGAACTGAATCTTAAGCTTCCATGAGAGGTCTGAAGGCATGGGCCATCTGCCTTCACCTTGCCAACCTCAACCAACATTTGCCACCGACCAACTCCACGCGGGCAACAACCCCTCGCACACTGTTGCTCACCGCCACTTTGGCGCTTGCTCCTTCACTTCAAATTTTCCAGGGCTCCCAGCTCAAACTTTTCACCAGCTCCCGTGGGTCGGCACATCCAAATTGGATTCTTCAATGCCCAATGAATTCCTTCAGGTGACAGAAACCCGAAGAAGTCTCCATTCATCGGGATGCGCGTACCCTCGTGTTCAATCCCCAGATATTACAACATTGTGTACTCACGGAAACGAGGTTCTGCTGCCCTGGCTGCGCAATGTGGTCTACATAGTGCAAGCTCCATTGCTCGGCATTATGCACGCACAAGAAGTGCATATATAACCCCGCCTACTCGTACTTTCAATGGCCCACAGGACCTCAAACACAGAATCGAGATACAGACCATGTCAATTAACAGAAACGTGAATCGCTCGTCAAACCCCTCGCGCGATTCTGCCTTCGACGCTGTGCGTCAACAGGCCATCGACACAGACATGGACGAGAATCTCGACGGCTACGAAGCAGATCTCGAAGCAGGCTCGGACCTGGAGTCTGACTCCGCTTCCGAAGATCCAGATATGCGGCAAGCTGCTCCGACCGTCCAAACCGTCGAGGTACAGTGCGACATCTGCCTTGCCTTCGATGAGCAATTCGCACAGGTCCGGCAACTGCATAGCGCTGACTACTTGATCGACAGCGCCCACTGGATGGACCTCCAACGTAGGTTGGTCGAACATCTGCATGACCATGCGCTGGACGAAGCCTTGAGCTCGCAGCTTCGGGACTTTGGCATTGGGAATCCGAAGGGCTTCCAGCGGTGGGGTGTCGCAGCCGTGCCTGTCCAGGAGGTTAGCCATGACGGACCGACGACGAGCGAACAGCCTGAGGAGGATGTCGTTGAGGCGCTTTTTGACTATGAGGAGTATGCGAGAGACGGTCTGGCCGAGGACATGGAGGATTTGCAGTATGCGGATCAAGATTCAGCGGGCCATCCGATAGAGTTGTAAACTTCGAACAAACTGACTGTACAGATGCCTTCGCATCGATCCCTCCAAAATCTTCCGGTGTGCGTTTGCGTTGAGAGTCTAGCTTTATAGCAAACCATATGTAAGTAATATATCATAGCCTTCTATTTCCAATGCGCCTCCTTTTATTTGATCGTTACTTTTCCCTGTTAGGTATATTTCTTACTGTCCCTTTCCGCATTCAGGTACCGAGACCGATTTGGCTGCTTGCTCCATATCGCAACATTCAGAAACAATGTGTAAGACCCCGAGCCACGTCGTATCCGTGTACAAGACTGTCTCTGATAGAATCTTAGCCGTATAAAATACAGTGAGGGCCGTCGCTACCTCGCTCTGCACGTATATACCTTATGTTTTCCTTCCACAATGGCCGCCCAAGCTCTCCCCTCACGAGTCTATATTTCGTCATAGCTCCCATATATGTCCATCCACACCAACAACTCTCTCGGAACAACCCAACACCAAGGAAGACTTACCCACCACAACTGAAAATACGTCTTCGTGTGTTGGAACATCCCTTGATTCCATTCTAGTTACAATATCTTCTTCGCGTCGCTATCGCCGACCGGATGACTACGACGCGGACGAGGCCTCCATCTTCCGCGCTGCCATGAGGCACGCCGCCAGAGAAGGCTTCAAGGCGGTTTTGAAACACATGGAGGACACCTTGGACGCTGATTCGGACTTGGATACTGTTGTAGAATCCGAGACTGAGGTCGCTAGCACTCGCAGCGCTCTTTCTGGGGGGGATCATGGCGGGAATATTGCCGCGCCTGTTGAGGACGAATCCGGCCCCGAGCGTGAGCGTTCTCTGAGTTTGGCTGCCAGCGTGCATGGTGACCGTTGTCGTGCTCGACGACCGGGTTCAACGCCCTCCGCGGCAGACGAATGCCCCATCTGCTTGTATCTAGATGAAGAGATGGACAGTTTCCTCACCTCCAAGGCGCTGGACATCGATCCATACGACGACTTCAAGGCGCGCTATAGGGCACATTTCATCGCGCACGGAATCGCGAAACGCCCAACATTCCGAATCAATCCGCTAGCCGCTCAACAGGCCCCTGAGGAAGACCGACAAGCAAACGAGCGTCGTGCCGCCGAGCAAGGCTCCACAGTCCGACAAGCACCCGTGGCGCGACAAACACTCGCAGACAAGCAGCCTATATATGAACAGGCCGCACATGGGTGTGACGAGGTTGTAGTGGACTTGGATCGGGCATAGGCCATGGAGTTTCCGCGGAATCTTTGAAACGATTGATACCCTTGCGCAGTTACTTGAGCGTCGAGCGTGACGGCAGTATGTTCCTACGATCCGTGACTTCGTGTTGGGTGATGAAGCGTAGGGCTTCGATATCTCGCCCGCGGGGGGCAATGTTGAGCTACCTGGGCCTACACTGTGGGTTCGCAGGCCTGCGAGGCCATCTACTTTTCGAATCATGATAAAAATAATGGAATTGAAGTTAAAAGACACATGGTATGCATTCAATAGTTCCCCTGCATCTCATAGTTAGCTGTTGTATTGACTATTATGTTAAGGGTCCACGTTATTCATAATACCCGAGCCCCACTCATCAATATCGCCAGTTCCGCAAGTCCCAGACTCGCTACACAGCTATCAGGACGCTACATTGCGTGAAAACCGGACCGGTTTACGTCCTCAATTCTGTTCAGAACTCCTCTATATATCCACCAAACGCGTCATTCCTACTGCAACTGCCTCAACTTTCCCCCAAAAGCGGCAGAAAAACATGCATCAGCATGAGCAGGACTTGTGCGACTACGGCGACGACACCCTGGTTGGCAAGATGGTGGATGAAGCCGAACTCGAGAGCGTAAATGAATGCCTGAAGGGCATGGAGGACTGCCCCGGGGAGCAGAGGTTTGAACCGGATTTTGTCATGGGTTCGGATTCCAATGTGGAGGACAGTGGGTGTGACTCCGAAGATGAGGAAGTCATGGATGTTTCTCCCACTCAGGCTTCGACGACGGAGCTGGACGTCACCGGTACACCTTTGGAGTGCCTCATGTGCACTGCGTTGAACGCAGAGCTCGAGTGCTTCCGCGCCCTTGATCTCAATAGCGGCGACACATACTTTGACTTCAGGCAGCGCTACGAAAAGCACCTTTTGAAGCATGGTCTTCCGGTCGCCTGGCTGGAAGAACTTGCGTGCTACGAGACTGCGGTGCGAAAGGAAGAGGACGCAGCTGTAGCAGAGGACTTGCCGTCTTCCGCGTATAGCGACGAAGAGCTGGGCTTGTTCGACCTCTTCATTGGGGAGGTAGAATTTGAGATGCCGGACGCGACCTAGAGGTTCTTAGATTAAGTTCTACTTCTCGATGCGTAGGAATCCTTGATCAACGGTATGCGGCCCAGGCGGCTGCAACGATTTTCTTCCCCTTAGTATTTGTCGGAGTAGTAGATTTGAATCGGGGTCAGAAGACAGCGAGTTGCTTGTATTAATGCTTATTACTAGAATGGTTAATCTTAATTATTGTACGAAGATCCCAGGCTTACTGCTTCGTACGTGACTTCATCAAAAAATCATCGACAAGTGTCCTCCTTGCGAGTTCAGTAAATATACGAGTCTATTCACGGATGCTCTACCACCTCCCACTATCCCCATTCCTGTCATTCTCGCCCCCAAATTAACAAGCTTCAATGCCGGCGGTTCTCTTATTCTCAACACCATCTCAAACCCTGCTCCATCCCTCAACCTCTCTTCCGTGAAATCCAATGACGCCTGTCCCTTGCTATCCTTCAAAATCATACTAGCCACGCCGTAGCCTCTTCGACAAGCTGAATTTCATTTGACCCCTTCTCTCCTAAAGTCTATACTTTTCCTGTAAAAATACGCAAATAGAGCAAGACCATTTAGCGAAAGCAGCGCAGGAAAGCTGGCACGAATTGGGAAGAGTAACAGTCTGGGAAGATAGGCGCGCAGCACCCCAATATCATTCCGAAGTGCAACGAGCTTCGTACGTCTGGCAAACTTCGCGCATCTAACTGTGGACTATGCCGTTTTCTCTCACCACTTCTGCCTACCTTCTATCACCTTGCCGGAGCTGTCGCGTTAGCAAGTATCCGATCGCTATTAATCGTATTGTACCCATCAGGCAGCAACTCTCCCCGCGTACTAACCTCACTAGGAGTATCGTGGTTAGCACGCAACCGTGCGCTATTATTCTTATTATCCTATCGAACTCGCCAGGCAGCAAGCTTGCTCTTCAGCTCCATTCTATTCTTGTCCGGAAAGCTAATCTTTAGACTCCAGAACCTCGATATTCCATAGCGACACCCCCCAGCCCTACCGATACTCTTGAATCCCTCTGATCAAGGCACCTGCGAGCTGTCCAACATGGCGATGCGCCCATACAACCGCGATCTATCTAGAGACGCCAACACCCCCAAAGTCGACACCCGAATCAAGCGCAAGGACGTGAAGGATGCGATCGAAAAGCTACACCAGCCCAGAACTACTCGCGCTGTCCAAGCTAACCCCACGATACAGACGCATGTCAATGCTCCCGGCCTAATGAACCAATTGCTCTCACTTCCAGGCGAACTGCGCAACTTGATTTACCACTACACTCTCAACATCAGCACACCCAGCCAACCCACTACACGCATCCCCTATGCTCTCCCCTCAAACGAAAACGAGCACCGGAACCAAGGTCTCGGCCTGCTCCAAGCCAACCAGCAGATCACCGCAGAATCACGCTCCTTGATCGAAGCCCTCGACACCGCGTACATCCCCGTCACAGGCCGCATCCCCTATGGCCAAATGATCGAGCAAGTCCTAACCACCGGCCCATCCTCACTCCCCAGCATCGACAGCACTCTACTCGCCGGCCTCACTTCCTTCATGAGCGTGCACATCCACCTGCACACCGGCTTCCTCCCGGGCAATCCATCGCCGCGCCTCGACCCCGCAAGCGCCTTTCTCTACGGCCGTCTCCGCCAAGTGCTCATCATCTTCAGCGCCGCATCCGCCGCTCTATCAGCCAAACACGACGGGAAAAAGCGCCGCGCGGTCATCCACCTCGACCATCTGTTCTCGGACTGGCGGCACATGATTGGGATGCGCGGCTGCTACAAGTTCAAGCACATTGCGCGCTTGATGGGCGAGGATCAGCACACCGAGTGGGAGCTGCGGTACTACGTGTATACCAGCGATCAGGCGCGAGAGGAGGTGTATTGGCCCACGTGGGATGAAGGGTTGAGGGAGGAGTTGGACGTGGTGGTGGAGATTTGCGCGCCGTTTGAGAATGTGAGCGTGAGGGCGGAGGTGTATGGGGAGGCGGAGTGGAGTGTGGAGGGGGAGAGGGTGGAGGTGACGAGGGAGATTACGACGAGTGCGAAGGGGTTGGTGAACTGGCCGGAGGATGTGCCGTGGAGGTTGGAGCCGCCGAGTTTCTGCGCGGTGGCTGAACGGGGCCCTCTGGGATTGACTGGCGAGGATAATAACGCTTGACGAGGTGCTGCATTTCGAAGAGCAATGTGAGTTGCCTTCCTTGCGGTGATGGCATTCATCCGTACTGTACATAAACATCTTCCTGTAAAGAGGGATGCGAAGGGAATGTAGACTCGAAATCCAACAATGCTTTGAAGCCAGGCAACGAACTGTGAATTCGAAAGTAACCAAGATAGTGAAAGAAACCCCCCGTCAACTTTGCTGAACTCTTAGCTAATTAGAACCAGTACCGAAGAGCGGGAGCCCGGTAGAAGTCATCAGTGTCCCAAGTGACTCGCCAGATAACCGTGATATTGAACCGAGCCGTGTCAACCTGAAGCTGCAAATTTGCCCGCACAAGCCAGTTCGCATCGTCCAGGTCCGATCCAAGAGGCAAGAACCTTGCCACAAGTAAGCCGCGATGTCGCAGCCATCTCATGCTCGTACGAAAGCTCCACTCCGGGATTGAAGGAGCCACCACCAAAAGTGTATACCGAACGCGCCATCTACCTTCTCTTATGAAGTAGAGAAGAGTGTCGTGAGCGTCGACCAGCTCCCCAATGAGACCCGGCACGGTGATGTGGCGGACATAAGTCCAGAGGATGAAGAATACGTCGAAGACGTTCGGGAGCCACGGGGCCCAGTGGGAGATCCGCGCGGCGGTACGGCGCAGAAGATGCCGTGATATGCGAAGTATGAAGGTCGCAAGTACGGCTGGGAGCAGCAAGAGGAGCAAGAGGACGATCTCCGCGGATTGGATAGCGATGTCTCTGAATCCTAAATCGCGTGTAAGCAGTAAGCCTTTCAGCCGGGGTCTAAAAGAAATGCGGTTCGCGTCATGAATACGGCTACGTACCAGGCATATTCGGCAAGCGCAGAAGCAAGGCCCCGTGGAAGCATACGAGTTCTTAGATAATACGACTGGAATTCGTAACGATGCGAAATGTCGTTATGCGGTGAGAACGAGGGTAAAATGTAGCCGTGTATGAATGGGGCTGTCGGGTGACAAGAGGTTTTGAAGAAATAAGTTTGGAACGAGAGCGCCAGTGATAATCGCTCATGTAGGCTGATGGTGGAACCGAGACAGGAAGCGCTTGCCCGTGTAGCGGAAAGAAGGTAAGGTGCGCCGTAGCAGGAGGTAGGAACCGGGCATCATAGCAACAGGCTATGAGCCGACGCTAGAATAATGGTATGCCATCTTTATGATGTTTCGAGGTCGTGTGTTCCAAACATCAGCTATTGCCGCTCCGCATGGGGCATTTCCTGGGTCTGATGAGATGATTAGGCTGGGCATTCTCCGATAGAGCTGATGATGATGTACGTCCCGATCATGTACACCATTCTTCCTTCCATATCCAAAAGTATCCCCCAAAGTTGCCGCTCAAGTCCCCCCAATGACCGATAATGCCAAAAGGCGTAACCTCGCCGTGCCACATCCAATCCCAACCCTGCGCTGGATAACTCTTGATAACGTCGACCTTCCCGTTCTCGTGGATCTCGCCGTAGAGCAGGAAGGCGCCATGAGAGTCGACGCCGCGCGTTTCGCGATCGACCATGGCTCTGATATGTGGATCAGGTCGGTCTGTGCGGTCCCGCGGCCGAGCAATGAGATTGATGTTGCGCATTGGAGGATCGACAATCGCGTACCGGCTGTGAATAAGGTTTCGCTGATCCGTGTAGTATCCCATCCATCTTCCCGAGAGGAACTCTGGAGCAGTCATCCTGTGGGTATGACAATAACTGAACTCCACAGTGGTGTTTCGATACACCAGTGGGATGTCCATGTATGACCGGAACAGCGTGCGGGATGGACAAGGAAGTTTAATTGGGAAATGCGCCCCTCCTAGGATGCTGTACAAGAATGGAATGATTGACGCAGCAGCTTGCGCAAGACTATAGGTCCGTAGGAGATCGCTGCCTGGCGCAGGCGGGCTCAACCCCCATGCACCGGAGCGGACGTAGTCGTTTACTCGGTTCTCTGGGATATGATATCCCATTTCGAATGGCTCTAACACTTGTTCTTCGGGGATCCTGCTCATCCCTTCTAAGGTGAGGAAGGCCAAGCAGAATCCAACGTTGACAAGAGTCGCATAGGCCTGCACCACGCTTTTTCGGTGGGCTTCGCTGTTTTCGTCGCCGGGGCGCACATGTCGGCGATTGGCGAGTTCGAGATGGAGCCATAGCAGGTGCTCGGCTTTGAAGGAGCTGCATGCGGGATGGTGCAAAGTCAGAAGATGCGGCAGCCACTCTTCCACGTCGCGATGAACCACTACTACACCGCCATCGTCCTCTGAAAACCATCGCGGTGGCTTTTCAGAAGCTCTTTGAAGGGCGCGCTCGACGGCTAGGGCAATTCGAATGGTACCCTGAAGCGTGGCTTCATTCAGAAGATCAACCCCTTCATCCCATACTGGAGTTCCCTCTTTTCCGCCGAGGTTTTCGTGTCCCACTTGATGTAGGGCGATGTGCTTGAAGACAAGGCGATCGTTACACGCCGCATGCAGCTGGCGGTTTACTTGGATGAAGTTGAGCGCTGCCGAGCAGGGAAGATTGCGAGCAATTCGCTGGATCAGTTCTGTGGGGAGATCTAAGAGAGAAGACATGATTCCACGCAAATCGTTTACGTGGTTCAGATGTTTCGCTGTGAACGGTGGATCCGGACCATATGTAGGTAGAGTGATACGGGGCCAGGGGGGAACATCGAGTTCAGGCACCAGCCTTATAGCCGAGCCATGTTTCAAGCTAGGAAAGAAAGGCATTAGCGTGCTCACGTAAGCATCCTTCCGTCCCGACCAGCATAACTGCTCATCATGATGCAACCTCCACAATCCTAGAACGCTCCAAAGCCCACAGGACCTACGATGTACAGCTAGCCATAGTGCGTTTAATGAGGCTAGTATTCCCTTGACGAGGTCCGAAGGGCAAAGCACCGCCTTTGTCAGCTGCATTTCCTCACACCACGGCCGTCATGCTACCCGACGCTATCTACAACAGCTTTTTCGAGTACGAGGGCACAAACACTTTCATTACGTAGCTCGTAGAGACGGCTAAACAACATGGCTTCAACCCTCCAGATGTCTCTCCCAGCCGGCGAGCGAACCCAAACCTGAGCGCACGACGGGGAAGGCGTCATGCCAAACAACGGGAGGAGATAGAAATCAAGAATCACGCTCTGATCCCTTACGCAGAAGCCATTGTGGAGAAAAGGCGGAAATATTTTGATTCACCGCTATACGCATTGAGGAACGCTGCTGGGGCGATACGCCTGCGAGCTAAATCCACCGGATAGCACGAAAGTCGAGCCGAAGGCGTTGGGCATTTTCTCAGAGATGCTCGCAAACAAAGCACCTGGAGTCACGCAGCTTTCAGCGACATGCTGGATCGTGCATTCAGCTACATAAACCATATATCCCCAAGCCCAAGCGAGCCGCAAAGCCTGAAGACCGAGCGGCCGAAGATCGCATCGAAAGCCGAGCCAATCGGTTTGGAGCCCATGATATCGAAGAGTTGCCAGAGCAGGGTGAGAAGCACCGACCGAGAAACCTCCTGCCGAGCCGGGTCGGGTAACGCCAGGTGACTCAGACTGTCGATATAAGATGGAAGATCATGTGCTTGCCATCCATCTGTCCTTTTCCGACGTTTTATATCCTTCCTCAAAGACGTGCAGCAGTCGGAGCGCTGCCAGAACTGGGCCTTGTGCGGACCTCTTCCGGAACGCCGAACCCGCTTGAACTGGAGGATGCATACCCGCAAGAGATATTGCTCTATTGGGCAAAGTTTTTCCCGGTGGTCGCTGGCTTGATGTTTTTTGTAGTGACCGATGCCATGAAGGAGGTGAACATGGCCTATACCCATATACCTGGATTGACGCTGGCGCACGCCCATCTATACATACGACTATCACCAACGATGCCACAAGCGAGCCGCACTTGAGTCTTCAGCCAAACCCCTACCAGGGGAATAGGAAGACATGGGGACATTTCTTCAGATCTTCGGTGAGGGTGTTTTCAAGTGAGAACAACCCCACTCCGTAGGGAAGTGTACCGGCCGCCTCTTCCTCTCACACGGCTACCATTGAGTGACCTTGGAACGGGCGGGTTGTCGGGGAAGTTCCACATTAGGTGCAAAGGCACTTCGACTTCAGAACTATACCGCTCTCTCGATGATGCTCTTCACTACTCGGGGTCTTGGGCCTTGGTGGAACTTCCTCAAACTTCTTGACTTGAGACATGCAGTCGGTCGTCCACAGCCAGGTGAGGGCTTATGAGGAGCGTGTAGGAAGAGGTAGGTCCTTGAGCTTAGTCATATTGGCGGATATGTTTACCTATTCCGCCTGGTTCTGCGACTCGAGCTGGTCAAGGCCCATTTCATTTACTATCGACTCATTGGCAATTGCAACAGAGTGAACAAGGCCCTTCGAAAGCTCGAACCAAAACAGGTGATCGAGCCAGGAGTCACGTGCGCCAAAGGTGCATCTCTGCCGTATCTTCGGCGCGATACATGACTACCCTTTCGCTCAAGAAGGAAATACTACCGCGGGTGTCGCACAGCAATGTCATCGCATGTCCGAGAAGCAGTCATCACGCGTGATTGCTACGGCTGCGTTTCCGGATCCAAGTGCCAAGGAACGACGGATCTTTCCGAGGCGGCGCTATCAATCAATCCATATTCTTCACGAGCTCTGTCATCAACGAAGAACCGGTCGCCTTAGCGGGTGTTCGGCGGATTGCGATGTGGACCCAAGCTGTCGGGACTGCTGCCCTGATCTGCGCTGAGCCGCACAATAATATCAGGGATAGTAATATTGTCTCCGCAATATGCATCTCACCAAACCAAGCATCCACATATTGCCGCGTTTCGCATGCGACATTACCCCGACCCACCTCGCAAGGCTGACACCCCGCTTTACAATCTAGTCGATCAAGCTGCGGTGAGATGTGGTACATCGTGCAGATTGCATACGAGCGGCGCCACTTCCAGAATACTCGGTACCAACCATCCTCCGAGGAACGTCGTCCTGATTCCATTAAAGTTCATATTTAAAGGATCCATATGTCTGGACGTTGACTTGGTTTCCGGGCTGTCCGACTTCTATGAATAGGTCTTCATCTGAGGCCGCGACCCGGAGTATGACCGACAGCACACACGTCTTCGCTTCATTCGCCATACCTGCTACCGAGTCCAGCAATGCCATCCGACATATTATTCTGACCCTCTCATATGACCCAGTCGCGAGCCTCGATATGAACCAGTACTTTACTCTCACCCGGTACCATCTGGCCGCGTCGAAGTGCCAGATTTAGAAACGCGTTCATGCGCCTAAAAAGGAAATCCTCATCGTCAAAACAAACGCTGCTCACCATCACGGTTCCATTCAGGCTCGATCTCATGACGAAACATTCCAAATTGCCCGCCAAGACGACCAAAGCCAAGCAATATTCAATGAAGAACAACTATGACTTCATCTCTACAGACTAAGAGTCAATCTACAAGTCATCTTGATACCATCTTAGACGCTTGCGACTGGCTTCTTCCTCGTGTTCGCGGGCCACGATGGGAACATGTCGCTATTATACCTTCGTATCTATGAGCTTCCTTAAGTCTGGATATGCCTGGGATGAAGTATAAAGGGATGCTGATCTGTCCTTGAAGAAGCATCATCAGCAGCAGATATCTCCTCTTCGCTGAGCATCAAGGCCTCTCATCAATCTTTGACACGCCTACAAGCCCATATCTTCAATTAAGATGAAGTACACCACCGCCATCCTCGGCCTTACCGCCCTCGCGGCCGCCGCTCCAGCACCGGTCCCGGAGCCGATGCCTCAGAATGCGCCCTCAGGCCATGAGATCTCCATCGAAGGCGTCACCTATGGCGGCACAGGATGCCCAGACAACACCGTCCAGGGTCTTCTCACTGATGGTATGTGAATCTGTGCTGTAGGCAGCAAAATACCCCTTCCTTTCCCGATCACTACTTCAGTGAGAGAAAGGGATGCATAGATTCAATCACCTAGAGCCTTTCCGTGCTTGTTCCCTGCACATACGCTAATCATACTGGCTTTCTAGACAAGACCACCATCACTCTGTCCTTCGACCAATACCTTGTCCAATCCGGCCCGAGCATCCCCGCCAGCGACCGCCGCAAGTTCTGCCAGCTGCAGCTCAAGCTCAAGTACCCAGCGGGCTTCCAGTTCTCCGTCTTCGGCGTCGACTGGCGCGGCTACGCCAGCTTAGAATCTGGCGTCACCGGAACCGCGCAGACGACATACTACTTCTCTGGTCAGCAGAGCCAGGTACGTTCCCAGCCACACTTCCCCATCACACCCCCCCATTCCGTCCGCAGCACGTAAACCCTCCCTCCCTTCTAACACCCCACAGACGGTCATCAAAACCGACTACAAAGGCCCGTACGAAGACTCGTACCTCAAGCACGACGACGTCGACGCCGGCTCCACCGTGTGGTCGCCCTGCGGCGAGCAGGGCATGCTGAACATCAAGTCGGAAGTGCGCATTGTGCCGATGACGGCGAAGGGACTCAACCTGCTCACCGTGGACACGTTCGACGGCAAGTTCGTGCAGAAGTACTACATGCAGTGGCAGAAGTGCGATCCGAAGAAGGGCGGGACTGGCGGCACCGGCGGCACGCCGATTGGACGCCCTGGCCCGGATCCGTTTGATAGTGGCAATTTGGGGCGCGAGGTCGATTTGAGTGGACGGTTGTAGATGTGTGGGTGAGTTGGGGGCTGGTTTTTCTTTTAGGTTTAGGTAGGATGTAGATGGATATCTACTAACGTTGCCCGAATGGCTATCCAATTGTCCATCCCACCAACCAAATAACCAACTCTATCTATCCCTTCCCTTCCTCACACACCCCCTCCCTTCCTAACCCCCGCCGCCGCCAGCCGATACCACCTCTCCTTCCCCGCCCTCACCTCTCTGCAATACTCCCTCCCCATATCCACCAGCAGCATAGGCTGCAACTCCGGCAGCATACTCAACCGCAGCTCAGGACTCTGCAGCGGAAACGCCCAGCCATGGGGGCTGAACGGGCGGTTTTGGATAAATCGCTTAGGCGGAGTAGTGGAGAAGATGAGATGCGTGGCGCAGTAGCGAGTGGATAGGGAGGATGGGATGGAAGGAAGGGTGAGGTCGAAGGCGAGGCGGGTTGTGGTCAGGAGGTAGGGGGTAGTAGTAGTAGTATGCAGCGTGATGGTAAGCATCTTCCATCCCCTCTGCCTTTCTCTCCCCGCTCCCTCGTGCGGGCCCCAGCTCTGTAGCAGCGCCTGGATCCTGCTAACCGCCCTCCCGCTAGGCGTCCGCTTCACGGCGACGAAGACGCCTTTCTCTACCCTCTCGCCATCGCTACGACGCCCCGATGATGCTTTCCAGACGGGATTATCCCGCAGCGTTAGACAGACTGTCACGCTCTCGCTGTCGCTGTGGCTGCTATTTCTCCGCGTACGTGTATGTGTATTCGACGCAGTGAACGGGCCGTAGACGAAGTACTTGCGCGACACGGCGAGCATGAAGTGCCAGCCATTAACAAAAAAGCCGTTCGAGTTCGCGCGGCGCTCGGGCTGTTTTTGCTGCGTATTCCCGACGCTTGCAGTGGCGGGCGGCGATGCGGTGTTGTTGCTGGGTGGTCGAGTCCGCGTTCGAGGGTAAGCCGGAGGAGGCGAAGGAGAAGCAGTAGAAGCGCGCGTCTGGTACTTCTTCTCCTCCTGAGCCCGTGCCTCTGCGTCCTGCCTCGCAAACTCGTGCTTCGCACGCTCCCATTCTTCCTCGGCGGTGTACACCCTCCTTGTCCTTCTTTTGCCTTCCGCGCCACCGCCAGTGTCGCTCGGCCTCCTTCGTTTCTTTGGCGGCGGCTGCGCCTGCGTAGCCCCGTTCCCAGCTTCCCGCTTCCTCTTCTGCTTCCCCGCCTCACGCAACTGCTCCTCCTTTCTAATCTCCGCATCATACCGCCCCCTCTCCACCGGGTCTGAAAGACACTCATACGCTGCATTCGCCACTTTGCTCAGCGCCTCGCCTGCCGCGCGCTCGGCGGCGGTCAGGTGCGCGAGTTTGTCTGGGTGGTGCGCGAGCATGAAGGTTTTCCAGGCTTTTTTGATCTCCGCGGCGGAGGCAGAGGGGTGGAGGGCGAGGAGCGTGTAGTGTGTTGTGGGTGGGGGTGCCATGGCGAGCCTGGTTAGTTGGTTGCTGATAGATGCTGATGGATTGAGGGTGGGTTGGTTGGGTGGTGGGCTGGGGCGGTGTCTAGGGCGATTGTGGCGGTAGCGGTAGGACTTGAGAGGCGGAGGGATCCGTGGGTGTGTGATTGTGTGATGGATGGGGCTCTAGGGGGGAGGAAAGGCGGTGGGGAGAACGAAGAATACGTATGGCGGACTGGGCAGCGATAGAGGAATAGGAATAGAAATAGTGCAGTTGTCTATCTCGGAACAAGTCCTCTAACTCATTCCGCACGTATAAGTATCTCCGCCTCGCTCGACAACCGACTAATTAGGCAAAACGAAAAACATTGTCCGGACTGGAAGTCATTTCATTCCCTCCCATCTCATTCCATTCCACAACTGGAGAGCAGAAGTGCTGCAGTGAAACTTTTTCACACGCGTGATATATACACTCTCACTGCATCCAGCCCAGAATACCCTAATATTACTCTTGTATCTTCTGAGATTCAAACGACGTTCCACGACACTTCACTGCTAACTCGAATAGGCTTCTGCTGTGGAGTGTGCTAGGAGATGTCCGTGGCACGGGGCAGCTTTGGGATACTCCAATGCGGAAGGCTTAGTTACGGTTAAAATACTTCAGGGGGTCTGATGCGAAAATCCTGAGTTTTTGCCCTATGGCTTCCTTAAGCTAGAAGGTGTCAAGTGCGACGAACAGCGGGAGTTAGAATGCGGTAAGCACTAAGTTTGGCTTCGTTGGGTCGGTGATGTAAAGGGGGCAGGGGGGTTGAAGTGGATAAAGGCGCAAGAAGCAGGAGAGGAACGGGGAGGGTGAAGTCATGCGATGGAGGATGATTACAATTTCCGTCTAGGGGTATGTGGTGACCATGCAGTAGTACAGTACAAGCGAGAAGAAGCAGCATCCCTCACGGCAGATCGAAAGATTGAAGAAACAGCTAGCTACGCTACACTCACATCCCTCCCTTACTTCTGCTCCGCTTCCGCGACGGCCTCCTCACTGCCCTCCGTCTTGCTGTGCATCGGCGCCCCGGTTATCGACTCGCGGCCCATATCCCAGTCGTTAGCCAGTTCTTCGAGCGTGCGGCGCTTCGTCTCCGGGATCAGCAGCGACGTGAAGACGCCCGCGAACATGAAAGCTGAGAAGATCTGCATGACGTGGTTGAGCCAGGGGTTGGCGTTGTCTTTGGTGGCGCCGCGGGTGCGCAGGGGCGCGATGGCACCCTGGGCGATGATGGATCCGATTTTGCCAGAGCCGGCGGAGATGCCGTGCGACGTAGATCGGTAGCGCGTGGGGAAGCACTCGCCGGGCACAATGAAGGTCGTGGTGTTTGGGCCCCAGTTGAAGAAGAGCTGGATGAGGACGTAGATGCCCAGCATGCCGTGGGGGCTGATATGGTGGTATGCGAAGCCCCAGACGATGAACAGGAGAGTGAGGAAGCTGAAGCCAGCGATTTGCAGCGGACGGCGGCCGACGAAGTCGACCGTGGCGACCGCAAGCCAGTAGCCCGGAAGAGCACCGGCGCAGACGAGAATGCAGTTACCAGCAGCCAAGTTGTAGAGCTGCGTGTAGACGTCGTTGCCACCGCCGTACCCGATGGCCTGTAGAACAGTGGACGAGTTCAGGCCCAGACCGTAGAAGGCCACATCGAGTAGCAGCCAGGACATGGCAGTGCCGAAGAGGATCTTGCCGTTGCGGAGCTTGCCGTAGAAGCGGAAGAAGTCGGACCACGAGGCCTTGGGAACCTCCAGCTGGGCGACGGAAGCACGTCGGGCGTTGGCGGCGGTAATCTCATCAGGATGGCCTTCTCCTTTCTTGCCGGAGATGTAGACCTTGACGTCCTCGTTGGCCTTCTCGACGTCGCGGGCGACATCGAAGGTGTAGCGAGGGGTCTCCGGGATGGTCAGACGGTAGTACAGCGCAATTGCCGCCGGGACAATGCCGAGGCCTTACCATGTTAGCTGGGTAATACAGTTAGAGCGTACATTCCACGTGTCTTACCGATCAAGGCCCTCCACATCTTATCGACGGCAACCTGGCAGTCGCCGGAGCAAGAAGCGTATGCTGACACGGTAGCGCCATTGGTGGTGTGCTTAATACCCTGCTTCAGCGAGCCCTTGAAGCCGGCAGTGAGAATAAGCATGACGAGGGCGCCCCCGAGCTGTCCGAGGCCCTGCATAGAGAAGACGGCAGCCATCATGGCGCCTCTCCACTTGGTAGTAGCGAACTCGGAGGTGATGATGCTGGACAGTGGGTAATCACCGCCAATTCCTGCGTCCTGTCAAAAACGTCTTTATGCAAGCAATACGGGAAAACATACCGATGCCCATGAGAACTCGCCAGAAGATAATTAAACCAACGACGCTCGTCCCGGGGCCAGGCCCACTGAGGGACTGGGCGAGCGTGGCGATGATGATGAGGATCAACTCGAGTCCATACATTTTCTTGCGGCCGACAATGTCAGCAAGGGCGCCGAAGCCGAACTGGCCGATGACGGTTCCTGCCGAAGTCGAGAGCTTGATAGCCGTGTCCTGGGGCGTGCTCAAGGTGCCGCTGTGGTCGTGGCGATAGACGATGCCAAGCATGATAGTCAGCAGCGACACGCAGAAGATGTCGTAGCTGTCGGTGAAGAAGCCGGTGCCGGCGACGAGAATGGCGCGGATATGGTACCAGCCGAAGGGCGCCTTGTCGATCTCAGCAAGGGCAAGGCGACGACGCTCATTGGGGTCCTCGATGTGAGCGAAGTCGTTGTTGAAGTTGTGGAAGGCGTTGTTGCCGCCCGACGTCTTGTTGGCCATTGCTGCTCAAGCCTTGCCAACGCTGGGCCTAAGACTGTCAAGAGATGGACAAGGGAGGACAAGAGATGTGGAGGTGGCAGCCAAGTGACCTGAGACTTGGGTCGAGAGGAAATGGAAATATATATGGACACAAGCACCAGGCGCCGAGAGCGAGGGCGCCGCTTGGCGGATGCGAGAGGGAAGAAGCGGGAGCGAATGAGAAGGGCGGGAATAGGCACGGGCAGGTGTTTAGGGACGTCGGGGAGGCCGCGGGGAGAGAAGAAGCGCTTTTCTCGCTCGAGTGTGCTGGAGCGCGGCGAATCCACTCTTTCTGACAGCCCGGCCGGCGATGCAGGCGTGCAGTTCTCGAATGCTTGACGCGAGCGCGAGGGGGCCCGCGCGTCGGGGAGGGTGGTACGGGTGAAGGAAAACGGGCCAATCAGCGCGCGCCGTTGCACCACGTTTCTTGCTGACATAACCACCCTGACTGCCCACCACGCCGCATCCGTGACGGGCCCGGCGTGGGAATGTCCTTGCGTATCACTGATTGCTTGACGAGCTTGTCTCGGCTCGGCACTTCCTTGACCTTGTGGCGCGCGCGCACGCCGTCTACCATGTTGTGCCGTAAAATCCTCGAACCGACACCCCACTCTGCCCCATACCGCGCCAACCCGTCTTTCTACACGTCCAGAGTGGCAAGTTGCTTGCCGCAAAGGGTCCCTTCCAGAAGTCCCAGGCGCCGGGAACCCGCGGCCTCCACTGCATCGCTCATGGACCCGGGGTGGGCGACCGGTAGGCATGCAGGGCTTTCGTCGGAACCGAGAGAGCCTGGCAGTGGATCAAGAGCTATTTCTACAACGATGTTGGTCCTGCTTGTCAGAAGTCTAAATTTTGGGTGCAGGAACGTCTAGCGTTGCTTCCTGTTCCGGATTGTCGTATGGATGTTGCACACCATCACGAGCAGTAATCGCTACCTCGCCCTCCGGCTCGTCACTGCTACCCAGCTATTGGAAGACCTTCCATCGCCATTTATTACTCAGGCCCACCCAGACTCGAGAGGACGCGGGACCGCGGAGCCTCACCAGCACATGCATCGCTCAGTCACGCCCGTGGCCTTCTCCGGCGTCCAAACGAGCTACTCAATAGACCTGCCGCCCAATCGAAAATTTCTCTCTGATGCCATCTTTTCCTGGGCGTTGGTCGCGGCATTTGTTCGGATTTTCCCTAGGAGAGTTTCATGTTTGTACAATGCATCGCCGGGGGCATTGGCAAGACCCGCAAGGCTTCGCAAAGCTTGGACGACGGCGTTTCGCGACAACCGAACGAGGGATCCAAGTTCCAGCAACACGGGACCGGACTCATGCGAGGCAGGTTGATAGCGCAAGGCATACATCATATCGAGTTTGAATCGCCATTGATCGATTCCGCGATGCAGTCGCTGACAGCCTGGCGTGCGATCACCTCGATCACCTCGATCAGCGCTTCAGAATTTGCCATGGCTCTACCCAACCTTAGAGGACTTCCGTCAAATGTTCTCTCTACTTGCGTATCCGTCCTTCGCGTCGGAGATTTGCGCTGTGGGGAGACTTCGACGCGCCAGTCAGCGGAGTAATTCTGAGCACGTGGGTCTACAGCACACAACCATAAAGCCAGCGGATCTAAAATTCCGTCCGAAAACTCCGTCGTCGCGGCTCTATTACCTATCCATCTCGATATGTCAAATCGGCGCGTGAAGATAACAGACTCGCGGATCCCATCGGTCGAAGTAAATCTACTTCGCCAAAGATTTGCAATGCCGAAGGTGGCATCACTTCGAAGCGGTCGATCCGATCCATCTCCATCATCAGATCTCTCAAGGATTTACGCAGACTACCTCGGAAATACGAGTCGCCCATCCTTCCTGACCTCCGAGACGTCTTCTGAGAATGAGACTGAAAGGAAATCGAGAAAAGCGAGCCTAGGATGCGCGGCACTGGTTTGATTCAGTTCCTGTCAACGTATACTCTGGAAGACTTAGCTCGTACTTCTTCATTGCATTCAGCTTCCGGCCGTGTCTAAGTGGTTTGCACCTGGTTTCAAAACCTCGAGGTCTGTTCGCCGACTAACAATGCCTGAGGCACCTCCTGTTATACCCATCCTAGCGCCTTTCTCCCAGAGAAGGCCGGTGCAGCGAACGGACCGCCGATATGAGCAGCACGATGGGTTTCTGACGATGCATTTTCAAGTGATGCTATGGCGCTTGTCGGCATTTCAGCGCGAAGAATCCGCATGCACGGCGCAGAGCAGATGCCGAGTCGCTCAAAGAGGCTATCACGCACGACGAGGAGATGCGTCCTGCTGTGTTGGTCGAGCTGAGGAACGCTAGATGTAGGACGGAGCGACTCGGCTTGATGGGGTTGCACTGCGATCTCGTCGTCGCTGTAACGACTGCAGGAGTGCCACGGCGACGGGGACAAGGAAGGGATTGATGGAAGTTTGGTATATATAGAGGGAGGTAAGTGCTTTTTACTTGGGATATCCGCCGTAATCGTTCTTCGTCCGGGCCATACCTACATACCCAAGTCCGAATACAAACTCCTGCACTCATCTCTCCGCTATTCTCCCCAATTTGTCCTCAATCAGACCTTTCTTCACCCTATTTCAATCCTGACATATAGCTCATGTCAATATCTCATACATGTCACTATCACTTATCCGGTCTTTCCTTCGCGTGTCCTGTCCACTCAAGCTCTTGTTTGCTACCCACATTGACATCCTCAACAGCTTCCGGCAGCCCAACGGCAGGCGTACATTTAAAACGATACCGCCCAGGCTTTGAACTAGGCAACATCTCGTCTCTTTCAAAGTCGCTACTTGCAACACGATGAGGCCGTTGCCGTCAACGCGACTGCCAGCATGCGGTTTCTCGTATCGCAGCGTTCCGGGTCACTGCCACCGTCCCACCCGCCACGAACCGTGCAGTTACACTCCAACCAGCGCGGCCTGTATCAGGCCTGAAATATCTCTTTCCTTCTCCGGCGGTAGCTTAACTCGTGGAGAGTGAGAGCGCGAGTGGTACAAGAGAAATCGGCGCAGGACCCAGGACATACATGCGGCGATCGAAGCCCCATAGTAATCAGCCGCGGAGAATACGTGCGGCGTAACTATCCAGTATATATGAGAGTACGCGGTCCGTTGCCCTTTTGCACAAGCGTGTCAGGTCAGCACATGCGTCGCACCGCAACATCGGAAAGAAATCGGAAAGATCTCGGAACGGGACCCGCCCTCGGACCACAATATACGTACCCCGTGCCTTAAAATACGCAACCTCACAATCCCTATCGCGACCCTGCTCCAAACACCTCGATATACCTCCAATTCCACGCAAAACCACACTCCTCTATCATACTTATTCATTTCCTCGCTCGCTCGGCGAAAGCAAAGGCTCAGCACTGCGGTACCGCCAATTCCAGAGATCCAGAAGCCCATTTCCGATCTTTCGATCAGCTGAGGTGCCGCGAACCCAGGAACACATGCCCCGCAGGGCGACGCGCCAAACCGCAAACAGCGACACCCCCGCCCAGCCGTCTCCGCATTCTCACTCCACCGAAGCACACCTCTCCTGTTAGCAAAAGGCCTGACTGGTCCCGTCGTCACGCATTGTGATAAATAGCCCGTGGGTTCCGACGCCATGGCTTGCTCATGCCGTGGAACGCGCTCCACTTACAGCACAATTCTCGCCTCCCCAATAACCCATTGATCTGGTCTCCTCACCCAAAAATTCCTCGTATCACTATATAAAGAGGCAGCACAAAGGCGCAAGCCCGGAGTCACACAATGCTAGCCCGCACCTCCGCAAACGCACTGCAGCACACCCTACACCACGTCTCGCACCTCCCCACAAGGCCACTAAACCCGCAATTCCTCCGCGCAATGGCGACCATGCGCGCGCTCACCTACGCGGGCGCCAACCAGACGCCGGTCCTCAAGGACGTCGCGAAGCCCGAGCTGCAGAAAGCGTCCGACGCCGTCGTCAAGCTCAAGTACAGCACCATCTGCGGGACGGACCTGCACATCCTGAAGGGCGACGTGCCGACCATGGCGGAGGGCCGCGTGCTGGGCCACGAGGGCGTCGGCGTCGTGGACGCCGTCGGCGCCGGCGTGACCAGCTTCAAGGTCGGCGACCCTGTGCTGATTAGCTGCATCAGCGCGTGCGGCACGTGCGAGTACTGCAAGAGGGGCATGAACAGCCACTGCGCGAGCGGCGGGTGGAGTCTGGGCAATACGATTGACGGCACGCAGGCGGAGTATGTGCGCATTCCGAATGCGGAGAATAGCTTGTACAGCGTGCCTGAGGGCGTGGACGAGAAGGCGCTGGTTATGCTGAGCGATATCTTCCCGACGGGGTTCGAGTGCGGGGTGCTGAATGGGAAGGTGGCGCCGGGTGGGACGGTGGTGATTGTGGGCTCGGGGCCTGTAGGGCTGGCGGCGTTGATTACGGCGCAGTTTTACAGCCCGAGTGTGATTGTTATGGTGGATGGGGATGAGAATCGGCTGGAAGTTGCCAAGAGCTTGGGAGCTACGCATACGGCGACGCCGGATAAGGCGATTGAGGTCGTGAAAAGCGTGACGGATGGGAAGGGGTGCGATTCGGTGATCGAGGCTGTCGGCATCCCCGAGACTTTCCATCAGTGTCAGGAGCTGGTGGCGCCGGGCGGTGTGATTGCGAATGTGGGCGTGCATGGTGTGAAGGCGGATTTGCACCTGGAGAATCTGTGGGATAAGAATATCGGTATGTGGAACTCCCTTTTGCAAATGTTGCTGGGCGGGGAGGGCTGACGTGTTTGCAGCTGTCACGACTAGACTTGTCGACACGACGACGACGCCGATGCTGCTCAAGATGCTGGCGGCAAGGAAGCTACCGGCGGAGAAGATGATCACGCACGAGTTCAAGTTCGAGGAGATGCTGAAGGCCTATGAGATCTTCGGGAAGGCAGGCGTGAACAAGGCGTTGAAGATGTTGATTGAGATGTAGAAGTAGACGTAGAAGAGATAGAAGGAGAGGGTTGTAGAGTAGATGGAAATGCGAGACATAGGAGGGATGTGTATAGTGGGTTCGGTGTATATCAACGGAGCGAGAGCCGTACGGGAGCCTGGCTGTTGTAATCATACTCCAAGTGGATGGTGGTGCTGTTCTATTTCTGTCTTGCATGGAGTTGGCGGCTTGTATTGAGCGGTGTTCAATGAATTCGAGGCTTTTGGAGACGTAAGTCAACCTTGACAGTAGTAGCTAACGTGTGAGATCATTGAAGCAGTTCGAAATTTGTGCTTAAAGGAAGCCGAGGTCCTGCGAAAGGAAATGCGTCTCTTGGCTGGTATTGTCCTCCGTACCCTGTCGGGAATCTTCCGCGGATGCTGGGGTGAGTCAGCGGCGCGCATTACGTTCTCTGGGATGATTCGCTGGCGCTGACCATACCATCGGGTGGACAATGACCTGTTTGCATATTTGCGTCAAGCGACGGGTGCGGCTTAGGGCAAGGGGCGACGAGAAAGTGGGAAACTCAGAGGGCGAGTTTGGGGGTTACGGCGAGATCATCAGAATAGCTTAATTCTGCCGACTGAGGCTCGATGGAAGATGGGTCCGATTGCGGCGAATCCGGCAGGCAGCGAACGAGCTGAAGCGATGGAGCTGAGGCAGGATGGATCGAGGCAACTACATGCCAAACGGAGCATCGATCAAGATGCTGAGTAGAAGGGTGCTATGCGCTCCCAAAAATTTGAATATCTAATATTATTCACGATGAGGTTGGGTGCGGGAGAAGATTGATGGTGATGAGCGTTATCTCCGTCCCGCCAAGTACGCCTCGCTGGGCCGTTCCGCGAAATGCGCGAATGAGGCACACGAGCTGCGTTCCGATATCCGGGCAGGGCGCCCGCTGAGACGCCAGGCCCCTTGGCGCATTCTGCAACGGCAAGAAACATGGCGATCCTCGAATCCTCCTCTTCTCCTGTTTCCGTCTTACTTTTCTTCCCTCTCCTTTCTTCCCCAATTTCTGCTGTACAGTACGATACCCATCCGCGTTTCCTAGAGTTATAGATCATTTCTTTCCGTCATTCTTTCGCTCTTTTCCATTTCCTTTAGCCATCATAATGCGACTTACCCTTATCCTCGCTATCTTTAGCGCGAGTCTCGTACTCAGCCAGGACCGATGCGACGCCGCCAAGACGGTCATAAAGTGCCATAATGTCACCGAGATCATGGCGTTGGAATCATCGGAATGCCAACCATACCACATCTTCATCGCTCGCGGAACGGATGAAAAGTCGCCAGGCCGGCAGGGTAACGTGACCAGGCTTATCTGCGATAAGCTTGGCAGAGAGCGCTGCGGATGGGAGGGCCTTGATTTCCCAGCGAAGAGCAGATTTGTTGGCCAAAAGGCGTGGTGTGAATCCGCGGAGATAGGGGTGAAGAATGGCCAAACCCAGCTGCACACGTACGCGGCGAGGTGTCCGGAGAGCAAGTTGATTCTGCTCGGGTACTCTCAAGGCGCATCCATCGTGCAAGATATGCTTGGAGGAGGCGGCGGACATTTTTGGAAGTGTGACCAGGCAAGCAATCGAGCTTTGGATCGGCAGGTCTCGCCAGGTTCAAACAGTAAGCGCATCCCCCTTGTGCATGTGTCCATTTTCGCTGATAAAGCGTAAAGTTGTCGCAGCCGTCACTTTCGGCTCGGTCGCTCGTTCCGGGGGTCAGCCATACGCTGTGAAGGAAGGGCGAGAGTTCAACGGAACGCGCACCCGTACGCCGGAGCAGGTCCGGGGTCTCAACCAGTACGCCAGTCAGCTTCGTGACTACTGCAACTTCGGCGATCCTATTTGCGCGAGGGAAAGCCAACCCCAGAGCCTCCAGAATCATCTCACGTACTTCGAGCTATATAGCGAAGAGATCGTGAGCTGGGTGGTTAAAACTGTCCGGAAATCCGAGTACCGATCATTGCTTTCTTCCCCATACTGGCTGATCGGCGCGACGCTTTTCTTCGTGGCTCTTTCATGGTCCGTTCTGTATTTCTACAGCTCATTCCGTCGCAGCTTTTCGCGAGGGGCTTATTACCTGCTCCCTCGAGAAGAGGGAACGCCGTGAGGCCGCTGGCTCACGACGCCGTGTTCGACTTCTCCGACGGCTAGGCCCAGTCGTAGGAACCGCCCTTCGAAGACCGAACGAAAGTATCCGTGATGGCCGTAAGCTCTCTGCTTTGAAGTAGAGGAGCTGATCCGGCTAGAGCCTGGGGAGTTTAGAAGAGCTGGAGGTTGCAAAGTGTGCCAATGGACCGCACGAACCTTGTAGGCCAATGATCGGTCTAGATGGCACTCGTCGCCGGACCTACAAGCCTTCGATCATCGCGCTATTCGCTTCTTGGTCGGATCCATGTCGACTGCGCCCGAAGGTGGAAAAGGTTGGCAAGGTCGTAATGTTGTGAAAAGGTTAGGACAGGGATTTGTGGAGAAGGTTGAGCGTGTCCGACGGCGGAAGGTACGATCCGGTAGCGACTATCAAACCTTCTAATCTTTAGATCACTTCTTCCTCTTCCCTTACGCACCGACGGCCCACAGCAAATACATAGGCACTTTGACTTCTCTCAATAACTCGGCAAGCTGAACATCGTAAAACACTAACATTGAATTCGGCATTACAGTATTGGGCATTACCTTACCCACCTTAAAAAGAAAAGCTAATTTCATACAGATCATGACCAGGAGCTTACTAATCGCTCACTATTCCAGCCCACCTACTTTTCGCTGGTGGAACATTTTGGAATGTATCCGAACGCGGCGATCTGTGTCCAGGTCACGTCATTACACCACAGGTTGCTGTTATACTCAAACTCGGCCAAGTGGACAAACTCAACTCCCTCCAGCCCCTCACGCTCCAACAGCGGATACTCGGCGCTCCCTTTCGGGAACTCACCGCCATATCGGCGCTTAGCGACTTTCTTAGAAGGGGGAGACTTCTCATCGAAAAATTTGAGAGACGTCGCGCAACCGTTTTGATCCTGTGGCACGCGCTCCGGCATATGCACGTCGAACGCCATCTTCCACTTGGTCGCGACGAAACGGCTCAGACCTTCAGGCCGGTTCGTCCTGATGGTGACTGTGAGTTCGATGCCTTTATCGGTCTCCGTGTAGACGGATTCGAAGCGATGGCACTCACCGGGAATGCGATCCAGCTTCAGGAATACGTCCTCTTGATCTGGCTTCTTCTCGCCTTTCTGCAGCTCGATGACGATCACTGCAATCTGCGCTTTCTTGGAGAAAGAGACGTGCGGGATATGGCCCGGTGCAACGCGGAAGTTGCTCGAGATGTTGATCTGGAAGCGCCAGTCGCGCCCTTCGTGGCGGTACGTCCAGCCATCAGCCGGCCCGTAGGGCTCCCACTTCTTCTCCACCTTATGCGCCCTGTCCGCCTGCGCCTGTTTCCTCTGCTTGGCGCGGTTCTTCTCGGCCTTCTTGCTCTCCTTCGAATACGGATCCTGGCTCTTGAATGTAAAACCACAAGGTCCTTGGGGCCAACCTTCCTCTATAGGATCAAACTCATAACTGTCATACTTGGGCCGGAACGCCGGGTCCCTCAGGAGTTCCCACGCGTTATTCGCCGCTTGGCATACTTCCATACGGCGCCGCCGCTCTTCTTCGGTCAGTCCAACTGTCTTGTCTGGGTGATTGCGAATCGCCATTTCCACGTAGGCTGCCTTGATTTCAGAAAGAGTGGCGTATTGCTTGACGCCGAGAATTTCGTAGGGTGTTAGCATGGTGGGCGATATTCTGATGGTACCTTTAGGTGTGTATTTGGTGGTTCGGGAGTGTGTGGTGTTGAACGCTTCTATGTGTGTTGGAGGTCCAAGGTGGTCTGCTCCGATCGAAGAGGGGAACGTGCCTCCTTTATAGCTGCTGTTGCTGTACAATGCGAGTAGAAAGAGCTGCGTAGCATTGTAGAGGTATCGACTTCTCGCCATCTCAGCGTATCAATTCACAGTTGGACAATGTGCGCTTCAAGCTATTACTCAATCGTGGTCAAGACGGCATTGTTGAGGCCTGCTCTTTCTAAATTGAAGCGCAGCTTTACACACCGACACCGTGCCGTCCTTGAACTGCACAAAACGACCGGAACGACATCTGTAGGGATGCGCGCCTCACGTGATAGCGCGTCTACAATACCGCACGGAGCACAGCCAAGCACGCTACCCCTCGTCGCCGAGACGCTAAGGACGCGCCAAGGAAATCGCTGCCAACGCTCAGCCCTCTCCAATCCCCAAAATTCTTCCTTAGGCTTATCATCTCTTTCTACGTCGCCCTCTTGTGGGACGATTCTTGCCATATCTATAACGATAGCAGTCCTTCCAAACAAGCCATGAATGTCGTGGACTTGAGCTCCTCCTTGAGCGAGCAAAACAGCGATGGAACCGACAAAACAACCCCGGATGCAACAGCTAGCGGCAAAACTATCCTGGAGATAGTACCTGATGGCGACATTTATGTGAGCGTGGGGGATGACGTTAATGGGACCTTGGGGGATGACATGAATGGGACCGTGACATATCTCGTCCGCGCAGCAACGCTGGAGGCAATGAGCGACCTCTGGGCCATACTAGTTCACGATGCAAATTTGCATGGGCAATCGACCTACCGCGGAGAACAAATAATCGAAGACGAAACCGTTCCGACCGGGGCCGAAAACGACGCGTTATCACCGGCGACCCTCAGCGATCGTGGGAGCATGCCGGAAATCTTCCTACCCTTAGATTACCACGAGACGATCGCAATCACTCTCATAGCCGCCCATCATCGGAACTGGATGCTCCCTTCAGCGATCGACGTAGAACTTCTCGGCGAGCTCGCCGTTCATTGTAGGACATTTGGTACGGAATATCTTGTCACACAAGTTGCAGAGCCTTGGATAGAAAGGCTTGCGTCATCGGCGTTAGAGCGTGGCTGCCACCGATGGCTACACATCGCATGGGTATTCCAGTTAGACTGTATCTTCGAGGCCCAACTAGATTACTGGATCTGGCATTCTACAGGCAATGCAGTCCAAGCGGGGCTGTTTGGACCAGAGCTTGCACACCATGGCAAACTTGGGCGAGACTTGCAGGGTAAGGGCTCAGTCGAGGGTTAAACATGTGGCTATGCTGACGGGCTAGCTATTGAAGCTGCCATTTCCCAGACCCGACACGAGCTCCTGACCAAGATTTCAAAGATCTGTCAAGACTTTCTAAGCGAAAGTTACTTCGAGGATGAATGGACTTGCCTAGGATGCAATTTCCAGGAGGAATGTTGCCAGCACGCATACGTTTCCCTCGTAATCGGATTACAAAAGCTTAGCTTTTGGCCGAGTCCACCCCCGATTCCCTCGATCAACAAAAGTGTCCGGGAGTTGCGCGAAGATCTGCTCTCGATCCGATCTACTCCATACGCAGAGACGCACTCCGATTGCACGCTAGAGGCTTTCCACAAACAACTCATTATGGTATCCGCTGAATCGCCCATGACGAACCTCAATGACCACTTTCTTGCTCCACCCCCTTGGCGCGGCAAACCGAGATATGCGGAAATAATTGGAAGCTCACTTTGGAAGGCTGGGATCGTTCACACTGACCTCGACCATTGCGTTGACCTCGACACCGTATTGGTCGAGCACGAAGACACTGGGATCTTTATAAACTTCGAGACCGAGGAATTATTCGAAGACGAATGGGATTCTGACTATGAAGTGGAATCACAAAGCCCATCGGAGCCAAACGAAGAGTTTCTCCAATATAGTAGAGAGGAAATGCGCGAAGATGTTAGTTCAGAAGGCGGTGAAGACACGGAGAATTCCTCTACTGAGGATGTGATGATGGATCTATCTTTTTAGCCGGCGTTGGAACTCATTGAGTCTAGCGAAGACGCAATCTTAGACGGTGCCGACCTGATCTGGGATGAAGCTGAAAGAGAATGGAACAAGTAAAAAGGTCGCTCATCCGACTGCAACAATCCCGGGTCCGAGAATTTTGAGTAAGAACACGAGTCGCGCCAAAGCGATTTCGGTAGCTGAATCTTCGGTTAACGTAACTTTCGCGGCGATATATGTTTCTGGATATCTCTGCAGAGCATTTGGTAATTGCCTTTTGCTCCTAATATTTATACGCCCTTTATTCGGTAGTTAGCTTATGAAACATTTTCACGCTCTTCTCTGCGAGTTAGGAAACCCCTTGCGTGTAACCTTACTCTATTACACAAGAGTAAGGTATAGAGTACTAAGCAGCTCTACACACACAGGCTGCGAGCTATGGGGTTGTGATACTAGATATACACGCCGCTATCCTACAGGGCACTAGGTGATTTCGGTTTGCTCCTGATAATATCCAAGGCTCGAACTCCAACATTCCCAGAGAACAAGTCCTGTCAACCAGACGGAAAGGCCACCACCAACCCCCAACAACCATCCCAGCGCCCACAAAAGAAATATAAAAGCTCTGCGCTCCACCTCGCCTCCTCTTCTCCTCCCACACCACCACAGATTCACCAAACCTCTCCACAATCCCGCTCCAACCATCTCCAACATGCGCCTCTCAACCGCCCCCATCATGGCCTTGATCGCCGTCGCCTACTCCGTACCAACCGACACCGGCGGCGACCTCATTCCCCGCGAAGCAGCCATGCACATCGAAAACGGCGGCACCATCGCACCGCGCACCTGCTGCAACTTCAACAACTGCAGGGCAAGTATCCTCGAGAACGTGTTGTTTCTTCAGCGTCTGACTTTAACCACAGAATTTCAACTGGGGCAGAGGAAGTTGCCCGAAGCGCTGGGCTCAATTCTGCGGCGGCGGAGGGGGCAATATTCATTGCTGCGTAAGTATATATACCGGTCTCTCCTAGGAAGGCTCATGGAGAGAGGAGCGCAGGGCTGAGGTGCGGCGGGCTGACGAGCGGATAGGCGCGAGAAAACGACGGCTGCGGTGCTTAGGCTGGGAGGCTGAAGGCCTTTGGAGTATTTACACAGTGATACTGGAGACGGCCACGGAGCGTTGGGACGGAGTCAGGTTGGGTGCGTTTGGGCGTACGGTGAAAGATTCCGGGAGGTTGGAGCTTGGTACTACCTTAAAATTCTAATGCAGGATGACGTACGAGGCTCACCATATATTGATTGATGCGTCGATAAGAGCCGAAAAGGATAAACGGCAGGGTATCTACTGGGTAAAATAAGCCCTAACAAGCTTCCGGAAGCTTTCATAGTTGCATATCAGGGATCCATGAGCTACCTTCCTTTTTCGGAAACGAGCACTACCCCACTCCTGCACGACATCATAAAAGTACTTCGTACGCGCATTTCTTGATGTCCTTTTCTCTCAGTCACAGCTCGCTATGCTGCTTTTTACATGTTTGGCTGGCCTGGTGATCCTGAGCTCGGCTTCTCCTGCGCTCCGGCGCCGGATGATCGATCCAATTCTCGACACGCGGCAAGCAGACGATGCTCCGGCATATCAGGCTCACACAATCAATCAACCGGTCGGCATCCTCTCAAATCTCTAGGACCTCAGAATTGACTCTCGCAGATCGACCACTTCCCCCATAGCCCGCGATATGCGCCTCACTTGACCAGCACGTTCAAGCAGCGGTACTTCTTCGACTCGTCTTACTACAAGCCTGGAGGCCCAGTATTTCTTTACATTGGCGGCGAGACGAGCGGAGAAAGCCGCTTCTCGAACCTGCAGACCGGGAGTAAGAGCAGCCTTCTACATCGCCATGAGGAAGCACTAAAAATCTCCAGTCATTCAGATTTTGATGGAAGCGACGAATGGACTCGGCGTCATTTTGGAGAACCGGTATTATGGCGGCAGCTATCCCTTCAACAGCTCGACGACGGATGAGTTGAGATTTCTGACCACGGAGCAAAGTTAGTCACACGCTGTAGTGTTTCTTTTTAGGCGCGGTCTAACATGCGATAGCAATTGCCGACAACGCTTATTTCCGACAACATGCTACATTCCCCGGTGTAAACGCGACTCTTAACGGCCCGGAAACTCCTTGGATCATGTATGGCGGCAGTCTGGCCGGCGCGCAGACTGCCTTTACTTTGAAGACGTATAACAAGCTCTTTGCCGGAGGTATCGGAAGCAGCGCGACCGCATACGGTACGTTGGAATATCCGCAATGGTACGATCCAATTATCAAATTCGGTCCCGCGGACTGCATCTCGAGGATCGTCGACATCGTCGATAAGATTGATGAAATCATCGCTTCCGGAAACGAGGATGCGATCAACGAGCTCAAAGATGTTTTCGGGCTAGGAGTACTGGAGAACATTGGCGATTTCGCGCAGACAATCAGTTACCCAAGTACGCTCGCGCATTTCCCCTCATTGGTGTAACACGAATTCTAACGATACAACAGTCGGCGGACCAATGTTCTACCCAACCAACACCTGGCAAGAGCTGAACTGGGCCCCCGGCCACGGCTCCGAAGACTTCTACCACTTCTGCTCCAACGTCACGAACCCCTCTCCACCCGCCTCCATAGCAGCCATCGACACCCAACTCTCCAAGTACACGCACGGCGAGCGCTGGACCGGCCTGGGCGGCTACGCTTCCTACATCAAGGCGATTCTGCTGCCGCAATGCGAAAGCGGAGATCTCGCCAGCACCGACGACGGCTGCTTCGGCCTCTCGCAAAACGCAAGCTACTGGGCCGACATAACGAACAGCGGCGATAGAAGCTACCTCTACACGACATGCACGGAAATGGGCGCCTACATCACCGCGCCGCACCACGGGCCCTCGCTCATCTCGCGCGTGCTAAAAGTCCCCTACACGCAGCAATGGTGCAGATGGGCATTCCCAGCTGGAAATTACAACCGCATCCCCGCGACGCCTGATCTGCATCAGGTAAACAAGTATGGAGGATACGATATCCAAGCGCCGAAGTTGGCGCTGATTGACGGCGGCGTGGATGTTTGGTTGGATCTGTGCTACCATTCGCATTTTGCGGGGACGACGAGGATTAGCAGCGATGAGCATCCGAGCTATTTGATTGCGGGCGGTGGGCATCATTGGGATAGTACGGGGATTGGGAATATTAGTGCGGAGCCGGATTATATCAGGGAGGCGCATTTGTGGGAGATTAGGACGGTGAGGAGATGGGTTGTGGAGTGGGAGGGTTATTAGGTGGGTGGAGGAGAGGCTTGGTGGGGTTTAGTGATGGAAAGGGCAGCCTGGAGGGCTTCAGTGGAGAATGCGTTGGCTGTCGAGCTGTGCCTCGGATCCGTCCTCTTCTACGTCTGGTACGTTATTGAAGTGCTCCAGCCCTACTTTTGCGGATGCCATCTATGAGTGGCATACTGCAAGCAAGCATTTTCCGATCATATTGGCGAGGTTTCGCGCACTGAAGTGCCTCAGGAACCCGGATACGCTAGCGACGAAAGTTCACAATGAAACAAAGAACAAGCCAGAAACAGGGATGCACATTGATGGAAATCCTTCGCAAAAATACCAATTTTCTTGATTGGTGGAGACTGTTTCGTTGGGAAATAGTCAGTAGTGTCATTTCACAAGCACAGGCAACCCGAACCGGGCTGCGACTTTTCACGAGAAAAGTGAATTTTTGCTAGGCAGCCATGGTAAATCCCCTCTCGCTCTCTAGTACTAATAGCTCGTATTGCCTTCAATTCTGCACCCAACTCCCAGCTCTTCACTCTACACGCAATTCTTCAATACCACTACATCCCAAGCTCAACTCCCATCTCAAGCTCATTCTGCAACAACATTCATAATGCCAAAAGCCACCACCACCCCGAAGAAAACCCACTACGAAATCCTAAATCTGCCTCGAATAGCGACCCTCGAGCAGATCAAGCGCGCCTACCGAAAAGTCCAGCTCCAGAGCCACCCAGACAAAACAGGCGACCTTCCACAAAGCAAGCGCAAAGAACTCGAAGCCATCTCTAAAGCAGCAAACGCAGCGTATGAAGTCCTCTCCGACGCGGGAGCGCGCCGCAAATACGATAAAAGCTTGGGCTTCACGACATCATCTCATCCATACGGACACAAACCGAGCAGCAAATCTACTTCCCCCTCAACACCGCCACCACCACCACCAGCTCCGCCATCAAGCCCACCACCACGCCCCGCCCCAGCACCCCCCAAACACACCGCCTACCCCAACTGCCTCACCGTCACGCAAGCCGACTGGGGCTTCGGCATCGAGCTCTCCCCGCGCTTCCGCGTCCTCCAATGGGGCCAGAACTACATCTTCGCCTCAGGCGACCACATCCTGCTGTGCGCAAAGCTCGAAGAGCTCTCCCCCCGCAGCCCATACAGCCCGCAAAAAGACATACGCGTCGCCGTCGGCAAGACCCCCGACCGGCGCCGCATCACCAGGATCGAAAGCTACTTCAAGCACCGCATGACAGCCGCGGGGGCCGAGACGCTGCTCTGGATCAAGCTGGTCGCGCCGCGCAGCGCGGGGCGGTGCTTTATGAGCTGGGATTTTGCGTGGGATGTTGAGGCGAGCTGCGCGGTGCCGGCGGGCGTGACGAATTGTGCGAGTTCGGTGGTGTTGCTGTATGAGGAGCCGGGGCGCGAGGTGAGGGCGTCGGAGAGGGGGAGGCCGCATCCGAAGGGCCCGCATGGGCAGATGTTGCACGATAGGGATTTGATGCCTTGGGAGGAGAGGGAGTTTGTGGATTTGGGGGAGGGGGAGTGCGCGCAGGTCCAGTATGGGAGGAATAATAAGATGTGGCGGCTTGCGGCTTTTGGGTATGTGAGGCCTGGACGGGAGAGGAGTGGGCGACGGTGAGGGGGGTGGGAGGAGGGTGTTGGGTGTGATCTTGTACATGGGATACCTGGGTCGATTTCATGGCCGACTTCCACCGCATTCGAGAGCCCATTCGAGATATCCTACATTAGTTCTGCCTTCAACAAACCTCAATGCGTATGACTGTTTGGTGGTGACATGATAGCCCATGTTAGTGAATGAACAATGCAAACTCACATGTACTTTGTGACTCCATGTGCGACGAGGAGAGCAAAACGCCCACCACTACAGCGCGCACTGTCAACATAAACTCCCCTCATCAGTCTCTCCCTCAATCTTCTCGTCCTATCCAAGCCAACTACACCAACCTCACCGCGCCGTCAACCGCAATGACAGACGCAGACGCATCCGACACCGCGCCCACCTACGAGGAAGCCACCTACCGCTACATGTACACCTCCACCGGCACCGTCATCGACATCGCCATCAGCGACTGGCGCCTGCATCTCAACCTCTCCTCCAAGTTCCGCTTCCTCAACGACGTCACCGAGCGTTTCTCCCCCGCCTCAGATACAGACACCGTAAGCTTCGAGATCGGTCTGCAGCGCGACCTAGAATCCCCCGAAGCTCACTCTCCCACCATCAACGAGCTCACTGTGAAGATTCACTCCATCCCCAGCGCCCGCCACCGCATCTCCGCGCTGCAAACCCTCTTCAGAGAATGCGCCGCCTCCTCCTCCCTCACCACCACCACGTTAACCGTCCGCATCACCGCCGAGCCATGCCAGGCCGGCGAGGCCATCTTCCCCTGGGAGTTCGGCTTCGACTTCGACATGAGCACGCTGGTGGTTGCGCGGAATCGCGGCACGTGTCTGATGTTCAGCCGCGAGGAGCCGCCGGCGTACATGGAGACGTATCTGGGGCCCGATAGCCCGAATTATGAGCTGATGAAGGATAAGCGGTTGAAGGCGGATGGGTTTGCAGAGTTGTTTGCGGAGCGGCTGTTGAGGATGAGGTATGGGGAGGTGGAGATGTGGAGGTGTGCGGCGGTGGGGTATAGACGTGAGCGGTAGCTTGGTAGGCGTACGCCACAGCAGTGCGTGCGAGCTTTCGAGCCAAAGACGCACCATGCGAATTAGACTATGAATGCAATTCTGCATAATGGCTTTACTGTGCGGCGTTCCCCGCCTATGAGGCTTGTCGTGATGACATTGGTGGCTGTGCGCTTTCCGCCAATCGGAGACATCCGATACCTCACCGCGTATGCTGCCTATTGTCAGCTGCACTGCGAAAACAGGCACCAAACGTCCCTCATCTTCAACATTCATTGTACTCACCTCAGTCTACCTCTTGTTCATCCGCGCGACACTCCTTTCCCAATGTCTGAAGCACAATGAGTCGATCTGTTCCGAGGACTACGCACCTCATGCTAATATATACGTCCCGTCTAGCGAAATTGCACTGCCTGCATATATGCACGCTCAGCCCTCAGCCTCAGCCTAGATCTCTCACCGCACCATGCGCGCCTCAACATCGCCACCTGACCAGCCCCAGGCAGCCACGCGCCCTGATCCATGGAATGTCTTTCACCTTAAGTACGATGTGACTCCTTCACGGCCGCGCGCTTGCTTCAATGTCTTTGTTCCGAAAGGGCGAAAGGGCGCTGTCTCGCCGTTGAACAAACATTCCCCATCGCACGTCGGCATAAATAGAGGTGCGCGGCCTCTCACCTTGCAAGCCAGATCAAGCGACTCGCGTGCCCAGCGACAAGATGGAGGCCGCCGAGCGGATACCGCCTCAAAAGGTGGTTCTGGAGACGAACTATCCCACACAACCCGGGGCGATGCCGACAACCACCACATTCTTCCCTGGCTTCTGGAGCGGTGCACGACACACCAACCTCTCCCCGCGGACCTCCACAGTCATGGACCTCGCAGTCGCCGCCGTCTCCCCGGAAGGCCTCCCCCTCGCCCTGATCCCCATCTACAAGATCCTGCACGGCCTCTTCCTCAAATCCTCGTCGTACAACATCTCCGGTGCAACCGCAAAGACCATCATTGCCGTCGGCGCGCTCTTCGGCCTAAAATACGTCTGGGACTTCGCCAAACCAGCCGTCATCAACAGCTTCACATCCAGCATCACCATGCCCGTGGAGCACCAAACGGCCAAGGACATCCAGGAATGGCTCGCGTCGCAGAGCCACGGCCCCGCAAAGCGGCACGTCAAGTACACCGCCGGGAAGCTCAAGTACAACAAGAGCACGCAGAGCTACGAGCTGAGCGGGCAGAAAGAGACGGCGATCGAGGGCGGCTGGTTCTGGTTCCACGGCCAGCCGCTGTACTTCCAGTTCCTCAAGGACGAGAAGGTCAACATGTTCCAGCAGCCGCGCAACATGTACGAGGGCGACGACACCGTCAGCGTGTCCGGCGACCGCATCCGCGTCTCCTGCCTCGGCGTCTCGGACGCTGTGCTCACGCGCTTCTGCCAGCACGTCGGCTCCACGAAGGTCGCGGAGGCGAACACGACGGTCATGTTCGAGATCGCCGGCCCCAACGACGACATGCCGCCCTTTGGCGGGTATGGCACGGGCTGGAAGTCAAGAGCCAAGCCGACCCGCGATCTGTGCACCATCGACCTGGACGAGAAGACCAAGGCAGATCTCATCAGCGACATCGAGCACTTCTGGAAAGAGGGCCGCGCGCAGTGGTACGGCGACCGCGGAATCCCATACCGCAGAGGCATCCTAATGTTCGGGCCGCCCGGTACCGGCAAGTCGAGCACCTGCTTCGCGATCGCGGGGAAGTTCGCCGGCGCGCTGTACAGCGCCAGCATGAACGAAATCAGCGACGAAACGCAGCTGAAGAAGCTGTTCTCCGCGCCGGAAAAGGGCGACATCCTGCTGCTCGAAGACATCGACTCCGCGGGCATCAGCCGCGAGAAGATGAAGAAGGCGCCGAAGAGCGTGGTGAGCGCAGCGCCCGCTGACGGGGCTAAGAAGTCGTCCCGCAGCAAGAAGAAGCGCAAGCGCAAGGAGAAGACGAGCAAGATCTCGCTCGCTGGCCTGCTCGGCGCTATTGATACTGCGCTTAACGATGGCGTCGTGCTCATCATGACGTCGAACTCCCCCGAGGCCCTCGACAAGGCGCTCATCCGCCCCGGCCGCATCGACAAGCAGGTCCTCTTCGGCAACATCAGCACTGCCGTCGCAGAGCACATTTTCCTGCGCATGTACCAGGACGATGCTTCCTCCCCTGAGGCCCCCAACTCCCGCCTCGCCCGCCTCGCCACCGACTTCGCATTCAAGATCCCCGACTGCAAACTCACGCCCGCCGAAGTCCAGGGATTTTTGATCCCGCGCGTCACGCCCGAGGAGGCGGTTGCGGAGGTGGAGAAGTGGGTCGAGGACATGCTGGCTGCGAAGGCGACGGGGAGGAATATCGTAGGAAGCGGTGGGGTGCGCGCCGCAGGGGAGGAGAGCGAGAAGGATTCGGGGTTTGGCAGCGAGGAGGAGGGGGATAGTGGGAGTGAGGATAGTGAGGGGGAGGGGGTGGATTTGGAGATTGAGTTTTAGGGGGTGGATGAAGAAGGGAGTACTGCATTTGGATTGGGGGTATTGGCGTTGTGGGGTTTTGGGTATACGAGAGAGGATTTGAGCTCTTGTGGGACTTTTGGGATGGGAGGGCGCATTGTGTGCTGTGCTGTATTCAGTATTTTTAGCAAATCATGCCATGATACCCCGAATACGCTGTCGCTGTCGGTGGGGAACGTGTCTCCACCTCGAAGGCAGAAGTAAATAGCCCTCCAAGCGTGTTTCATTATCTCAATGCATAAAGGAAAGCTCCACAATATCTCTCATTCCCTCTCCCGCTGATACAAAAGCGCGCTATTCCTCCACGGACGGCCGCCTCGACCCAAAGTTAAACTGCTGCAACATATTGATTTCGTCGCGCAGCTGCTCGGGCGTCATCTGATCACGCGTCATTCTATGCGCGGGCGACCGCACACTCGAGTAGAGATCGCTCGATGATGTTCTCGGCACGTGCAGCGGCGCTAGTCTGATACTGTTGTCTTCGTCGCTGTGGCGCTTCGAGTCGATGCTTTGCGAATATTCGCTGCTGCCGGTGGTAGTAGGTAGAGCGTAGGGATCAGGTGTATGTTTTGTTGGCTGCGGCTGCGGCTGCTGTTCCAGTTCGCGCTCCTCGCAATACGCGGCTTGCTTCGGTTCCAGGTCGTTCAATTGGATCGAGCCTCGCGAAGTAGCTTGCGTGCTCTTCCTTGAACCGCTGCGCAAGGTGAACGTGCTTCTGCGCGACACGCTACGCACGGTACTGCGCATAGTGGAGAACGGCGACGAGGCTTTGGACATTGCGCGCTTGAGCTTCTTGCCCTTCGCCTGGATGAGCTTGGGTAGGCAGAGGGAGCAGGCGACGATGAAGCCGAGCGAGACTTCGGCTTCGGTCCAGAGTCCGATGAAGAGGCCGTTGTGCGATACGTCGGCTTGGGAGATTACGGGGGCGATCATGGTGGTGAAGACGATGCGCATGGCGGATGCCGCGCATGCTCTGTGGCGTTTGTTAGTGACTAACTTGCGGCTGATGTAGTACGGGAGAGGACCACGTACAGTAATCCTGTCGCGAATAGCAAGGTGACGGCGATCTTTCGTCCGAGGGGCACGTTCAGCGTCCATAGGGAGGACGTGGGGAGGAGCAGGATGGCGATATCCGAGCCCATGTTGAACGCGCCTTGGCTGATGATTATGTGGTTCACGTCGTGGCACTTTCCGCCGGGTGTGAGCTTGTTCCAGATCGCCTCGCGGGGCTGGCAGTAGAACATAGTCCAGAACATGAAGACGGTGTAGAAGATGAAGCAGGAGGCAATCGTGATCCAGGCGCCGTACCACATTACCGCGTTCACGCTGCGGCTCGGTGCGAAGAGGCGCAAGTACTGGAGCAAGATGGCCATTTTCACGACGAAGCTGAGCGGACAGTAGATGATCTGCGCGACGTTTGCCCACTAATAGAGGTCAGCGGATCATGCAATGTGTTTGTGCGGGAAGACGCATTACGTAGAGCTGCCTGAACAATTGCTGGAGTGTAATCTGCCATTGATGCACTCCTGCTCCCCATTTGACCATGTAGTATCCCATAACAACTTCAACAATGATGAGGGGCTACGTGAACGTCAGTCTCGAGTACTGTTTTCATGGCTAGATTCCGAAAGGTCATACAAAAGCAAGGAAGATGAAATCTAACCAACGATCAGCTCCAGCTCAACATAAGGCAATGTCTATCACTTACAGTCCGCGACCTCGAACGACCTGACGATCGAAAGCTTCGTGTATATCCGAATGAGCAGAAACAGACCCGGAATGGCAATGCAAGTTATCGCCACGACCAGATACCATATCTGATCCGGCCCATCCAAGGTCATCGTCCTATCCGCCCCCGGCGGGATCTGATCCGCACTCAACGCCGGCATCGACAGCAAATACGCCATCGGATCGACGCCTGCAGGCAGGCTGCCCAAGACAGCGGCAGCACTCGGTGGGCTAACCACCGTATCTCCTTTCACAGGAGCCATGCGGTGGTAGAACTGCGCAAAATAACGATCGAATAATTAAGACTAAAGAAAAGTAGAAATGAAGTGCAACGCGAGCGCGAGTCAAGAACGGGAACGAGATGTGCACGAAGGAGCGAGCCATGTTGATCATAAGCTTGACGGGTATCGGACTTGCGACGCATCTCCCGTCACGGACCGCGCCTCGTGGGTGTCTGGAATAGCCCGAACGGGTAGCGTGAGATGAGCTGCACGCGCAAGGGAAATGGTCAAGATGGGATGACATGCAGACGGCCGTCATGGCCTGATGGCCCAGCCCAGGTCCGAGAACTGCCACGCCTCGCCGTGGACATGGAGACGACCAGCACTCGGTGTTGTGCGACCTGAATGGCCGGCCTGTTCCCTGCGTGTGCGAATGTAGAGTTGTGGTGTTCGGGCATGAAGGAAACGTGGTTTTTGGCTTGGGGTGGGGGCCGGGCGCTAGCGATGGGCATCAGATCTGACGATCCTATTGGTCCGGACTTCGATGGGACGATGTGGCTTGATCTCCGGTATTGGGCACGCGGTCTGCATTAAGTCTCGAATAGATGAGGGAACCCACGTGGTGTGAAGGTCGAAACTCCGGTTCGTGGAAGCGAGGGTCGAATTTTGGGTGTAGGCATAAACCTTATCCTAATATAGACCCAGGCGCACTTGTTAGAACGGTACGGAGCGCCGCAACAACATAATTAACTCCGTTCGAGATTCCATTTCTTCAATGAATCATTTTTGCATCCCACAGTCTCGCCATCGTATTTGTGGATAGATGCGCCACTCATTGTGGCGTAGGCGTGGAGCAATGCCTTATCCCCGATTGTAGAACCCCGGTGGGGCTCATCACGAGTCTATCTGTCATCTGATTCATCTCCGAGCTTAACACCAGTGACTTTCCTATTCATCTTTTACCCCATGTTGATAGAAGGATAGAATACGCGAGCCAGATGTGGGGAGTGAATTGGCAGATCACGTGATAAGTTCTTGGCAGCCCCGAAGGTTCCCAAACTTGGTTCGGTCGCCTTTGGGATCGCTAATTCTTACCGACCCGCATATCTGCAAGGCTTCACCCACACACAGATATCGGCCTCGCACGCCGCACACTGCCGCAATTTTCCAGCAGGTCTCTCAACCAGTCCATAATAAAGAAGATGAGCTCCCGACACAAAGGTATGCGGCACGAAAGGGATGCACATGGATAAGATCGCAGAAGCAGTTTCACTACCGCTCCGTCACTTTCACTGCTAGACCCTAGGGTCACGCTCGGATGACCCAAGGTCGCTCCTGCCTCTTCGCCACGGCCCGCCCAACGATTTCCAACTGACGTCTTCTGCCTGACCTAAAGTCTCTCTCCACATCCACTGCATCTCGGTCTTTCGCCATCCGCAGAACTGCCACCTTCGCCGATGGCGACTCACTACGACATTCTAGGCGTCGCGGTTTCCGCCGACGTCGCCGACATCAGGAAAGCCTACCACACTGTCGCTCTTGCCAACCACCCGGACAAGACGCACCACCTCCCGCCGGGCGAGCGGGCAGTACGTGAGAAAGCCTTCAAAGATGCGAACAACGCCTGGGAAGTCCTCAGCGAGCCACTGAAGCGGCAGGCCTACGACGCGGCATTGCGGAGGCCGAGGGGTTGGGGCACAATTCCGGACACCAGAGAACGTACACCGACACCCGCGCCTACTTTCTTCAAGACACGACGCGGTCGTAGGTATCGCGCACGCGCGCCTTCTCCGCCCAGTCCGCCATCATCTCCGCCGCCACTGCAATCGCGCAAAGTTCCTGCCTTCAGCTCATCCAGCGATATGAACAGTTTCGCCAGGGGACCATGGTTCCAGTGCCCAGTCTTCGACGACGGCAGCAGTACGACGGTCAACTACGCGAACTCCACCGGCTGGGCTTTCTCCATTGGGCTCTCGAAGAGGTTCGAGCTTATTGAGCCACCGCGACTCCCAGATCTGGGAAAAGATACGTCGACGACGATTGCGATTACGCTGAAAATGCGCCGCGGGACTCCAGGCGCTGCTAAGGCATTTACGAAGCAAGTCCAGGTCTGCATGGATAGGACGCCGAAAGCACGCGAAGTGGTGATGGCGTCTCTGCTGAAAGACGAGGGGGGCATCATCGAATTGACCATTACGTTCTCCCCGAGCGTCAACATCGAAGTTACTGTCTCGCCTTTCACAACTTCCCAGCCGTGGCGCTTGGCCTTCGATGCAGACCACACCAGTCTCGCGCCTGAGCAACGACAGTTCGCCGCCACAAACTTGATCTTCTATCCCAACTACCCCGCACACACAATGTCAGGCGGAGAGACGAGTACGACTACTCATGGATACGCCGCAGGAAGTCCGATGGCAGAGCTGGCTGAGCAATACCCTGGTATAGAAATCCTGATCACGTCCGACCACTACTACTGCCGCCGGGTCGAGGGAGAGAGGAAGATGTTCTGGCAGCTGGCCGCGATTGGGTACATTCCGAGTCATACGAGCATGGCATGAAGATGGTCTGGGTTTTGGAGTCAGAACTCGCTTGTCACGAGGATGGGACTTCACAGGAAAGGGTGAAATGGGATTTAGGTAATGAATCTTCGCTTCCATAATCCTGCCCCAGGGGTAAGACTGGACGTTCCTTGTACCCATAATACTCTGGCGATTTCTTGATGCGTGGCACACGATTCCCCTAATCCATTCGCCGACTTCATGTATTGTGCGGTTATAACGAACGATACTATCTCACAACACGAATGCACAGTTACTATGACCGTGCTCCTTCGCATTGTTCAACTCTTCAGCGTAGAGTATATAACAACCCCGTATTCAGCTTCCCAGTTGCCCATCTCCTCACCCGACGACCCGCTTAACACTTCCTTCCCCGGACATACACGCTCCAAACACGTCTCTGCACTCCATCTCAACCACAATGTCTTCCACCTCCCCACAACCCAACGACGGCTTCATCCCCTTCAAAACAAAAGCCTCCAAGAAGCCCCACCGCCGCCTCGAAAAAGCCCAAGCAGACCGAGCCATCCCCGCCCTCAAAACCGGCAGCATCCCCAACCTCAAGACCCTCGACCCAGACTCGATCAAGCAGCTGCTCTCAGGCCCCAGGGTAACCGTCTACTGCGACGGCAAAATCGCCCGATCCGCCGCCCCCAAGCGCGCCCTAATCGCCGCGATCCCCCGCGCAAACGCCTTCTTCACCGTCAACCCACTCGCCCCCGCCATCCACTTCGCCGGCGTCGACCGCGAGACGGGGTCCGAGATCCTGCGGGCGCTGGAGCGCGATCTCGGCCGGGGCGAACACAGCGTCGCGCTGCCGTTCGCCAAGTCCTTCACCCACGGCGTGCTGCTGTACCAGGCTGCGCTTGCGCTGGGACTGACCGCCTCCGCGGACCCCGTGCGCCGCTATCTCTATGCTACGGTGAGCAAGCGGCTGCTGGAGTACACGGAGCTTGACACTGCGCTGCTGCGGATCGGGCCTGAGGATGGCGTGTTCGGCCACATCGCGAACGTCCTCGCGCATCGGCGGTACAAGAAGATGATTCCGGACCCGGAGGACTTCGCGGTGTACTTGGACGGGTGGTCGGTGCTGAAGGAGAGGATGGCGGGGATTGATCGGGTGAACTCTGCGGTGAGGAAGGAGCGCAGGAAGGAGTTCTTTAGGCGGCAGGGGAAGGGGGAGAAGGCGGGGGAGAAGAAGGCGCAGAAGACTGTTGTGGTTGGGCGTCGGTGTTAGATGGGATGGAGTGCCTGGCCCTTGGAACGGACATTTATATTGTATGCGCGGAACACTTGAGCTGGGGAGAGAAGCCCAGCGATTGGAAAATATAATCTGACTTGCTTGAGGAAAATAAAAATAGCTTCCTATATGCTCCCACGGGATGTGAAACAACTCCCGATCTTTAACATCGTACCCTTTATAGTACCCACCACGTACTCCGATTCTCTAATGTGGCTAAGAATGAAAGTTGGAAAACGTATACTACCCAGAAAATAATCTTCCCATGTTCTATCCATCCCCATACTCTCCTCTCGCGCCAATCCATCAATCCATCCACCCTACTCCTACCCGCCAAACCCATGCCCAAACTACTCCCAGCCCGCTATCTATCCACATGCACCCTCTCAACCCACTAGACCTCGTTCACAGCAATCCAATCCGGTAAAGAATAGAAAAGTTAGAAGAAACAGGAAAGTAGGACGCACTCACTATTCCTTACCTACACATAACCTCCTACTCCACCAACCAGCGAACCGTCCACATCCTTCCAGAAAAAGATTCTACCTTGTGCTAGTTAGTCATTCCATCAGATTAACCCTCCCCTGATTCCCGCTCCTCCTCCACGCAACGCGCGCCATCCAGCGAGAGCCAGAATCTCGCAAACGCCAAACCCTTCACCCCATCCCACCTCTTAACCCCCTTTCTCCCTCCCCAAACTAAATCCCCTACATCTAAACTCCCTAACATGACCAACCTCACTACCGACTTCTCAAACCTGATGCTCGGGCCTGACGCCCCCGCCCCAGCCCAGACTACATGCTACGCAGTCCTGCGCTCCTCCTCAACTCCAGCCCAACTCCATGGAGGCCCACCCATGCAACTGCGCGGCAACGTCGCCGCGGTATTCATGGACGAGTAGAGAGCGCGAGAAGTGCTAGAAAAGTGGATAAGCTCAAGCCAGACATCCTGTCCGCTGGGGAATAGGGAGGCCGTGCTAGCGAATGGGGGGGAGCCTGTTCTTGCGATGACGTATACGGGTCCGGATGGGACGATGTGGGTTGAGAGGGTGGAGTTCGTTGGGTGATTGGGGTGGTTTTGGATGATGGTGGGTAGTATGTTGAGTAGGGAGATGAGGCTCGTTGGTAGGTGGTATGGTTTGCTTAGAAGGGAGATGTGTGCTGCGTGGATCCGCGTGGGTTAGACGGCATCTCGTGGCAGTTCCTTTATTTTCCTCTAGCTCTGGCATTTTATTCATGTCCGTTTTTCTCTCGTTGTCCGTCGAGATCCATGGAATTCCGTGGCTATGCGCAAATATCAGTCCCCCTTACAGGATAATGCCCCTACCCGCCTTTCCGTGGTCTGCCTCCTCGTATCGCCTTCCTCAAACTCTTATTCAATTGCCATGGGTAAATACGTGGATAGACTGAGATGTGGAGCGCAAACCGATCCAGGGAATGTATATTGAACCTGAAAGCCGTTGGCCATACGAGCGATCTCAGTCGTCTTCTTGCACCTTCTGAACCCTGAATACTTGCTCCCCAAACGCGTTTTTGAACTCGGGCACACTCTTTCTGCTCATCCACACCGTAAGCACAGGGATCTTCCTGCTCTTCACCCCCTCCTTCTCGCCGCCACTCTCTACCCGCCGCGTCTCGAACCCTTCATCCTCAACCGCGTTACCTACGTTCTCTCCCTCGTTCCCTCCAGCCCGCGCACCATCATTCCTACCCTCCCTCTTCCCCTCAACCGTCCGACTCGCGAGACACGTATACAAATACCACGTCTCCACCACGCCTCCTCCCTCCTCCTCCCCACCCGGCGCAACAATCCTCCTCACCAACTCCACAATCCCCACCAATTTCGTCGTCGCTTCTCCCTGCGCCGACACCGCAATGACCGCGCTATCCTTGCCTAACGCTTCCGGTATCTCAACCGCCGAACCAGGTATCCGCTCGTATCCAAGATACGCCTTAAGCCGATTAACTCCAGCCTTGACATTCTGATTCCGCGTAAAAACAACCGGCACGCAGTTGCGCTCCCAGCACTCCCTCCCCCCGAGCTTCCCTTCCACCATCTTCAGCAGCTCAGGCGGGAGAAGCATCCACGGCTTATACAGCGGTGCGAGATCGGTCTTCGGCGCGGCCTGCGCAGCACCATTCCCGCCATCCTCCGTCTTCCGCTTTTTCCTCGCCCTCTCCTCGCTCCCGCTTTGTCTTCTATCGCCCTGCTTCCCCTCCTTAGCCACGGGCTTCCCGTCCCCCGGAGCGCCCGCAGTATGCTCGCTCCCGCCCCCAATCATCGGCAGCGTCGGCCCGTCGCTCGAGTACGGCGCGGGCGTCGCGATCGCAATTGCAATGGTGGTATCGCCGGCCTCTCCTGCAGAAGAAGCGGTCGCTGGAGCGGAGGTCATCGTCGCGACATCAGTGGGGCGTTCGTGGTTACGAGTTCGAAGTAGCGAGTCGCGGGACGAATTCGCGGTAGCTTGAGGGGTTGTAGCGGGCTGTAGCTGTGGGGAGAGATGGGCAGCTCGGAAGTGGCCAGGAGTTGGGTTACGGTTCGGAGAGAGTATTACGAGCTTGACGCGCCAAGATTTCGAGGTTGTGCGGAGTTAAGTGGGCGCTAGTGTAATCGCCGAATCACATGTCACGAGCAGGCCAGGGGTTTGAGGACGGGTGCGCATCCAGGAAGCAGTCTCTAAGGCCTCTTGATTGTTGAATATCGAAGATTCTGCATGCAAGCAAGTCGTTCTAGTAAGCCATTCATGCTATAACAATCCCACTACTACGAAAAACAGCGTCCTACAGCCCAAACTGCCCCTCAACCTCCCTCTTCCTCCTCTCCCTTTCAGCCTCCCTCTCCAGCTCCTGCCTCCGCTTCTCGGCCTCCTCCGTAACGCCCTTCTCGCCCTTCAACTTCTGCCTCTCCTCGTACATTGCTCTTCCCTTCATGATCCTATCTACTATCTCTCCGGCATTAACGTCTTGGTAGTTGTGGTTGGCAACTTCGCGGTAGATGTTGAGGGCTTTCGCGGAGGCGTAAGGGTCGTATGTGAGCGGCATGAAATTGGTGACGCCGTGGTAGACGGATGATGGGGTGCCGTAAGGGAGCGTCAAGAGGAAGGCTTTCGAGAGCGAGAAGGGGGAGCCGAAGACGACGGCGTGGATGTACTGAGGGCGGTTAAATGGGAGTAAAGGAAGCAAACGGGGAGGGGAATTACCTTGCATTGCAGGACGCAGAGCCCGCGCTCGAAGATGTTCATGATGGGGTAGTTGATGCCCTTCCAGTGGTTTATTACTTCGTCGTCGTGGATCCCCGCGACCAGGAACACAGGCCCATAGTCTCCGCCAGTCTTTTCTACTCGCTCTCCCTTGGCTTCTTCAGTGTACCATCCCCTCTCCTTTGCGGCGCTCTCTTCAGCATCGATGACCAGCCGGAGAAATTCGATATGGCCCGAAGAAAACAGGTCCCATCCTCCATCGGCATAGACAACTGCTTGCCCCGGCTTGACCCCCTTGCCCTCTACCAGCTGCTGAAACTTGCCCTTCTCTTCCTTTACAGAGCTATGGTGATGATGATGCTGATGAGTTGAGTTGGCCGATTCCTGGCGACCGGGTGCGCTCGGCCGTCGTTCGCTAGACGAGCTCTGCGTGGTCCGCCGGAGCTTCGCAGGCTTCGATGCATGCCAGTACCACACGTCGCAGCCCGGAGCAAGACCTGTTGCGTCTGTCGCGTAGTCCTTTATCCGCTGCAGCATAGCTGATCCTGTCTCTTTGCGCTCGTCCTCTCCACCAGGCCCCTCCTCGCCTGCCAACCTCTTCTCTAGCGATTGTATAAAGTGCGTCTTCGTGCATAGCAGCATGCGCCCGACGAGGTCGGTTGTTGATATGCCTGGTGTTCGCTTCACGACCTTGAACCTCCCTGCGGCTTTCACGTAGCGATAGCAGTCCTGCCCGCTGCTGTCCGAGGTGATGTCGTCTCCGTGAACCACGAACCAACACCCGTAGTGTGATATCCATGGCAGCGAGGTGACGTACGGCGCTTTCGGTATCGCTCGCGTTGCCCAGCGACAGGCCTCGACTGCCATTACACTATTTCGTATCAGCATCCGTGGTTCTTCCTCGTGGGGGTACAGCGCACCGCTCGTCCAGGCGCATCACCGTCGGGCCCTTATTCTCGAGGATCGCTTCGTCCGAATGCACACCGACGAGCAGCTCCGTGCCTAGCTGGCGCGCCTGCAGCATGGCGCCGGCATGGCCTAGTAACTCTCAGATACGTGCGCCGATGCGAAATCGCGAAGCATACCGTGGTGGCTAAAGTCGAAGCACCCGTCGACCCAGATGCGGCTTTTGTCAATGGCGACATCCTCCTGCGGGCCGACCGGCCACTGCCCTGAAGAGGGAATCCATTCTCCCTGTAGCGCGCTGTCAGATGTTGCAGTGAGAGTGCCGAGCGCGCGTTCTATCACGGTACCTTTGCGCTCTGTCTACGGATCATGATGGTGGGGCTGCGGGGTTTCCGGCGGTCGAGCTGACGCAAGTACGAATGGTTGCAAGTATGAATGGGAGGGATGTCGTTGGATAGGCCAAGCTGTCGCGACTCAAGAGGCGGAGAAGCGAGAAGCGCGGCCGTCCAACCGTCGCACGTGGCTGGCGAGGTCTTGGACGAGTGGTGAACGGGCAAGCCATGGTGACGCGCGGGGTCAGGCGCCGTCCACAGAGGGCCAGCGAAGCTAGATTTAAATCGGTTCCTGCGTCGAGCCGGGATTACGGAGAGCCACTGGCGTAGCAGGCACTCGCGCGCGCTTTGCTTTTGGGAACGCCGGACGACGTTATCGCGCTGGGGGGGCGCTCAAAATCTCAGGCTGGCCCAGCTCGAGTCGCGGCTATATCGACGCTCCTATACCCAAGCCATTACATGGACCGCGCGCACCGCATCGCAACTTCGTCCGAAAGCACTCCCGCAGCTAACTCAGACTCTGCAGACTGCTTCGGAAGCCAGCGATGCCGTGCTGGTGCCAGTCCTGCGGCCATCCCTTGATGAGACAACCATCCCCCCTGATCGCTCGGTAAAGCCAAAAGTTGGGGACACGGCAAGCACCATGTCGGACGAAGACTACTCCACATCCACCGCCTCCACCAGCACCGCCAGCATCTTCTCCCGCCGCCCCTCCTTCTTCGGCGGAAAGCACAAGGCGCCCAAGTCCACGACCCCGACTCCCGTCCCGCCCCTCTCGCGGACCACGACCCCGCCCACCATCAATCTCGAGCCCGTGTCCAACGTCGCCGGCCTCATCCCCAACCAATACGAATTCCCTCCGAAAGTGCTCACCACGCCGCCGCGCCGCAGACACGCCTCGCGACACAGCATTTCATCTACCATCGGCGACTTCGGCGCCCAATTGCACCGCAGCCGCAGCGCCAGCCTGCGCACTAACGACTCAGGCGGCACCTCCTCGCAGTCCTCGCATAAGAGGACCCCCTCGGCCAACCTGGCGTCGCTCTCCTTCTCCCCGGAGAAGAACCACACCAATGCCGCCCCGGCGCCCTCGAGGCCCGCCCTCTCCATCTCCACCTTCACGCGGAACAAGAACGTGCGGCCCAGCCACAGCAGACAGGGGTATGAGAGGGAGCCGTCGAGCGCCGTCGACAACCCGAAGACGCCGTTTGGCATGGCCGTCCCGCTGAGATACCCGCCGTCGCAGAAGGAGCTGCAGCAGGCGCGGCGACAGGAGGTGGCCGCTTATGGCGGAGGGGGACTGGGGCCAGCAGCGCCGATAGCCCTACCGAGCGGCGCGAACCCGAACATCATATTCCAGCACATACAGGAGATGGCATCCAAGCGAATATCAACACTAGACTATCTGCGGAAATCGTGAGTCTCACGCTCCTACATGGACGATTCCCATCAGCGTTTCTCAGGGTCCAGTGTCACATGCAAATGTCCCGCACTAACACCCCGACAGACACGAAGGCCGCATATACTGGTTCAACACGCTGCTCTTCGCCAAAGCCGACCTCACGCGCCTCCCGTCCTTCACGCCGCGCAACCTCGCCCGCCGCGCAACCCACTACCTCCTGCTCGGCTTCTCGCTGCCCACCATCCTCGACCTCAACTCCTCCTCGCCGACCGACTACCTCAAAGCGCTGAACGCCCTGCTCCTCGAATTCGAGCAATACCAGTCCATCCACCCGGCCGACGGCAGCGCGCCGTCGTCGCTGGGGCGGGGCCGCATACCGCAGATGTTCAAGCGGGTCAACGTGGGCGGCAAGGGCCGCCGGAGCAGCTCCGCCGCGAACGACTTCCCGTCGCTCACGCCGCAGAACTCGTTCAACGAGCCGTCGTCCGCCGTCGACTCGCCGCCCACGGACGACATGCACCACCTGCTGCCCAACGAGACGTACTCGTACCTGCAGACGCCGTCGCTGCCCTTCGACCCGGACTTCTTCAGCACCTTCGCCACGCTGTGCGACGTACTCATCGACTGCTACACTAAGATCTTGTCGCTGCTGAGCACGCCGGAGAGCATCGTGCACGCGGGCGGCGGCGTCCCGAGTACCGTGGGCGATCTCTTCAACAAGGCGGATGCGCGGGTGCGGAAGATTATTCTGGCGGGCGTGGTGCGCGAGTTTGAGGAGAGTTGTAGGCAGGGGGTGAGAGCGGAGGTGGGAGGTGTGGGGAAGGTGGTTTTGGGCGGGTTGATGTAGATGGTTACTATAGCTCGGTGGAGAAGGGTAGAGGCGAGGGTGAACAGGTGATGAAGGTTACGAGATTATGATATCCAAGAAGGCCGCATGGGAAGGAGGAATAGCATAGATCAAGGCGTTTTGATTTTCGGGGGATATTTTTCGGCCGGGACCGCATGGTTGGGGGCATTTTGCTGCATTTTTTGTCTATTGGAATACCTACAGTATCGTTTTAATTGAATGCAAGGCTGCAAATGTTCTATCACACCTCATACCGCCAGAGCGAGAAAAGCCCGGTCAGTACTGACACCTTTCTATCCCAGCCCCTATCCCCTCGCCTCATTCCTCTCCACCAGATCCCCCACCCCCAACTGCCTCCCAACCCTAACCCTCTTCTTCCTCTTCCCCCCCTCCCTCCTCCCCTCACTCCCCACAGCCTCCCCCTCATCCCTGCCCTCCCCCACATCCAGCATCTCCTCATCACTCTCCCCCTCGAGCCTTATCTCCGCCTTCAACTCCCCCAGATCCATGCGCATGCTATACGCATCCTCGCCATCGGCATAGTACTTGCTCTCGATCTTGTCCACGCGGAACCCCAGCGTGTCGCGGTACAGGTGCAGCGCAGCGGTGTTGCTGACGCGCACGTGCAACGAGACGTAGTGCGCGGCGAAGGTCTCGGCCATGGCGCGCTGCGACTGGCGCATTAGTTTCTCCGCGAGGCCCAGGCGGCGGTGCGTCCGCATTACGCTGAGCGAGGTTATGTGGCCGTGCGGGATGCCGTCGGTGGGCTCTTCTTCCATTTTGGCGAGCACGTAGCCGACGATTTTGGGGGGGGTGTAGGGTGTTGTGGGGGGGCGGGAGACCTGGGGGAGGTTAGCTGTTCTGTCGGAATGAGGATGTTCGGAGATTGGTTTCCCGTGGGGAGTTGGGAATGAGGGGGTTTAAGAGGGCTTGGGGTGGGAGGAGAGGGTGGTGTTTGGAAAGGTCACGTGTACCATCCATCCCAGACTCACGTCCCAGACTCACGTCCCAGCTCTTTCTCCATGCTCTCCCATCCCTCATCCCTCTACGGACCGCACGCCAACAAACTCCCAACACATCAACGAAACGCAAAACACTCACATCGACCGCCACATAGCTCAACTGCGGCCAACTCATCGCATGGTACAAATAGTACTTGCAGAAGTAGTTCTCAGGCAGATTCGTAATATTCGCGAGCTGCACGTGCGGAATGTCGTCGGGTCTGAGCACGCGGATGTCCATCTTGGCCGGTTGCGGCGCCGAAATATTCCTTCCCTTCTCTTCTTTTGATGGGGTTGCTTAGCGGAGAAGATCTGTGGAGTGATTGAGAGGGTAGTTGAGGATTTGCGGTATGAGTATGTGACGGGGTTTGAGTGTTTGGTGGAGTGTGAGGTGGGATTTGTGAGAGTGCTGAAGGGCGACAATTGGGTTGGTGTTGAGGGAGGAAAAGTGGAGTGGCTCGTGCGGGTGGGTTATGTCAGCGGGTTTTGGCCAATCAGGAGAGGGGCGGGTGCTGCACGAGCAAGACGGTGTGTTTTAATATCCTGGGCGAATCGAGTAAAATTGAGTAAAGAGATTCACCGGCGGGTGTCGATAGAGAGTTTTCCCTAGGCTTGGAGCAGCCCGGGTCCAGCAGGGTAGACCATTCGCATGGGTAAATTCGAACTCGACGGACCTCTACATGCAAGAAGGCATTTCATATCGAAGCCAACTGGCGCCAGACGCGGGCAACTCCATATCCAACCGTACAATTCTGCACTCCCCATCACAGAGAATAGATCAGGTATTGAATGCTCCTCTTCCTTCCCGTCTATCGCCCCAAAATTTCCTGTAGTTGCGCCTTAACCGTCTCAAGATATCCCTCTGTAGCTGGCACTCCAATCGCCTTCCTAATCCCCAACTCTGTACCAATGTAATACTCAAGGCGATTAATCCATTCCCTCCTCGCTGCTACGTCAATGCTCGCCGGCTCCGCGATAGTGTATCCAGGGTTGGGATGGTCGACCGGGCCGTCGAATGGATGATATGGTGAGCTATCGAAGACGTGCTTCTTTCGAACGGAGGCATAGTCTTCGGTGGCAAAAATTCTCTGTTCCGCTCTAGCTGGTGGAGGGGTAGGTATGTTGGGTTCGGGAGGGGCCACTTGGATCGGCGGCAATGCGGGGAAGTCGTTCATTTGGGGAAGAGTGACTGGCGCGTTGTGGTAAAGTGAAGACATATTTTGCTCCGGCATCCTGAACATTGCTGGAGAGGGCACTGGCTGGCTGTGGAACTGAGAACGCGAGACACTCGGCACGTCGCTCAGCAAGTCCTGTGGGCCAGAGTCGGGCACCAAGCCAGTCTTGAGCACCGCGTCCATGATCCCAAGCGGCCATAATAGTGTGTAGCCCCTCATGCCTGCGGGGTCTTGGGTCGATTTTCCGTATATCGCAACTGTGAAATGGCTGATCACAGCCGAGCAGGCCTTCTCAATGATATTGACGAGGTGGTTTGTCGCAAACGTATGGTGAATCCGCAAGCCAACATTGCCCAAAAGCGCCGAAGCCGGCTGCTTCGGTATCCCGGACAGCTCACCTGGGGGCCAACCAAAATTTCGGGGTGCGGCTGTCGGCTCTGGCTCAGGCAGGTTAAGCATCCAATTCAGCATCTCCAAAAGATCCCGAAGAAGGAAGACGCGACTTGTCCGATAGTACATCCAGATCCAGCATCTCTTAAGATGACTATATGTGTGTATCTCTGCGGGCGCACCTCTGCTTCCTAGGATTAGATTTCGCCAGATCGGCTCGTATGTAGCCCGGGCATCAGGCGTGTTTCGCTCGACCTGATACAGCCAAAATCGCGGAAGTGCGCTTTCCCACGCCTGGAATTCCGCATCCAAATCTAGCGCGTTTTGTACCAGTTCCTGTAAGTCATGACGACTAGCAGGTAGAATGGCGTTCTGTTTGACTTGAAGCCAGTCGGCGTGTACATGAGCCTCGCTATGTATTAGCCGAAGGAGATTGACGCTGGAGGGGTGGTACATGTGCGGCAAAGGCTGCTTAGCGGCTATAATATTGCGAATGGGAATAGACGGGGCCTTTCCTGCATGCAGGTTGCCGATAAGCTGCCATGTGGGATTAGCGGCGGAGATGGACTAACAAAGAGCGTGATCGGCTATGCTTACCATTTGTCCAAAGGCTACGTCGTACAGGCCAGCTGATATGCGATTTGTGTAGACCTGGTCGATGGAGCGCAGTTCTAGAAGAGCATTCGCTCCCCAAATGTGCGTAATATAGGAACCAGTGTGTGAAGGCATAGTTAGGTTCTACATAGAGGTTAGCGGATGTGGAATGGCCTATCGCTTAACCATACCTCGTACACGCCCATCAGGTAGACGGCGCACAGCGTTTCGTCTAAGGGTGCCTCCCTCTCATTGGCGATGGATTTCTGGAGCAGCCTGATACCCTTTCCGATGTATTCATCGGCCAGGATCTGAGCTTGCGGAGCGTTGCACCTGGCGGCAAAGTTGGAGTAAGAAACGGCGTCAACAACGGTTGCTAGACATGAACCTTCAGCAGCTCCTTGGTATAGATGAGGAATGAAGTCCCACACAGCATCTGAAGGCTCTTCGGGAGCTCTGCTGGGGGTTTCGAAATGTACGAAGTCGTAAAGGAACCGCTCGTAGGCAAGGCGTCTCAAGTCTGGTTGAATAGTAGGGCTAATGGAGAGCTCATTAAAGTTGAAATCAAGCGCCGAACCCTGTAGAGCAGGCGCTGGGTCTTTCAGACTCTGTTCGGTAGAGGGAGGCTTTCGAGCATTCGGAGGTGACGAGTGATCGCTTGGTGTCTCGCGACTTGTGTCGCTCTCGCCCTGAGCTCTCTGGTGTGATTTAGATCGCTTCCTCCACGAATCCTCGGCTTTCTGCGCGGCATTCGCTGTCTCGTTTCGGAAAAGAAGAGCCGCCTGGTCGCGGTAGCTGCAATCGTGTCCTAATTTGGCGCAGCGATTGCAAATTGGCTTGGCTTCGTCGCACTGTTGTCCGAGGTTAGAAAGGACGTCTGAGCAGTTTGAGAGCGATATCCCAAACGAGGCAAGATGAAAGGAGATAGCCAGTCTAGAATTGCAACCCACCTTGACCTTCCGAGATCTGCAGGTCTCGCAGCCTTTGCTAGGCCGTCCACGGTACGACATGGCGGTGGTCCGAGGTAGGAAATGGCCTCAATCAGAAGACAGCCATGTAGGTTCTGAACGACAAGGCTAGAGTGAAATTGAGGACCTAGACAGGATGGATGTTGCACGCAAGCCGAGCATCCTTCTCATGTTATTCTCCAGAATGATGGCAAGAGGCTGACAGCTGAGGATGTTGCGAGCGGCTGTGCTGCTCACATCGGATTCGGCTTAGAACAGGCGTCCTCAGCGGGCCTGCGTCCAACACGTCGCCTTTGGGGCGTAGACTTCCGGCGTCTTGGATGATTGCGAAGCTTGAGCAGGCTAAGCATTGTCGACAGGGCGATCGGCGTCGGCTCAGCCACGGATCGGTGCTGTTTATTGGGCATCTCCTCGCACGACGGCTGGATGAGGCTGTTTCAGCTCGCTGCGAATTGGCGGTATCGGGGCACCCCGCAAGCTACGTCGTCCGAATCAGCGAGCGATGTTCAGTCAGCTCTCGCATCTCTCGGAACGGTGGGCTCGCTTATCGGGCCAATCAGTGCCGACTCTGTGCCACGCTGCTGACTACGCAACAGCGCTAACTTCGGACGTCGCGATACTTGCCACACCAGCCATTCAACTCTCTCAGCTGGCCGAAGCCTGTGGCTCTCTGCGCTGGGACGCAACAAGGTCCCGTGGTCATTGGCTGTCGTGGTTAGCATGTCGTCTGCATTACTCCCGGGGATAAGGCCATAGGGGAATAGGGTTTAGCAGGAGCAACAGGATGAGGTCACAATCCTTCTGCTCTTGTAGAAATAATATTCTTACATCTGCTAACACACTCCCCTAGCTCGCAGCCTTCTGTAGAGCGTATTACCGCCCGCGCGAAGAGCCAACTCCATTCGAGAATCGGCGAGTCGAGGTACGCGTTTCTGAATGCCTCGAGGCCGCATCGTCTGTTGGGCGTGCAAGATGCCGCTTCCCAAAACAAAGTCACATGACCGCGCCGAAACGACCTGGGAGCCAGCTTCTGTTTGAAGTCTTTCCTGCATCTCCCGTTCTTTGCAGGTTGCTGCAGCTTCGCTGCTAGGATGCCGGGAAGCGACACCACTCGGCTTTCGCTGGATAAATTACTTTACGCCCCGGAGGAAAAGCGCATGCTTATCAGCCCTACGATCGGCATTGTATTTGAGGATGGCGCGCACGGATTCACCGTCGGTCCTTGAGAACTTCACTTGTACTTTCTTCCCCCAACGATGCTTCCTTCCCTAGACCGCCCAAATCGCGACTTCCCAGTCTAGACGATATTCTTGGCAAACATTGTGCCTTCATCTTCACCATCCCCAACGAAAACAGTGGACCTCACCCGCACAAAACCACCAATCGACTTTCCTTTACTTCCTCCCACCAACCATACACCTCAGTCACCATGAGTGCCAGCAACCACTCGCGCTCCTCCACGGCGGTCGCCCAGTCGGACGGTAAGGCGACGATGGTCGAAGAGCCCATGGAGGACGCCGCGCTCTCGCTGTACAACAATCAGCCCCACGATGTCACGGAGATGTCGCGCCTGGGCAAGAGGCAGGAGTTCAAGAGGAATTTTGGATACCTGAGCACGCTGGGGTTCGTCAGCATCTACATGGCGACGTGGGAGTATGTGCTCGTGAGCCTCAGCGCCGGATTCTCGAATGGAGGTCTAGCGGGTCTATTCTGGACGTTTCTCGGGACGGTGATTTGCTATGCGACGATCGTGATGAGTTTGGCCGAGATGGAGAGTATGGCGCCGACTTCTGGAGGTGAGTTAATTCTGCGCTTTCCATTCCCGTTGCGGCCTGGAATGCTGAGAGCTCATAGGTCAGTATCATTGGACGAGCGAGTTCGCACCTCCCCGATACCAGAAATTCCTCTCATACGCATCGGGCTGGATGTCCTCGCTCGGATGGATCGCCAGCGTCTCCAGCGGCGCGTTCGTCGTTGCAACCCTCATCCAAGCAATGCTGGATGTACTCAAAGTGGACTTCACTTTCAAGAACTGGCAGTATACGCTCGTTATGCTCGCCTTCTTGGCCCTCTGCATCTGCTTCAATAGCTGGGGTGCGAGGACTTTGCCGGGACTACAGACCAGCAGCTTGTTTGCGCACTTCATTGGATGGGGTCTTACTATCGTGGCTATAGTGGCTGCGTGCCCTAAGAATAATCCGAAGGAGGTATTTGTGCACGTTGTGAGTCAAAGTGGGTGGGAGAATGTGGGAGTGGCGTGCTTGATCAGTCAGGTCAGCGTGTAAGTCTCTAGTCTCTCACCTCGCGAACCTGCTAACACTTCGCAGTATATACTGCAACCTAGGTCAGTCTTACCACCCGTAGTGCTTCACACCTCGACTAACATCAGATACAGGATCCGATTCCATAGTCCACATCAGCGAAGAAGTTCCCAATGCCTCCATCGTCGTCCCCCGCTGCATGTTCTGGTCCTACATCTTCAACACCATCCTCGGCATCGCCATGCTCATCGCCATGCTCTACGGCATCGGCCCTCTCGACGCCGCCATTGTCGCCGACGCGCCCTACATCGTGCTCTTCGCGAACACCGGCCTCATCCCCTTGGCCTTCGTCCTCGTCTTCGTCCTCTTCATCCTCATATTCATCGGCAACGTCACCGCACTCGCGACTGCCACGCGCGAAGTCTGGGCGTTTGCGCGGGATAAAGGGTTCCCGCGCAGTCGATGGATCGCCCACATGGACCACGAGAAGAATGTCCCGACGAACGCGGTGTATCTGACGAGCGTGCTAGCGGGAGTCCTATGCTTCGTTAATATAGGAAGTACCATGGCGTTCGAAATTATCGTCTCGCTCACCCTTCTCGGCATTCTGTCCACGTACAAGCTCTCCATCGGGTGCTTGATCTACCGGCGCCTGACAGACCCTGGCTCGCTCCCTCCCGCCCGCTGGTCGCTCGGCCGCTTCGGTCTACCGATCAACATCTTCGCATTTCTGTATTCAGGCTTCGTCATGGTGTTTGCCTGTTTCCCGGCGGAGAAGCCGGTCACGTTGGGGAACGCAAACTGGGCGCCGCTGGTTTGGGTGGGGGTTATCGTTGTTGCGGGCGTGGCCTATGGCGTGCACGGACAGAAGCACTATACGCCGCCGGCAGACTTTGTGCTCGGTCGTAGGAAGCCAGGCCAGGGTCTGCAGGGTGTGGATTGAGCGAGTGGAGGGGAGTGTGGACTGGGAAGTCTGATGGGAGGGGATTCGGACACGGTCGTATAGCACGATGCTGGGGGAAGGAATGAGAACTGCGTAATGATGAGGCGGGGCTGATGGGTGAGTATGGCCATAAAAAACATATTAGGGAGCGTCAGACATATTATACTCATAGATCAAGATGGATCTAAGTCCGTTGCTCAAAGAAATAAAGCCTTACATCGTTAAAGGTCTCACAGAAATGTTCTGGAACCTTGGTGGCACCGGTCTATCATATGCCATACCGATGTATAGCAAGACGGAGCGTTGTGACGCTAGGACTGCGCCGTCACAGTGCGCTAAGATCACGGTAGATAGGTAGCCTTCACCTACCGAACACCTTCAACGGTAGTTTCCCACAGCCCAAAAGCAAGACATGGATACGTGTACAGCGACATACAGTGCCACATGGTGGACGAACACCCCATCGCTACCCGGCGATATGCCTCTATTGGGCGGCTACACAAAGCATCCATCCGTCCGTCCGCCGCACGGTGCCGGAGCCCGTTGAGCGGGCGGGCGGGGGGTAGATCGGCTATGGACGTCTGCAAGGCTGCAGAGAGCGAAGGAAAGGCGAGGCGACAGCAGCCCCTGACGTCCCCGTGAAACAGCCCCCAAGCCCCTCCTCTCCCGCTCCGCCGAACCATCCAGCCTACCCTACAACTTCGCCAGCAAATGCTTTCCCCCATCCGCACTCCCCAGCACAATCTCCTCGCTCCGCCAATCCGGATTGAACGTCGTCCGATTCAGCGGGTTCCTCCTATGCGCCATGTCAAACAGCGCCTCGTACACCCTGCCGTCGTAGCGGCCCAGCGCGCTGTCAAGCAGCCAGTCCGGCACCGCCCACGCGTCCACGAGCTTGACGGCGTGCGGGCGCAGCGCGGACAGGAGGGCGAGGAGGGCGTCGGGGAGGCGCGGGAGCGTGGTGGGGGACACGGCGTTCGAGAGGGTGAATTGGGAAGCGGAGGCGTCAAGGGTGTGGAGGGCGTAGAGGCGGAAGCAGGTGCGGAGGGTTTCTGGGGTGGGCGGGGAGAGAGTGGATGCGGAGGGGCTGGTGAGGGCGTTGTAGAAGGTGGTGACGAGGATTTGCTCTGAGTAGGCGCGGCTGAGGGCGTGGAGTTTTATCATGAGTTTTGTCCAGGGTTTCTTTTCGAGGATGCGGGCTTGATACGCGCGGTAGGAGAGGTCTGCTGCGCGCCATTGGAAGACGTCGACGAGTGCTTGGTCGTTGATGCTGCTGCCATCGCGGTTGACGACGTTCTGCGGGATACGGTGCGGGCGGTTCTTGAGATAAAAGTGGAACAGCTCATCCGTCGGGTCCTGCGGCTCTGCGCCGGGGTTCTCGACAGCATGCGTCATCTTCTTGATGAGATGGGCGGCCGTCTGCTGCGTGATCATCCAGTTATCCCCCTCTACCGTCGGTTTGGACAGATAACTAGGAGCGGTTAGCGCGACATCTGCAGGGCCTTACGTAAACGGAAGTGGATAAAAAGGAGAAGTAAGGCGTACTCGGCATTGAGCTGGACCAACCCACTCCCACCGCCGAATCCGTGTCCGCCCATCGCCCTGCGGCACGTCTCGATCCCATCAGCCGCCAGCATGGTGCACAGGCTTTTCAGCCCGCTACTAGCGCTGTGCAGCTCAGCAAGGGGCCCGAAGTCGCCCTTCTCGATGCTCTCCCTGCTTTTGTGATACAGATTGTACATATACTCGCCCGTATAGTGCAGGGCGAAGGCCGTAGCAAGGAGTGGCAGGATCCGAACTTGCACCGTTGGGTAATCGAGCACTTTCATCTCGTCATCAGCAGGGTTTTGGGAATCGCGGTCATGGAATTGCCGCCGAACGGCGCAGTATCGGACAGCGACTGTGACGGCGCGGGCCAAGACGAGGCGCGCATGCATGATAATCTGGCCGCGAACAAAGGTAAGACTGCCATATACGACGGCTGGATGACCGCGCCGCATAAGTGCGCCCGTCTCGTCGGAGACTTCAGCATACCTCGACAGCATCGCCGACTTAGGCACTCGATAGTGGTCGAACAACATATAGCCGTTATCCATGGACGCATACCCGTACTTCGGGCCGATATCGCCGACGGCAATGCCCTTCAACGGCTGGTGCGTCCCGTGCTCCCGAATCTGGCAGATAAACGTCTGCGGGCCGTGACTCTCGTACACGGTTGGGCTGACTCCGTCCTTGGGCAATAGCAGCTGTGCAACGACGATCTATAGCTCGGTTAGACTCAGCCCTACATAAGGTTTACGAGCGGTTACACGTGGCTTGCTGGATGACGAGGACACCAGGATCAGGGTGCAGAGAAACCTACAGCATGAGTGGCAGTTCGTCCAAGTGCGCCATTCCACCATTTGCTAGCTGTCAGATGCGGGCTGTGGAGCTCGAATTCCTTCTTCACCGGATCCCACTTGGCGACGGTCTCGATCCCACGGACGTTGCTGCCATGGCCCAGCTCGCTTTGGGCATAGCAGCCAATGATATCCCAGTTGAGGATCTTGGGCAGCCAGTATTGCTTTTGAGATTCGGATGCTTGCTCGCGGATCGTCGTTACTGCACGCCCAGTCAGCCCTGACGTCCCAGTGGTAAAAGGCAGCGGGATGCAAGATCTGGAACTTGCCAAACATGGTCATGTGCAGGTGATACGGGCTCATTTCGTCGTTGAGATACTCGCAAATCTTGTAGTCCTCGTGGTCCCATCCTTCTCTCCGCACGATTCTCTGGATCGCTTTTGCTCGCGCGAGACCGAGGTGGTATCTTTCGGGCCGTGACAGATTCATCTGCTGCTCCTTGCTGAATAATTTCTCCTTGCTCAACACCTTCAGGACCTTCGCTTGGCGCTCAAGGAAGCCATCGCGGGATAGCAGATGCTTGGCCAGCTCTTCAGCGTCTATGGCTGAGCCATTGCGCTCCGCCTGTAGCGTTGCGGCGCCGTCGTAGCGAGGCGTGAGGTTATCGGTAAAGTCTGGCATCCCGTCGCGGGCGGTGCGTTGTCAGTTGACGGAATCGATCTCAGCTCAGCCCCAGCGGTGACGAAGAAGCATCCCGCGCGAGTTTATTCTGGCCTCGGTAGATGCGGCAGATTGAGCGTGTCGTGCTACATAGAGAGCGAGATCAACGGCGTCTTCTGTTGCCCCGCATTGGCGGCCGAGAAGTTGCCGGCATGTCAGAATCTGGCGAGTCAATACATAATAAGCTTTGTGCGTTGCCACACGGCGGATTCGGAGAGATTCAGCCATGGAAAGGCTGAAGTTGGTGCAGGAGGCTGATGCGCGAGGCGAGCGAAGATCTGGGGTCCGCTGTCAATGATGGGGAGTTGCATTTGGGAAATCAGCCGACGTGACTCGTGCGTTTCAGCCAGAGCGCGAGTCCCGTGATCGATGTGATATTGTCCATACGGAGATATTCAAGCATGGCCTGCAGGGCTTTTATTTTCTTCTGCTCGAACACCGTCCCTAAAGAGTCGGCAGCACACATACCCAATACTTTTGGAAGCAAGCTAATTGTACAGGATATCAGATAACCCCCAAAGACAATGAAACAGCTCCCGCATGCTCCTCCGACCATGCATGCATACGCCCCTAGAAAACCCATCTACATGCTGTGTAGCCATCATAAAATCGAGCCCGGTCCAGATCTTCTACAAGGGTCCAGGGAAGATCCATGCGGCTTCACAGCAGTACATCGCGCCCTTTGCGAAAGCAGTTCTCGTGGAGGCCCTAATCGAGCACCCGGTCCGCCCAGCTGCTCAGTCCGCCCTTCTCGGCCAGTAGCGTCTCCATGTCCACGGCTGCGAGGCGGACCATGACTTCGTAGGGTGCTTCGACGCCGTTTGCGAGTGTCCGTCTCCGAGGCATGATCATCATGCCGCCGTCCGATGGATTGTACGTGCGTCGAATGAACTCCGGTCGTCCACTCAACCCGTCGGGGCTGAGGTCGGTGCCGGGTATGCCCCACTGGATGTCCGCTCCAAAGTTCATCCAGGATGTGATGTAAATATCGAGGCCAAATTTGAATCCGAGAGCGCATTCCGTATCTTTGATTTGCTCGATGGATTTGAAGAAAGTAAGATGCTTCAGCGTCCAGTCGTTATTGGCTTTAGCAATGGTCCGCCGTATCTCCTCGATGGTGGGAACGATCGTCTCCTCCGTTACACTGCGCTGCATGTTAGTCGTGTCTTGGCAGAAAGGGGGTAGTGCAACATGCGAGGCACGGCGATCAATGCCGAGCCGGATGCGATGGGAGAGCAACGTAGTATGACAGCAGACTCACCGATCTTCGGCCCGTAGCTTGGCAACTTTCAGGGTACCTTTGGAGAAGAGGGCCATGTTGCCCATGTAGCTAGATTCCAATTGCGGGCTCAACCTTTTGCGAAGGTCGACGGCCACTGCGATATTCGTCTCTTTCTGCTCACAGTCGCCCATTCTTACCGCCCTTGCACGGGTCACGTGGATCCATGTCAATGCGGCTAGCACATTGCAAATTGTGGGAGGGGACTCCATTGGGAAATGCGGCTTCAGCTGTTTGCGGAAGTTTCGAATGCGGTCAGCGGCAATGACAAAGAGTCTCTGGGCGCACGGGGTATTGTCTTCCAGAGTCTTGGGATAAGTGTACGTGCCGTCGATGTATGTTTCCGCCGTAGCTCGCTGTCCTGGAGCGGGGGCAGGAACGCGTGCCTCTAGTTCCCGTCGTAGCGTTGACTGATCTGGCGGAAAATCTGGAATGGGCAAATCAACGAACGTCACGTCAGCGAGAAAGCAGCTGCCTTACCTGGGATATCGACCTTGTACGCTTTGGACGGGGTATGCGCCGCGGAGACATGTTTACCGAACTCCTGAAAGAAGTTTGCAACTCCAGCGCAGTCCATCACACTGTGATGGGCATATATGCTCAACACCAACCCCCCTGGAATGAAGTTTGCTTGTACCCTCATAACGGGCGCGTCGCTCGTCTGAAAGTCGACTATACCCTCTCCATCGGCCTGGACCCCAGGGTATTTGAGAAGAGCATCCGGACGGAAGGTCTCTGCCTTGAATGCGCTTGGTGGCATGCCATCTCGTTTCAATTGGTCGTAGGTATAGGGAAAGTCTGAAATGGTCTTCCATGCGAAGTAGTCGTTCATATGCGTGTCACGGATCTCGGTAGGGTATGTAAGGGTGAGTTTGCCTGATCCAGAAGCGCTAAGGCTGAGCGTGCCCGCAAGGAATGGAAACTTTACCAATGCGGCCCGGAGGCCCTCATTGAGGGCTTTGATGGCGGTATCTGCGAGGCTCCACTTGCGAAATGGAAAGATCGTGAGCGTCTGCGTATAAACGCGGACTGTGTTTTGATCCTGGGTGGACAGGTGGAGGGTGTCCGTCGCCATACGAAATGCGGGGTTCTTAAGAATCATGTTGGGCTTCGAAAGGAACCGTGTGCTGGAAGCAAGGGCGCCCAAGAAAGGTATTTCAAGTTCTGGACCCATCGTAGGGTGTTGCACGCGTATATATGTAGCGACGAGTGTCACATACCGCCGAATTTTCTGAGCAAACACCCAGGATATGAACCGCGAGAAGCTGTCGTTTCCTCCCCAGGGCTTTCACCGCCACAGAGTCCTTCGTTGCGCTGTGTAACAATGCAGAACGCATGGACCTGTAGCGGTGTTTGGGCGCGACAGCTTTGACCAGCGCCAGGCATCCGCAAACGGTAAGCTGCTGATTCTGACCGGCATCTACCCGCTTCCCCGACTCCAAGCTTTTTTGTATCCGGTGGCACCCGCATCCCCAATACGACTAACGTTTGCGTTCCGCCTTCCCCGGCCGTGATGTGCTTCGTTTTCTGAGCGATTTGGGCCGTGGGCCGGGACCAGGGTACAGCCGACGCCTCGGACCGCTCAGCAATCTCCCACGGCGAGGATACGAAGGACGTGATCGGTCCCTTATTGCCCTTTTGGAACGCGACCCATTGCTGGATGAGTAACCGCTCGATGCAGCTAAGGAAAGTTGATGACTCTTCCAAGGTTTAGTCCTTCTAATATTGGGCATGAGCAGGGTTCTGAGACAGACGCGAGCTTATCCCGTCTGCTTGTTTTTGCTTCTTGTCGGGCGACCCCAAAAGTGAGCAGATCATTGCGTTCTGCTCCATTCCATGCATGATAATGGAATATTTCGAAATAAAAGACCACACCCACAAGCTGATTAACACAGCCATGGAAGCTTCACGCCCGTAACCTGGTCATTCGATTTGTTTGCGTGCCAATCCAGCCACAGATGTGGGCCTCCCTGCTGGCACGAAGTCTTCATATTGCAAACGCCTTGACAGCGCAACAGCGCGTCGACACGAAGCCAGCAGGGTAATGAGTTATCTTGGCTAGTCGATACTGTGATAATTCCATTGACCAGGAATTTGGGCAAAATCGAGCGCCGAACAAAGAAAATGCAAGGAATGCGGCAAGCGTGAAGTCCTATAAGCCAGCCGTCCAAAATTATCGGTGAGGAGATTGGAGAACGTGGAGGGAAAACGGGGGATGCAACGCAGACTGTAGAGCGACACGTAGCTAGCCGCGCATCCACGTCGGTAGGCTGAATCCTCAGGCGTATAAGCTGGCCATGTGATGTGCTCGTTTTGTGGATCCACAGGCAGCCCTGTTTGGTGCTGCTGTGCCGCTCCTTGGTCTCCGGAAAGGGCGCAACAAGACCTCGGAAGCTGTTCCATTACCACTCAGGCTTCGCACTCCGGGGCTTGCTTGCCGCCCAATCAGGGCATTTCAACACGGTTGTATCAGCCTTTGGTTACGTCCAAACCGGAGGACGTGTGGTGGGCTTGATGTCTGTAATCATGTCAGCGAGCATGGAGGTCATGGAGATGCAGTAGCCTGGCGATTGTGTATTGGCTTGTAAGAGTGAGTGGAGCATTCATGTCTCATTCCGGACGCTCCTATGAAGGGGGAAACGAGTAGATATCTGCACCCGGTAGCATTGCGTTCTTGTCGTTGTACTGGATTATCCGGCATACCGCGTCAACCAAGATCCGATTTGCTGGCAAAGTCGTTCGACGGCGCACAAGGAGGACCATTGGAGAAGAATTTACCGACGCTGAAACAAAGCACGACCGTTTCGTCCTCCTGTCCCGGCGAGGCCGTAGTCAAGCATGGCCGAGGGAGCGAAATGCATCCTGACGCGACATAGGTCTTCAGCCCTGGGATGACCACGGACAGGAGACAGCCGTCCAATCAGAAAATTGGCGAGGAAGCAGCGGGATTATAGGCCAGGCTGGAGGTGCGCAAGGCTGGGGTGGAGCTTGCCGGATTTTCTGGGCATAGATCAGATCTAGATCTCGAGGGTGCGTGCATATCCCCAGGTTGTAAACCATGAGCGCCGTCACCCCCACGCCTCGGGTGATGCAGGAGCATGCGGTAAGCTGCAGTCGTGTTGCTGTTGTAGCTAACGGCACGGATATCGTTCGAAACGAGGTGGGAAGACGTGCGAGATGGCCGTGCCGCATCGAAGGGGCGGTATAAGAGACGCATCCATCCGAGAGGAAGGCGCAAAGCCCATCGGTAGTCGTGCGCATGTGACCTATTCTCGGTGCCCGATCGTCATCGCAAGCGCAACGTTCTGTGCTGCTGCTGTGGGCCCTGGGAGCAACAAATGCGGGGTACTGGGCGTGCTCGATAGATAACCGACGTTCACCGGAAACGACACTAACTAGGAGACTCGGTATTTCCGAATGCCTAGGCATCTGAGCACAGGAACCCAAATCAGCAAATACATATCAGGAGACATGAAGCGGCAGGCGAGTGTAGGCTGACGCTCGTATGACCTCTCCGCAGCTGCAGGATGGACGACCGAACGTTCATGGTCCCGAAACATTCGGGGTACAACGTGCTGCCGAATACGGTATGAGCCCAGTAACCGCCCTTGATGGTAGTTCGCGAGCATGGATTGATGCCTAGCAGCCCCTTTTTAGTCGGTTACTCCGGTATGCGAGTCGGACACCTGCGCGCATAGCCATTGACGATACCCGGTCGAAGTATCAGCGGACGCATCTGGAGTTGCTTTCTGATGTGCTGGCCTTGCGCGAAACGATCCTAAGCACCCTAGACCCAGGTGCAATCGAAGCGCTAGAACGAAGAGACGAGCTTTATATCGCTATAGTGGCAGCGGGTGGATATGAATATACGGTCGCAATGCTCGCCGTGCTGGCGCTCGGCGCAGCTGCAGTGCCCATATCGCCGGCATTGCCAGTGGAGGAGGCGGCATACTTCGTTGAGAAATCACGGGCGCCCCTGGTGCTCGTCAGTTCGTTTGATCTGGAGAAGTGCTGCAGGCTAGAGAAGCGGATCTCGGCCTCATGCAACGAATCCTTCAAGGGAGTTCCCATAGGCCCGTGTACCTTTACTCCGCCTTTGGATCCGAAGGACATTCTAATCTCCTCAGATCGTGCGCTGGAGGAAAACGGTCCCAGTGTGGTCATCTTCACCTCTGGGACCACGGGACCCCCCAAGGGCGCAGTTATGCGTAGGTCTTACGTCTTCGACTGTGCCCTGTCTGTAGCGGATCATTACCGGCTCACAGAGGACGACGTCATGCTCCATGTCCTTCCGGTTCACCATGCCACGGGCGTTGGCATCAACTTCTTCCCATTCCTGATATCCGGTAGCCGTATCGAGTTCCGCAGCGGAGGCTTCGACGAGGTGTGGATGTGGGAGAGGTGGAAGGAAGGCGCCGTCAACCCTCGGCGGCGTTTAACCTTCTTCTCGGGCGTGCCGACGATCTTTATGCGCATGCGACGTCACTACCAGCGCCAGCTGGCCCAGCTGCGGAGCGGTGAGCTGGCAAAATATATAGCCGGGGCCCGGCAATTTAGAGCGATACTGTGTGGTACAGTAAGTTTACGGTCGATGGTGGGATAGCCGTACAACAGAGGACTGATTGCTCTTAGTCAGCCCTGCCACAACCACTCAACGACTTCTGGACAAGGCTCATGCAGATGAGGATCATCCAACGATATGGCGCCACGGAGTTCGGCGCCGTGTTCAAAGTCCGCCTAGATGACAAGAAGACGCCGGATGGCTCGGTGGGCGAACTGGTGAGCGGTATCGACATCAAGTTGTCCGAGGGCGATGAGGGAGAGATTCTCGTCAAGAGCCCGGTAGGGCCCCAACGAAGCGATGCCCTCAGGCCTCACTAACAGTCTCCAGCACATGTTCTCGAAATATCTGTTTGACGCAGAGGCTACAGCGAGCTGCCACGACGAGGACGGGTACTTTCGGACGGGCGACGTCGCACGTAGGGAGGGCAGGTACTACTTCATCGTCGGCCGGAAGTCGCTGGACATTATCAAGTCGGGCGGGTACAAGATATCGGCGCTGGACATTGAGCGGGAGCTGTTAGCGCTGCCGTACATTGCGGAAGCCATGGTGGTTGGAGTGGCGGACGAAGAGTTCGGGCAGCGCGTCGCCGCCCTGGTCTCGCTACACGACGAAGAGCTCACCGATGCGTTCCTAGAGACGTACGGGAGCAGCGAGCACATCCTAACCATCGAAGATCTGCGCAAGGACCTTCGTGGTAGACTTGCTGGATACAAGATGCCGACCTTGCTCCGGATCGCGGACGGAGAGCTGCCCAAGACAGCTACCGGCAAAGTGCAGAAGAAAGTGCTTGGTCCCGAGTCCTTCCCGGTCGCCTATCACGCGTGTCCGGAGGTGCAGCAGTGGGCGACGTCTTCGAGAGGGCTTGCGAAGTTGTAGATACCTATATGGCTGGGGGAGCAGAAGTGGGGAGTTGTTGACATGTCGACGCGACTGGTGTCTAGCAGGCATGACCGAGGCGCTTTCCGTAACAGGACTAGTGTACAAATCAGCCACAAAAAGTCATTGGCCGCCATGTGAGCTGTGCGCAACAGGGGTAGGGGTACCCAAATAGGAAGGTGAATTGCTCTACGAGTAGCGTATAGTTTTAGAAGCTTAGTAGCTTAAATAAAAGCTCTTAAACGTCTCTATTAATTACTATAGCTATATTCTTAGTAGTAGATAGATTCGCCTTTTTGTTTAATAACTTCTTCTATATACTTTAACTAAGATATAATATACTTTCTATAATTATCTAGTATAATATAATTCTACTTCTTCTTTAGAATAGTTACTATCTACTCTCTTATACGTATATATTCTTTTCTCTTTAAAATATAAAGCTTTATAATTCTCTAGAGGTTTTTAATTAAGTTTAGATTAGAGCTTTAAGGTAGCTAGTCTATATAAATTATTAGGTTATTATCTATATACTTTTAAGTAACCTTTATAGTATAAATTAAAGCTCTATCTTATATCTATATAGCGTCTTCGCGTTTCTCTATTACTTTATAATAGAAAAGAATACCTATATTATATAAGATTTTAATATAGCGTTTAGTATTATTATATTCTTCTACACTATTAATAAAGAGCTCTAATTTAAAGTTAAGGCTAATAACTCTAAAAATACTAATAGAAGTTCTTCTACTCTTAAAATTAGGCTTTAAAAAGTAACTTTTATATATCTAGCTAGGTTATTATTATACGTATAGAAGTATTATATTAATACTAACTTTAAAAGTTATATTATAAGTATAAGAGCTAGCTTTGTAATCTCTACTACTATACGTACGCTCTAGAACACCTAGCTAGATAAGTTAATTACGAGTAATATAGTCTCTATAAGCTATAAAAATAAGAGTAACGTATAGAGTAGGTTAGGTTAAATTTAGCTATCTAAAGATAAGAAGTAGAGAAAAGGCTCTAAGAGACTCTATATATAGAGGTGCTAAGCGCTAAGACGCTAGGCTAGGTTACGTAATAAGATTACGTAACCTAAGGTTATATAATCTAAGGTAAATCTCTAAACTAGACTATTATATTACCCTCTCTTATAGAAAGAGCTTGTCTCTAAGCTCTAAAATACGTCTTCTAGGTCTCTCTTCTTCTAAAACTTCTACGTTATACTCTTAACTATCTCTTTTAGCTTATAGTAAGTATATTTATATTAGTTTTAAACTAGAAGCGCTTTTACAGCTACTACCTTTTCTCTAAAAAGAAAAAGGCTTATTTTTGCGTTAGTAGAGCGGCTTTCTTATTAGCGCTCTTCTTAAATAATGCTATAAGCTTAGTAGAGTTCTAAATTACTTAGTAGCGCCTTCGCGTTACTCTTACGTCTTCTACTCTTACGAGTTTTAAATTCTCTACTATCTTCTCTAGAGTTTTCTCTTTTTTATACGCCTTAATCTAAGTATCTAATTATAATAGCAGCTCTAGCTTATCTAGGTATACTACGTAAAAGTCTCTTACCTTATAGAGAGCGTTAATAAAGCCTATAGTATTATACTAGATAGAGTTAGAATTATAAGTAACCTATATAGCATAGTATTAAAGGTAATTTTAATAAAGACGGCTATCTAGAATTTTATATATAAGCTATTCTAGATTACTATTAACTTTAATAGGTAGCTACTTAGGCTCTACCTACTCTAGTAATAGCTCTAAGGCTTTTCTTAACTAATTAGTATAGAAGACGTTATGTATACGTATATACGTAGGTAGCTAGAGCTAGAAGAAGTAACTCTTTATAGTAATAATTAGGTAAGAGCTATATATCTATTAATTAAGCTTTATACTAGACTAATTTATTAAAAAGCTATAAGGTTTAATATAGATAAGATTGCCTATAGTAAAATTAGGTTCTTAGCGTTTTTTATTTACTTAAAGCGTCTGCCTAGCTTACGCTTTTATAATATTACCTTATGTAATTTTAGTAGCTTTTTTTACAGTATTATATCGCTTCTTAGTAAAATTCTAAGCTTTCTAGCATAAGAGATACTTATATAGAGTAGAGGCTTTTATTATATACTTCTTCTAATTCTAGTAGTATACTAGCTAATATCTAAATTTAATTTTATATACTATTAGTCTAGTAGTTTTATATAGTAACGTAGCTTATACCTAATCTATATAGAGTAGAAAGTCTAACTAATTATTCTAGTAGTAGTTAATAAATAAACGTAGATACTAATTAAGATATTAATTAATAATCTTTATATTTCTATTAGTTTGTAGGTAGTACGTAGTAGAGAGCTTCTATTTAATTTCTATAAGCTAATAGAGCTTATCTATAAAGGTAGAGGTAAACTATAGGCTATAATCTAATATAATAGATCTAGAAGAACTATATATACGCTAGATATATTAGTAATATAGCTTTACTATATATTAAGCTATAATTTTCTTATAGTAGAGTAGAGAGAAGCTCTACTTACTTAGCTAATCTATAATAACGTACACGTAGTTAAATTCTTTCTTATTAGAGAGAAAGCTCTTAAAATCTATAAAGACGTTCTACTAAGCTCTCTTAGAGATAGGTAGAGGCTTTAGAAGACCTAGCGTCTTATTCTATAGAGTATAGCTCTAGTAGTAAGCCTTGTATACTACTATATACGTATTAACGTCTTTTTGTATACCTAGCTAGTAATATTAATCTTATAGTAACTAGGTAGTTTTTCTTTATTCTAGATAGGTAGTTACCTAAGTAGTATATATAGCGTATATTAGGTATATTTATAGGTAGTTAATAGTAAAGACTATTAATTAATTCTAATAGGTTAATAAGCCGCCTTCTATTTTCTAGGCGAAGTCTAATATAGTAGCTTTTTCTTAAGCTAGCTATAGAGAGTTGTCTAATTAGTTAGCTATAATAACCTAATTAATTATAGTATATAGATTCTTAGTAGAGAGTGCCTCTATAAACGTATTAGCAGCGGCAATTTTCGCTATACTACTAGCTAATCTCTAGGTAGCTAGAACTAATAACTTACCTAATAATTGCTTAATAGCTAAGAGGCTAATTTACTTCTTACTTAGAAAAGCTCTTGTATAGGCGGCGCAATTCTTCTTCTTTTAAGTCTTAAGCTCTTCTTATTTTTATAATAACGCATCCGCTGCTATATTAGCTAAACCTAGTTAATAGATAAGCTTAAGGTTATAGTTAGTAATATTGTTTACCTAGTAGACCTATCTAGTAGTAAGTTTCTACTTAGTAGTAAAATACTCTAAGGCTTAGTAGTTAGTTAATATTATAAAAGGCTCTAGATCTTATAAGCTAATTAGCTAGCTTCTCTACTTCTATATACTAAGAATAACTACTAGTATTTCTTTATTATAAATGCTATAGTTTATCTAGGTAGTATTTATTATCTTGCTAAAGAAAGCTACTAGTCTCTAGATACCGTCTTCTTAAAGTTATAAAAGAACTCTAGCAACTATACTATCTAATACGTCTGTTTCTACTCTTATACAGCAATAGAGAGAGTAATAAGCTAGCATAGTATTAGATAGTATAAGATTCTTAACCTACTAAAATGCTATAAGCTTAATTTCTCTAAAGGTATACTATACTTCTTATTTTAGTAGCTTAGTAAGA